TAATAAAATTCAATGATTAGTATTATTACAATAACAACATGCTCCCTGATAATATTCATGATGAAAATTTAGTTAGATACTGAATCGAATTTCTAATTTATCTTAATGATTTCGTTTTCTTATTCAATTAGCATAGAATTTTTTTCTCTCTCTCTCTCTTGTTGTTTCGATTTCAATTTGATAACAGTTATCATGAGCTCTTTTTGGAAAAGGTTGAACATATCTGATAGAATTTTGGAATATTAGAGAAAAGATTTTTTTTTCTCTTCACAAATTCAGAAAGAACAAAAAGTTCAGAGCCAAATTCAAACAAAGACAAATGTTTAAACATCTTCCATGAGGAAACCATTAATGTCACCTTTATATGTTTAAACGGTTGGAAAACAGAAAAAAAAGTTCTGTAAGAGAAGAAAAAAATTTCTGTCAGAATTTTCGATAAACATTATTTACAGAATTATTTTTTTAACTGAATGGTTTATCTTCTTTCATGAACTATATTTTTACTGAGCTTGTGATCTTTTTTCCTGCTAACAATATCATCATTACATATTCCGATGAAAAAGGGAAAGAGAAAAAATGGAAATTTGAAAATTTCGAAATTCAATAAGTTAGAAAAATTTTCCAAGAACTTATTATTAGTTATGAAAATCGCGAACTGGAAAGAAAACTTTTTCCTCTTCTTCTAATATTTGCCTCTTGCATATCTGTATCTAGAACATTTCTTATTAATAAATATTATTTTCGAGCTGATTTAGTTTCGATCCAAATACAAATCTCGAAGGTGTGATAAAAGAAGAGCAGAGAGCAGAGAGAGAGAGAGAGAGAGAGAGAGAGAGAGAGAGAGAGAGAGAGAGAGAGAGAGAGAGAGAGAGAGATATCATTAGGGTAGAGAGCGGAAAAGTCGACTCGACATTAATGCTTTTTTCTTTTGTTTTGTTTCGGAAATTTTTGCTTTTCGAAAAAAATATTCAAAGTTAATCTCGATCCATTTATTATTATTTGTTTTCCATGAATCATGACCCTGTATCTCTTTCTCTCGTCATTTTGAGAAAGAGAACTATTCTAACCTTCCCGTTATGCTTTTTCTTTTGTTTTGTTTCGGAAATTTTTGCTTTTCGAAAAAAATATTCAAAGTTAATCTCGATCCATTTATTATTATTTGTTTTCCATGAATCATGACCCTGTATCTCTTTCTCTCGTCATTTTGAGAAAGAGAAATAACTATTCTAACCTTCCCCGTTAGTTTGAAATCTCTGAATATATGTACATGTATATTCTGTGGTGGGAGAAAAGAGGAAGAAAGAAAAATCCATTATTCTTGCCTAAAATTCAGTATTATTATTTTGGATACATTCACCTCGCTAGTGTTTATTCATATACCTTACCTGCAACAATTCATATTTGTATGTATAAAGTTCAAGTGCCTTGAGGAATACCCATTTTGAACTACACCAATTGCATGATTACAGGGTGAGAAGGTGATAGAAATAAGGTATTCATGTTATTTTTCACTTGAACGCTTTTCCAATCTTTTCACTCTTTTCCATCTCATGTAATACATTTGCCAATTCTACATTCATATTGTGAAAACTGTTCTTCATATCATAAAGAGGAACAACCATACAAAAGTCTTACAGAACTTTTCTCTTTCTCTCTCTTATTCTATTCAGTTCAAATTTTGTTCTCACTTTTATCACTATGTGAAAGTGTTAATAGGTATTCAGGTTATATTATCCATGATTATTCAATGAAAATATAAAATGAATAAATCAACAGCATGACGATGACAATGATAACCTCAAGATAATATGTTGAAAAGAATAAGATTTTTTCCTTCTCAAAGTAAAGCTTGTAAAGGCTCATCTCTTTTTCATGAACCAAGCCTGTAGGTAAAGGATAAGATAATATTAATAAAATGATTGATAAACTAACTAATCATTGGCTTAGCATTCTGAATTATTATTTGTCAATCAAACAATTCTGAACTGAATCAGTTTCAATATTTCTGTAAGATTTATTTCTCTCAATGCACAATTTCAAATGATAAGTTAATGTTTACCTTTCAATGTGCTGGTCATTTCTTACTTTCCCTTCCCCCATCGCTTTTTCAATGGGTTTTTTTTCTGGTCAAGAATGATATTTATCTTGTATACTGATATTAAAGATGAAGAAGAAAAAAAAATACTTGAATACCTTCAGACATATTCTGATTCCCCCACGGCGGAGTAAAAAATAAGAGCCGGTTGTCAAACCATAAGCAAAGAATCAACTTGGTTATATGTCAACTTTCAAGTGTTTGGTCAAGTTGATTGTACAGTATGATCATGATTAAGATAAGTAAATAATAAACCATGATACTTGAAGGTTATCATGGTTTTCAAGGGGGTTGGGAAAGAGACTGGGGTAGGTATCACACTGGTGGTTTTGAAAAGTTCTTTTATCCTCCTCCTTGTATTTATCTCTTCGATAAAAGTTAATACATGTATTTGAATGTACATCTTACATTTCTTGAGATGGAAAGAGGAGAAAAAGTTCATTTTAAAATGATGATTCTTTGAGCTGAGGATAGAAAATTCTAAGGGTGTGGTTGAGAGCTTCAATTCTGCTGAATTTTTTTTTCTTCTCCCCTGTCATTGAGCCTTCAATTTCGAATTTAAATTTGAATAATTTTCATTTGTAATTCCACAAAAGAAATTATGAAAGATTTATTTTTTCTTTCGATAATGTAAATGAGTTAATCTTATCATATAATTTCTTCTGATTGGAAAATAAAATGAATATTTCTTTGGAGAACAATAAATAGAGAAATGATAAGATGAATCAGAGAAAAAGTTAAGATGATACGATGGTTTTAGGATTATCATGGTGAAACATGAAAATGTAATCAGGTAATAGAAATAATAATAATTCGAATGTTTTATTCTCTTCTGTTCCCATTTTACTATGAAAAAAGAAGAAAAACAGAAATTAAATCTAAAGGTATTTCATTCTGTTAAACAATAAACTATGAGAGATTTTTTTCCTTCCTGTATCAATAAAGTCCTAAAGTTTATGATAATTTCATTCTGAATTATCATCATATTTTTTTTGATATCATAAATAGAAATGAATCTTTATGAGAGATAAAATATTTTCATTTTAAGATTTCATAGGGTACATGAAGGAACTGATCATGTAAATAATAATCCTTTTTTCTTCAGTTATTTTCTTTTTCTAATGGAAATACAGAATCGTCAGATTATCATCATCATGATACCATTAAGATCAATGTGAAAGGTATTATGATGATCATGATAGTAAAACAAGTAAACATGATGATAGTTATTACTTTGATTCACTAGTTTCCTGAATATTGAATAAAGATTTTTTTAGGATTGAATATTATTATTTTATTTCTTTTTTTTTCCATTCAATAAATTCATCTTTAAGTTTTTGCATACGCTACATTGAATAACCTCTTGTCATCATGTAAATCATCATCCTCTCATCTCTATCTCTCATGAATTATTTTGGACAAAATGAATTATTATAATGGGAAAATGATAATAATCATTATCTTCATCAGAGTAATCAATTTACCGCCATTCAATTGGTTAGAAACAATAACATTATCGTAAACAACTTGATGATTAATTTTGATTGTTATCATGTAAACATCATGTCACTGAGAGTGGGAGGTGAGAGAGAGAGAGAGAGATTGGTTTTTGTAAGGTAATTGAATATTATGTAAATTTTATATTTCAAGAGTTCCCATTCAATAAATTCAATCTTCCTGGCTTGAATCATACCTGTGTATTATTTTAAATGAAATTAAATTGATGAACAATTTAATTGTTGGATTTTTGATTCATGTTTTCATTGCAGTTTACATGATTCTCATAAATGAATTAACCCAACAGAAATTAGATTCAAGTTTGATTGATTTTATTGTGATGAATTTGAAAATTGATTGAAATGATTATTCAGCTTGTCAGCTCGCTGATTGTTACAATTGTTGCTCTGGTTTTTAATTTACTTTACTTAATGAGAGACTGAAAGTTTGTCATGTTCATGTGTGTCATAGTGATTGTCACTGATTATGATTGATTATTATATTTGATCATTTGGATTTGTTTTTGTTGGTTTGTAAAATTTTTATTTGATTAATTCAATTGTTCAGATTTTGATTATTTCTTGTTTTTTCATACAACTTAAATGAATTTGGATAAAGGTAAATAACAATTTGTTGATCATCACGATCATGTTTTACTGGATTGTTTCAATGGGGAAAATTTGATTTACTCAATCATTTTCATTGATTGTCTGGGTTTGAATTGAAAAACTAAGTAACTTTCATGGTGAAAAATGAAGATGATGAAATCAATTTGATATCAGCTCACGAAATTCAAGTTACTATTGGTGAAAGTAAATAAATTCAGTTTATCTTTATACTGGAACTACAAGTTATCTACCCAAAGTATTACAATCAAAGTTCAGATTGTTGTTCAAACTTTGATTCAAAGTGTATTTCATGGTATAAATATTAAAGATTAATCTGATCATGATAAAATAAAAAGAGAGAGAGAGATGTCTCAAGTTATATAAAGTCATAGGTGAAAAATTTAGATTACACTTATCAGGAAGATAAATTCAATGATCATGATAACTTTGAAATGTACTTCATGATGAATTCAAGAAACGGTCAAGATAAGTGAAGCGATAAGTTTGAAGTAGCCTGAAACTCAGGAATGAGATAATGTCAAGATAAACTGATCGAAATGACTAAATAACTAAAACGAATCAGTAAGGAAATTGAATCAAGATCAATTTCGTTACAGTTAACTTTTTGATATAAAATCAATGTGAAAAACAACTGATGAAATTTTTACAACTCGAAAACAAAAAGTTTTCCAACTTTGTTTTGTCGAAATCAGCAAGAATTTAAATAATAATAATAAGATAAACTTGATTGTTTTACTTGGTTATGTTAATAGACAATGAAGATAGTGTAATTTTCATACCGATAACTTCAAGATAAACGATTGTGTTTATGGTTCTTGACCAACGAAAGTCAACTCGACATCGATATGCACCATTATCCTCCTCTCGAACTGGTTTGATTATTAGGAATGCAAATTGGACGGTAATGTTGAACGAAACTCTACCTTTTAGATAATCACTTGTAAACCTATTGGCGGTTGTAAGGTTTGAACTTGAATTACGAGCATCGACTGTATAAATGGGTGAACCTTGGGTATCACCTTTATACCAGAAAATGGTGGTCACTGCATCATTAGAGGTCGAAGATGAAATGTTACAAGGTAGTTCAACTTTACCATCAATTAAGGCTTTGTATTTGGACCCAGAGATTTCAGATAACACTAAACTTGATGTTGTTGTTGTTATTGCCGAGGAGGTGACAGATGATCCTGATCCTGCTGGTGGTGACCGAGGGTTGAATTAATTGGGTTAAAAGTGTAACAATCAAGGTGATTAAGGTTGAAACTTTGATATCATGATAACGATTGGAGTAATAATATATGTTGAAATAACAATAAACGCTTGTTGATTTGGTCATGATTTAAGGTTTTCTTTTGAACAATTTAGTTAAAACGATTGATAATTTACATTCAATGCTGTTAATTATGATTATTATTACTAATTTTCATAGTAGTTAACACAAATTGGAAACAATTTAATCACTTATTTTAACAATTTAAATATTATAATACAAAATGAAAACTTTTTACCAATAGTTGGCAAATTGTCACATTTCACACAAAATTACAAGTATCATTAACACTCTGGATTCAAATTTAATTACTAATTGTTGTTCTTCTTAAGTTTGGATTTGGTTTAATTAAGAAATCTACATCTAAAGTTTGAAAGAAAATGAATTAAATGAATAAGGAATCGAGAGTTTTGAACAAAATTGAAGTTCGAAGCTTAAAAATAAACTTGACTTCAACTTTTACTCCGATGTTTTTGTTCACACTCGAAGTGAAAAGGTTGATCTTTTTGTTCATATGAAGAGAAATTCATTGTAACATGATAACTGAATTCTTCCTGTGAATCATATGCTGCCATCTGAATGCTTTGTAAATGGAGAGGGAAATGTTCATCTTTGCAATGATCAAAGGAAAATGTTGATCATGTCAACTGAGGTTCAGTTTAGAGTCTGACATTTTATCCGCTGAATCAACAGATAAGATCTAATCCAATTCAATAGATTGTATTAATTATCAAGTCAGTTCGTAGTTAATCATCAATCAAATTGATGTTTACCAAATTATATTTTTATTCAAGTCATCTAATTGCTATAAAATTGATTACTTGCTCATGAGTAACCAATTTCAGATTTGAATGAAAGTTCTGACAAAACATTGTCCATGTTCATTAATCTCATGAAATTTTGAATTCAACTGTAAAAGATTGACTACAACTTTCGATATTCAATTGAACTTTGAGCTGTGAGTCTGAATGATTGATGTTCAGAAGACAAAAACTTTCCCACCTTCAATTGAAATCCACCACGAATAAAATCCCGCTCCCATTGAACTCTCTCTCTCTCTCTCTCTCTCCTCATTACCCAACAAATCAACAATCACCATGGTGAGATCGATAATTTATTATTTCTCATTTTCCAACAAACAATTTGAAACATTAACCATTTCGTATCTAATATTTTTCAATTGGTCAACAATTGTTATCGTCCAATTGTCTTCCTCTACCTGTGTTTTTATATCTCATTAACCCCACCCTTCTTGACCACCACCACGTATCAGTTTGTATCCAATTAGTTTGTAAAAAAAAGTTTCTCATTAAGAATGACAATTAATAAGATTATCAATAACATCTAAGACAATCAACTTCTACACATTTCCAATCAATCCAAAATGTTAATCAACTGTTAACTTTAATCATCATTAAGAAGGTTTAATTATTTCAAATGGAATATTGAAAATATTAATATTGTAGAAATTAAATTAATATCTTCATTGTGATTCCATGGAAACAGAATAATTCTCATATTGAATAAAACTCCCACCATCATGATCCAGTTATTAATTCATTTTTTATTGAATTATCATGAGAGGTTAATAGCAGTTATCGTCAATTAATTGTCTCCAATGATGATATTCAAGATGATAGAGATGATAATCATCTTGTAACCAGATAACATGGGATTGTCTTCAAGTAAAGATGAATTCAAATCCATTTCCGTGACTGATTATGATTCTGAAATATTATTTGACTCAATAAATAACAATAACAATCAACTTAATCATAGTGAATTGTTGGTTAAATCACCTCACGAAATATTAGTTGATCATAATGGTGATCAATTGATAACTGGATCAACTAAACTGTTGTCTTCAATAAATTGTCAACATCCAATTGAATCATATTATAATAATGGTGATGGTGATTTAATTGGTGATCAGCCAAATCAGAAACAATTAAAAAGTAAATTGTTTTCAAGTGAAACAAATCATAATAATAGTAAATTGTTTCCAAAGGATTTAAATGAGGAAATGAATGATTTTCTTCATCTATTCAATTCAAATCAAACTATTAACCAATCAAACAATAATCATCAAAATCATAACAATTTATTTTCATCACCAGTTACACTTAAAAGTGAAAACAAATTAAAGTTTTTCAATTCTAATCAAAGGGATCAAATTAGATTCCCAATTATGGATCAAGTTGATATTGTTGGTGAATTAAATTGCCACAAACCGTTAACACCATCGGATAGTTTTGAAGAACCAGTAATGACCCCTGGTCAGTTCGGTAACAAAGGTGCCAAGGGTAGAGATGAAGATGAAGATGATGATGTGACGGTCGATATTAAATCCGAAGATGATAATAAAAAGGAAACTGATCAAGTGATTTCGGAGATTAATCAATTGTTGTCGGAACCTGATGATCTATTAACACCCTCACCTTATACCTGGAGAAGAGGCCGATCCTTAGGTAATATAATCGACGATAAGAATGTAAGTCAAATGGAAAAATCAAAATTCGATAATCAAAAAGTTCTAACCAATTCGATAAATTATTGTCTTAGAATTGATTCAAATTGTGTTGACAATCTATTGGTTGATTGTCTAAATTGTTTTACTCTCATTAAACTTATTCCAAATGAGCAATCAAACAATTAATCAAATTTAATTGTAAAAATTTTTGATTGTTGAGCGATTACAATTGTTACTTTTAAATTGTTCCGAAAAATTGATTGAATCATTTTCTGTGAAGGTTACAATTTAAATATCACTTTCTGATTAATGATTTACCTTTCAATGATTATATTGATTAATTGCCAATTTCCTGTTGATTATTGATTAACCAATTAATTTGTTGGTTGTTATTTTTTTTTATTGCCATTTGATTATTTGTTTGATTTAGTTGATTAATCATTCCAGTTCCAGTGATAGATCAATGGACTCATTGTTGAAAAACTATCAAGATAATCAAATCAATCTTAATTGCGATGATCCAATTGATTATCCAGAAAAGGTAATCAGCTAATAACCTAATTTCCTCTAATTGTTTGATTAGCGATAAATCACTAATTGATTAATAATTAATTTCTTAGAGCAATGATCATCTCCATCCACCATCATTGAACAGTTCAAATGTTAACACCGATGATCAACTTGAGGTAATTTAGAATCAAATTTCTTGATCATGATTAACTTAATCGTCTCATGTTTTTACGTTTATTTTAGTCAATTGAAGATCTGATTTGCAAAGAAATGAAAACCACAATTAAAAGTAAAATTAAATTCATTTATTCTGATTGATTCCATTTGATGAGTTAGTTTTAATTGCTTTTCTTTTGTATCATTTGATTTAGATAAACTTGATTCTTATGACGAATTGGAAAGAGAGTTAATTGATTCAATTGAATCAGAATATATTGGAACAAGTTGAATGTGAGATATGTTAATTGTATTGTAACTTTGCTGCCCTTTGGATATGGTAAACAATTAATTAGCCATTTGAAACAATTTAACCAATTGTAACTCCATATTTTCAGTTCCCCGATCGTTAGTGAATGTGATTTGTTATTTGAATATACATTATATATAAATATTGATTTCGTAAAGTTAAATTGTTTCCATGGTTTTAATCACAATTATAAAACTGGATGATATTAGTTTATGATATATATTGATGGCCAACCGCTTGGATTGAGATTCATATGAGATAATCCAATGAATATTATGAATATAATCTCGCTGAGTGTTTGATAAAACCTTAACAAGTGCCAATACTTTGCTAATAATCAAGTAAATGTAAAAAAATGTTTAACCTCAAAGTAATTAAAGATCATGTTCACTGTATTAATTAGTTATTTGTAGTTCGTATTTTTTGTTCAGTGATGAGACAAAAAATATCACAATACTTTTCAAGTATCAACAATGATGAATATGAAGAGGTTCCTTTTGATTAGAATTAAAAATTGGCCACAATTGGTTAAATCCTTGGATGGCTACTGGTTATGAATATAACCATTGTTTTCATGGGTAAGAGATTCACTTGGCATAGAAGTATAATTTATCTCCTCTTCCAGCTCCCTTTCCAATCCCTTTATTATATCACCAGTTTCATGAATCTCTTCGTATTTATTGCCAACAGCACCTCCAGGAAAGCCTAATTTTCCATCAAATCGTACCTGACACAAGCCGAAAATACATTCAGCATCGTTGTCAGTTATTTTACAGTAAAGTAAACAATGAGCTGCATGTAGGTAAGATGATTTGTCCTTTAATTGTAATGATTCATCCAAGGTTAATGGTCGAAGTTGCCGCTTGTTATCATTAACTGATGTACTTGAGCCAGATGAAGATGAAGATGATGATGATATTGTAGCTGACAATGAACGAGGAATACAAGCTCGAAATCCAATTAACTTGGGTACTAATGCGGCTAATAACATGGTAACGATTTTCCAATGATTGATGAAATATCCAAAAAGAGAATAGAATTAAACTTGAATAATAAAAATTTCTATGGAAATATTTTAGAAAAATACTAAAACCAAATTAGTTGATGTATTATAAATTTAATTAATCACAATTTTATTAAGAATCAAAAATTAAGCTTATCAACAGTTGGAGTTTCATTCAACTATTAATGAAAATGAAGGAACTGATATGATATGATAATTACAAGTTAAGATGATGATCAGAATTAAATCAAGCAAGGGAATGAAACAGTTAATTGTTATCACAAAATTCAAGACAATCAGAGGCACAAGTTGTAAACAATTAAGAGAAACAATTAGTTGAAATGTTTTTGCTTATTAAAGGAAAACAATGTAATCAAATTGACGAATCACATTACGTAACCAATGGAAACCGAATTCAACTCTTTTGGCGGGAATTTTGAATTTCTAACTTCTCGAAGTGAATTAGAATCGAGTGATAATTAACTGATTGTGACTGATTTTGAGTGGATTCTTTTAGGGGAAATCCAATCATCATATAGTATTTGATTGCTGAAGAGTGATTTTTTTTAACTGGGGATGGAAACATGGATCCTTTTTACTTGGATAATTGTTGGTGTTTTCGTTAATTGTTTTGATTGGTTTAATTCAACATTTCTTTCAATTTAGCTAAATAATTTGGACTCATACAATTAAGGCGAACAAGTGAATCGAAAAGTTGACCTTTGGCTGTCCCTGTAGATTGTATAAATGGAAAAGAGAATTACTTTAATCATTGTTTCAATTGTAGTAAAAAGAGAGAGAGAGAGAGATCAATTTGATGAGGAAAATTAACTTTACCTGCAAATTTGTGGGATAAGAAATTGATTAGGAAAGTACCTCTAATTGAATAGAAACGATAATCTGATTGTGCATCGATAAAATTAGGATCTATTAATGGAATTCTGAAAATACCAACTGATTCCAGGGGAAAATGAATCGATCGAGTGTGATTAAGTTCACAATTAATGAATTCAAGGTGAGTGATTTGTTTCATGAAAAAATGGTGAACATTACATGAAGAGTTTGTCTCAGAATTAAGATTAATATCTTCCCTCAGGTAACTGGAAACATGAACGAAACCAGAATTATCTTCATGAGAAATATAATTAATCTCTTCGGCTAATTCTCGTCGTAAGCCGATCAACAGATGATCCAAAGTCGATAAAGGTTCATCATTTTCTCCAACTACTCCACCAGGAAAACCGATCAGTCCATCGAATCGAACTTGACCCAAACCAAAATAACCCGAATGGTCAATTATCTTACAATAGAGTAAACAATGAGCTGCATGTCGATATCGAGTTTTATCATTTAATTTAAGTGCTTCATCTAAGGGAATCGATTTTAATCCCATTGAACTGTAATAAGGATTAACTGGATTACCTATGGTTTCATAATCAACTTCCGATTCAATCATTTCAATGTTCAAAATAATAACATAAACAATTGTAAATACTAATTGTGATTGTTTTGTTTTCTAACCTTTCAAATTTGGTAACATTTAGAATCCATAAATTTATAATTAGCTGATTGTTGGACTATTAACAACAATAAAATATTTTGGTAAACAATTTAAGTTTCGATAAGTTATTCTTGTTAATTTGTCTTTTTGTTTAATTCCAATCATCATCAGCAAAGTTGACAGTTTTCAATTTGGTTTTACGTTAATAAGTGAGAGAGACAATTTTTGATTGTCCTCTCGGTACTACATCCATGTGAATTTAATGTAATCCAAATGTTAATTTTGTTTTACCAAAGCAAAAAAAAACAGGAGATTCGAGATGAAATTTACTAGCACAAGATTAAAACTAAAGATGATGATTGGTACAACATTTAAATCAGTTTGTCGTGTTAACCATTGTTTTTACCACTGGATGTTGATTGTTGCAAGAAAAATCCACTTTAGATTAGCGATCATATTAAGATCACTTTGTTAGAACTTATTCCTTTATCCTTTGGATTTTTACAATAACTGATTCCCGATGGTGTTGGCGGTGTGGGGATGAGTGTTGATTCATTTGGACTCTCGAAGGAAGAATTTTTTTCGATTTCCAAAATCAAGCATCTTTTTCTCTATTTCTCTTTGCTTTTTTCTCTTTATAGTTTGTTAAAGTGTGAGGGGTGATTAAAACGGAATCGACAAAATAAATCTCATCTTCGGGCGACTAGAAGGATAAATTACTTATTACAGCTCGAGTGAAATCAGTGGTACTCGCGTAACCTCCCATGTCACGGGTCTTGGATTTGCCACTGTTGATAACCTTCTCAAGGGCATCGGTCAACTTTTGAGCATAACTGTTAAGATTAACGTGCCAAAGCATTTTAGCAGCACATAATAACATTGCCGTTGGATTGGCAATATTTTTACCAACAGCTTCACCGAAAGTGTGTCTTGCACCCTGTGAGAAAAGACAAGAAACAATTTAGATTAGATCATCTGATTGTTGGAAGAGAGAGAGAGAGAGAGAAAAAGATTTCGATTTACCGGTTCGTAGATGACACAATCAGAACTGTAACTAGCTCCAGGTACAACACCAGCACCGCCGACTAAGCCTGAAGCTAAATTGTCAACAATGTTACCATAAAGATTTGGCATGACAAGAACGTCAAACTTGTGTGGATGAGAAACCAATTGCATGCAGGTATTGTCAATGATCATGGAGTCAAATTTAATCGATGGATATAATTGTGAGGTTTCCTCGCAACATTTAAGGAAAAGGCCATCAGACAATTTCATAATATTAGCCTTGTGAACAGCGGTAACCTTTTTACGTCCATGTTTGGTAGCATAATCAAAGGCAAATTTAGCAATTCGTCGAGATTTTTCTTCGGTAATAATTTTCATACATTCAATAACACCGGGAACACTTTCATGTTCTAATGAACTGTATTCACCTTCAGTTTGCTCTCTAATGGTGATAAAATTTAAATTCTTGTGCCTGGTTGGTATACCATCTAAAGATTTAACATGTACCACATTGGCAAATAGATCCAATTGTCGACGTATCTTCATATTAAGTGTTTGCAATTCTCCGGAAGTAGAGCTAAATGGTGTTGATAGAATTCCTTTCAAAGCAATACGATTCTTTCGGATGGAGGCGATCGCTTGTTCAAGAGGAACACTCATAGTGGGATTTACTTCACTGTAAAAGAATTGAAAATAAAGACAAAGAAAAAAGTGAGAAACATAAATAGAGTGAAAGACATGACAAGACAAGGTTAAAATAGAATAGAATATTTGAATGAAACACTCTACTGATTAACCTAAAGAGAATCAATTAACTAGAGAAGCAAATATTAAATGTTAATGGATGGAAAATAAAAAATTATCACCATGAGCAGAAAGGGAATAATAAAAAAACAAGAGACAAGGACAAAACATTAGAATCAACCAAAAGCCATCAAATTGGTAAAGGAGTCAAATTGATTCTATTTGCCCATGGAAATTGTTATTAATAGAATTAATCAGGTCCAAATTATTGTCCACCATGAGATGTTTGTTAATTAGAGGAAAGGAGAAAGAGGAAAATAATTAATCACCTAATAAACATCTCCTCGAAAACAACCGGAGTCTGCATAGCAGCAAGAACCTCTTTAACTGCTTGACACAATTCAGGGCCAACACCATCACCAGGAATAAGAGTACATTTAACATGATTCTCTTTAACATCAGCCGAATATGTTGAACTGGTTGAATGAATCAACCGACTAGCAAATAATTTCTAAAAAAGAATAGAAAACAATTAAATTAGAAACAATTAAATACTAAAATTTAACTTGTAAACAAGACACCAAATATGTATAATAGAAAAATTCAATTCTCTTACCTCTGAGCCTCTGCTAGAATTAAGTAAAGCTGAAACTACCCTGCTCATTGGAAAAGCCATTTTCAGAATATCCAATAGATGACAATAAATTAACAACAATTAATAAAATGAGATCAGAAATTAGATGAAACAATTAAGACAGAGAAACAAATTAACTGCAGAAAAACCAACCGGTCAATACACAAACAGAAAAGAATCACTTTCAATTGAACTTGAGAAAAGGTCAAAAGATGTCACTGTCTACGTTTCTTTCTTTTTCTCTTTCTTTTTTGATTGTTTTTATTTCTAACGGCACAAATTGTGATCCACAATTAATTAATTACTTTCTTTTCTCTCTCTTTACCAATTAATCTATGGTTAATTACTCTATTTAATGGCAGTTCTTAATCACAATTATAATCATTTAGAGAGAGAGAAAGAGATAATGTTAATCATGAGATTAATTGTGTCCCTTTCTTATTACATTGATTTTGTTTTGTTTTTCTATTCTAATTTGAATTAATTGTTCCAATAGATTAATCAGTGTATTTATTTTTGTTTATAATTTCTCATTTAATTTAAACTTGTATCAAATTTTTCAATTGTTTCTTAATCTTTTTCTTGTGTTTAATTAATCTGATATCATTTCTTGTTCTTATATGTGTGCAGGTAGTTTCCCGCTTCAAGTACAAAAGTACATCAGTTGTAACAACAAATGAGTGTTGATTATTAATTTTCGCAATCTACTTGTTAGTTAATTATTCACAGAAAATTGTATCTGATTGTGAATCTTTTGACTTGTTAATGGAAGAAAAAGAAAACGGTTTTTTTTCTTCCATGTGATATTTGATTCTTTTACCAATTATCTTGACACACACCGAGAGAGAGAGAGAGAGAGATAAAATATCAACGTTTCCCAATTGATTCAGTGTAATAATTATTATTTACAATTGATTGTTAGTAAATTCCACTAATTAGTAATGTTAATCTACCATTTAACATTTAATAAATTGTCCGTTTTAGGAATAGCTTTAAATGTTGTATGGAATAATTTTTCCTGTAAACTTTCATCAGGCCAAAATTGTTGATAAATTGATTTAATTGTCTCATGATTATCATCTAAAGGTAAATTGTAGGTTTCCAATGAACTGTAAAGCTGATTAACTTGATCGAAAAGTTTATTATCAATTGTATCACCACGAATCATTCCACCACCATTAAGACACCCGGAAGGACAGGCCATCACCTCAACGAAATCATAGTTGAATGTTTTCCGTTTAATCCGTTGGATTAACGTTTGAATATTTCGAAAACCATTAACAATGGCAAAGGTTAATTGTTTACCCTCTCCAGCTGATGAGGATAAGGTGACCTCGAGAAAATCTTTATTCCGTTTACTTTGAATGGTCAAAGGTAATCGCGATTCCAATGGTGATGAATTAAAATACCAATCAGCGTAACGAATAATATTTTCCGACCAACCACCAGAACCATTTCCAGAATGTGTAGTAATTTGATGATTGTTGTAATCGTTAAATTGTAACAATGGATCAAGTAAATCAATTGGACGAGTGGAAAGATTGGTAAATTGTATATTCTCCTTTTCAAAAAGAGTTTCCAATTCAATTGGTGTTAGAACACAATCAACATCAGCTGATTCATCTTCCCAATTAAACTCAATTCGAGAGGCTTCCAATTTCTTATCGAAACAAGGCATGACCGTACAATGGTAAATTGTTGATGAACTTTGACCGGATGGGATGAATACCCTTTTCACTAAACTTCCCATGATTTGTTGTGGTGATTTAACTGAACTAAGTAGAGGAATCAGTAAATCACCGTGAGTCTTTTCCACATAGCAAACAAAACCTGGACAAATGGAGGTTAAAGTTGACCGATTGGATTGTTTTCTTTTGATAAATTCTTTCTCACATTCAAGGAGTGATAAATGTCGGGCAAAGGTTAAATCGTAAACATAATCAACACCAATTGAGTGAAAAAAAGATGATAACAATTGAGCTGATTCTTGGAAATCTTTACCATAACGAGCACCAATCGATGAAATTGCTTGGTGAGATAAAGAGACAATTACAATTATATTTTCACCATTCTAATAGAGAGAAAGATATACATTCATTTAGATATTTAGATTAGCGATTAGTTTAATTGTTTTACCTTCTTTTTGTCCAAATTCTCATAAAGATCAAGGTAACTTTGTTTAGAAATGAGAACCGATTCAGCTGATGTTATGCAACCCGAACAAGCTAAACAATCACCTAAGGTAATTTCAACCTTTTTCTTTTCATGTATTCCAACCTGATCATCTTGTTTAATTGGTTTGACACAGGCCTGAAAGAAGAAGAAAAGAAATTGATTACAATCAATTAAATTGGAATAACAATTAAATTTGAGAAGGAAAAAGAGAAAATGGAAATGGAAAGTGTTTATGTTTTACCTGTGATGGAGCAATAAAATCATTAAGATCGGTTAATTGGAGAACCGAACTGAAGCCAGGGCCAGTTGACATGTTGACCAATTCGATAAATTGTTCCGATCAGCGAAAATTTCGTACTTTAATTGGTGATAATTGTACGAAATAAAAAAAAAGCTTCAGGAAAAACGAAAAACGAAACAATAACAAACTCAATATTCATCAAAATGAGTCACATGGATTCTCATAACTATGAGCATGTTTCTAATTCTTATCAGCTTATCTCTCGTTAATTTGGTTAAATTAATGGTCAATTAAAATGAGAAACAATTAAATAAGATAGAATTAATTTAATTCTATGTGTAATTAATCTATTGATTTGTTCACTTAGGAAGTAAGTGATTTACAAAGAACAATGAAAAGTGACATCTCTTTAGTTTGGTCGCTGAAACAATTAACAGAAAAGTAAACACATATTGTACATATTTTTACATGATAATAAATCAACAAGAAATCGAGAATGAATCAAACCTCAATCGTAAGGTATTCAATTTGTTGATTATCATTAAAACATCAACTGAATTGATTTAGAGTAATTAACGATCACTTCTATCCTTTTAATTGATTGCACAATTGATGTCCCATTATCAAAGTGATTTTCGTTGGATTTTCCTTCATTTGGTAGATTTTGTTTCTATTAATAGATTTTTATCAAACTTTCCCATGAAATTGGCATAATCAATACCATCAAGAGACATTTGGAAAGATTTTAATTATTTCTACTTGTTTTCTGTAGATTTTGTGTCTAGATTTTTATCAAAATTTTCCATGAAATCGGCATAATCAATCTTTTGCTCTACACCAATTAATTTCTCTGCGTCTCCGAATTCAGATTCAAATAGTTTGATGTATTCTTGTTTCTTTCCTCTCGACGGGCAAAGTAATAGGGATACATCGCCTTCTCGTATGGATGCCAATAATCAAGAAGAACATCATTTGCTGTTGGACTTTGTTGATATGCTGTTCCATGAGGTGAATATGTGACTATCATCACCATCGTCATCGTTATTGTAATCAAAAGAAAAAGAGAAAAAAAAACAGTTTGATTAGCAATCTAATTACACAATGAGAAGAAAAACTCAATCAACTTACAATTTACTTGTTCACACATCCCGTTGACTAGTAATTCTTGCTGTCCATCTTGAAGAAGCTTCTTGGCCAGTCGGAAATCTTTAACATCTTTATTATCGTCGAAGCGTTTTCGCAATTCACAGGCTTTCTCTCTCGATTCCAATCTATCACCAGTAAGAAAAAGAAATTAACAACAATTAACATTAAGAAATATTTAGATAATTAATGAAACAAATTATTAATACTTACACATCAGGAGTATCAAATCTGATTACTTTTAAAGCCTCTTTGTAAAGAGACTTCACTTTTTGTCTGTGGGTTAAAGCGACTCTTTTTAAATGTTGAGCTTTATTTACATTGTAGATAACGGAGGTCATTTTGATGCAACACAATTGACCAGTAAACTAAAAACTAATTAAACAATTAACAGTTAATAGTTAACAAAACGAAACAGTTTAATTGTTGAGGTCAAATTGTAAACAACAAAAAAGTAAACAAACATTAGGGGATCGACTATAAATCTACATTTGTTTCCTTTCCTCAATCATATGTTTGAGTGAAAGAAAATTTAATTGACTGAATCAAAGTGTTTCAATTGTAATTAAATCAATTTAATTGTTTGCATCACTTTTTTATCATCTTATATGTTTCATTCAGTTGATGTCAGGACACAATGTCAGCGAATCACATGTTATTCAATTGTGATGTGTCATGTAAGTCTTTTAATTGTACCGATAATTGTAAATGTTAATTAGTCTTAATTACCTTTTATAATTGAGTAATGGACATTATAAAATAATCAATTATCCAATAAAACTAAACCAATCAATGGCAAATAATACCCTAACTTCTAGATGAGATATTTTTAATAAATTATTAGTCAAATCGTATATATGATGAAACAATTTCTCAATTGTAATCGTAACAATTAAAGTTATCAAATTTATACAACCCCAAGTGATTTCAAATTACTGTTTAAATGTGAGATGATTTCAATTGGATTTTCATTTGGAATTTTTTCCTGATTTTTTTCTCGTAACAATTAAGTTAATTTTCCCTATGGATCAATATAAACACAGTTGCAAATAATAATAAAAAGCGTGAAACTAATGAAGATGTTGATTATGATGATGATATACTAGTACATGTACCTGGTCAGTGTGGGAACATAATAAAACTCAATATAATCATAAATTGATTGTGACAAAATTGATGTTAATCCGTTATTCCCGATGGTTAATATCAATAATAATGTTTATTTATATTGTTGTTGTTTCTGGAATCACAATTGTCCATCTCAATGGTCATCAAAGTAAATAGTCAATGGGAAGTCATTGTAAAGTTATTAGGTTGGTCAATGATCTTTGTTGGATTCTTGCTATTTTCATTCTTGATCATCAATGAATCTCTGGTGAAAATAATGATAATCAAATAACCATGATGAAGATGAAGAGATGACCATGTGATCATAGTGGACATTATGAAGATGAAGGATTAACGATGTGTAAAAGAAAACATTTCCTGGTTTCCTGGTCTCTCTCATTGTTATTATCATCATCATGACAATTCCGAGACTCATCATGATGAGGACGATAAAATAGTTTCATGAATGACTGAATCGTTGAATCGGTAAGAAAAAAAAATCAAAATTTTCGAAATGATTAATTGATTATTAGAAGCGTTGTTTTCACAATCAATTGAAATGAATTACTTTAATTATTGAGATACTCAGTTGATTACAGTTAAACATGATGATTAATTCAATTGTTTATCAATTAAGTTATATTTTATATTTAATTCATAACATTAGTGATAATAACAAATAACAATTAGTTAGTAAAAAAAACAGTCGAGTGAAAAAAGTTGAAACAATTAAATTTAGACAATAATAGTAATAGTATTGTGATAAAAATCAACTCAATTTATGCTGATAAATAAAACAGTTAATTATTAATAATTTTTGTTCAAATTAAAGTTAATTGTTCATAAGAAAAAGGGTAATCAGTATTAAAGTTAATTGTTGACAAAAGTTTTGACGATTTCTGATCAGTTTTTGTGGTCAAATTAATTCATAAGTTTCTTGAGTTCATGTTTGATTATTTAGGCATCAAGGTTAATAAACTAAATTGTAACAATTAACACAATCACAGTGATAGTATTGGTGGACTTGATTTACGAGTTACCTTGATCATGGTCGCATGGGTTGACTTTTTTGACCTACAAAATGACCTTGAATTTAATAGCGGGACACATTTCTTGAATTTATTTTCCTTATTGTTGTTACCCAATAGGTTAGCATAATTATTTTGATTGGAATCATAATTGAAGAATTGATTAAAATGATCAGCTGAACTTTTGGTTGGAGTTGATGGTGAGTTTAATCTTGTTGAATTGTTGGTAGTTGAGGTGGGAAGAGTTAATTGCTGGTGACAAATTGATTTAGATCCATTTCCACCATTGTTTCCATCAGAGTTTGAACATTGTTGTTGAGTTGAATTGATTAGATCAATATTTGAATAGTAAACAGAATTATCGGAATTATGTTTACCGTTTGAACTATTGGCACTTCCGTTGTTACTATTAGTACCAAAAACGGCACCGAAAACCTTTGAAACGGTTACAATGCTTAACTTTTTATAATTTGTTAAATGAGAATTGGAGGAAGATGATGGAGATCGAGCTGATCGCCGAAGTCGACTGGACACCAATTCCCTGATTAAGGCATCAAAAGAAACTTGAACACCAACATATGAATCAGCGGCTGAGACCTGAAGACAAAAATAAAAACAATAATGTAATTGTTAATGTATCCCAAGGGTATTAGATTTCCGTAGCCTCAGGGTAAAGTTCATTCAAGTTAGCAAAATTGGAATTGAAACTTTTATATTGTCATTTTTTCCCCTAATTGCTCAATATTTAATGTTAATATAATTTCTCTGACTCATAAATGCTTAAGAACTACTTAGACAATCATGATATTAATGTCTTGAATTTCATGAAGAAAATATTTACCCTGAAACTTTTCACTCATTTCTTTCATATTCCCTGAGTCTTAAAGTGCCCCAAACTCAATTTGATGAACTTTTGAACTGAAATTCTTATTTGCATATTATTGATAATTGCGAAGCTGTTAATGTGTTTTTCATGGAGATCAGGGGAGATAAAAGGTGAGTCGAATCTTTTGTTCTTACCTCGAAAAAATGAGCTCCATATTTGGCGGCGAGATTTCGACCTTCCATTAAGGACACTTTCCTTCCCTGTTCGAGATCTCGTTTATTGGCTAATAGTAAAATCGGTGAATGGACAAAACCTCTCATTGAATTGACAAGCTCCAGGTATTGTTGAGCTACCTGAAAGCTTGACTTGTCACAAAGATCATAAAGGATAACAAAGCCATTGGCCCAAAGTATATTATCATGAAATGTTGAGCTTGAATTCTGGATAAATTTTCAAAGAAAGAGAAGAAAAAAAAGTAAACAAATCTGAACATTTATTACTCAAAGAGGGAAAAAAACAATTCAATTAATTCATTTACAACCCTGAAAATGAGGAAGTGATTACAGGTAATTCTTAGTAACAATCATTCTGATTACATTACAATTATACTCCCTGATTCTTGATTGTTTACTTTACCATTCGTAATTCATTGTTATCAAATTGTAGTTTGTTACACTATTATTATACTTTATGGATCAGAGTCGATTCAGGATTGAAATGAGTTTTTTTTCCTACATTACATTCACATGAAATTCAATCGGATGAACATGATAACTTACCCCTTTGTTAGATGAGATATCCAATATTTCTAGGTGTACAATAGATTCATCGAGATTGTATTCCTTTTTGTATAAAATATCTACCATGGGAATAAAACAGAGAAGAGAGAAAAAAAAGTTCGAAATTTTTAAAAGTTCTGTACGAGTTCATGGAATTTCAGTAAATCTATAATTGATCAATAGTTTGATGAGAGATTATTAGTAAAAAGGATTGGATAATAATCATAGAGTAAAGCTTAGTATTTTCTGTTCAATATCAATCAGAAAAAAAAGTATCTCCATGAAAAGAGATACTCAATAAATACAATATTCATTATATGGATTATCAGAATTGCTGAATATCTTCCCCCGGAAACTGATATAAAAATGATTGATGATTGTTTATCATTAGAGAAACAATTTTCTTTATCATTATCATCAACTCAGTAATATTATTATCACCCTGATCTGATTATCTATCTCTTTCTCAGGGAGGAAAGTTCAAAATTCTGTCATTAAATCATTACAGAAAGAAGAGAAAAAATTTTCGTCACATTCAAATACTATTAATACTTATTAATGACACGATTAACACTTGATATAAGTAGATGATTGTGACAATGTTGAGGTTAATGGTCGTTAATCGTCTTGATTATCATTATTACCTCTGATTATAATCAGAGTGATTAATATTCACAACTCTGAATCAATAACCACAACGATAACATTGAGTATCCATAAGTACCAGGAGGGGATATTTAGTAGTAACAAGAATTTATCAATGAACTTTTCATGATGATACTCATATGGATTAAATCAAATTTCCAAATAACATCAATTAGTATCATTTTTCATTCAATCAAATTCATGGAATTCCAAGAATAACTTATTAGGAAACTCATTCTTTCTCCTGATAATTGGCTCAGAATTTTTTCCATTCATCAGTTAAGCCCAATACCTTCAAGCTAAACTCTGATTCTAATGATAATCATCATGTTACTTTGGTCTTTAAAATTCCCAATAGATTTTTAAATAATTTAGCAACGAAATTGAAATTAAAACCAAAGAAAATGAATCAACATCTTAATACAATCAACAGAGAAATAAATTAACCACAGCAATCAGTTTGTTTACCATTAACCTTCCCGGTGGATGTTTATCCCATCGATGAATCTAATCATAGTTTTTGTTTACAATAGAAATTGATGTATTCTAATAGGATTATTAGTTCCCCTGGTTTCTTACTCATACCATGATAATTCATGTCTAACATTATCCCAAGAACTTTTCCCTTTCATCATGTATATTGTTTCAATAACCTGGAATAACCTTCTTCCTGAACCATAAGAATAATTCAGTGGAATATAAAAAAAACAGTTACATATACCTTTTAAAAGGGATAAAATTATAAATATCTTGAAAATATATAAATACCATGATAATAATACTAATCCAGGTAAAGATATTTGATAAAAGTTTGCATGATAATAACCTCTACTTTTTTTAACGATAAATTGATAAGTTAAGGAACAGATAATCTTTACTTTACTCAATAAGATTAAGATTAAGGATTATCCCTTTTTCAATTCACTTTTCATCAAATTAAACTTTTTAATTAACAATTAACTTACCTATATTCGATTGATACTCGCCAATGTATCGTCGAGTTAGTATTCGGACAATGACAGCTTAAGATATTAATGATTATTGATGAGAGAGAGAGAGAGAGAGCAAAAAAGTTCTAAGTTAGTCTTTTTTACTTAGCAAAAGCGATTATCTTATTAAAAAGATTAACGTAATCACGATTAAAAAATTATAAATATTAATATAAACTCAAAGTTGAATTCATGACGATTTTGATGACGATCATGATTATGATGAAAAACCAAGTTCGAGTTCAAGTTTTTTTTTCATTCGACTTTTTTTTCGCAACGTAATCGATACGATTATGATTATGATTGAAATAACATTGGATAAAATTCATTGACATGAGGTTCGATAATATGTTTTTTGTTTCTCTCATCATGATAATCATCAACTAATCGTCTTTAAGCTATTGGATACATATAATGAATAGTGAAAGGGAAAAAAAGTTCAGTGAACAGAAAAAAAAGGTTCCGATCATCAAATTCAATCATCATGATTTGAATCAACAACTTGTCAAGATTGAAACAAAACTTTGATGATGATGATGATTATGATTACGATGATGTTGATTCATGGTCAAGCTTATATAAAACATGGGGAAGGAGGGGATCAAATGAACAGTCCGATTAGAAAAAAAAAGATTCTAATATCATCTTGAAAGGTGAATTAGAATTTTGAAAAATTCTCTCTGAATTATATAAAGAAAACATGATGGCAACTTAAAGAATTATTTTATGAAAGATAAAAGGTTATTCAAGCTATTTATCATCATCTTTATCGCCACCAACTCTTGATAAGATTAACAGATCAAAATGCTTTTAACAAGTTCGATGGATTTTTTTTCTTCCAAATCATCATTATCGATATAACTTTATACTTATATATTTATTATTATGATGAACTTCATCTTGATAATCATGAAAACTTAGTATTGGGGAGAAGTTTTTTCCACCCTTTTTTCCAATCACTGATATAATGTATTACTTATTAATTCATCGGTTTTCTAATTGTGTGTATTAATATCATAATGAGTGGGGGGGATTTCATGACGATCATGATGATTATTTATACTTGAGTTACGAGTTTCGCTCAATATGTCCAAAAAAGATGTTCGAGAGGCCGGAAAAGAGAAAAAAAAAAGTTTTTCGATTTTGTCGATAGAACTTTTTATCGATACTTTCATTTTGAGTTCTATTTTGAATTAGTGTTTTTAATCATCTTCAGTTTATCTTATTAACTTCATTTACTATTTTCTTGGCCCTTCGATAATCTGATTTATTTGTTGATGAACTTTAACCGAGTTGCGAACTTTTTTTTATGTACCTCACAAAGAAATATTAATAGATTAACTTTTCTACAGTTAAGCGAGATTAAGATTAAAGATTCGATCTGTTTAGTGATTAATTACTAAATTGCGAGGAAAAGTTATGTCAACTTTACATGTAAACTCGAAGTTCTTGACTCGTTAATCCATCTAGAAACGGATTAGATTAATAATCAAGAGATAAATTCATACACACAATTGATTACCAATCAATATATTTCCCTGGTCTATTGGTTGAGAGTAAACTCAATGGTGATTAGATTATAATCTGATTGATTAACAAGATTATTTATCAATCTTGATCAATGGGCTAAATATACTCTAAACAATTAAGGTTAGATTGCTGCAAGCAATTAGATTGCAATTGCAAATATAAAACTTGATCGAGTTTATATTAATTAATAATTTAATAATAATCTTTAATCGTAATCAATACTGATTTGAATGGATTAACAAAGTAATTTGATTCTTACCTGATTTTCCAACTCCTTTACCTCCGAGAACAACAATTTTTAATTTAGTTAATTGAGTCATTTTTAATTTAGTTGTTGTTGGTCAGTTAAACACAATCACAAATAGTAAATAATCAAAGGTGTGAGATGAGTAAATTTCAATTACAATTGTAAACAATTAAAAACAACTAATTAGATTAAGAGAGTTTTATGATTAATGATGTTTATCGTTGAAGAGGATAAATGTTACTGAGAGTTTATCTTAACCAATACAAAGTATTAAATACATGAAACTAATGTTGATGTTTTTTTTTCCACGGTGGGTTTTTTCCCCTTCTACTTTTGTATCAACCTCTATGCTCGATGATCATTTCAAGGGTGATATTCATCTTCATCTCAGTCTCTTTCTCTCTTTCTACCATGTAAATAAATCTCTGAGTCGTCTCAAATTCATCATACTCAATCTTATTCTGATTAATATCATGATATTTTCTCAGCTCGTTTCATGGAGAGTGAATATCTTCCCATCATCATCATTGTATCTCTCACTCTCATAGTCTCACCTTCAAATTTATCTTCATCTCTCTCTCTCTTTCTTTCTTTCTTTCTTTCTTTCTTCTTATATTTTTTATATTCTCTTTTTCGCTTCCTGATCTTCATATTTTTCCCCTGTCATCATGATGATAACTATCAGCATCTTCATCTATTCCGAGTGTTATTCTTGTCCATTTATTCATGTATAGGGTTTTCATCATTGGTTATGTTTTATTTTTTCTCTCTCTCTCTCTCTCTCTCTCTGACCAAAGGGTATTCATAATATTGGTCAAGAACCTATGACTTGGTGGAAAAAAAGAAAGGGAAAGTTGACAACTTTTCTCATGAAAGAAAGAGAAAAGAACTCAGAAAGTTCAATGGCTTCAATAGAAAAACAAATAACAATGAGAGAGATCATGAGAATCACGAGGATTTTTTTTTCTTCAACCTCACTCACTAAGTTTCTTATAATAATAATATATCATTTTATCAACATTCCAGATACAATTATCCTAATCAACATTTCAGGGAGTTATGAGTATTCTGCTACATGGTGACCATGGATAATATTGTGAGAATACAGGTTTAATTTAATTAACTCTTTCGTCTCTTTTTCACTCTATTCTTTATTGGTCAACAAGGAAGTTATTTTCCCTATTTAATATATATTTTACTCTTTGGTCACTACAATTAACTTAATTTATTAACTGGAAAAGTTAATGGTAAACTAATTGTGATTAACAACCAGGAAGCTGGAAATAAATTAAATCATAAGGTATCCGGATGGACAATAGAGAGTCACTAGTGTTGGTCATCAATTTCAACTTAGTAACATGATTCAATCAACTGACCCCTTGGATTTGTATAATTTATTATCAAGGTAAATTAGTGATAAATTAATCTTGACAGCTTATTAATTGTTGATAATGAAAATAAAGCCATTCGATTGCATAGTAATTGTCTTAATCTTTGTATCACATTAATTTGATTTGATTTGCTTCCTTATTTCAATGGCTTAAATTGTGAAGATAATTTAAATCCTTAAATTTGTATAAATAATCAGTTAATCATTTTGATCATTATAATACTTTTAATTGTCTTGCTATTATTTTAAATTTAATCACGAAATTAAAGTTGAACAAACTTTAATTCTGTGTTTAATTGATTGAATGAAAGTACAAAACAAAACACTGATTCAGTTCAATCACTTTTAATTGCTGGTTAATACCTGAGGTTCATTTCTGAATCTTTACCATGAATAAATTTAATTGCTAGTTGGTAATTAGATTTTAAATTGTTATTAAGATGCATGAGCATAATTAACATTGGAAACTCGGTGATAATGAATATCAATTCATTTGAACTTTGAAAATTGAGGAAAAAAATTTAATGACTGATTAAAAATCCTTATCCCCGGTAGTGAATAAAAAATGAATCAAATTTTTTACCCTGAAAATCATGTTGCTTATGATGCTCTGAGAGAGTTCAATGAATTTTATCTCGATTTCTTAAGATTAAGACTGAGATTCGAGATTAAAGTTCATGTTAAATTCAATCTATTCACTTGGATGGATAAACCATTGAAACGTTTACCTGAAGAAATGAGAAAAAAAAATAATCTATTCACTTTTCATAAAGTTCATTCGGATTTCTGAGCTTTTACATGATGATTGTTTAGATTTAGAATTGAATTTGCAAATATTCATACAATGTTATAAATGATGAGATTAATTCAGTTTCAATATTAATTTTATTTACATTCATGGATTGGGATTTGAAACACATGAAGACTTAAATTCATATGAATGTACTAATAATACTCGTGAACATTTTTCTTAGCTTAATGTTGGAATCGGTCATCGCCTTTGCTTGAATTTTGTACCAAAGTTCTGATCGATGTGCAATTCATTTGAAACTTTTCAATTTCCTGTAATTTTCAAATCAAATTGAGATTATTAATCATTATCAATGTATAATTCTGGTATCACATTGAACACAATAAGTTACAAATCTTCATTTTGATCAGATCTAAATCTAATCTAGTAAATAGACTCATATTCTTGAGATATGGGAAACTTGAATCATCATGAATGATCATCTTATCAACTGTGATGGACATGATGGTGCAACATGATAGGAGTAACTAGAGATTCTGATCAATTAAGTAAAAAGCAAACACAAAGAAAAAAGGATAAGAATGAAGATGAAAGAATTCAGCATAGAATTCAGTCAACATGGCGAAAAAAGTTCATTAATCTGAGCACAGATAAATCTGGATAGGAAATTCCTAATAAAAAGGAGAAATGATGTTCCTGTCAAATTGAAAATTATCACAATCAATCAATCAGAATTAAAGATAATCAATCGAACAAGCAGATCGTTTAAAAGAATTGCGATTCCAAGTTCTTTGCAGCATTTTGTACAATTTTGTTCCATCTTCAGAACTAATTAACATTGATTGAATTTCGATTTGAAGTTATTCTAAATTCTTACATTAAAATCAATTTCTACAACTGAACTTATGGATTCATGTTCGTATCATTTTCGACCTGAATAACAAATTGCTTTTCTCTCATGGAACTCGGTGTCGGCAACGAATTGAACTTTTGTTATTTGATATCGAATGTAATTCAAATGTTCGAGGAGAGATTTCGAATGAGAATTTGCAATTCGAGGAGCAGAAAAAGTTCTGAATACTAATGAATAGCAAAGTTTGCAAATGAAGAAAAAAAAAATCTTGTCAAATTGTGAATGGAAACAATCAATCAGAAAAATCAACTGAATTATCTTCACCTTAATTAGATTATTCTGCTGAAACTAATTAATAGCAAATTACGATAAAATTTTGACAGTGAAATCAGAATGTAAATTGTGATAACATGATTAGAATATGGAAAAGTAACAACAACAATTAATTAATCAAGAAAAGTTAACCCAAACCAGGAAGCTAAACAATCAAATTAAAACCTTTTTATAAAATAAAGTTTACAATTCACTTTTTTGGTAAATAAATTAAACTGAACTAAACTGAATACAATTTAATCGGTTGTTACCTAAGTTAATTGTTAATCCAGCCGATAGTTAATTGATCAAGGGAATAAAGGTAAAAATGAGAGATATTATGAAAGAGATGAAAAAGTAATCAACTGATTATCATGAACAAATTGACTGAATGAAAGAAAGAAGAAAAAAAATCCCAAATGAATTAACATCGAAAAGAAAAAGTTAACTAATCAATTCTGTGGAGATTTAATTGTGATTAAAAGAGAATCAAGATGATGATGATGATCAGAGATAAATCGTTAAATTGTTACCAATGATGGAGAAAGTGATTTGAAATGAATCCTTGGTAACGGAAAAAGAAAATGATTATGATTATGTTAATGGTCAAGTGATGAGGATGAAAGATGAAGATGAAACAGAAATGAATCCATATTATCATCTTTATCATCCTTATCATCATCATCATCTTATTTTATTGTTATTTTGTATGTAAACATGTTGAAATGAAACTCGGTCGATGGCAATAACCTTAAACATAGACCATGACCTGGCCAATGGCCTTTCAATGGGATAACATTAACGAAAAGTAAATATTAACCAATTAATGTGATAATTTGTTGATTGTTGTGTTTGTTTCTTCAATTGATTAAGATAATCAACAAGGAAGCATTTCTACTTGAGATCCAACAATTTGATTGATTAATTCACTTTCCATGATCAAGTTTCTTTCATCTTTTTTTCCTTGTGAGGTTGACTTTCCTTTTCTCTGTGTCTTTCAAGTTAATTAGTTAATTATGTGATTCCTTTTGTGATATAATCACTTTATTTGATTTCTTTTTTGTATTATATGACTTAATTGAATTTATGTTACATTTGATTAATTTTCTTGTTCTCTTTTGTATTATTGTTACCTGAAGAATTTGAGAGTTTCAGTTTTTCTTGTTTCGCTTTTCTAAAGCTAAAATCCTTTATTTCTTACCATTAAGAGACATTTGGAAAGATTTTAATTATTTCTACTTGTTTTCTGTAGATTTTGTGTCTAGATTTTTATCAAAATTTTCCATGAAATCGGCATAATCAATCTTTTGCTCTACACCAATTAATTTCTCTGCGTCTCCGAATTCAGATTCAAATAGTTTGATGTATTCTTGTTTTCTTTCCTCTCGACGGGCAAAGTAATAGGGATACATCGCCTTCTCGTATGGATGCCAATAATCAAGAAGAACATCATTTGCTGTTGGACTTTGTTGATATGCTGTTCCATGAGGTGAATATGTGACTATCATCACCATCGTCATCGTTATTGTAATCAAAAGAAAAAGAGAAAAAAAAACAGTTTGATTAGCAATCTAATTACACAATGAGAAGAAAAACTCAATCAACTTACAATTTACTTGTTCACACATCCCGTTGACTAGTAATTCTTGCTGTCCATCTTGAAGAAGCTTCTTGGCCAGTCGGAAATCTTTAACATCTTTATTATCGTCGAAGCGTTTTCGTAATTCACAGGCTTTCTCTCTAGATTCCAATCTATCACCAGTAAGAAAAAGAAATTAACAACAATTAACATTAAGAAATATTTAGATAATTAATGAAACAAATTATTAATACTTACACATCAGGAGTATCAAATCTGATTACTTTTAAAGCCTCTTTGTAAAGAGACTTCACTTTTTGTCTGTGGGTTAAAGCGACTCTCTTTAAATGTTGAGCTTTATTCACATTGTAGATAACGGAGGTCATTTCGATGCAACACAATTGACCAGTAAACTAAAAACTAATTAAACAATTAACAGTTAATAGTTAACAAAATGAAACGATTGAATTGTTGTTGAGGTCAAATTGTAAACAACAAAAAAGTAAACAAACATTAGGGGATCGACTATAAATCTACATTTGTTTCCTTTCCTCAATCATATGTTTGAGTGAAAGAAAATTTAATTGATTTAATTAAAGTGTTTCAATTTTAATTAAATCGAATTAATTGTTTGCATCACTTTTTTATCATCTTGAATGTTTCTTTCAGTTGATATATTACAAGATAATTAACAAAAATTTCATGAAAATCTGTCAACCTCAGTGAGTTAATTTTACTTTATTTAATTGTTTGTCTCTTTCTTGGTTACATTTGTTAATTTTTTTTCATCTCTAATTTTTTTCCAATAATTTCTCATAATTTAAATTGTCGCTAAATCGATTGGGTTAGTTATTCAACCTAACTGATAAATTGGTTGATTCGATTCCAAGTCTTTTTGGTCACTCAACATATCAAATAAGCGGTGGTTTAATGAAAATTTTGTAACCCGATTAAGAGGTTAATTGTTACTGATTAACTTTAGATTGTTGTGATTGCTGTAAATCGGTATTTTTAATTGATTTTTAATTGTTATCATAACATATACAATTCGATTATCTCTTTATCGTGGGAATAATTAATGTTCCCATCTACCTCTCTAGGAGATTACAATCAATTGTAGGTAAATCAAAGTTTAATTGATTTAATTTGTTTGAATACATTGATTGTAAACGCATTTGGCAAAATTGGCCTTGGTAACGGGATCTGGACTGAAAAAACGTTTCTGGGCTTGATTGAAGATCTCGATTGCGTTGTAAGCGGCACTTGGATCAAATTGGGCGACACTTAATTGGATCAAATTATCTGCGGCCAAGAAAATTAAACTAATTGTTACAATCAAGACACTTAATGATTGTAAATTGATGAAAACTCGGGCAATATTCATGATGATGATGATTAGGTAACTGATCTTGACAATTAACACAAGAAACAATTTAACTAATGATTAAAATCAAACTTATCAATATGAAAAGTTAAATCATTAACTAAAAATGAAACTAACAATTAACTTGACTTTTCATTGAGATTTATAAAGACCAACTGATAACCTGATTAAATATTTATCAACAATCAATTTCATAAGTTAATTAACTTGTTAATTAACTCATCATAACCTTGCTTGTTGTTTAATTTTGTAAAATTGTAAAATAATATTTTCAACGATCAAATCAAATTTAATTATTACCCAAACAAATAGATTTGATTCTTAAAGTAAATACAAATCATGTAATCATCATAACCAATTTGATTTGATTGTTTGTCCAACATTTCAAATAACCAGTAAATTATAATTTAAACATTTACATTTGTAACTATCAAATTGTCTCAATTTAACTTGATTGTTACAATTGAAATTTTCTATTCATCAATTAACATCTTAATTGCTTCATGTGAAAATTATCACAATCAAATTTAAATTTAAACGATTCAAATTCAACGTTGGGAATATAAGTAAAAGTTAAATTGTTTACCAATAAAATTAATTGAATGAGAGTTTAATTCAAATGATTATTATTGAATTCTTATGATTAGATTTGGTTATTATCTTTAATTGTGTTGAATTTAATTGTAATAAGATTTCATTTGGAAACTTTTTTCTTTGAACAATTTACAAAATCAGATTTAACTCGATGAAGAGACGGTGACAATTGAGTATTATAACTGAACTGCGTTAGATTTGTCTCTTCGATACCTCGATCCTGACCTGCGGTCACATCGCTTCGTCCTCTTTTAACGATGGTCATTGTCATTATCTCATCATCTTTATCGTGATTATTTCTCGTTTCAACTTTGACATTACGGCCACTTAGTTTTCGACTTAGAAAATTGATTGTGGCCTTAGATGAAACTTCAGCTAGACGGATAAGCGATATTTCCGTCCATAGACTTAGGACACTTGCTGCGAAACAAATGTAGTCAAGGAAAGATCGTTTTGGAACATATTGTACATTGGTCTCCGTTCCAAGGGGATAATCGATTGAAACTCGATAACTTCCGCTGTTAATGAAGGGTGACTCAAATTCTGATCCCATGATCGCTTGGTACAGAAATTCATGGCAAGGGGTTTGCATGTACATACGGTTACATTGATCAGTATGATTGTCCAAATGGTTACGAATACCGAATCGTCCGTCGAGAACTTCTGATCTTATTCGGATGAATCGTCGGTTAATGAAACCTTTAGATTCGTTGTAAGATTTACCCAAAGTACATTGTTTTATACACGTTTTCCGCTCCCCGCAGGGTAATTTGGAGTAATCAAAACACCCCGATTCGTAGGGCGAGGGAAGGGAATTGATGATTGTCTTGTGATAGGAAACGGTGGCACGATTGTTACTCTTGGTATCAAAGTAGACGAAACTTGGTGTTCCAAGGGCCTCATCTAATTCAGAGGTTGGATGGGTCAAGTAGACACCGACCTTTTTTACCACCGAGTGGGAAATGTTTAGAGTAAAATCGACTAACCTATTGGAACCCACAAGCTCCTTAGTGTAGATAATGGCCTCCGTTAGGTTGGTGAACATGGTGAAACACTTTGAATAGAGAGAAATAAATTCGGCAATTTCTGAGGTCATCGAATCGCACTTTTGAAATTGATACCTTTTATCCATTACAAAACACTCTTGGATAAAATCTTCCCATGAGGGGAGACGGGAATTGATCTCACCAACCGTTAACGATGATTGACTTATATTGTTACCAATGTGGATAAGTTTAAGATCTGGGATTCGGTAGAAGAAGCAAATTGAAATAGCGGGAAGGTCAGCTCGACGAGGATTGACAATCTTGACCATGGTGGTTGTTTTAAACTCGAAATAAATTCTGGTAAGGAAAGCGGTTTGTATCAAGGCACCAGTGTAACAAACAAGGACTGCAAAGCTACGATAAGAAAACGCTTGGTTCAAAAATCGACGCCAAGGTTTGGGTGATGATGATGGACGATGATAAATGGACGCTAAGTGGCCAGTGGACTCGTAATGTGGTGAAACTGAGTTATAAAATGGGAAGGAAAACTTTTTAGATGAGATTCGAGATCGAGTTTCAAGGTTACAGGTCACATTTGAACATTTGGACATCGACAATGATGATGAAGATAAAATAAGACTATTGTTACAATTAGATTTCATAGTTGATGATTTCCTTGAATCTGAAAATAACAAATCAATGGACCAACATGTTGATTAGTCAGTGTTAACTATCAATCTAATGTGTCTTTGGTAAGGAAAAAATGAAAATGATTATCTAATTGTTATCAGAATAAATTGTTACAATTGTAATAATTTTCTGGCTCATTCATCTAAGATTATTAATGGATTTTTATTTCCCAAGAAAATGCTAATATTTTCCAGATCTTTTGTCACCATAAATTTCATCATCGTCATCACAATATATTTAAAGAATTAATAAAATATCAATTCTAATTTTGTTCAATGAAAGATTCTCATATACGAAGCAAAGTGCTCAAGTTCACTGGTCATTATCATTCTCGGTACTAATGTGACCTTTGATTTATATTAATTCTGAATAGAATTGTTATGAGAGAGAGAGAGAGAGAGAGAGAGAAATCAATTCTTTTGTCAATCGATTGGAAACTTTTCAATTTTATCGACAAGGACATTTATTTTTTCCCATCAAACTTAACATATTCTGATTAAGTTACGAACCATCATCACAATGACCATTCGAATTGACCATTTGTAGAATAGCTGAGCGCCATCTATATATGAACAAATGGGTTCGAAAAAATGTTCGAAACAAAACTTTGACCAATTTTCTTCTCCTTATAACTTTATTTCTTTTTATCTCTCGCTCATCATCATCATTATTGTTTCTGATATTATTATCATGACTAATTTTCTATTTAAGTATCTGCAAACGGAAATGAAGAAAAAGAGAAGAGAGAAAAAAAGAAATGTTCGAATGAAAAGAAAAGAATAGAAAAAAAAACCTAATTTATTAACCTTGAGGGCTAAAAAAGGGAGAAAAGGTTATTGTCTCTGGCAAGGGTTGAATGTTAACAGAGTTAAAAAAGAAGCAGAATCATGAATACCCTCATACCCCACCCACTTCTCCCTCCCACTTTAAGTGAAGTGAATTAAAAAGTAATTGTAAGTGATTACAAATGACTGTATCATCATACGAATCACTTATCAAGTGAAATAATCGACCCTGTATATCAACTACAATTGACTTTCACCCTCCCCTCAAAAACCCTCTTTCCTTTCGAGGAAACCCTTCCACCCCTCACATTGATAACCCTTTTTTTCATACAAGTACCACAATCGAGCCCCGTGTACATTAGATGATCATCTCGATACGATCTAACAAATTCTAACCCGTTCTTGTTAAAGGATAACAAAGGAATCCAAGTATCTAAAAAAGCGAATCAGATTAGTCTCTTTTAATCATCTTCACATTTGACAATCTATTAATCTTATTATTAGATTGTGATTATGATTATGATAACAATTGTATCATAATCATCATCTTCATTCATAATTATCATCATACCCAACAATTGGTATAAACCAATACAATTACTTTCACAATTACCATTGAGAAAAAATAATTAATATCAAAAGTTTCATTTAATGACAAGTAATTGAGTTGAAACAATTGGAATCAAATTTTGTAAATTTACTAAAGCTAAAAGAGTCAACAATTAGTGTAACTAATTAAGATATTGGTTATTAAATCATCAACGTGATTCATTAACAATGAAATTTAGTTAATGAAAATCATTTGAATCAATCTTAATAATAAAACTAATCACTTTCAATGATGAAAAAATGATCTTGAAATAATCAATATCTATAAATTGTTGATATTGATAAAGATATTGTTCAATTTAATGATGATGATGATGATGATGATGATGATGATGAAAGGATGAGGATGAAAATGATTGCTTTTTGTTATCATCACTTTCAATTGAAAAATCCCATTAAAGTTCAACATAAGATTTGCCAATTTTTTTTCTAGCTACTGTCATTAGAGTCTAAATTTAAGTTACACTTTTTTTACCTAAAAACTGATTCAATTTTAAATATTCACATAAAGAGATGATCATCATTATCATCTTAATCATCTCCTCCTCTCCATCCTCATCCTTTTGTAGATGAGGTAAATGGGATAACTGTAAATATATTCAATGTTATATGACATTGGTTAACATTGAACATCAATCGTTGATAATTTCAACTTGAATGGATGCATAAGTCCAATGGTGATCAAGAAGATGATCAAATTGATGATAATCATGATTAACTATTAACAGTTATGTAAATGATGAGATTGAATCATTTTAAAATTTCTAAATCTACTAATAAACTTAAAAATCAACTGAAAATTTGGTGTATTTTTAATTTGATCATCATAATCAATCAATGAACCAATGTTTCCAACTTTGATTAGAATGACAGTTTAACATCAATGTTTTGAATTGGTTTGCTTTTCTGTCATCAAGTTAATTTGATTGTAAACATTAAATGAAGAAAAAAAAGAAAACCATGAAAACCAATTGACCGATGGTCAGCAAAAAATGGAAATCACTTTTTGATTGTAAATCTGTATGCTAACCATGAATATAATCATCATCATGGACAATTAGTTTAAAATTTAGACACTACAATCAACAACAACAACGTAAATAAACATTATCAATGTTTAATCAAGTTGAAAGTTTGAAATCACTTATGATTTGACCGTTACAATATAATAACACCATCAACAATTTGAAGAGTTGTAAACACAATCAATTGTATGTGAACAATTTAGCTTGATCATTATGATAATAGTAATCACAATTTACTAATAGAAAAAGTCAAATATTCAATTTCCAATGATAATAGGATGACACTTAGTATTGATAGATGACAATGTTACCCAATTTTTATTAGAACTTTTTTTTTGTCACTTTTTCACCCAAAATCTCATCAACTGCCACCACGACACTTTTATCATCTTCCACTCATCATCATCATCATCATCATTACCCTATTGTTGATTCATCCATATGCAAAAAAGTCTTAAAATTTTGTGAGTAAATTGAGTTGATATCAAGAAAATGATTTCAATGGATTATTAATAAAAGTCCATTGAAAATGTTACAAAAAAAAGATTCAATTTTTTTTACTCATACTCACCTTTTTGTTTCCTATTGTTAACATGATATTTTCATGTTACATCATCATCATCATCGTCGTCGTCACAACAATAAACAAAATTTACTTAAGATGATGAGGTGATGATACAGTTTTCTGAATAAGGATAAATCCTTATCTGAATATTTAGTGAGTTGTTATATTGTTATTATGACTATTTACTGGGAGTGGATGATGATCAAGTCTCACCAATATGAATATTGATTATGAAAGGATGATGATGATGATCAACTGGGAGGAGGAAGATAAATATGATGAGGATGATCTTTGAGCACCTCTTTCAGTTTGTCATCTTTATTGTCATCACTTGGATTATATTAGTTAACTGTAAGTGTGAATTTTTGATTCTATTAATATAAAAAGAGAGAGAGAGAAAAAGTTTTCCAATTGTTTATCAAGATGATTAGTTGTTTATGATTTGACTTTTGATTCATTTGGAACTTTTAATTTAATTGTGATCATCAGTATGGTTCAACAACAACATCGTAAATCATTTATGATTCGTGATATACTTTTTAATTGTTCAGAAATTGTTCCGGATAATTGTTCTGATCAAAGTTCATCTTCATTTGATTGTAATGAGACAAATTGTTTAATGAGAGCTCAATGTTATCATGAGGATATTAATGAAGAGGATGAGGATGAGGATGAAGTTGAGGAGGTTGAAGATGAGGAAGTTGATGTTGTTGGTGAAGATGATGAAGCCAAAATGGATCAAGGTGGGGATGATGTTAGTTCAAGTGTCGATGGTGCTAATTGTACAATCTATTCAGCCAATGGTTCATCTAATGTTTGGCCATCATCAGCTAATTGTATCTCATGTAAGCAAACTGTTATAAGGAAACAATCAGATTGGTCGATTGGTAAGTTAACTAATCACAATTAATTAGTATCATCATTTAGTTGATTCTGTTAATCTTGATGAAAGAATATTTAATTTCAGGATGTTCAGATTCTTATCTTGGTGAATTTGTACCAGGAGACGATAGTGATGATGATGATGATGAAATGGATGATAATCAGGATGAAGATGATGAGGATATTGATATTGATTCGAGAAAAAAATTAAACTGTCCATCTAATGGCCCATCTGATAAGAGTATTAAGAGTAAAACAATTAACTCATTAAAACGTAAAATGCGTCGCAATCGAACCGTTTTTACGGAATTACAATTAATGGGATTAGAACGTCGATTTGATAGTCAAAAGTACTTATCAACTCCCGATCGAGCTGAATTAGCACGGATCTTGGGTCTAACTCAGCTGCAAGTGAAAACATGGTACCAGGTAAGTAGAAATCTGATAAGTTCTAAACTCGAGTTCGAAACTTTTTCCAAAAAGTTTTCTAACTTCTTTTCTCTTTATAATTAATCGACAACAAGAATCGACGAATGAAGTGGAAAAAACAGGTAAGTTAATCAAACGAAAATCAATTAATCAAAGAATTTCGAATAACAAGAACAATTCAAATTAACGAACAACAATTAACTACAGGTGATGCAAGGTGGATGCCCAATACCACCGACCAAACCAAAGGGTCGACCGAAAAAAAATTCAATCCCCTCACTTGGTATAAATTTTGTCGATGCGACATTTTTATGTTCAGCAGCGGCATCGACAGTGACCTCAACATCGGTGGCAAGTGTCCAACCAATCATACAAATAGAATCAACTGTAAAAAAATCATCTTCATTAACTACATTCACTAAATCAACTGATCATCACCACCATCAATCAATTATTCACCATCATCATCAATACCATCACTTTGGCCAATTAACTTACTGAACAATTGAAAATTGAAACAACCAAATCAAATCAAATCAAACAAAAGTTTCAATTTTCAAATCATATCATCAATATCGACAACAATTAAACAATTAGACAATTAATTGCAATATTTTCTAATTCCCCAACAAAACGGACAATTTAATCAATCCCATTCAGTTCCTAATGATTAACTTTTAATTTTCCCAGTGCAATGTAATTGTTACAATCAACCCAAGGAAAATGAAAAACAATTAATCGTCAATGTCAATGTTTTGTTTTCTGAGTGTTTACAATTAACAAACTTTGTAAATTGTTTAATTAACATGTGTAAACAATTGATGATAAAAGAAACAAATAAATTGACCATTAAAACCAATTGAAATTAACGATTAACAAATTGTCATCTATATTAAAAACCGAATTGATAATAATATTATTATTATCAATTCCATTCCAATATGAATGCGCCGGTGCTGAGATAAAATGAATACCCTCTTATAGGATATGAACATTATCATTAATATTATAAAAGAATAGGAAAAAACTATTAACTGAATACCCTCTTGATTGTTCAATGTTAATCACGATAATGATAATGTTAATAATATACAATTGGAGTGATAATAAACTCTTTTGTTGGTTGGAAATGGTTAATACAATTGTTAATCTAATTGTTACAAGTTTAGTGGTTTAATTTAGTTGAATCGCTAATCACATTCTGTATAGTTAATCAATTATGAGAAGTGAGAGTTTTCAGTTAAATTGTTTGAAAGATTAGAAGATAATTAATATTATTAGTTCAACAATCAGATAGGAGTAAATGTTAGCTTTTCTTTTCAATAACAACCGATTGATAAATAGTAATGATAATAACTATTAATTTTTTTTTCTTCCTCGGTTGCCTTGATCAGTTAATCACTTTCTATTAGTAAATAATAGTAACAACTATTTAAAGTTGTTAATATTTTATTAGTAATCATCATCAGATTTAATTGATAATTGTATCAATTTGGTGACTTGATTAAAATATACCAATAGGATTTTTGTTTTGTCTTTGGTGACAATTTAATTTTACAGGTTAATCGGTAAAGTTAAATCATGTTGGTTTGATTAGTAGCAAATTTTGTTAATTGAAGATATATTAATTGTATTAACCTTTTAAGTTAAATATTTAACACACTTGAAGCCCTTTCAATTTATGGATTTGATTTAGAAAACATTTAGTTGATTGTTGTCTTTTGCTTTTGGTCCTAATGAAGTTAGATCATCATCGTTGTGATTTACTGATGGAGATAAAATTTGAAGCTTGAAACGAAATGTTGAATTGGTTAATTGTTTGAGGCACTTTTTGGTTAAATTGATTTCCAGGCTAATCATATTCTCCATTCAATAACTTAATTGAATAACGTTTCTCCCAAGATCTTTCAATTTCATGGTAACTTATATAATATATTTTTCCAATGTTAATTGTGTTTTGTAAAAGTTTGACAATTGTTTTATAACGATAATCATGCAAACAATTGAAAAGTTTACTCTTTTGAATTTATAAATTGATAGAAGCTGAAATAGCAATTTGGATTATGGATTTGCTTTCATGGTCAATGGTGTCAACTGACCAAGTAAATGGATAACAGGGTGATACAAGTTATAATGCCAAGACATGAGATGATTGCTAAATATCTTTGAGAAAATAATCTGTCGAATCGAGGAGGTCCCATCCAATTACAAAATGAGTGTATCAGAATAACCGATATAACAGATTGAGCTCGAAGGTAAATACAACAGGCATAACATGCAAAGATGAATGTTTGTATCAAATGGCAAATAAAATTGACCCATTCTAAAGTTTCACCGCCGTTAATCAATCCTTTTATATGATGATGTGCATGGCTGATTGAAAAGATGGCTGATGAGATTAGAATTGTTGACGATTGGGAGAAACATTGGATCAAAAGAGTTGTAAGAAGAAAACGGTAAAAATATTCTTCTAAAATTGGACCAAGAAGATAGTTACGTGCAAAAGAATAGAATGGTGGTAATTCTTCATCAGGATCCAAGGCAAGAAAAAGAGTTCCTTGTTGAAATCTATCAATAATCGGCCCAATAAAAAGGATAATCGTTAAACAAATGGGGATAACAATACTTTCAAAAAGGTAATACGGTGAAAGACTAAGAGTTGGTGTTAAATTTTCGTAATCAATGTAATTAGTTAATAGAAGAATGACTATTGAGACAAATATGGCAAATACGATTCCAATGGCTCGCAGTATTACCGCTTCCTTGGTGCTCCTAAGAGGAAAAGAAAATTGGTCAGAAAAAAACAAAGAATTAGAAAACAATAGGAAAAGACAAAAAAGAGAACGTAGTAAATGGATTTAGCTGCGATTTTTACCTATGATGATTCCATGAGAAAACATAGATAAACCCAATAACCAGAAGAGAGATAAAAATGGAAATAGAAAGTGAAACCAGTTGACAAGCCATTCAGGTAATATTGTAAAGATCGATGAAAACACCTACCAAAGGTAGTGTCATATCACCTTTAGATGAAACAAAGTAAATCTTTTTTAGAACAAAAATAACGTCCAATAGAAACAAGTAGAAATATTTGAAGAAAAAAATGGCAGAGAAAGAGAGAAGAAGAAAACTCCATCCATTGAGTAACATAAACAAAAGCAACAAATGTAATCACAGTGAAGATAATATACAAAACAGCATCATGACAATAAGTGAATGAAATCTATTGGGAGAAGCTTGAAAGAGACCATTTTGAGAAATTGGACGATGAGAAAGAGAGAGAGAGAGAAAAAGATGATGATAAACAAGAGATAAAGAGGAAGGAGAAAAAAACATGGAAAAGAGAGAGAGAGAAAGGAAGAGAAGGTGAAACTAAGATGGCTTCAGATGGAAAAAAGAAAATACAAAAAAATTAGAATAAGTGAAAGCGTCGTCATCTATGAACATAAAAAGGAAATGAAATTATTTTTCTATTTACGAAAAATAAACAGTGTAAGTGTAACAATCGCTATTAAATGTTGGACAAGATGAAATATCAACAGCTATTGGAATGCTAAAGGCTTTGTGAAGGAGAAAAAGAGAGAGAGAGAAGATAAAAGTAGAAAGAAAGAAAGAGAGTTAGTGAGTGAGAGAGAGAAGGAGAGAGAGTACACAGATAATGATGATGGTGATGAAGATGATGATGTGTGTGAGAGAGAGAGAAAAAAGGGAGGGAGGTAGAAAAGAAAGTCAATGAATTAGAAGGAAAGACAGAGAGATAAAAGAGAAAAAAATTAGAGAGAGAGATTTTTGATTCGCCATTGATGATTCTCTAACTGGTTAATCAAGCTGGTAAACAAAAGAAAGAGACTCTATCTGAATGGATGATGATTTGTGTTCGTTGGACAGTTTTTAACTTTGGTTAATCATCATCATCATCATCATCATGGTGGAGATTAAAACAAAAAAGAATCGCTGATTGGTCAACGGCGCTAGAAAGAGAAAAAAAGAGAGAGAGATAGAGAAGGAGAAAAATAGAGTGAAAGGTATAATAATGTTAAGGTAAGAAGATGGAGAAAGAAAAATTAAAAGAAAACGAAAAATGAGAGAGAAAAATAAAAACAAATAGAAAAAAGAAAACGGTTACAAATGGAACAAGGAATAGACAAATATCAACAGGAGAACATGAAGAAAGAGGAAGAGAGAGAGAGAAATATTCAAAGTGAATGGGGTAAAGACGAAATGATGATAATATTGATGACGAAGATGATGATGAGTTAGATGAAGAGATTTATTTGGTCCTCTTAATTTACTTCTTCTTCTGTTTCTTCATCTGCTTCATCTTCATCTCTCTCTCTCTCTCTCTCTCTCTTCCACTACTACTACACTTTTCTTTGTACATTTTTTCTTCTTTCTTCCTTCCTCTCTCTCTCTCTCTCTCTGATCTCTTCTCTTCTTCATCAACTTTTTCTTCCATCTTCTTTTCTTCTTCCCTCTCTCTCTCTCTCTCTCTCTCTCTCTCTCTCTCTCTCTTTCGTCTCTTTCAACCTAAAAACTTCTTCTCTTAACCAACATTTAATATCAATGATTGTTAAAGTTAACACAGTGTTTACTTGTATCTGAAAAAGAAAAAAGAAAAAAAATTTTTCTCTTTTGTTTAATTTCTTTTCACACCACTAGATGGAGATGGACATGTTCATCTGAAGCCATTTTCTTTCACTTTCTCTCTTCTCTCTTTCTTTTACCTTTCTTCCTTTTTATTTTTCTCTTTCTTTTTTCTCTTCTTCTTCTTCCTCTTTCTTTTTTTACTCTGTGTCTTTCTCTTTCTCTCTCTTTCTATCTTCTATTTTTTTTCTCTTCTTCTTCTTCTCTCTTTCTCTGTCTTTCTTTTTCTTTCTTTTTTTCCTCTCTCTCTCTCTCTCTCTCTCTCTCTCTCCTCAATCGTCCACCATCAAAGATGAATTTAAAGCTCTTTCAGCTTTGTTATTATTGTTATGCTGTGTAATTAATGGTTTAATTAATTAATTTTTGTGGGTAACTAATGGACTCCAATTTGAGTACAAGCAGTGCTGGTTCACATAATAGTGATAAAGACTCAATTATTATTTTATCTGGTGATATGACACCCGAGAAACGGAGTAGCGGCCAAGTTGGAGGTGATGGCCGTAAAAGAAAACGTAAAGTTGATGATGGAGGAATCACTGCTGCTGCCATTGTTGCTGGAGGTAATACTGGTAGTGTAATTGGTGTAAACACTGGAGTTGGAGGAATTGGAGGAGGTGGAGGAGGAGGTGGTGGTGGTGGTGGTGGTAATGGAGGTGTCCAGGGAATACCCAATACCCGAGGACAAACACCAAATAGTAGCTCGAAAAATGCTCGTGGTGATTTTAAGAAAATTAATGATTACTTTAAGCAACATCAAAGCTTCTCACCTAGTCGCTACGGAGGATCAAGATCACCAACCTCACAAGGATATTCACATTACATGTATCCTCCACCTTCCTCTCCAGGTACTGTTGGTAATATTCCTGTTTCACCTTCGGTCTCAGTAGCCGGTAATCCTTTAAGCTCACCACCAAATACACCAATAGCATCAGATTGGGTTGGAGGTAATTCCAATCCAGATTATTCAAATCTTATGGGTCCACCTTTGTCCGGTTTAACAATGTCTAGACAAGGTACCGTAGGTCCAGTGGTATCTGTTGTTAATAATTCAGTGGGACCTTCAACAGTACAACAACAACAGCAACAGCAGCAGCAACAACAACAGCAGCAGCAACAAGCACCACCACCAAACGCCAATTATCCAACTTATTACTCAAATTGTGTTTCAAGAGCTGTACAGACTGACGTAACAATGAAACAATTACGTGAAATAGAATCTAAAAGTGCGTTGGATTTAGAGGAACGTGATGGTAAAATAGACGATCTCCAAAGGACAGGAGATGAATTGAAAAGACAATTACAAGTCCAGTCAAAGTTAATAGACAAACAAAAGGATCAATTAGCCAAGTCAACAGAAGTTACCAAAATGTTGTTAATAGAGAAATCACAAATGGAAAAGAAAGCCGCTCGGCAAAAGTGCATGCAAAATCGTTTAAGATTGGGACAATTTGTTACTCAAAGGCAAGGTGCATCGTTTGTTGAAAATTGGAATGATGGACATGCCTTTACGGAATTAATGAAAAAACAGGAGCAAATAGCTGCTGAAAGGGAGGAGATAGAACGTCAAAGGAAACTGTTGGCCAAAAAGAAACCCAACAATGTACAGATTAAAAAAGGTGATAGGTCATCCAATGTAACAACAAATCAATCATCAAACCAAGGTTCCAATGGTAGTAACCAAGTGATATCAACCAATTTAACACAATTATCCAATGGTACGCTCTCTGGTTCCGGAGCAGCTTTTACCGATTTTGTTAAACCCGAGCCAGTGGCAAGTTCATCTGGTGCTCAAAAAGACTATACCATGTATGAATATTATGAGATGGATGAGATATTGAAATTACGGCAACAAGCTTTAAAGAAGGAGGATGCCGATCTTCAACTAGAATTAGAAAAATTGGAAAGAGAAAGAAATCTACACATTCGAGAATTAAAAAGGATACATAATGAAGATCAATCTCGATTTAACAATCATGCTGTGTTAAATGACAGGTATCTTCTGTTAACTTTATTGGGTAAAGGTGGTTTCAGTGAAGTGCACAAAGCGTTTGACCTGAAAGAACAGAAATACGTTGCCTGTAAAATTCATCAATTAAATAAGGATTGGAAAGATGATAAAAAGGCCAATTATATCAAACACGCTCTTAGGGAATACAATATACACAAAAAATTGGATCATCCAAGGATTGTGAGGTTATTTGATGTCTTTGAAATAGATCCCAATTCATTTTGTACTGTACTGGAATACTGTGATGGACATGATTTAGATTTCTACCTTAAACAACACAAATGCATTCCTGAAAGGGAGGCTCGATCTATTATTATGCAAGTGGTTCACGCCTTGAAGTATCTCAATGAAATTAAACCACCGATAATCCATTATGATCTTAAGCCTGGTATGTATTCCATATGTTTTAATTATTTTCTTCTCTCCTTTTACCCTCTCTGTCTCTTTTTCTTTCTTCCTCTCTCTTTATGTCTCAGTTTTTGTTTCTTTCTCTCTAACACACTTAACTCCTTTTCTATCTTTCATCTCTCTCATTTACTCACTTACCTTTGCTTTCTTTCTTTCTTCTCTCTCTCTCTCTCTCTCTCTCTTCTACCATCTTCTTGTTTTTTCATCAACTTTTATCCCCTTTTTCCTTTTCTTCTCTTTATTTCCTAATTCTTCCCATATTATCATCTCACATTATCATTACGGTTTTTTTTATTCTCTGCTCTTTTAACCCAAACTATTTTCTGCCTTTAACCAGCAACTTGAGTTGACTCTCTGTCATTTGCTGTTTACTCTCCCCTTCTTCAATGTCTTTGGCTTTCCCCTTTTATCGCCATCATCATTATCATCATTCTTTTCCTTCAACTGACAATATGTATCTTAGATTTTCTTCTTTCCTAAGAGAGAGAGAGAGAGAAGAGAAGACAGGGAGAAAGTTGTATATGTATATGTATTGGTATATGTTGTTGTTGTGTCTGTTTTGTTAGGCTTTCTTCATTTTCACCAGAAAAAAAGAAGTTTGAAAGTAAAAGAGAGATAGTGAATAGTGAGAGAGATAAAGAAATGGAGAAAGAGAAAAGAACCAACTGATATATCTGAAAGAACAAAAACAAAAATGAATAAGAGGTCAATCAGTAACATCCAATGATTTCTCGGTATACGGAAAATTCCGTTTAAGATTCATTGCAATTGGATTAGAATTAGTTGCTGGTTATTTTCTAGTTTTCTTGGTATGCTTTTCATTTAGACGTTTAGGTGAATCTCTCTCTCTCTCTCTCTCCCTCTCTTATTTTACTTTTATTCTTCTCTCTCTCGTAGTCACTGTCTTTCTCTCTTTCTCTTTTCTCTTTCATCATCTCTATCCTCATCTTCCTCTGTTTTTTTACTTTAATTTCTCACCACTCACACACTTTTTTTATCTTACTCACTTAAAATCAACTCTCTCTCTCTGTAGTTATCTATCTTGCTTACTATCATTCTCCCTCTCCCAACTTACTCGCCTCCATCTTATGCACAACCTATCAGCTGTTAAAGGTCAAATTAGTCGTGAAATTGTTATCTCTCCTGGCAACCGACAAGTTTACTGTCATGGCAGCCATATTGGTAAATTTATAAAATGAGTATGAGTGAGTGAATATACACTAGTAGTATATTTATGTGAGTGAGTAAAGTTGATGCCGTTGTATTTATATACCTGGGCAATTCACAAAAGACGAGAGAGAAAGAGAGAAGGGGACGAAAGAAAAGTGAGTGAGATTAACTTGTACTGAATAGTTTGACCTGACTCTAGATCTTTCAACCAGAGGGATAGAAATTTTATCTGTCTTACTATTCTCTCTTTCTTTCTTTCTTTCTTTCTTTCTTTATACTGTTATATACTTTTGTATGTTTATGTCTATGTATTTATCTTGTAGGGTGATTGTGTGTGTGTCTATGTGTTGAGTGTTGTAAGGTCAAAATTTGTTAGATTTTTTTCTACTTTCTCAGCGCAAGAGCATTTAACTATTACTAGTCTAGTCCGACACTCAGGATGATGAAAAAAAGAGTGAGTAGAATGAAATGATAAAGAGGAAAGAGAGAGAGAGAGAGAGAGAGGTGGAGGAGCAAAAAGTAAGAGAGAATGGTAAATAATCATACTTGAATAAAAGTGTGTATACAATCAAATTGGAAAAGAGAAAGGCAGAAAAGAGAGACGGAGGAAAAAAGATGGAGAGTGAGCTACGAAAAAATGAGTTTAGGAATATTTTTATAACATTCGCGCAGGTTTATCATTTTTAGAGAGCAAAATCAAAGAAAATGAAAAAGCATATAAGTAACCAATTAAAAACAATCAACTTTCATGCTAATCACTTATGAATGCATCAAACATCAACTGAATTTGTTCATATTGATTAACTTCATCATCAAGCATTTTGCTACTTCTTTACAATCTATTCTTTCATTACCTTTACTTTGCTCCCAAATCATTTTACCTTGGTTTTCCTTTTGTAAATTTTCTATTGGCTATATTATCACTGAATCACTATTTTTATTTCATATTATTAATTCAACTGTATTTTCTGTTTTCCCTTATCAGGTAATATTCTACTCGGAAGTGGAAGTATTAGCGGAGAAATTAAAATCACTGATTTCGGTCTTAGTAAAATAATGGATGATGAAAATTATAGTCCCGATCATGGCATGGATTTAACATCACAGGGAGCAGGGACTTACTGGTATCTTCCTCCAGAATGTTTTGTTGTCGGCAAAAATCCTCCTAAAATCTCATCCAAAGTAGATGTATGGAGTGTAGGTGTTATATTTTACCAATGCCTTTATGGGAAAAAGGTAATCAATCGAACTAAATTGAAAATTTGATCGTCGTGTTTGTCATCGTTCGTAAACAGAACATCAGTTTAATTATTTGTTAAAAATCAAGATAATTCATATTTTCTTTGCAACTGATTAGCTGCACATTGTTTTTACCTTTAAGCTATTATTGTTATGAACGTTAAAAATGCTAATGTAACTCAACGATTTATATCGACAGCTGCATCGTATTTATATACATTGTATTTATACTAATTATCGTTTTTTTTTGTCTTTTCTCTGTAGCCTTTTGGACATAATCAATCCCAAGCCACTATTTTAGAAGAAAATACAATACTGAAGGCAACCGAAGTAGAATTCCCAGCAAAACCCGCTGTCAGTATTGATGCTAAGCACTTTATTCGTCGATGCCTTCAATATAAGAAAGAGGATAGAATAGACGTGCTGTCCTTATCCTGTGAAGATTATCTTAAACCCAGCACGAAGCATGGTAGAGGAAGTAATTCTAATGATAAATCAAGTTCATCATATTCCTGAAAGAGAGGAGAGAGAGAAATAAAAAAGGACAAAGATTGGATGATCAAAACAACAACAAACACAACTATAAATACAACAACCAACACAACCACATCAACTAAAATCAAGAAACGGAGACTACAATAACAACAAGACACACGATAAGATAATATAATACCACCATTGAGCTCATGATTTTTTTACCATTTATTATCTAATCATCATTATCATGATTGGAGTGGATTTTGCAACCGATTATGAAATTGTGAATAGTGAATTCATATTCATTAAAATCAAAATTAAAAATCTTTCTCATCTGAAGCCATCTTTCTCTCTCTCTCTCTCTCTCTCTCTCTCTCTCTCTCTTTCTTTCTCTTTCTCTCTCTGTCACTAACTTTCTCTCTTCCTTTTCTTTCTTTCTTTCTCTCTCTCTCTCTTCTATGTCTCTCTTCTTTTTTCTTTTCTTTCTCTTTCTCTTCCTCTTTCTGTTTTTCTTTTTCCTCTCCTCAATCGTCCACTATCAAAGATGAATTTAAAGCTCTTTCAGCTCTTTCAGCTCTTTCAACTTTGTTATTATTGTTATGCTGTGTAATTAATGGATTATTCAATTTGTGGGCAATCAATGGACTCCATTTTGAATACAAGCAGTGTTGGTTTACATAACAATGATAATGACCTCGATTATTTTTCATCTGGCGATATGACAACCGAGAAACGGAGTAGTGGTCAATTTGGAGGTAATGGCCCTGGAAAAAAATCAAATTGTTTTTAAACAAATGAAAGTGTTGATGGAAACATCAAAGTTCCAGCTTTTGTGGATATACCAGATAGTAGCTCTAAAAGTGCTCGTGGTGATACAAAGAAAATGGTCACTCAAAGAAAACATCGAAGCTTCTCATCTAGTCACTACAGAGGATAAAAACGTTCAACTCCTGGTTAATTCCACTAAGCTCACCATCAATTTTAATTGGATTTAATTGAATGTGATTCCAATCCAAATCTCATGGGTCCACTTTTGTCCGGTTAATAAGTTTTGAAAAAGAAACTGTTGTTCCAGTGATTTTGTGAATAACTAACAAGAACCTTTAAGATGTATTAAACTTAACAAACACCATCAACTCAACACTAATTATCCAACATATTACTCAAATTATGTTTCATAAGATGTACAGATCGACGTATCGATGAAACAATTACCATGAAATAGAATCTAAAAGTGCGTTGGATTTAGAGGAACGTGATGGTAAAACTGACGATCTCCAAAGGACAAGGAGATAAATTAGACATTTAAATACCCGTGACATTTTTGCGTTGATTTGGTCCTCCAAAAGATTACACCATGTATGTAATTCTATCGTTTTTATGCCACGTTAATTTGTTAATTGTTTAATTTAATTATTCTGATTGTTATTATTTCTATCTTTCTTTCCTCAGGTTTCTCTCTTCTTTTTTATTGTTCCCAGGACATTTTACTGATTCTCAAGCCAAATTATCACAGATGATGAAGTTAATCGATGATAAAGATGGAAAAGCAACAAAAAGGAAAAGGATATAAAAACTTGAAAGAAAAGATCAACAAGGAAAATGGAAAGAAAACCAAATCAATTAGAGACAAAATTAATTCCTTTTTTTTCTTACAGAATTTAATCTGGTTCGTTAAAAAGAAACCGTTCATTAAGTTGTGTACTTGTTGTTACCATTACTATTACACTTTGTACTTTTTGGTTCTAACCTATTTTTCCCCATTTTTCCGTCAAGTGCTGGCGATGATGATAATGTATCATCATGATAATACTGTTCAACAAAAAGCATGATTCTGAGTCTTTTTTCATCCTCATATTCATGGAAAAAAAAACATAAACACACAACAACATCACACTCTCTGTAAAAAAGTATAAAAAAAATCTTTTTCTGACTAAATCTAGTGAATCCTAATTATCTTTAATTGCATAAATATCGGTGAGAATCATCTAATCTCGAATACTTTTAATTACTAAATCACAAAAAGCTTCAAGTTCACTTTTTCCCCCGAACTTTATTTTCTTTTCCTCTACATTTACTATTCTCAATGTTCAAAGTTCAACTTCGACAATCAGATTAATCCAAATGAACAGGACAATCAAATTGGAAACCATTTCCTCCTCATCTTTTAATTCACTTTCTGCCCACTACCTTTTCACGATCATTGATGTAATTATTGGCTCAACAAAATGGCAAAAAAACATATCATCATCATCATCATCATCATCATCACCACCACCACCACAGTCACACTACAATACACATTTACCCATAAGACAAACAACAAGACTGAAAAAACTAACCAAGGTCATGATAAGGATTGATGTTTGGATACAATTTATTAACACTTAATACATTCTGGTTACTCATATATTCTGATACTTTTTTGAATCATCAAACCAGCTCATACAATCACCATCTTAAATCAGTCTCTATTTAGTGTGACAATTAACCTGAGAAAATTACTCTTTTTTTATTATTCTCTCTTTCTATCTCTCTTTCTCTCTAGTCAAGGTAATTATTTTACAAGATTTTCACATTAGAACAATTTTTTTGTTTTATCTTGATCCGAATTTTTATACTAATTGGGTTTTTCTTTGTGTCTCTATTTTTTTTCTCCTTCTTATTCACTTATAGTTGATTACTATTCTCTGGTGCTTAAGGTGTGGCTCTTGTCTGTTTTATTTTGATTTCAATCAATTGGATTTCTAATTGGTTTGGATGTTTGTAACATCGATACACTTTTATGGAGGAAGAGGAGTGGATGAAGAGAATCGTCTTTTGTTTGAATCAATTGATAACTCGATTATATTATTACCAAGGAAATAGTCACTGGCGATTATGTTAACGCATTGATTATACCAAGAATCACGAAACCAACGAGTTACCATGAAATTAACTGATGAGGCCATTTTTCGTAATCCACCATAATTTAGGAAATTAACTGCTTTAGGTGTTAATTCAGCCATTGCTGCGGATGCCGACAGATTAATTGAACATAGAGATGAATTAAAGTAGGCTGCTAATGCTGTGATCGAATCTGTATTGGCCCAAAGTTGTTTTACCGCTGGAAAAAGATAAGGTCGACCCATAATCGTAGATTCTGAATGACCTAAAACCAATCGACGTCCAGTTGAAACTATTGAACCAAAAGTTTTCTGATAATCAATTTGATCTGAATTATCATTTAAATGTGGACCGACCATCTCCTCAATCAAATTAAGTAGCTGATTATGTCGAGTGAAATTAATGATACCCTTATCTTCAAAACCCACTGGGAACCTGTGAAAGTCCATAATGACCACTTCGTTACTTGTTGAATCCATAAATTGTCTAACTTGCGCCAAGACTTGACGAACTGTTTTATTAATTGGATAAAAATCATGAGCAATCCAAAAATCTTCACCCAGTTTAGGATCATACATAACCCGAATGTCCAAATATCTGTTGAATAGCAAAAGAAAAGGATAAAAAAAGGAAAGGAAAGACAATCAATGAGCCAATAACAATTAAAGGGAAAAAAACATCAACAATCAACACCCTACAAGTAAACGGTTGATAAAACAATCTCTCAAATGATCAGTGAGAAAAAGGAAACAATTAGCAAGTTTTGAATTTAAATGGAAAAGATCAAATTGATTAGTATAAATTTTACCAGAAAACAAAATCTAATCGCAATCAACCTGTAAACAAAGAGATTAAATCAACAGAAAGGAAGGGGAAATCTAACAACAATCAAGAGTAGCCATTAGCTAATCAACTTTACTAATTCCCAATCAGCTCACTTTGCGACATCTATTATGATTACTTTTAATTTGGTTACTTTCTGGTTTGAGAACCAGAAAGTAAGAGGAACCAGTTAACCAGTTTTATTAAGCATTGATATTGTTTCCTGTTCCTTGATAAAAACATATATTTGTATCTCTCAAGATGGAGAATCTCAATGAAGAAAGAGAAGAAAGAAAGAGAAAGAATTTTGTTAAAGAAACAGCTGATTGGGAAAAAGAGAGAGAGAGAGAGAGAGAGAGAGAGAGAGAGAGAGAAGAGAAGACGACAAACAAACAAAAAAGAAAGAGAAATAGTAAGAGAAAGATGATGATAAACGCATGTCTATCTTCATTATCTTCATTGACAACTTGATGTTGTTTGGTACTTTTAATAATACATATATTTTTATACTTTGGACGTGGTTAAAAATGGTGGATCAAAGGAGGAGGAAGATAAAGAGAGAGAGAGAGAGAGAGAGAAATAGAAAAGGAAAAGTGAGATGATGATGATGATTATCATCTCTTCAATAATACTATTTACTATTCACTTGCAAAAGGATCAATCAGTTTGGATTCATGAAGAAGCTGAAGAAAATCAATCGATAGATTTTCACTTTAATCATGATAACCTTTTCTTTATGATGAAATATTAATTTTTTGTTCTTCCTCTTGATTGTTGATTATGTTTCTTTTACTCTGCTTATCATTGATCTTAATGTAAATTCCAATTTAAATTGTTAACGATTTATTAATAATTTAAACTTCACAACTTGATTAACGATTTTTTCATCGCTTTAATCAGTTGATTATTGATTCAATCGTTTGACTTTGAAACAAAACATTGACCAGTTAAAGTTATTGATGATTTAATGGAAATATGAATTTGAACTGGACGATCAAACTATCAACAATTAATTGATTTTACTCTAAATTGTGTTACAGTGTAGATACTTTGATTGATGTTTGTAAACAATTTATCAGCTCATGATTTCATCAGATGGCGCCTTGTAACTCACTGAACTATCATGAAATCATCACAATTGATTCGATTGTCGAATGATTAACTGAACTTTTTTATCTTGTGATTAATTTAATTGTCTTTCTTTTCTCACTTAGGTTTTTTTTATTACGATTTCCTTTTGGTTCTATTAGTTTTCTAGTTTAAATTGTTTATCTACTTGTAAAGGTGTAGAATCAACAATGATAACAATTAATCAATATGTCTCATGGAATCATTGATTAAACTGAATCAAGGCGAGTAACTTGTTTTCACTTCCTGATTCTCTAATCATGATACTGATTGAACTCTGTATCTAATCTCAAGGGGAAACTGATCAATACTAAGGTGAAATTCAATTATTTCAAATGAACAAAGTTTATTGTATCAAAGTGATCAATCTATCAGGAAATTTACACCAAATGAAGTGAAATTGTTGAAAATTTCACAAATTCCCCATGTAAATAATTCGATGAGAGGTGATGAAATTTTTTTCTTCTATCAATCGATTTAAAATTTTTCCTTTTCGTTTTCACTTTTTCCCTTTTTCATGTTATTTATTTTCCAATAAAACTGAGTTTCGATAACATGGTAACCTAATATGATGATAATAAGCTTCAAATTCCAGGATTAAAGTACACACTATAATCTACCGAATATCCTAAGGCGATCCAATTGTGTATTCTCATCTCGAAGACGCAAATTTCAATATTATTCAAACAATAACGGTAAAAGTACAATTTGTTTTTCGAGAAGAAGAAAAAAAGTTCTAACCACAAAATTGAATTTCAATCGACTCTTTTTCTTTTCATGATGAACAAATCTCCAAATTGGATTAAATTACCATTAACAGGTAATCCAATCATTTATGGTCAATTCGTTTAATTGTTGCTCACAAATTATTTGAATGGTTGTTAATGGTAACAATTAACTTTCAGTGGGAGATTTTTCTTTCTTCATGATAATAAAATTTTTCGTACGACAAAATGTAATTAACTGTTTATTAGACAGTTAAACACAATAGATTAATTTAATCATAGTTAATCAAGCAATTAACAGTAAAAAAGAGCATTTTTTTGGGATCTCTAGAGTTAATTAACTTTACGAATTAGATCAATATCGAAACGATTAATGAAAAGTTCAGCTTGTTTTGTTTGAAATCGAAAAAAAAAGTTTCGAAAGTTGTTATTCGAAAAGTGAACTTAAATTCGGTCAAGTTCATATACGTTCCAGATTCATTTTCTCCACATGGTTCATGATATTCCAGGATTATCGAATAGAAAAGATAATTGAACTTTTGGTTTCTTTTGAAATAAGATTTCATCATTTTCGAAAGATATTTATCATGGAAGAAAAATTTTCTTTAGAAATTAAATTAAATTAATCAACTATCAATTTGCCTGAATATCTGATCAGCTGATTATCTCGATAAAGTTCAATTAACTTGAAAAATTACTCAAATTTTGAGAATCAAAGTTTAATTGGTAAAATTAATTGAACGAGTTCATGTAAAGCTGTTAATTAGCTTAATTATCTTGATAATCATGATCAACCATTTACTTCTTGATTAATTACTACAGTTGAATTAACAATCATTTGATTGAACAATTTAATTCAGATCAGTGAATTTATTTTCTATTTAAATCAAAGTAAATAATTATAATCTTTTAAATCACTTTCTCACTTTCTAAAGGGTAAATTATAAACTGACCATTCAGTTTATGTGATTAAGAACCAAATCAACACCCTTGTTATCAAGGTAATTAAATTTAGCATCAACAATTGGGAATATGAGACAATTAAAACAATTTATTGATCATCGTTCCAATTTAAATCAATAATCTACTTTTAGAATAATCTAATTAACTATTGTAAATGCTCATAATTGACTTGTCGTAATGGAGAAAAGTTGACTTTATGTTAATATATCCAATTCTGTACAATTCAGTAGATTATATTTTCGATTTCCAATGGATTTCAACGACAATTTTTCGTTCAATGTCAGAATATTTTTTAGCACGAAAAAAAGTTTATAATTCGAGAGTGATAAAAAATATTAACTTTAGAATATCAAATGTTATCGATAATCAATTAATGACTAATCGATTGTTTATTCATTGATCTAATTGCAATTCTGATTTGGATGGAAACTCGTGGATCCATGTGATTAGCATGAACGTGATTAGTGTGAGAATTGAATCTTTTGTGATTAATGAAATTCTATCCAAAGTTTAAGTGAATATTAAATTCGGTATTTTTCTTCACTCGTTCCATGAAATCTCTTCAGTAAATAGGAAAATTTCATTAACTTTTCCACTGATCTTATCTGAGAGAGAAAGAGAGAGCTTATAATCTATGAGCTTCTCCACTTGTCATGATAGATTAGAATTGAAAATTTTCCAAGTTAGTAAAAAATTCATATTGAAATTTTGAAAATTCTTTCGAAATTCAAAACTTATTCCCGTTTATTCAGCACCTAGAAGTCTGTTATTACATAGATGCAAACAAAAAATTCAATCTTCAATCTCAATGGGATTTAAATACTTATCGTTATCATGTATCATTTATTTATAAATATACTTGTTGACTCAATTATTATCATGAGGATTTAATGAATCATGAATCTATGAATAAACAAGTTAACTTGTTTATTATAATTGTAATAATAATTGAAATATTCTGATAGACACAATCGAAACGAAGTACAAACCAATTATCACCACTTGGGTATTAACTCAAAAACTTTTATCATGTATCAACATGTAAACACAGTCAAAATCGCCCCCTCAAGATCGTAATGAGTTTCATGATGATTCTGAATAGTTCAAGATTTTATCATTATCTTTTCATTTTCAGGGTTATAATAAAAGTAAGACGGATGTTAACATGATATATTTATCCATCTATGATTGGGTAATATCTGTCACATGAGAAAACTGAACGGAACTGAAGTAAAATTAAGATGATGATTATTATTATTATTCAGTTTCTGGTTTCATATACTTAACACAAATAAATATCATAACTTTTCATGGTAAGAAAACAGTTTCATCTAGACGAGCCTCTTGAGTGTATATGATTTTATATTGTCAATGAATTTATCCATTAGACCTCATGAAATTATAATCCAATGTTCATCTCATCGTGAGTACATTTTCATTTATTCATTGTCTACAATAAAAACTACTGAATCTTTCTAAATGAATTTTGTTTATCTTTTCTTCATGTTTCCTCTGTATCTTTATATCTGTTTGTTTCCATGTGATTTCAATTCATTTTCACATTCGGTCCCTGTTTCCTTTTGGGTTAAGTTGAGGCTTAGTGTTGTATGTGTGTGTGTGTATTAAGATTGAAGGTGTAGGTTGAGTGTTTACAAGAAGGTGGTGGTTGGTAAGGAGTTTGTTGACTTACCTGTTACCATAAACCAGTTGATTGAATATATTTTCATCTTGACATAAAGAGTAAGCATTCAATAGTTTGGTTAACAATCCTGGTTCATAGCCGATTGAATAACTACCAGAGTTGTGAGTTCCTGGTATCATCAGTTGATTTAAAGGTTTATTTACCAAGTGGTCACTATTTTGACCCATCCAAAAGGGCTGGGATCGTATACAGTTGACCTCTTTTACCTTATCATCTTCGACCCAAACAATGTAATACTGTAAACAGGTAGATATCAAAGGTAATGATTCACTGAACATGAATACAGGAAATTGAATGTTACTCCTTCAATTCAAGTATTAATTTAGAGAATTCCGGTTCCATGGTAATGATAATCATCAGAATAAATTTGTTGATGGTGAAAACATGAAAAAGAGATGAAGGAAAACATTAAATTAACTAAGTTACAATAATATAATAATAATGGGAAACAATAATTTACTCCAATGTTATTTGAGACTTTAATCATTATCGTTAATTTTGATTACTATTCATGTACAAATATTATTTCATTTAAACATTTATTCAGCTTCCAAATGAACATAATCAAAGTTAATTATGATTATAAAGACTATGAATCCAGTAATAAACTGTTACAATTAATATTTAGTAGAATTGTAATTTCATTCATTATGGTGAAAAAGTTTTGTCATGTTTGCTTGATTAAATGGTTCTTATACTCTAATTTATGATCTTAATCAAACAACAATTAATTAATGCTTTAGTAATCTAGTTTAATGTAAAATCTTAAAGAAAAATTATAAATTAAAAATAATATTTAGGTTATTACTTTCCCGTTACTCTGGTTGGAAAATTTCAATTAATATGATGAATAACAAACTTGAAAAGTTATTATCACCATGAACTTCAATTATATTGACTGATTTGAGTTTATAAGAAAGACAAAGGAAAAAATTGGACAACAGGATAAAAGTAATTTCATCATGAAAAAAAAGAAAAAAAATTCATGAGAATCTGGAAAAGTTCATCACTTGAACATCCAAAGATTGACATTTTGTTTCCAGAACAAAAGTTTAAGTTGGTTGACAGGGAGTGAAAAATTATACGATAAACTAACCTCCAATCACCCACCGCTCATTCATCAGGTTACCACCATTAAAAGTAATCATCTTCATCCTCATCTTCCAATCCAATCCAATCCTCTCTCTCTCTCTCTCTCTCTCTCTTTCATTCTCATTTTTTTATATTCTATTAGAACTTTTTTCCTTTCACCTTTTCTAATAATCCATCACCTCTTTTGTTGACATCAGCATCATCTCTTGTTAGTGACTTATTATTATCCAGATTAAATCAACAACAGTAACAACTAATTAACCTAATACACTTTGCTAAACTTAATCAATATATGTGATAAAAAATTAATCAATCAATTTCATGAAGAGGTTAATGTAACAAAATCCAATTTCTCATCCCACTGATTAGCAAAGTGAAAAAAAAGTTCAATACCCAACCAATTTTGAAAACTTTTTACGTTCTCGTTTCTATTTCTTACAAATTCAATTTTATCTTAGCAAAAACCTTTACAATTAACAAAATTAACAAAATTTTACCATGAATACTAATGAATGGAGATGAAATAATTGTATGATCGTACTCATGGTCTTGGAAACACAATAACGATGCTAATAACTTGATCCAATTATAACTCTAGAAATAATATCAATAAGCAAGTAAGAAGAGCAAATTGTAAGCTCCAATTTCATTGTTATTAAGACTCTTGACTATCTCTCTCTCTCTCTCTCTCTTTCTCTCTCAGCTCACCAAGTTATTTAAATCCTTCACCAGGTAACACATGCTAACATGAAACAGAATCATAACTTGAACTTATTGTATTTGAATAATTTGATCATAATGTCATATTTGCTCTGGAGAAGTTGATTATATTTGATCACCATGAATGTTCAAGATAAAGTTCAGTCTCGAACCTTTTTTTCAGAGATTCACTTTCACCATGATAATGTTCATAAATTAATCTCTAATCATTATCCAACTGTTACCTGAATTTGTTAGATTATCAATCATCGTGAAAATGTCTGACAATCTAGTCTGAAAAATCAGTTGGAACTTTTTTTTTTCAATCTCCTGCATCTTTAGATTTTTTTTATCGACTACATGTTGATCATTTAAAGATACTTCATCATGTTATTTGGAAACTTTTTCAAAACGTTTATTTGACAGGCCACCGTTTATATCTGATGATATGAAGATCGTCAACGAAATTCAAAGCGAGTCAAAATTTTATTCTAATATTTTATTCAATGAACGAAATTTGTTTCAATGTTTCATTATCAATAGTTAACATTGTTCCAATATAGTGACAGGTTTATGGTTCTCATCTGAATGTGAGTATTCTTGCTCAAGAATATCACACATTTTTAAATTATTGATCACCATGGGCTGAGCCTGAAGGCTTAAGAGGTATACTCAGAACATGTTCATTGTTTATGGTGAAGAATCATCAGAATTTCTCGATTTTCGAAACATTCAAATGGCCTACAAACAAATTTCGTTCAAGGAGAAACTCAATTGAATCACATCAAAATTCATACAATTAAAGTTCATACGGCTTGTGGTTATCCAATGAATCGAGCAAAAAAATTTCGATGGAAAATAGTTCAATATTCTTTGGAATCAGTTGGAACTTATTTTTTCTACTAAAAGACTTTTGAACTTCATGTTGATAACATGATTACATGGTCATTAGATTTAGACTAAATTGGTCCGATCTTACAAATAGCAATTTGACAATTTGAATAAAGTGTTTAATGGTTGAGAAAATTGTGATAGTTTGGTAATCAAATTTTACTTTTAATGTTTAATACTCGATTTTGTTTTTATCATTCATATGTATTGTCACATTGTAATGGTTAGGTGGACATTTTGACTACTTTATTGTCAAATTAATGTGCTCCAAAAATAAACAAGAATGTATCAATATGTTGTCAACATTTAACTATCACAATCATAGAAACATGGTTATAATTCATTACAATTTAATCATCAGTCTGAATCACATATTCTAATTAATTCCAAATGTCGAACTGATAAGATCAATGGTTGGATCTGTCAATCAACTATTAGATTATTACTAGATTATTATTATTATTATTATGAGAAAATTAAATAATCAGATGAACAGTATTGTAATCTGATTCTGATCAGAATATTCGAGAATATGAAGTAGCTATGATCTCCTGGAATTCAAATGAACTTATAGTATCTGGTGAATCTGTGGAGGGAAACAAAAATTTACAATTCTAAACGTAAATGAAAACATTTCCAAGGTTATAATGAAAGAAAGTGATTCTATTTCATGTAATCATGTCACGAACCAATGAAATTCAATAGTTGAAACCATAAAGGATGAAACATGACAGAATCATCAAAATTTACGGAAATAGTTGAGTATTCTCATGGTAGATAAACAATAATCTTCATTTAAAATCTTGAAACGGAAATATTTTGATAAATGTGAGCTCGAAAACAATTAAAAACACTCACCATGAGGTGGAAAAAAATGAAACATTGAAATGTTTCATGATAAATGGTAAATGATGATGATGTTGTTGATGAAAGATCTCATCTCATTTCTAAAGGTAAAGTTTCAATCAAATTTGATTACATTCGGATAGATTTTGAATAGTATTGATGACAAAATGGTCTCATGAGGGTAAGGCTCAATTCTTATAACAAATACAAAGGAAAAGATATCTAATACCATGACGGTTGGAAAACATTACCATGAAAACCGAATGAATAAGTTGCATTAACATTTATCTAAATCAATTGGGAATTTGTAAAGTTAATCATGAGTGTTGATTGTTATCGTTTATCAGAATATTATTCGTGTGTATCTTAATCGGTTAATATTATATCACTTTCTCAAGATGGGATTTCATGAGGTTTGTGAGGTTGTCGAAAAATTTATCGTGTCCATTTAAGGTAAGTAACTTTACTTGTTTCTTTCATCTCATCATTACCTTCATTCACTATTCTTGTATATTCATATATTTGATAATGGAAAAGTTTATTCATAATGAATATTTGGTTCACTTGACAAAACCTGACAAACTAAACTGTCCCTCAACAAATCAGATGATATTGAAGTTATCAAGGTTCTAGAACTTTTTTATTTGATAAACATGAGTTAAAGATGAATTGAATAGTCTATCAGTGAAGATTGAAAATTGTGAATAATTTGAATATTTGTATAATAAACTTTTGATGAAATTTCCAATGTCTGAAAAAGTTGTTCAATATAACCAAGATAATTCCGAGATATTCATGGTGGAACGATATGTGTAATAAGCAATCATCACCCTGATATTTTCATGATAAAAGTAATTGAACAACAGTGATATGAAGGGCGGAAAATTGTTTCTCGAATCTGGTATCGAGAGGGGTAAAAATATTCACACAGTTGGTATACTGAGAAATAAAATTTGAAGCTCTCATGAAAAATGATACAATAGAAAAGACCTGAAGCATCTTCAGGGAATTCAATTACTACTACATGAGAACATGAACTTTTTTCTTCTGTTCTATATGGACGTGTGATGGATCTTATGTTATATCAATCTAAATAAATTTCCAATTCTCAAGCGTATGTAGACCTTGAACAATGTTCTCTTATCATGATCGTATTTCATTCACTTATCGATAGAATCAGAGTGTTCAAGTTTATTCCTTCCATGGTACTTTTGTTTTCTTTTAATTAATCGTTATAATACTTTTTCATTCTCTTAACAAACAGAACTAATGTCGTGGTTTTTTCCCTTTCCGCCTAATGTAAACCTCTGAAAATTAGTAGATAAATAACTTACAAGGTGAACTTTATGGATGGGAAAATATATCAAGTCCATTCAGGACAATATCTGTAGCACTCAAGTTTAGGTAATCAATTTTGTTGTACCACTTAAAGGTAAATTGATTCAATCCAAGTGATTTTGGTTAGTAGAAAATATGAAATTTCCTGAAATCATTACACTATGTAAATTTCAGGGTTAATGTGTTCAGAATTAAATTGAAATTCTCTCTCTTCCTTTCGCGAACTCATGTACTCTCTAGAAAAATATTCTATCTTACCGAGTATAAGCAAATAATAATATTGTGATGGTCATAAAAGGTCAATTACCATGGTCAATTCTTTACCTGGAGAAAATAAGCTTAAACGCTCAGTGAACTACCTTCTCTGTGAGTCCAAGGTACAGAAAAAAATATAACTCCATAAGCCTCTTACCTCATTGCACTTGAACTCCATGATATTGAAGGTAATCCATGATGACCTTTAGTATTTTCAAGCTTCAACCTGAATTTCCACCCTCAAGTGAACAATTTACTCTTATAATGAATCAATGAACTCTCTCTCTCTCTCTCTCTCTCTCTCTCTCTCTCTCTCTCTCTCTCTCTCTCTCTCAGTCAACGATACAGTCTCAACGAAATTAACATCTAGGTTAGGTAACAATTTCTCGACATTTTTTATGAGAACAGGTAATTTCATTTTATGAAATCAATTATGATTTTTTCTGAGTATCTCTTGAAATTCATTGTACATTCCCATTGAGAATGGTATCTCACTTAATACTATCTAATGTTATACTTTTTTTTTCAAAGTTACAATTAATTCAAATTGAAAATTAAGCAAATCAACATGCATGAAAGTAATTGAATAAGAAGATTATCTTGAAATGATATTAAGTAATTTCATCATGTAGATAATATAACCATGAAAAATATAACCCATGAAAATCGTGATATTACCGTGAAGATGACTGAAACAAAAAGTTGAAATGTTCTCATGCGATTTCAAACATTTTAACTTCGTTAAATTTGTTGGGTGCAAATTTTTTTTCACCCTAACAATTAGTGTTAACATTAATACATATTATTAAAGAAAAAGTTTTTTCTTTCTACTTTCAAATTCAATTCAACTCATAATTATCACGATAATTATCATGATGTAACCTCCAGGGTGAGTTTAGCATTTTAACTTTTGACTCTGTTAACAATGTTTGATTGTCGAGCTATTAATGGGAGTGGGAGGTTATGCTTATCAAATCAATTGTTTTGTGTTTAATTGTTGTTTGAACAGAATCTTCCATGGGAAATGTGAATGGTAAAATAGTGAAAGTGATAGAAAAAAAAGTTCTAATTCAAATTAATCTATAGAATTTTTTTTCTTTTATAAATGATGAAATTATCTACAGAGGGTAATGAACATTTTGTTTTAATTCTTTGTCTAAGTTTCGCTTGAATTAAATGAAACTTTTAATCGAAATACTTTTTTCTCATAAATTTCGAATTTTTTTTCCTTTTTTTCAATATTCTTATACGAATACAATAAATAGATTCAAATCATCAAAAGATAATACATATTGATCTGATTTTTGAACTTTTCTTTTCTTTTCTTTTTGATAATAGATGAGAAACTAATTCAACTCTTGGTTAATTTTAACTATGATGATGATAAAGAATCGATATTCTTTTGACTTGTTGAAGTTCTTATAATACTCTTTTGCTTACCTACGATTTCCTTCACTTGTTTCCAGTTCGTGGACAATGTACAAAGCATCGTTTGGATTTACCTTTGACCCAAAAGTGAAGTTCGATTGATTGATTTGTGGCTTGTTAAATAATCCAATCCACGTTGTTGGTGTGATCGGTATCGAATGCCAATTAAGCTCTAAGTGACGTTGAGTGAAACTTCGGGAAAACAAGGTAGACCGATCGACACGAGAAGAGACCGTTAGCCAAACATGAGAATTAGCAGTTGAACCTAAAAGGAAAACAATTATTTCGAGTTGAGTCAGAATGTATTCATAATCCTCATGAAATCTTCATTCCAGATCCACAGAAACATATGAACCATATTCATATGTACATTTGAAAGTATCATGAAAGGAAAAAAGCTCCACGAGTATGAGAAAAAAAGAATGAATTTTAATCATGTCGAAAATATAAATCATAGACCCAGCGGGCTTCAGAATTGGAATAATTTTCTTCAATCTAGAGACTCAAACATTCAATTACCTGTTCAAACTCAGGTATATATATTAATATCTAAACTAAGAGTAGAAAATGATATAAGCTCTTTACAATTATCAAATTCTGATTTCACGATTATTCAAGATCAAGAACTTTTATCCATTAAATTTGGTTTCTCGTTTTTTTTCTCGTTCTTTTTGTAAACATACTTGCAGTTCGATAAATAATCTGAATACATGTAAGCTAATATATTTTTTTGGTCACTTAATCATATCATGATAATGGAATCAATTTCATAGTTGATTGATAATAAACAATACAGAAAGTATATCAACATGGTGATGGTTCTTTGTGTAAATATTATCCTAAACCTTATGAATATTTGTAATTGTTTTTATATTATCAACAGTTGAGTAACTTTCATTACCATTCCCTTTGTTATTTATGCAATTAAATGAAATCAACGGAATAACCAATTGTTGACCATGTTTATTACCATGTAATAGAATCTGGAAATAGATGATGATGGCGGTGAACTCTGATTAACTTCAAACCCTCAGAATGCTCATGTTAAACATGAGAAAATTGAACGTAAATCTTATTATCAACATTTCCATTTATCAAATTGGTGATGTTGATATTTCAAGTGGACAATAAGTTCGTAAACTCTGTTTGGCGAAAAAGGAAATTATTAGAAATGGGAAAGAAAATGTTAAAACAATAAATCACAGAAAGAAAATGGTAAACTTTAGATAATCCTAATGTTGACCTTTTCCTATTAACCAACTTGTTCGTTTACTGAGAGTTTTCTGTTTCTCAGACATTCAATGCTTCTGGTCATCTGATTGTTAACGATAATATTGATTTTTTCAGTAATAACGATTGGAAAAAATGATTTTCATGGTGATTCGTGATATTTAACCTTAAGGTATCATCAAATTCTGATTGAAACTTGAATGTAACTTTTGTCTCAAATATAATGAGTTACAAGTTGATCATTTATTATTTAGTTCAACTGAAAATTTTATCACAGTTTTAACAAAAAAGTTCATTGGCTTCAAGTTCAAGTTCATTGGGTTTTTTTGAGCCTCTTCATGAGCCTAATTTATGGTGAAAGTTTTAACACTTTACCTTTGCAACTTTAAATTAGAAAACTTTTTTCTCTCTCTCTCTCTACATTCAATTTGTAATGTACTTTGATTTTACATGAAAAATCAGCAAGTTAATAATAAAGTTCATCATGAATATTTTGTAACCTTCGGGGTTTGACTTTCATGATGAATTATTATGTAAAGTGAGAGAGAGAGAGAAACTAATGAAAATCTAATCCATATTGAACATTTAATTAACTGGAATCAAATTTTCGCTAAATTCAATTAGTGTGACAAAATTAAATAAAGTTGATTGTTACATTTATTGTTGGAAGGCCAATAATGAACAAGGAAACTTCAATCAATTTTAATAAAGTTATGATTTAATTTTCAATTTTTGTAATTTCAGTTAGTACAGTTGATGAATAAAATAATCAAAATCAATCAATTGAATTAAAATGTTTTGATACAAATTTTCTAATTCAGGAAATGGAGTAAAAAATAACTCTCATAGGCTGGTCATCAAGTTGTTTGACCAATGGTCGTCAATATATGTGTTTTATTTAGGATTGGAAAATGAAAACCATCAACAAAAATAAGTAATGAGGTTAATAGTTACGTCACAATTTGTATCAATATAAAATATCAAAGTGGATTAGTAGATTGAAAAAGAAGAAAGAAAAAAGTTCTAACCTTATTCGAGTTATCATATATATATATATCTAGTGGAAAATAATTATGAATAAAACATTATCAGAATTATCTTTAAACTCGGAAATAAGGAGAGAAATGAGATTTATCAATGTGGAACTTATCAATATACAATCAATATTGGAAACTCAGGTAAACAGGATGAGAAATGTTCAGTCTGGAGAGAAAATTTCTGAAAACTTTTTCTTTCTTTTCCTCTTCGCCTAACCTAACCATCCAATGGCACATAAATAATGAATATAAATGCTTAATTGGAGACAAACATTGAAGATAAAATCAAAGGAAAACTCAAGAGATTGTTATTGTTTCAAAGATAAAGAAGATGATAAAATAAATTAAGAGAGAGAGAGAGAGAGAGAGGAGAGTGACACTTGAGATTGAGATTTTGGTTTAAAAATATTCTGTCTACATCATAATCATCCATTCATCAAGTATTAAAGATTAAATTGATTCTGAAGAATTGGATGAAAAATTCTGGTTGACATGTTACATATACGTTTATATTATATTGATCTAATCATGTAAACATGAGTGAACGAACCAGATCATCAACATGATCAGTCTATCACTTAATCTTAGATGATGATAATGTGTACAAAATTATATCTGCTTAAAGTAATTAACATGAAGATACAAATCCATGAGAGTTTACCTTTGGGTTAAATAGTTTTACATCATCACAAATCTTAAATAAACAGACAAAAAGCTTTGATTGAGTAATAACAAATAACGACTGACCAGTGACGATAATGATGACCATTGATGGTAACATGAGGAAACAAAGATATACACATGATGAAAATTACCTGAAACTTTAGTTGAAATGGATAACAGAAAAACCATCAGAAGCAAACTGACCAATACCGATGGGTCAAGAATCATTGTCATTGATTTTAACCACGTTTTCTGGATATGATTTGGATTATGATGTTTGTTGATTACAAAGGATGATAACAAGATGAGGATAAACTGTAAATGGATGACGATGATTATGATGTCAATGGTAAGATAACATTGGAAACAAATGTAATAGTTTTTTTGTTTATCTGTTTGATGAACAAAAAGATGATTTTTTCCTAAATTGTTACCTGATATCTTTTGCCTTCATCTACCTGTATAATATTATCATTACCTGAGAGAGATATTTACAAAAGTTATTATTATCTCTGGTGTTATGTACATTATCATTTATTTGAGCTAAAATGTTGATAAAATGGTTTGTTTATCATCAACTTGACAAAAAGAGAGAGAGAAAATTTTTTTTTTCATCGTCATCATTTTTTTTATGTATTATCCTCAATGATAAAAGTAAATTGTTGATAATGATCATGTTCGTGATGATGATGTTCAAATCATCATTTCCAATTGATTGTCACTTGATTGTGACTCTCACCTCATTGTGATTCCATTAATCATCCATTATTATTTGCTGATTAATATGATTACTGAGTAAAAGTTATTATAACGTTATAATGTTATGTTGAATGAAAAGATAAAAGTTCTGATTCAATGTAATAACTTTTCTCTTATTTTTTCGTGATTTTTATTTCATGGTGACTTTCAACTTCTATCACTGAATTCCTAAAGTTTCTCATTGATTCAGAGAGTGAGAGAGAGAGAGAGAGAGAGAGAGAGAGAGAGAGAGAGAGAGAGAGAGAGAGAGAGAGAGAGAGTAATCACAACATTGAAAGTGGATGTCGTAATATTTTACTTGTTTCTTAATGATTATTGAGAAAATCAATCAACAATCAATCCGGAAACTAGTTGATTTTTTGTAAATTATTTTAATTGTTTAATTTACATTCATTGTTTAATTAAGCAAGCAGGGTCAAATATTTTACCGTAAATGTAAGGATTAACACATGAATTTGAGATTGCAAATAAAAATAATACTCCTTGAAGGCGATTATCAACCTGAAAAGCTGATGACCAATCAATTTGATACCATAGATGAATGGTAGCATAGGGTGTCCAGCAAATTATAAAAGTCGCAATGATTATGATTGTATCTTTGACAATTTTTGAGCCAATTTTACGCCTTTGACGAGACGTTGTTGATTTGATTGTTGCTGCTGTTTTTGTTACTGTCATTGGTACTGATGGTTGGATTGTTGTTCCGCCGGTTGGGTTACTTAAAATACTGAACTTCAATGATCCAGTTGATTTACCTGTTCCTTTGGTTGATACTTTATTTGTACCTGGAATAGTTGTAATCATTGTACTAATTGCAATCGATTGATTATCAATATAATCACAGCGATTATTGTTAATGTTATTATTATGATTAGTTGTTAAAGTATCACCAAGATTAAGGTGATTAACTTGATAATCATCGTGATTAGTATGGTCTATATTTATATTTTCATGGGGATTATCAACCTGATCATAATTGTGGACATCATTTAGATGAGGCTGTTGTTGTTGCTGAGGATGAAGATGCTGTTGATGATTAGTTAATCCGTAAGCATCAGAATGCTGACTCTCTGGATTTACGGCTGTACCTAAATCGCCATTTCGAAATACTGATGAATACAGAAAAAAAATACAGAATAGAATGAAAATAGTATTCATAGTAAAAAAAAATCTTAATCATGTTATCATCTCCATGGTGATGAATAAATGTTGATCATAAATTCTGAAGATGATTAATGTTGGAGTGTAATTCAGATTTAAATTGTAAACAAAAACTGACAGAAAAGTTTCTCAGACTGGAAAATTTTCTCAAATGTTAATCTGATTAAAGTTATACTACTAATAATATAAGTTATCAATAATTCATGATAAATTTCATGATGAAAATCGTCTAAATATTATCCTCTCATTGAATTATTTCGTTTTAATATTGAACATCCTGGAAGTATTTTCTCCGACTGTATGTTAATCGGATAAAATAAGTTGACGATGGTTTCGAGGAATCTGATATTTATTGAATTTCTCTATCCATTTACATGTATTTATTTTTCCATGAAAAACTAAGCAACAACAATAATATCCAATTAACTGAGAAGGTTTGAAATTTTATTGTACCAATTAGTAAACTACTGGTTATTTTACTCCTATTGAATTGAAAATTATATTAAAAAGTGTCAAATTTCAAGGTAATACAAAACTAATTGTTTACCTTTCTATGATTGTAATTGAATTTCACCAAAATCACCATTAAAGATACATTGTAAATGTAGATAAACATTGGTCATATATAAGTTTATCAAGGGTCAAGTGAATATGATTAGTTTAAATGATAAGAGAAATTAATTACCTGTTAAAAACCTTTGAACCATTTTTCGTCTAATCTTGATACAGATGAAAGTGTAACACAGGGTGATACAAAGTAAAGGCACGAAATAGATTATACAGAGACAGAAAATGTTGTACATTCGAAGTTGATCTTCCGTTGCAGCCTTAAAATTGACACATTGGGTAAAAGTCGGAAAATCTTTTGGACTTTCAATACGAAAAATGAAAATCTAATGATAGAAAAGGATAAGAAATGATTCAAACTTTGAAATTCTTTTCGAGGTCACTTTCATTTCTAGGAATAACGAATGTTGTTCAAGATTAAGAAATTTTTAAGGTAAAACTTACCTGTGGAAGTGCAAATATAAAGCTCAATAACCAAGCGCAGATTAGAATTTTTCTTATAAAATTATCATAAGTTTGGTATTTAAATGGTGAATAGACGGCGAGTAGACGATCAATCGAGATACATATTAGTACCATTGATGAAAGATAAATACCAAAGACACGATAAAATTGGAAAAGTTTACACATAAGATTTCCCGCCTTCCAAGAAGCGGTTATTCTCCAGGCGATTTCGGTTGGTGTCATTAATAAGGTTACAATGGCATCGGCGATGGCCAAATTTAGGAGCAACTTTTCATGTCGAGTTTGGGTGTATCTTTTACGCCAGGCCAGATTATAGACGACGTAAAAGTTTGCCGATCCACCAATAGTAAATAAGAAAACATAAAATGACAGTTCAAGCAAATTAACAGAAACCAAATCATGCCAATCTTGGGTTATATTAAATGCCACCGATGGTAATATTGAACTTGAATCAATGATTAACGAGGAGGGTGTGATATTTAGATCAAGGTGGAGATCATGGTGAACATGTTGATGATGATGTTGGTGATGATGATGGTGTTGATGAGGATAATCATTTAATTGTTGTTGATATAACATTTTTTCATTTGAGTTAATAAATGAATTTGTATCCATGATCATTGAGAGTTAACTGTCGTTGTGTCTGAATTTTATTTTATAAATCTTAATTTAATCTTAATTTTAACAATAATCAAACTAATCTACTTATTAATCCATTTGATTGTTGTCACATTTAGTAAAGAAAACTTTAATCATCACTTTGTTGTTTAGTTAATTTAATTATTTCACTTGTCGTGAACATGATAACATCCATCACTATAACTGATTATTGTGATTATTTAAAACTTGATTGTTAAGTTGATTATTATTAGAGTTGTGGCTATTTTTCAATGTAATTGGATAAAGTTTAATCGCCGAATGAGACTGAAACATGATTGTACTAAATGTTTAATAGTTCGAACTTGACAAGGTTTGTTCAAATTTCGAGAATAGTTGTAACTAAGATTTCCGTGAAAAGAAAAAAAGATTTGTTCATGTCAACTTAGAATTTATTCAACAATCATGCTCATTAGCTGCATCATTATCAACTCCATCTGCACTATACATTCTGTTATTGATTGAAATGTTACTAAATCTAATCTACAGATGACACTAGGTTAACTAACAATCAAGAATCAGCATATTTTAGACAAAAAAACGACAAATTAATTGGCCAATTGACCAAACAATTAACAAAACAATCAAATGAGCTATCGGTTATTTTGATTTTCTATTAACTAAAGATCATTTTCTATGTCCCTATGAAAACTCAACCCTTTGTATGCAACATATATTAATTGACTGTCACGACTAACAGACAAAATCTTAGTTCAAAAGGCCAAAAAACAATTAACCAAAGCTAATTATAGAAAATATCAATTAGCACTAATTAACAAAATCAACAAACAAATAACTGATTCCTACTTGGATTCATTAGAAATCGACAAATATTAGTTGCATTCTCTCTCTCTCTCTCTCTCTCTCTAACGTGTAACAACAAAAAAATCGAAAAATAGCAAAAGTGAACCTTAAAATTATATTTACTTTAATTTAATCCTACCGAACCTTATCATAGATATGGTGGACATTTTTGTTTATACAATTTTGATAGTGACCACTTCACTTTGGTTCTACACCTCTTCAAACAACAACATTCACATCGGTGAGGAATCGACAACGTGGTTTAGATGTCCAAACTGGCCACGACTCCATAGAAAACAAAATTAACGTAACAAAAATTCATTGTTATTTCAGTTCCAATTTATCTGTAATGTATATGAATCTAAATCTGTGAAAATATTTATTCTTATTCTGTATCAACGCTATAAGCGACAACAATTTCTAAATGTAACAAAGTCACAATCATCCCGATAAGCGTATTTCGATTGGGCTAAAGTGGTGAAATAAGAAACTAAAGATCTTTGATAAGAAAAGGCTAAGAATATTAGTTGATGAGTTCACTTTGATTTTGAGCTTTCCATTCAGCATAGATTTCGGCCTTTAAATGAGAGAGTTTCCAACAAGATTGGTACTGCTGAAAGATTTTTGAAGTTTTCTTACATAAAAATACCAGCACCTCATGATTCATTTGGCATATTAAATATGCAAAGTAAATATGCCATATTTTAACTTTGTTTTAATAATCACCGTTGTTTTATTTTGATGATACTTCGAGAAATCCATCTCGCGCGCTTAAAATCCTTAGGTGACCACTGATTACTCAAGTGAATATTATACATTCAGACCCACTTTTCATCGCAGGTCTCTACCCGATCAAGAAATGGTTCGACTTTGAACCTTCTGAGTAATTCACGAACAATAGATACTCGAAGAGATTACCTTCACGGAAAATATAAGGTATCCATGTTTCTCGCTTCTTAACATGTTCTATTCGTTTAAGGCAATTGCAAATAGTTTTTTGACAAACATTGAGAGTTCAAGAGTTGATAGTCGAGGATTAGATTGCACAGTTTGCCTCAGCTCATCAAGATTCAAGGTCATTTTTCAACCTAAACTCTTGAACTTGCTAAGAGAACTAGTACTAGCGACAAACGTTTTCAACCCTAAGTTCTGAGCCAATGAAATCGCTTTAGCTTTTATCAAATTATCATCAACAGTGTGACTTTTTTGTTCAAGTAATTCAATGAATTCGAAAACCAATGAATCAACAAGATTGTAAAGGTTACTAGATGGACAACGTTAACGACGACATAAATTTTCTGTTCTAATCATCGATTGATAAGATTCTTTTTTTGTTTGATCCTCGCTTGTTGACTGACATTGTACTTGGTAGCATGGTCTTGTTGTTTCATTAAATCTAATTCATTTATCACTATTCGATGGATACCTCATGTTAATTTACTTTTTCACTGATTAAGAAAAGGGTTAATTTGAACTACGATAGATGTCGCCCCATGTCAAAAATACAACACAAGTGGATACACTACTGGATTTGTTAAGATGATGATGATGATAATGAAAAAGAAAAAATTTTGACACCAACGGGCTAGTCCTTTCCAAAGTATTTATTTTAGATCTTCTGGAAAGGATAAGCCCGAAATCTTTTGAAAAAACAATTGGCGTGAGAAAGGACAAGTGATATATTAAAATAATAATATCAGCATCAATTATCTTTAAAATTATCCTTATAAGTCAATAACTAGCGGTCCACTCTGGTATCATGATATCAGAAGCGCTGGTGATACCAGAGTGGGTCGCTTTTATACTACTGTTCGCTAACAATTTAGATAAATTCTCTTGATTACCAATACATAGTTGATTGTAGACAGTAATTTAAATTTTCATTTTCATTATTTATCGATTCAAAAGTTGATCTTACGGGTCAGAGATATTTTTAATAGCAAGTTGAAATATAACAACAATTTTACAGTTTAAAACTTTGATATTGATTATTCATCCAAATAATACAACTCAAGACAGAACGAATTTGATTATCAAATAGGTTGGTTGCTCATTTAGTGAATGAAACTATTGTGATCTTGAATAATTTACATGATTGATGAATCTCAAATCCTCTAGTGTAGATTAAGTTGTACTTTTTTCGCTTATTTGTCATTAGACAATTTCAACCAGATCTTCAGGCATCAGGTAATTTTCAATGTTAACTATTTCATCAACAATTGATTGTGACTCTCCAGGCTCAGTTCCGGTTGAATTGATTTCCTCCATGATAAATTGTTTATCAGGTGAACAATTGGAAACAAGTTCTCGATAAATTGAATCAAAATTAAGTCTATCTTTTGGTTCAGTTTTCCAGCAGCCAGCCATTAGCTTATAAATAAATTCTGGACAATCTTCTGGTGGAATAAGTAAAATACCCTGAAGAATCAGCTTAACAACCTAAATAGTTTTATATAAAAAAGTACAAATGAAAAAAAGACCAAAGGTTAAAATTTAGTGGAAAATCAACAAAACCCTTGGAATAAAAATTTCATTATCTTCACGAGGAGTATATTCATATATGTACCATGAAACAAACACCTTGAAATTATTACTTTCTCAATGGAAGAAAGCTACTCAACATGATGTTCATTCAATTGTTCATCTAAATAAATCCTGATACTTATCATCACCATAAGAAATAAGTCAGTGTGAAAGTGAAAGATTATCTGAATAATAATGTAAATATATTTATTCTTGATATATTATCTACTCCTGAATTCACCCTGAAGTTCATTGTATGTAATAATAATGACAACAGTTTGCAAATTAAATCTTACCTGTCAAAATAATGTAAATACAAAGTAACGCTCCCAATCCTAGTAGGTAAACTTAATAACTCCGATATTCATTTGACAATTATAATTATTATTATCTACTCGATGACGATAATTAATGATTAACTTGAAAATGATTGAAAGGTAACTGAAAGATTAGTAAACATTTTTTTCTCTGATATCATTCTGACATTTTCCTAAACATTATCGGGAAAAAAGTTCCAAAAACTCAGTAACATGTTCAATTAAGTGTACTCTTGTTTATTTTATCTTAATCCTCATCATCATCAAGTTATAATAACAATATACACTCTGACGTTTATTATCATAATCAATGATAAACTTGATGATTAACTTGATAAAATGTTGACGGTTAATCAGTTTCAATAATTATCAACATGATTACCTTTCATTTTTTTTTCTGATGAAACTTTTTCTGTGCCTCTCAATGATAGCAGATTTAAATGTTAATAGTTTTGACTATCTAGTTGATTACTGGTCAACTGGTAATGACCAGTGGTGATTATCATTTGCTATATTTACAATGTTTAATTGTAAAAATTACACTTTCTGGTATATGAATAAGAACTGAATTTATAGATTGTTATTAAATTTGTGTTTTGCCACAAATTGAATTTTTTTTAAATTTCAAATTTTAATTGAGTAATTTAAATTCAACTGGATCATCATGTATTCACTTCAATGAACTGGAAATTTAATCATTGTTTCAATTAAACTATTAAAATGATGATGATGATGTTATTTAGTTTTGTTATCTGGCATCAAATGATCGTATTTAACTAATAATATTAAGATATCTAGGATTATTGAGGGGAATATGAAGTTTAATTATTCTATTTCCGGGTTTCAAGGATAGAATTGAATTTCTAGTGATAATTCAGTTTCGGTTGAGTCCAATTTCAGAGTAAATATCATGATCCTCACTAGTTATCGATCATGATTTCGTAATGGTCAATAATATTGGATGTTGAAAGTAATTATTATTTACTTAAGAAAAGATAATAACATGAAATCAAACATGAGATCGAAAGTTCAGTTTCATGTACTCATCTTATTTCATTCAGATCCTAACTCTTTTGTAATCATTAGTTTTCAACCTCTCTCTCTCTCTCTCTTTCTCAAATCATTGATTCAATAACGATAAAGATAATTAGTGAATTAATATCAGCGTTTGTTTTATAAGATCTTATTTTTATATTCCATGATGATAGCTTATTATTAATATCTCTTGGTTTCCATTGAATGTTTACCTCATCATTTGAATGTCCATAGTAAGGTTGCTTTCCAAAGGCAAATATTTCCCAAAGGACGACACCGAAAGACCATACATCAGATTCCAATGTATATTTACCATAAATAATACTTTCAGGTGACATCCAACGAACCGGAAGCATTTTACTTCCGTTTACCTGGGAGAATAAAAGTAAAAACATTTTATATAATAAAAAGTCAACGAAAAAAAAAAATGAAATTCTAAGCTTAACAAATAAGAATTGAAAGTGGAAGTGCTGCAAAATCTTAAAGTTAATCTGTTAGAATACTTCTGAATAATACTTCAGAACAAATAGGAAGAAGAAAATGGAAACTTCTAACGTGAAGAACTTTGTTATTTCTCCCCAAAAACGGGCAAAAACATCTAAACTCGACGATAGAGAAAGTAGAAAGTTCTGAGAAGAAATAATCATGCTGAGCAAACAATGAATATCAGCAAACAGGTAGCATATTGTTGTTATTATTTACCAGACTTTACAGCATTCAAAGTGGATTCACTACTTAGCATAGAGCGAAAACAAATTACTATCAAGGTAAGAGATAAATACATAACAAGAGATGAGTTGAAATGCTAAGCGTAACCTTGACAACAAAGGTAAATAATATATATTACATTTTGACGAGTTGACAATCTAAATCGAAAGCTTTGAGAGAATAACAATAAAAAATGTCAAGTTTCAGGTAACATATGAAACAAGATGGAAAGTTCAGTTATTGTTTAGTGTACAGTTGTATGGATTTACAGAATTTGATGGTCAAGGTTTGGTCAAGTTGATCTTTTTTTAAGAAAATTTCATCATCGTTATTACCTTGTAATAATCACAGGTATAAATATCTCTGGACAGTCCAAAGTCTGATATTTTAACGGTCAGATTGTGGGTTACAAGGCAATTTCGTGTAGCCAGGTCTCGATGAACAAAATGCTGAGATGATAAGTATAACATTCCCGCTGCAATTTGTGTCGCAATCCAAATTAGATCTCCCTGTAAGTGTTTGAAGATATTGATAATGTTAAGATGATTATTCTGAAAACTATAATCTCAATTTTGGCTGTTCAAGATTAACATTTGGTAATAACATGATAATAACATTTTTTTTCTGTTTTTTTTTCTCGCCTAATTCCAGTTCATATATCTGATTGTCATCATCATCATGCAATCATAGTGATTATGTTTCTTTTTGTTGTAAATTATCATAGTTATTGTTCATTCATCATCAACATGATTAATCAGAAGTAGAAGTGGAAATCATTTTTCCTTTGCTGCTTTCATCATATTGAACTCATACTGATTCCGTTGTAAATCTTATTATTCAGGGAATTCAGAGATGAGGATAACATCATGAATACCATAAGAGTTTTTTTCTTCAATGATTCATAGTGATGTGAGAGAGAGAGAGAGAGAGAGAGAGAGAGAGAGAGATTCCTATTATCCTGAATATAAGGTACAAAAAATTGTATCTCATGAAAAGATTCAACAAGCATGATGGTTCATGAGCTGAATCTGAAAGTGAAACTTGTTCAGGAATAAATTTCTCAGCCTATTTTTTGCATTTTATGTTAATTGCTGAGTTTTACTTTTGTTTATTATTTTTTTTTCGGAATTTCTTAATCCAGTTAATCATGTGGGATGATTATGATTAGCATCATTTTATTGTAATTTGGTTACTCGAAAAGTTAGACTGCTGATTTTGATCATTATTCAATCGTGTTCATGTTGTGTTGATTCATTAATCAACTATTTGAATTACTTTATCTATCTTTAAATTATCATCATCATTATTATCATCTTAATCACTCCCATTATCAGCCAAGGTTAATATTCACTTGCTAATTCATTTCCTAGATGAATAAAGAAAAGGTAATAAAAGTTTAGAATTTTTTTCCTCCTTAACCGATCATAATCTAAATCTTTTTTAATCACTCAATCACTGCCATGTGATTTAACTACAATCCATATAAAGGATACCATGGATTTGGAGGATTGATGATTAATTCATCAGGCTGATCATTTAATCATCTCCACATTTCCATCGTTAAGTTTACAACAAGTTTCAAAGAGATTAAAAAAGGATGATGAAAGAACTTTAAGAAAAAGCAAAAGTTTCGAGTATCGAACACTCGAATCGATAATTGATTCAAGAATTGATTCTTTTTTCAATAAACTTGTGAACAATTTTGATAAATCAGATTGAAATTTTCCTGATTCGATCTTCAGTAATTAAAGGAAAAAACTTAATTATTTGGAAACCTTCAAACTCCTTGTAGACTAATTAAATGCAACCTTCAATAAATTTGTAAATTGATCAGAACAATTAAGATGGAATATGATTAAAATTTGAATTGTATAACAATAATTAATTATACACTGAATCAAAGATAGATTAATTTAGAAGATGAAAAAAGTAATTTAATCAATTTGAAATGCCCAGTTTGAAATATAGCGATGATTTGGTTCAATAGCGTAAATTGATTGCTCTTGATTACTGATGATGGATTATAATTGATAGTTGGGATCAGAAATGTTCTTCTAATCAAATTAACCCTCAATCGATAGTAAAATTTTTCACAATCAAGACCTCTCTTTAATCATAGTCAAAGTAATTGGAAATGTTGTTAATTGTTACAATTTGAACCCAAAATCTAAATGAGGTCAAATAGATTTTTATTGTTACATAGAAAATAATAAGAGGATAAACCTTTTTTACCAAAATAACGACAATAGGAATTAGAGTAATTCTGATATGGAGAGAAAAGTTCATTGAAAATGAAACATATCTACAAATGTCGAAATCAGAACAATGAGTGAAAAAAAAGTTCCAAGATTCTTGCTCGATCCTTCCTTCCTTCCCTGTCACAATTTCCTCATTCTCATCAGTCTTTTCAACCCCTTGAAAACAGGAACCGCGATTTTTTATCCATCATCCTCATCTTCATCATCTCTCTCGTCATCATCATCTCTTAGATGGTTCAACTTAAGATCATCATCACCATTATAATGATTATCATGTATTAGATTTATATCATGAGCAACTCATGGGGAACAAAGTGGAAAAAGAAAAAATCTTAGAACAAGAAATTCTGGTTATAGATGATGATGAACATGATGAAGATGAAGATGATGATGATGATGGGTATAAGGATGAAAAATGAAATGACTGTTAAGTGAAAATGGATGATGGTGATACTATTAGTGATGGTGTTCATGGTGTTCATAAGAATGATGAACATATTGATGATAGAAATACTATCAAGACAAATGATGATTGAATCGATTACCATTTGAACCAAAATTGAACAAAGGTAAAAATACCAATGGGATTTATTAAGTATTTATGTCAACATGAGCAATCACCATTTTCTATTCAATTTAATTGTAGAAGTGTCAAAGGGTAAAGTTAGTAAAGAAGATCGGAGGGAAATTTCCACCATCGAATATAAATTTTCACGATTTGTTCCATTGAAACTATTTGTTCTAATCTGATTCGAATCTATTTTCCTCTGACCATTAACAGCAATCATCATGTTATTTATCACCTTTTATTGTTTCATCTTTTTTTTTCAATTTCTCATTTTGAACTGTTCACTTTTCTAATAGTTTTCTTTTCTCGAGTTTCTTCAACTGAATAACCGGAGATGTTTATTCTTGTTCATCGAGACTGAAATGAATTAATTCTGAACCATCAAGATCGATTTGAACATTTATCTTTCAACGCCCTGGAAGGAAAATAAATTGTGTAATCAAGATGAAAAAAAGTTCAAATTCTACTGAAAAAAATACTGAACCTCTAAGAGTCATTAAAATCCTCCAGAATATTATTTACAGTAATTACCTTAAGGAAATGTAAAAAAAAGTTCTAATATAAATCCCAATTCGAAAGAGATGAAAGTTTCCAGTTACTCTGATTCCAACATTTGTAACTAAATGTTTTCATTTGAAACAAAAGTTAATTTCAATTAACATGAGTATCATTTCATGTTTATCTACAGCCGATAACAATTAAATACAATGAGAAGCAACAATTTACTTAATGATATTAATATGATAAAGTAAAGGTAAGAGTGAAAGTAGAAAAGTTCTGAATTAAATTACCTTGAACATTATTGAAAATTCAATTTATCTTTTTGAGAGTTCGTTGCTTAATAATATAATGATATAAAAATGTATCCATTTAGCTATTAACATGTAATCACTGCAATTCTACTGTAATAACATGGAGCATGATGATTATCTTGAATATTTTGATAGAATTGTTGTCTACGAAATAAAAATGATCCTTACCTCATATAATGGTTTAATCTCAATTGAATCTGGATTTGAAATTTCATGATTCATAAGTGATAATGTTGTTCTAGTTGAACCAGATGAACCTGAATCCATGATCAAGGTTGTCGTTGCTCCGGTCAGAGACTTGGTACTACCAAGAATATTGGTCATTTGATTGTTTTCTGATTGTTGTTGTTGTTGTTGTTTATTTCTTAATTTCTTGGTATCACATTTTCTTAAAATTTCAGTTAAATCTCCGAGTGCCATATATTCAAATACCATGGAAGGTGTTGGCTCTTCATTGGTCACTCCAATTAGTTTGACGATATTAGGATGTTGAAAATTGGACAGTATTTCAACCTCACGTTCAAAATCAGCTCGAAGTTCATTTGAAACTCCTTCTTTCAGAATTTTAATCGCCACTTGAATGATTTCATCTTCATTGGGCTGATATTCACCTGAAGGAGGAGATGAAAAAATGAATCAATCAAATTAAATCATTCAGAATCTATTCTGATGCTCTTTTTATATCCTAATTTAATCATCACCAAAGATAAACAAATGCCTGATCATTGATTTACTATTGAAATTAGCTATTGACTCAAATGATTACAATCAATGAATGTCAATGAAGTGATTAGTCTGATTGTTTATTGATCTTAATAGTTTTGGTCATTCATGTGCTCTTGATGGTTTATTAAACTTTTCTAGGAATTGGCTTCCAAAGTATTAAGACTAATGATATCAACTAATCTTGACTAATGACCGAGTTTGATATATGTCATCTTTTGGCAACTCTGTAACTTACAACTTAGAACTTACCTTTATAAACTCGACCGAAACATCCTTCTCCAATCTCTTTTATGAATCGAATCTGTGTCGCTGGTATTTCAATGTTTTTCAAAATTTTTCTAAATGATGCATCAGGGGAACTGTAAGAAATGAAAGAGTTAAATGGTACAAGTATTTGCAATTAGTATTAATGATTGTCTTTTACATGGTGATAATACTGTGAATATAATCTATCGAGGAGATTTACATGAAAATGAACAAAATTGTTAACAAAGGAGTTTAATGGTAATGAGATTAAAACTAATTGACTTTCATCTTGGTGGTTCCAACTTATCATGTTATTCAAATGAATACGGATATTGTATTCATCACAAAAGAAACTAAACTTTTCTCATTTGCTTTATTCAAATTATTTTTTTTCCTCTTTCTTATTCATGATGATACAAGTTTCTTATAATCGTCATGTTTATCTTGGAACAGCCACCTAGATGAAAGTTTTCTTTAATCGTTTCAGGATTGTTATCATGAATGAGCTTATAACAGAATGAAAATCTCTCGAACTTTGATATTTTCCCTCTAAAATCTGATTTTCATAGTAAAAATTTTCCTCTTCTTTTATTCATCAAGCCAAATGTCAAGTAAGACAAACAAAATTTTCAAAATTTTGTGGTGATTTTTAAAGGTCGAGATGATGAATTTTCATCTCAAAAATAACTTCATCTTTATATTATTAAAATACTAATAATATTATATAATTCATAGAGCTCAGTGAATGAGGTGACATCTGATCAACTGGTCTTTTAGATAAGAACAGAGATGAAACTAAGAATTGATTTATGAGATAATATCTTCAACTATCTACCTGAAGAGACTCAGCATGAATATTTCATTACCATGAATGGTAAAGCAAATTATGTTTTTCCTTGAGTGGATGAAAACAATAAAAAAGGAAATAAATAAAATCATCTCAGAATAATACAGAAATCACTTATTCGTATACATGGAAAACATTTATCATGATAAAAGTAAATGGAAGAAAAAAAATATGAAACGGAAACAATGTGACGAATATGATATCCACTCGAGTATTATTGTTAACATTAGAAGTAGAGAAAAAGTTTTTGTAACATTTTCCATCAGTATCACCTCGATACAATATTTATTTGCAATAAAAAGGATAAAATATTAATAACATGAAACTGAATAATCTTCATCATTATATTGATACAAAGCTTTTCCTTTTTCAGCAGTTTAAATTCGTGGGAAGGTAAAAACTGTTGATTCAAATGCTGTTCTTGTGGATGATGAATACGATGAATAACTAATCAGTGGAACATGAATATATATAAATTTGGTTGGCTAAGTTGATTGGATTACTTTCAACGATAAACAATATTTTTATTATTATCATCTTTCTAATAGTTTATACTATCAATCCTCATTCCAAGTTGATTGAGGATTGTTGAAGATAAACTTTAATGATTATTATCATGATACATGGAAAAGAAGATAAAAGTTTCCTTTCAATTTCTTTTGGTCGCTTACCTTGAATAATAATTTGGATTAATCACATATTGTTGGATGCAACGGGCAAGTGATCCCTTCGATGGATCTGGACTTAATTTTCGTCTTGAGCGAAGCTTTGATATCACATTGTAACGACGAAGTACCATAAACATACCAATAAGAAGGGCGAATGAGATTAGACAGAAAATTGTTGATAGTAAAAGGCTATTGAATAATTTATTGGGTGAATTCATTTGCTTTGAATGTGTTAAATTTGAAGGTTCCTTGAGGATAGAAAGAGGAAAAGGGATTTGCAATTGAACAAGAAAGTAGAAAAAGTTATTTTCTAGAAAAGTTCTGATAAAGATTCCCAAAGACCAACAACAATTCATTTAGACCTAAACAGACAAACATTTTCTGGTTAAATGTAAATTAAGATATATTGTTATCTCTTATTCTTGACCATTAACTGACCATTATCTGATAATCATCATAAATGTTATTACATGATCATTGGTTTTCAGCTAATCAATTATTTGATTGTTTATATTATCAACTTGAAGCTTGAAATGAATAATTCTAGTTAGGGTATAAAATGTTGTAAATCTGATGATGGTGATTAATTGATAGTTTTCTGGAGGTTGGGTTTTGTTAAATGTCTAACTTGCCTGATCGTTTTTCCAAAATGGCTCGGTTTGTGGATGAGTATTACCATTGATAATCGTTGGCTCATGATTACGATCAATTGGTGTGATTTGAAGAGTAGGCAATGAATGTTCAGAATCAATCACAGTTTTCGATCCAAGATCTAGTTAAGATTATCATATTGTTAATGATATATTGTAATAGAAAACAATGAATTGAATGGCAGAAAATACAAAGATTGGTATGAAAACGATGAAAATTGATTGGAAGGGAGTTTCAAAGATTCATTAGTTTTCAAATTTAAATTGTTACATGGATCTGATCGTGATTGAATTGCAGGTTCTACTTTATTCATGATCTCTTGAATCATTTCCAGAACTTTTACCACTTATAACAATCAAACTAGATAAATTCATTAACTAGAAGCTAAATTTGCATATTGCGGTGATTCAGAAGACAATTTGACCTTGAATTTAAACTCATACAATCAAAAAAGTCTCAGGTATTAATAAAATAAACCAAAGAAAATCAACAGCCATGACAAAAATACGACCAGTATTCTAACTGTGGCGAAATCTTCATTATTAGTATGAAAACTCCGCTTATGAGTGGCTCAGATGCGGAAGTGGGAGGAAGATTTTAAAGGGAAATTTAAAGTCGAATTTACAGCCAACAATATTGATTCTTTTTCATCCTCATCCAAAACACTTACACCTTTACAATTATGAGTATTTTATACTCGCTGCTTTAGCATTATCTAGACTTTAGATGTTTTGAATTTTGACTGCTTCTGGTAATTAACGAAGTTATACGAATTAGAGAGCAGATTGATTTCTACCGATTATCTTTTAACAATGCACCTAACGATAAGATACGATCGAATCTTCTCTTAGGTAGATTATTTTTCCCAGACCAGGCAGTTTTATTACTACTAATAAATAAGTAATAAAAACTTTTCATTTCTTCAGGGTTATTTTGACCCGTTTAGATTTATCTACTTAACTTTTACTCACAAAATCGTTTATTAAATCAAAATTTATAAGATTTAGAATATTTTGTCTCGAGTTTATCAGTAATAGCTCTAGACAGAATGGTCTAAATCTTCTAAATTTTGATTTAATTACCAATTTTTTGAGTAAAATTCAAGTATATAGAATTAGCCACGTTCTCTGGACTCCTTTGAGTTAAAATTTTAGTTAAAGTTGAATTTGTGGATTTATTTTGTTTGTTGGATTTTAAATCTTCCCAATCATGATAACCGTCATTATCACAGAAATTTACACACACTTTTTATTTAAGTTTTATCGATCCAACTCAATAAGTAAGAAGTAAGTGCGTCGATTTTTTCTCTCTCTCTTTCGCGCTCAGAATCATTCAGTTTTTAATCTCTGTATCAAACAGTGTTCTCTCTCAATTTATGTGAAATGAATAACAAAATAGATAATTATTTCTAAAATAAAATGCAAAAACTGCTGAGCTTTGGATCATGAAATGGGCCAAAGCGAGCAATTTCTCTGAAATAACGATCCAAATGCATAATCTAGCTTGGACATTTGACCTTGGTTTTATTTTTTTATCTAGGGGTATTTTTCAGGACAGCTTTCTAAAAAGTGCTTATCGCCGGGAAAGTGGGAAGTAACTCTCATCGTCCTCTTTTATGTCAATATGGCCATTATCGGGAATGGATTCCTTCGTCATTATTTTTAATCACGCCAGCTGGCGAGCGAATTGTTCAGGGTTAGATTTTAGGATATCTCGTCGTTAGCAGACATTGATTCCAAATTTGAGCAATAATTCACAACAATACTTGCCACATGAATCAAATTTAAAGGCCAGCTCTCGTTGCAAACCAGTCCTACCATCGGCCACTTTTTTGAATTGGTTTAAATTTCGCGCCATCACTTTAATCACTTTTTGGCCACAATTGTAATAATTAGTAAATTTTCACCATTTCTGACCATTAACCCGATCCTGTAGACTGACCTCAGGGGTATATTAGAATTTTTCAGCCTATTAGCACATTGGTATAAACTTAATTCAGGATGTTCACTAACAAATGAAACTATAAGAGCGCGTTGATTACTACGATTGAGAACCATTTTGAAAAACAATTAATTGTCAACTAATTTACTTTTTTATATTAAAATGACGCCCACCAAATTTGCGTTTGCTTAAGTCTAATTTTGGAACCAAAAGGTCTAGTCTTAATCTTGATTTGAAAAACTTACTGTCAAACTTTACCACTCATACCTCAGTATTGGTACCACAATTAAAGCTAATTGTCGCAAAATGAAAAAATATTCCTTAAAATAGTGACGCTCATTTTAATGGTTAGCATCATGTGACCTTTGAATAAATCAGGAACAAGGAAATAAAAAATATATCGAAATTTTTGATGAGTTCAGATCTTTTTTCTACTTTTTCCTGTCTGCTTTCACTGTCCAGTGAATATGTTTACCCAATGATCCAGAACTTTTATCATCGAAAGCAAAATATTTACCAAATAAAATATAATTCACAAGTTCCCAATTGCTGGTTTACTACTAGTCTGGATTCATTGTTATCCCATGACCTTGATTTATTGACTCCTTGTAGCATGCTGATGTTCATGAAACTGAAAACAATAGGAAATCAATTTAAGTCTATCATTATGCTGAAATTGATATAATCTCAATGGTGATAAAAAAATGCTCAAATTGTTTACCTTTCACATTCAATTATCTCATCATGAGGATCATGAAATTCTTATCCAAACATTATGATCGTAATTTTATATTCACAGATAGTACTGGCTCAATACTCCTACTGAGAGGGATAGTAATAAAGTTGCTTATTGTCAGCTGTTGACGATTATATCAGAATTGATCTGAAGAATCTGTTGAGTCTTTTTCAATAACATTACTCATACCTCATTGAATATAAATGTGATGATTACCTGGGAAGTTCATACGATTAATAATAGTTTCATGGATTACCTTTAAATAACCTAAGAAACCATGATAGTGATGGTACATCATCATGATATGGGTAATAAAAGGTAAGAGAAAATTTGAAATATCAAAATTGGGAACACTAAGTTCTATCTTTATGAGTAACAACTTACTGGAGAATCATTTTCATGTGTCAAGTATCATGAAGATAATGATTCTAAATTGTAAGTATTCATTGAAGTTTTCTCAATTTTTCCATGGCTCATTTGATAAAAGAGTTTTATCTTCAAGGTGAAAAAACAAAACTCATTGAAAATCAACAGAATAATGGTAATATTATTAATAATAAGTTATCGATGAAAATTTTGAAGAAAATGTTATTATATGAGCCATGAATTCTCAATGTTAACAATTCATAAGATTTGAATTTTTCAGCACTTGATGATTTATCCAAGTTACAAGTTTACTGTTTACATTTATGCTCAGGGAGGGAAATTTTCAGTTCATTATCAACAAGAAACTCTTGATTTATGTTGTTTATATGATAAAGTTGAGTGTGGGAAGTTATTTCCGTTTCCTTTTGGTGAATATTCCTTTCCTCTTTACATGAAAAGATATTTTTTCGAAACTTTTTTCTCCTCATCTCTCTCTCTCTCTCTCTCTCTCTCTCTCTCTCTCTCTCTTACCATTCAGATTAGAAGTTGATAATAACTGCTCTCAACACAAGTTAAATAGATTCCCAAACCAGATTCATTCCAAGTAGTTACGAACAAATGAAAATGATCAACATGAAATTCACAGAGTCAGAATCTTTGAAATACATTGTATCTGAATTTACGTTTCATCATCCAGTCTAAAAGGAAGACAACATAACAATGTTTACCTGTGAGATTTTCGTTTAATAATATTTACAGTTTTGAGCTTCTAATGGCAAAGGTAATCAATTGTTTCCTTTTCAATATGAAGCTCATGAATTTGACTCGATTGAATTGAAACCAGAACTTTTCCTCATTCTCTTCATGTGTACTTTCACTCATTGTTAATTATAAACTTGAAACTTGCTGGAAATGTCAAATTAATTAGCAGACAAGAAATAAAAAAGGGTTAAAAAAGTTCAAACTGATAAATTTAGTGAATTAATCTGGTTAATTAACATGACTTACGAAACAATAAACTTAAACTAACATGATAAGTAGTTGATTAAAAATTCATTGTAAGTAAGTTTCTGATTATTTTATTTTTCTCAACACATTTAAAGCCAATTATTGTTTACATTTGCTCAAAATGTGATAATCAAACTTGTCAACTTGATTAATAATATAACAGTAACATTGTTATCACTTGATTAATTTAATGTTGATAGAAAAAAGATTTGTAATTAACTCTGTTAATTATTGAGTATGAGAAGAAAAAATCACCCTTAATTATTTTAATGCGTAAATCTAATTGATTATTAACCATTAGAACAATGAAATTATCGTTGATTGTATTTGGAGATTTTTTTTTCTTCCAACTCAATGACTTTCATGATTCATGGTAATTAATCATAATATTGTCAAACAATTAACTGTAATTAACTCAAAAGTAATTACTACTTAAATGATTGAAGAAAATGTGTCTTCTCAATAATAATCAGAAATTCTGTTTTCTTATTGAATCAGCAATTTACTATTTATCCGATTAACTATTGAAATTTATCCGATTCAGCAAATCAGCTTAATCTTGATGATCAGAGATGTAACAATTTAAGAGTATTGTTTCATGTATTAATCATGTCAACAATTAACTTTAATAAAGTTAACCTCGAAATTTTCAACGTAAAAACATGTTAGTAAAAGTTAATTGTTACAGATTGAATCACTTGAAATACTACAACAATTAGTCAACATTAACAATTTACTAAAACATGAAATTGCAAATAATACATTTAATTCCCAGAAGATTAATGATCAACACAATTGCAACTTTATCAATTTAATTGTTAATTAATCAACTACTCGTTCATCATTTCGTGCTCATTTCTTGCCTTTTTTTCAAGACATTATCTAAGTGCTAATCTTTAGCTGATTGTTAATCATGATTAACAATTAATACGATAGTTATAATTATAAAGAAAAACAATGATTACCCTTGGGTAAATGGAGTTTAGATTAAATTAGCCGATTAAAAGATTAACTTTTTATGATTGATTAGCTAGAGGATAAATTGTTAATCGTAAATGTATTAAAAGACTAATCGATTTTACTTTTTTGTTTGATTCTATTCAGATTTGATTGTTTGATTGATTTGGCAACTGATTCGATTTTGGTGGGCAATTTCAAGGAGATTAATTAGTATATCGATTACTCACCATGTTTGACTCGATCACAGCCGAGAATTGGGTCTTCGGGTCTGAGATCGTGGGTACAAATACATTGGTGACCGAAACTTGTACTTAAACAACCCGCCTCAGGGCCACAAGGTCGATGGACACAATCGTCTATAGAGAATGTGAAAAATAATTGGTGTGGTTTTGGTTAGAATATGGAGTAAAAATATTAATCGAAATAGTAAATTATATTTGCTGTTTTCCTGTTGGCTCTAAGTTAATGTTTCATTTCAGTTCAATTAAGTTGAAAATCTTTGTCTCAGTGGGCTGGGTAAGGAAAGTTCTTGATGATTATGATGTTAAATAAAGTCCACATGAAATTTATCACTTGACATTGAATGAACAACTTCCGGATGCTGTTCATGGTAAAACATAACTCCCACTGTCAAGTTTACCCAAGCAAATATCCTAATTTACACCCACCCAAACTTCAGGAAAAAAATATGAAGTTTTTGGTTCTCTAATTCAGAGTTTTTCATCATGATGAGATATGAATTTTCTGTGATAGGAAAAGAAAATGTTTTACATTCTCTAAGTTCTGTGGATCATGAAAATATCATTTTACCTTGATGACACAGAATTTACTCATGATGAGAGTAAAAAGTTTCCATCAATTTTTATGGCAACAAATTGAAATAAATACAAGTATGAATCGTTAAGGAAAATGGGCCTTAATCAGTTTCGCTCTGAACTTTATCATGACATGAATTCCAATCATTATGAAGTTTAACTTTCTTCGCCAATATTAATAATATTTCATGTAGAAAATTGTAAAAGTTTATTTCTATTAAATTTTATCAATTCAAAACACCACCATAATGGAAATTAATTCATTGGCTATTCTTGCTTCACATTGGCTCTTTGAGATCAACATAAACTTTGATTGTTGTGGAAAAAGACTTGATAGTTTTGAATCTAAATGTCACAAATATCAGTTTATGAAGAGAGTCAAATGTATCAGAATCCATAAGAAATCTGATATACATGATAATGAGTCTAAAATTATTGTTATTTCTTGAAATTCATCATGATTCTTTCAGAAAATTGACCAAAAATCAGAATTCAAGTCACGATCATTATTAATCTATGCTCATCTCATGTTGCAAAGTTTTATTAAGAAAAGTGTATTTTTGTAAATTGATTCATTTTCATGATTGATTCATTTGCTTGAATTTCAAGATAATCTGAATTTGAATAATGATCAGAAATTTTCAAATCTACAGAAAAGTCTAGACTTTCTGAATAACATTCATTGTTCATGGTATGATTTCTGAAAGATAGGAACTAATTCTGAACTTTTCTCCTCCAAACTATTTGTGATTCTGGATAAGTTCAACTTTCAATTAATTGAATTGAGTGAACTTGGGGTAAATTCATCATAATTATCATGATGATCAGATCGAATTACTGATTAGAATTGAAACAATCTACCTTCGCCATAGAAAAAGTATCATGATGATTAGTTTCAATTCTCGGGTTTATACAATTTTCGCAATTGAAATCCAATAAGAAAAGAAAACAATAATAATGAAAAACTTTTTTCAAGAACTTTTTTCTTTTTATTCTACCTTTTCACTCGCAAAGTTTTGAAATTGGAACTGAAAAAATATAAAGCAATCAATTATGTCTGAAACAGTTGATTTTACCATGATGATGATGATGATTGTGTTGATTCATGGTTGCTTTTCAATGGTTATGATTGTAAACTGAGTATTTGGAAAGGAATACAGAAAAGCATATTAAACCAATGAAAGAGATTGAATCTTGCACCTAAGGCAACATGATAATAATTCATTGAATTTCAACTGAGTTCATATCAAACTCTTCATCTTATTATGAGAGATAATTTAATGGACAATGATGGTTATCATTGGAATCAGATTGTTCATCAACTTAAATTATGTCTTTGATTGACAGATATACGCTAATAGAGTTGAATGTTATCACCTTGGTTTACAGATTTTCATCATGGAAACTCAGTCCACGCAACATGATGAATTCAGCAATAAATAAGGATTTATCATCTTTCCCATCATCCTGATCGACTAAGCCTTGAAGGTATCTAATCATGATGATAAATAGATGCTTCTCATTTAATAGTTTATATATAAATGTTACAATATTTATCTTCCCTAACGAGGTTCAGGGGGGAAACTTTTTATCATGATATTTATCATGAGATAGATATAAGTTCAGTCTAAATGATCTCTTTCACTCTGTTCAGATCATGAAAAAAGGATCATGGGAGTGCTGAAGAAGAAGGAAATTATGAGATACAGGAAGAGGAAAGTTGTAGAAACTTATGAAATCATTGATTCCAATTCAGCCGTCACCATGATCATGATGATGAAGATTATCCCTTGTCTTTACCAATTTTGTTTCGTTACTTTGAAACTGGATCACTATTCAAACTTTCATCATCATAATTTTCATCTTCTCATGAAGGAAAAGTTTCTCTCCATCTCTTTCCTCCCATGAAATTATACACTCGGCTCCCTTTTCAAAAGGTATTATTATCAAATGAATTAACTGGGAGTAAAACTTTCATCATAAGTATTATGATCAATTATATGATTCTGTTCATTTTGGTTGATTAAATTCAATAATGTCCACGGTTATCATGTTTAGGGTGTAAATTTGAAACCAAGAATATCATCAGTAATGAAAAATATTATCATCTTTTTCAACACAATCCTGAGTAATCTGATGATTCTCATGTGATCTAACTCATTAAAAGAAAAGGAAAGTTAATTAATGTTAATTTATGATTGAATAAAAAATAAATATTTTCATTCCAACCCTTAAATTATCATTTATCTAGATATTAAATCCAATGAGTTTCACCCTGAATCATGAACTTTGTCAGAATCATTTTCTATGGCTTATATTAGAATTTGTATCCTGAAAGAGAGAGAGAGAGAGAGAGAGAGAGAGAGAGAGAGAGATGAGTTAAATCTAACATCATGATGATGGTTATCGTGGTAATGATAAATGATAAATGAACACGGTGGTTATGATTAGATGACGAAAAAAAATTCTATTCTTTATTGTTCAACTCAGAACAAAAAAGCAAATAAAACACTTATCATGGAAAATAATGAGAATTTAAATAATTCTCATTGGAATTTTTTTCTCTCTCTTTCTTTCCTCATGAAAAAAGCTCGGGTTGGCTCATGATTGCTCTTAATTGCTATTAGATTATTGTCATTCAGCTAATTTGAATTTTCTTTAGAAAATTATTATTAAATTAACAGTTTTAGACTGGATACTTTTTTTCCCATTAAAACTCAGGTTATCTTGAGAATCTCACTCATCACCATGAATTTAATTAGATGGTAAATTATTACTTTCAAAAATTTCATAAATTCCAAAATGGAATCAGTAAGCATGAAGCTTTCTGAATACTCATCCAATTCTCAGGATATTTCATGTAAATAAGGAGAAGTTTCCAGACTAAAAGTTTTGTCCAATTTTCCTTCAATATTTTTCTCAGTGACGATAATAAAAATTTCATGAGATTTTTCAAGCACCATGGTTACATATGATTTCATTAGTTTCAAAATTATTCTGAATGAATGAGTAATACATCAATCAAATTTCGCAATTTAAATTGTTTCGAATGTATTTCTTTCTTTTACTGGTGATTGGAAAATCATCAAGAGTTTAAACACCTTATCGAAATCGAAAGAGTATTTTCCCCAGAATTTCATGAGAATCTAATTTTTCTTATGATATCACCCTTTCTACTCAGTTAGATTAGTTCAGTTTATCCTGTAGCTCTGAACGAACAGTTATCGTCACCAGAATTGTAGAATAATCTGTTCCCGGGAAATTTTCTCTTCTATTATCATGGTTCTCCCTCTGTACTCGATAACTTGATTTCAATTCTGTTTCTGGGCTTACGATTTATTCAGCTTATTATTATAATATCAATGGTAGAAAGTGAAATCCATTTGCCAGGTAAAAGGAAAAGAATAGAAGGAAAAAAATGAGATTGAATTTTCGAGATTTGAAATTAAACCAGAACTTAAATCATATCAATCCATTTGTGTATCATGATGAACAATTTGCTTGAATTAATAATAAATTCTTGAATCATCAGTGATTGATTTGATTTACTTAGAATAACAATAAAATCAGCTGATGGTAAAAACGTTGATGAGGATAATCATATGATAGACAAATCCTTTTAAAATTTGTAACCTGAATTTTAAGCTCAATTGAATTTGTTCACAATGTTCATGATGATTCAACAATTGATTTTCTGAAAATTTCAATCTATTTACAGATGATTAACCTCATTATCAGAATAAGAAAATGTATCAACCCAAGTTCAGTTAATCATTCATTTGATGAATGGTGATGATTGTCATGATCAGTAAGTTGAGATTTATCATTATTTTACTTTTTTCTCTCTCATATTTTTTTTCAATTGAATGAATTGATAGACAACTTGGAATCTGAAGTCTTTTATCAAAATTTCATGATGTTTCCAATCATTCATCTTATCAGATATTCAACGATTCACATGATGATGATTATGATTCTAAACCACTGACGATCTCCTCCCACTTCCTCTTCCGTTTTCCTTTTTACATTCATATTCTCTCTCTGTCTCTGTCTACAAGATGATTAATGTCACTCTCATAATTCTGTGAGACTGTATCATTATTATTATAATTTCTATCATGGTGATTCTGATTCTTTCGAATGAGAACTTGATATTTCTTATCTTTGGACAAAAAAAAAGAAAAAGAGACAAGAAAATGTCCAAAAAAAGAAAGAACAGAATAGAATAAAATGTTTATCGAATTTTTTCGAATAACTTTTATTCTATCATGTATACTCTTTCTATTCTATTAATAATAACAATTCTAGCTTAGCACTTCATCTCTCTCTCTCTCTCTCTACTTTTTTCCTCATCTTTTCGAGTCTCACCATGAACATCATCACAAAGATAATCACCCACAGGATCATCACGAGAATTGAATTCGGTTCAAATTTAGGACATTTTGGTAAAGTGTATCACTAAAAGTATTCTCATCAAATTTAAGAAATCAGAACTTTTTCCTCAGTAAAAATTTGATTTTATCAACAAATCGAAATCATTCCGATACATATTATAAGATTTTCTAACAAAGTTAGTTTAGATTAAGAAAAATACAAAGAAATAATTTCCAAGATCAAGAGGATATTATCATTTACCATGATAGGGATGAATAAAATATCCGAAAGTCATGAAATATTAACTTATGAGAAAACATTTTCAATAACATTTTACTCAAAAGTCTCAGAATTTTCAATACAGTCGAATCAGAATGAATTCATATACCTTTAAGAAAGAATTAATGTTTCCAAAGAAAGAAAAAAAGACTAATCCTTTAGGAGGTGATTAAGATAATCTCCTTTCAAATTGAATTCATTTAGTAGAAGAAAGAAAAAATTTATTAGAAGTTTCAATTGATGTTTTGTTCTGTCGACAACAAGTAGTTCTTTTTTCGTGTACAATTTCGAAATGTCCCAACAAAGAGGGAAATATACTAAAATTACTGAAGAAATGAGAGAAATTATCATTCGACTTCATAACGAAGGTAAAAGAGTTAAATATATAAGTGAAACCCTTAGTTTAAAATTACCTTCAGTTCAAAGTGCTATCTCAACATTTAAAAAGTTCGGTAATAAGCCAAGAGAAAGAGGTCATCGCAAGTGTAAATTAACAATGGAACAACGAAGTGAATTGAAATCTTGGGTGGACGAAAACTGTCAGCTAACATTAGAAGATTTAGCTAATCGAGTTGAGGATAAATTCAATATAAAAGTTTCACCAACTACAATTTTCAATTATTTGGACGATCTTCACTATTCGTATAAACGAGTTTCACCAGTTCCAGTTCGAAGAAACAATGAACAAACAATCGAAATTCGATTTAAATATGCTCAAACTTTCATGGAGAAAGTTGACCAAACATCAACGATATTCATTGACGAAACTGGAGTTGCATTGCATTGTCGTTACAATTATGGACGAGCTAAAATTGGACAACGAGCTAATTTAGATGTTAGAGCAATTCGAGGAAAAAACTTTTCTGTTTGTGCTGCAATGTCTTCGCAAGGACTCGAATTTTATCAAGCTCAACAAAACGCCTACAACTCGATCGACTTCATCGATTTCATCAAACAATTTTTGAATCTAATACCAAACGGATCAATTAAAAAACACTATTTAATCATGGACAATGTCCGATTTCATCACAACAATGATGTTGAACAAATAATCAATGAGAAAGGACATGAATTACTTTTTCTTCCTCCATATTCACCGTTTCTGAATCCTATTGAAAATTTATTTAATCAGTTGAAATTTTATATAAAAAGGTTATCACCAAAAACAACTGATGAAGTTTTCCATGCTATTGAAAATGCTTCACAGGTTATCTCACCTGAAGATTGCGCTAATTATTGGAAAAACATGAGAAAATATGTATCTAAAAGTCTACAAAAGATTAGAATCGAAAATTAATTGAAACTTCTAATAAATTTTTTCTTTCTTCTACTAAATGAATTCAATTTGAAAGGAGATTATCTTAATCACCTCCTAAAGGATTAGTCTTTTTTTCTTTCTTTGGAAACATTAATTCTTTCTTAAAGGTATATGAATTCATTCTGATTCGACTGTAATATCAAATAGTATTATTATTATGATAAGTTTCATTATCTCTTTTTATTTTATCCCTTATCATCATCATAAATCTCATGGCCAGGGTGATGCTTATTGAATATGATAAATTAAATGCAGAACTGTGGGAGGAATTTTTTTATCTTATCATTTTTTTCAATATTATATTATTAATATTTTCATTTACACCGGAATTATATTCATCTTATCAAATCCATTGCTCTTTGTATCTGTCAGAAACAATTTATCATTTGATTGTCAGTTACCACCAGTTATCATCATGATTTCATTATTTATTATCATGATTGTGATTCCAATGAAAATACTTACGATTGTTCAATAGATTATCAGATTTAATCTAATGTGTAGGCTTAGATCATTCATCAATTTGATTTGTTTCCGTCGATTCTCAATTATTATTATGATTGAAAATAATGGAAAACAATTAACTGATTACCTTTCGATTTACCTTTAAGCCCTAAACTGGTTTGAGTTAATTGTTACTAATTACTAATAATAATACTTATGTTATTTACTCTTCTCAATTAGAATCAACTATTTATCTTCAACAGCTTTAAGACTTAAAACTTTTCTCTTTCTTTCTCATTTTCTTAGAACTCGAGGTTCAGAACTTTCAGATTCGAGGAAAACTTTTTTTTTCATTCCAACTATTTCGATGATTACAAACTGATTTATATAAACTACTTGAACTTAATCCGGTTCCTATTGATGATCATTAATGCCCAAACCAATGTCTTAAGCAAATATTAACTTTGATTGCAGCAATTTAACAGTTAATAAGCTTAATGATTACACTTAACTAACAGGTTGTAGTTTGTTGTTTATCAATCAATTGATTAATTTATAATTAGCTTTTGTTTCCTAGATGATAATTAATATTATATTAGTACAAACCAGTTGGTGATAATTAAATTCTTGGCCTAAATTAATTGTCTACCTTTAATTGATTTATCATGTATTTCTAATGAAACCTGAGATTGAATCCATCAAACAATTAACAGCTCTGATTAACAATCAAATGAACATCAATGTAACATATTGAGATAATATGTTAATCCAGTGATTTAATCACTATGATGATAATGTTATTGTTTTATATTACAATCTATTGGTTAATTGTAATTACCTGTTAAATTAAGTGTCTATTGTTTACAATTTGCTTGATTATAAATTACTTACTTTTTTTGCGATTCAAATCATGGTAAACAGATAATAAAGTTAATTGTTACAATTTGAATCACATTGTTGTTGACATATAATCTATTTTTACTTTTAAATGTCCAAATATACAGTTAATTGTATATTGATTGTCAAATTCAAATTAAACTAGAAAAGTAAACTGTCAAACTAGAATGTTAATTGTTGACATTAAATAAACAGTAATCTAAGTAAGTTATATATATGAAATTCAATTTGATTCAACAACCATCACAATGTATTAAGTTTTCCAGTCAAAGTTAATTGTTTGAAAATCTCGTTCTAATACACAGTTAGTGGTTGAATAATCATCTATTAATTGATTAGTTTCAGTCTCTTTTATTTACCATGTGAATGATAAACTGACCATAACCTGTGATGGTCAAATTGTGTTCAGGTCTGTTCAAAGGGTGAATGTAAAAAAAAAACGTGAATCTAAATCTTGTTAATAGTGATAATGGTCAAGATAATCATCATCTGAATATGTCATACCATGAGCATTGAACCTCAAATCAAACTGGACACTGTCCAGTTTTGAGGAGCATAAAAAAGTTGAGCTTGAAAAAAAAAATCTAATGATATCTGCCATTGACAGATCAATTTAAACTCAATCAAATGGGTTTTTTGTTCATTGATTTACTTGATTGTGATGATAATTTATCATAAGTTTGAATTTTGGGATAATAAATCATTTTGATCAATCAGGTTTGCTTTGGGTGATTGTAATTATTTGGTGGTGATGATCAACTTTTTGAACATTCAATGAAATTTAATTGTTGTTTTAGTTAGTATATATTGTTTACTTATTGAAAGTGATTTGATTGTTGAAACAATTAACTTGATGAGTTTGTTTCTTACCTGCTGGAGGTTCAAGATCATGGAAATTCAAACCGATTGAATCACTTCCGTTAATTGTGTTTAATGAAGTTAAATCCATTTGGACAATTGTAGGATTTAGTTAATTGTTTTCGAAACTTTCGATTAAATGAAATATGTATTTTTAGGTGATTAGAAACTATGATTAGTTTAATTGTTCAAATTCTACAGTTTAATTATTAAGATTTTTTGCTCTGATTCATATGATTGAACCATTGAAACTTAATTAAAATACACAAACAATTAAAAGTTAATTGTGGCCGAAAATTGGAATCACTTGAAATATTAAATTGGATAAACAAAGAAACGGACAAACTTTATTGGCTATTAACTGATTGAAATGTTTTAATTGTTTTTTAATTGATTGTAATTGTTACACTGTTAACGATTCGATGGTGATGATGATTATAATTGGAAGACAATTGAAAGATAATAGGATGATAACATTGAAGATGAAAACTGATGAAGACCAAGTGAACTTTTTCTCTATGAGAATGATAATGATAAAAGTCGAGAGGAAAAATCGAGAGGAAAAATGTTCAAACTCGAAGCTCATGCTCACAACTCTTAGAATATTTTTACTCTCTCTCTTTCTCTCTCTCTCGCCCTTTCTCTCTCATCTTCCTTGTCATCATCATCTATTTAATTTAACTTGATTCACAATCAGTTGATTCTCATTTTCAATTGTAAAAGAGTTGATTGTTAATATAAGCCAACAATCAGCTTAAATGATGATATGATTAAGGATCATTGATAGTTAGATCAAATTAATCTTGATTAACATTGATATTAATAATTTTGAATGACAATTGACCATTAACATGATTAGTATAATCAACAATTTAATATCACACAGCATAATCATGATGAAAGATTAATAATAAAATGAATGAAATGATTAGCATTTAATTGATAAATAAGATCAATAAACTTTACTTATGTTTTGGTTGACAATTAATTAATTATTATTGATTGTAAAGGTTGAGGTTAACAGTTAATCAATAATTAGACTAATCAGTTACAATCAACTCAAGTGTAATTGATTAAATTATTAGCATCAACGTTTAATTAACCATGACAATGAAAACAAAAAAGGTTTGATATGATTAAGAGTAAATTTAATTTCCTTAGACAAACAATTTAAGTCAAATTGTTAACCGTTAATTGTGATCAGTTTATAATGATTTATGTATGTCTGAGTTTTATTGATTGTTAATTGTTGAGATTCTTGTTGGTTCAAAGTGATTAATTAATCATTCTCATCGTGTAAAACTTTATTGTTACCATTAAAATCTGATTATAATTAATCATCATCATCATCTTCAATATGTTGAGTTTACTAACGAGTGATTAATTTCAATTAAATTGTTTCATCTAAATTGCGATCAATGGAGGATAATTAAAAGGGTTATCTAGATAATCCTAAACACTTAACATGATAAAATCAACAATCAAAGAGATACTTATTATCATCAAATGTGAATTTTAATTTTGTATTCTGATCATTGATTCATCTTCATGATAATTAAACTGAAAATTGATTGTCTGAAGAGGATATCATGTTAACGATTAACTCATGACATTCCCTCAGGGTATTCAAGTTGAAACATACTGAATTGGAGAGAGATAAAAGAATTACTTTCTCTCTGATTTAGATATGAATTTCAATGAATCGTTGTTGATACAATTTCGTTGATTGTGATCATGTCATTAACTTTATGATTAAAAAGCGAATCAAATTTTTTTCTTTCCTAGTGTTTATTTTCACAAGGCCAACTTCCAATCTCCATGAAATATAATTTACTAATTGTAAATGATTAGTTTTGAACATCTTGTCTCTTTCGCTCTTTTATTTAGATCAAAATTTAATTTCGATTAAATTTTTTTTTTATTTTCGTTTTCAAACCGATCCCGATATCGAATCCATTTCCAAGTATCGAGTCTCCAATCGGATATCACATGTGTTGGAAAAATTTTTTCTTTTTTTAATTTGGTTGTTTTCCTAATCTGTTGATTTGTTTCTCTCACAATTAACTAATCATGTTGATTAATCGTTCATTTGCAATTTTGACTCGTTCTCCCTCCGATTGTGTTGTTAACTTTAATTCGGTGCGAACAATTAACTCAATCAACAAGAAACGTCTAATTGAAGGTAAACCTCCTCGTCGAGGAGATTCAGTCCTTTTCGATGGGCCTGAGTTCAGTTTCATGGATGGACGGGGAGCAGCGCCGTTAACTTTGGGTCAACGTCGTCGTTATCTTCAGAATCGACACTTTGCTGAGCAGATAATTAAATACATGAAACAATACGATTTAGCTAAACAATTGAGACCCGATGAGAAATCAATTTCCGCTCCTAGGGAATCACAGAGAAATAACAACAAAAACCAAGGCTCACAATTGGATTCGTAAATTTTTCTGTTTACAATTAAGATAATTATGGTACAATTAGAATAACCTATTTCTTTTGTAGAAACTGTTTTCCTCTTTCCTATATGTGTACAGTGTGTTTAATAAATTAATAGAAAAAACAACTTTGAATTAGAGAGGAAAAGAAAATACTTTTTTTATTTACATGATGATTAACTGAAGATCAAACAATTTATATGATTAAATCATTCGCTTCCACATATTCGGACATTTTCTTGTTAATTGCTGCGATTTTTTCTTCATCTCCATATTGTCTTTCAAATTCAATGTATTTGTTAAAAAGGAAACGAATCTTTTTCTCCTTTATCTTAATTGCTGTCGCTCTATCGAAAAGTAATCTTATTGATTCAATTGCGTTTCTTTTAATTATTCCTTCATCTCCTTCCTTTAGGCCATATTTGATCATCATATCGATATAAATTGACCAAATATCCGTTCGTTTAGGAAAGTTAACCAATGCTGCTTCAAACATTGTCTTGGCTTTTTCAATTTCACCCGATTGACATTCAAGTTGAGCAAATTTGATAATCAAATCTAATTGCTCCTTCTTTTCCAAGTAATTGATTGCTCGTTGGACCAGATCTCTGAATGAAGTGACTCGGTCATGTTTCAGATAAAATCTACCAAAATCAACCCAAAGTGATTTATTCTGTGATTAAACAGTTGGGAGAGGGAGAGAGAAAACAATTAGACACAATCATAGAAATATTTTAAATCATTATCAAAGATTAATTAACTTACCAATGGATGTTTTTTCGTCGCTTCTCTGAATGTTTGCTCAGCTAATTCAGTTTTACCATCTTCTTCATAAAGAGCAATCAAATGAGAGTAAACTTTCAATTCATCATTAGCACATAAAGCTTTGGTAATTAATTCACTTAGAGTTTCCGGTGATCCATATTTGTATTCAATCTTTAATTTAAGAAACCAAATCCTTAATTTTGCATGTTCAAATTTATGATCAATCGTTTCCAGTGCTCGTTCACATAACTCTTTGGCTTTGGTAATCTCAGCTTGACCAAGATAAAAATTAATAAATCGACACCAACGATCAATATCGTTTGGAGATTCAACAATTAACTTTTCAAATTCTTCCTTGGTTAATGGTCCGCTCTCTTTATCATCAATTTCACCTTGATAAATGGACGGTAGAGTTATTGTGGCCTCGGTTTCGTCATTTTCTCCTTTATTGGCCAGTTTAGGATCTCCCGTTGTGTCCCAGAAAAAGACTTCGTTTTCATCGGTAACAGCTGATTTAACTCGAGTACTCAAAAGCGATTGAATTTTACGAAAATGTTTCTTTTTTGCATCTTTCGTGGCCTCTTGATTTTCTGATACTTTTCGTTTTCTTTTCTTTTCTTTAGACGATTTATCAGTATCGTTAACATTTCCATCTGAATCAATTGAAGATGTTTCATCGTCTTCGTTTTTTGACAGTTTACGAGATCGTTGATTTTTCTTTATATTTCCTTTTGTATCAACGAAAAATTTAATATTTGTTTCATCCTCATCATCATCATCATCATTAGAATTTTCTTCTTCCCCTGAATCGTGTTCATCTTCATTATTCTCATGATCTTCATCTCCATTCTCTTTATCATCTTCGGTTCCAGATTTTCGCCTCTTCTTCTCATTAGCTTTAATTCGAGCCAATCGTTTCATTTTCTTTTTCTCAATTTTGGCTTGAGCTGCTTGAGCTTCTTTAATTGCCACGGCGGTCGGTTTTTTCAAAGTTTTAGATCCAATGATCAATCTCATTCCATTGGTTAAAAGTTGATTTATTTTGGCACAAAAGTATAATTTCTGTCCATCCTTAAGTAAACTTTTATCAGGATTAAGTTGATTCAAGTGATAATATCGAGGTATATAAGCAAGAGCACCAATTGCATGTCCTTTCAATGAGATGATATAATATTTATCGGTAGTTAATTGAAGAAGACCAATTAAATTTTGTCCAGGTAACATTTTTTCATAAGAATTGGCTTTGATCGCTGATTTAGCACTTTTAACAATATCTTGATTAGCAGTTAAATGGATCAATTTTTTCTCAATATCAATGTAAAGAACAGCAGCTTCACCAGTGTAACCAATTTTACCCAATTCTTTACCACCAATATTAGATGAGATAATAATTCCAGCAACGGGTTTCTTACGATCTGGAACGGAACAAGCGACCAAAATTTGCTTCTCAACGGCCTCAACCACTTTATATGATAATACATCTCCAGGTTTAACCATTGACAGGGTTCGGGTTTCAGAAGTGTTTTCAATTACATTTAATTTAGATGAAACCAAATAATAATCAGATAAGTAACTTGTTAACACTGTATCTGGTGTAAAATCGGTTGATTTACATTTAGCAATTAGAGTTGAACAATTTAATCGTCTTGGTTTATCTTCCTCATTTTTAACTTCATTAATGTGAACCAAAATTGTTTGACCTTTAGGGATTTTAAACTCAAAAGGATCTACCGGTGGATCGCTTATTTGAGTATTTGGTACCAAACCAATCAGTCCACCAGGACATTCAACCATAATACCATAACATTTAAAGTTAACAATAACCGCTGGAACAATTAAATCAGGTATAAGTGAATCAGGTTTAAAAACTGGATTGTCTATTTTAGCGGCATGAATGAAAATCCATCGACGGCTAACAACGGGCGTTGATGGAGTATTGTTGAAAACGACAACTTCGTCAATTGTATCAGTCTCGTCGATAACTTGGTAAATTTTATCAATGAGAGCAGGAAAATCGGTTAATTGATCTTTGGGTAGGTAAAATTTTTCATCCTCACTGTTAACCAATACAAATCCATTGTCGTCTTTTTCTTTAACAGTTAAATTGGTTAAAATTGTTCCTAAAGCTATTGAATCGGATTGATTGTCATCTTCATCCTCATTGTAGGTTAAACTGACGTGAATTTGTTTGGTGGTTAAATCGCGACTTTTAACGTAAACGGGTAATATTTGACCTACAAAATAGTTTGAGGGTATATATTGTTGACCTTCTTGGGCTAATCGAGTAGCAGATAACCAACCACGAAGATGATTAAAAAATTCAACTAATAAACCGTTTGGCTTTATGAGAGAAACAACTCCTCGGGTAAATGTACCAATTTGGGCTTTATCAATATCATCGATAATATTAGTCTCTCTGATCAATTCTTTTCGACAGGTAACAGCGATCTTTGGTACTAACGATGAAGTATCAAGGCGAATTATTCGACATGTAATTTTACTTCCAGCTTGATAATCTTTAGGTTTAGCGGAGTCTTTATAGTGAAATGGTGGACAAATTGCTTTAAGAGCGAAACCAATGTTTAAAATTAATCCTTTGGCGTTTAACTTTTTAACTCGACCTTCGATTACTTGACCAATTGATAAATTATCCACGGAAAGAAGCTCTTCACTTAATAGTGAAGGTTTAAGGGTAACCTTTGCATAGCCATCAAGGTATGAGAATGATTTGATTCGACATTTGTGAGTTGAACCAATCGGCAGTTGACCTTCCATAATGGAAAACTCTTCCGAGTCAACATAATCATCTGATAGTTCACCTTTTGGAGCGATTCCTTTAAAACCATTGGGAAATTTAAAGATAAAAGCATCAGCTCCATCTCTACCAACAATTTGAGCTTCTTCAATCAGCTGACCAATCTTCATTGAAGACCATGTTTTTTTCAATGAATTCATGATACTTGGTGAACGTAAACTAATTGATGAAACTTTGTTTATTGGATTAACGAAAAGGATTATCCCATTTATTTCACTTCCAATTGTGTAATCATCACGAGGTAAATCCCAAATTGTTTTTAAATGATCTCGATGGACAAATCCACGATGTTGACCATAAATGACCACTTCTAATCCTTTATCACTGATTCCCAATATTTTACAAGTCACTTGTAAACCGGGAAGTAAACATGAAGCGGGGAAAATTGATTCATCGTCTATTTTTGGTCTAGAATTAATGTTTTGTGTAGTTAATTTGACTACTCTTGGTGAAGCTGAAATTATATTGCACATTAATACTTGGCCAATCTGAAGTTTCTCAATCGAATGCGATTCAAGGAAAGGTTTGGCCTCATCGAAACCCAAGAAACCTAATAAAATTACCAAATGGTAACAAGGATGAAAATCATTAGAAAATTTAATCATATCAAAAGGAAAATTAATAATATTATAATTATATAATATTAATATGTATATTTGTAATATTTACCGTGAATATTTTCCTTGCCAATATCCATGAGATAACCATTATCTTCAATTTCAACTACTGCAGCTGATATACTTGAATGGAGGCAATTCTTAATAAATAAGTTTGTATTTACATCACTGTAAATATGATTTGGATTAATTGAAGCGGTTATATCGGTTAAAGACATTGAATGATTATCAAATTGTAAATTTTCTGAAATTTTATCCAATATTTTAACTGGAAGTAAATCACCTGTAGAAAACATTGATTTAGGCTTGGGTGGAGGTGGATTTTTAACTGGATCAGTTGCATAAGCAGCCAATGATTTATTATAAGGTTCCGATATATTGGAAAGTGTAACTTTAACCATAACAGCTCCAGGCAATTGGATACTCATTTCAAAATCTTTAATCTCGGTAACACAACCTAAAATTATACTACCAATGGCAACATTGGTAACTTTTAATCGATAGATTATTATCTTCTCGGTAAATGTGGGTAATCCTGGTGTAGTTTCAATCTCATCTGAGGTTGACTTTTTACTCTTTGATCCTTTTTTCTTTTTACTTGATTTAATTAAATCACCATCATCATCGCCATCTTTAGATAATATTCTGGTAGAAAATAATTCATCTTCGGCTGCTCTTTTTGAAACCTTTTTTGCCAAAGAATCTTTAAATGTTGGATATTTACCACGAGGAAAGTCAACATCTTCCATGTTAACAGTTCAATAAATCAGATATCACAAGAGAAGAAAAGAAAAGGAACAATTAAAATAATAAATCGACAAAAGTCACAATCAAAATCAAACAGAAATTAATTTAAACTCCCAACGTGTGAACACAAACTCACATGTTTTCGCGTTAGGGACCGTATTCTCATTGCGAACTGTTGATAGAATTTTTTTTTCGATTCAATTGAAATTCTAAGAAATTAATTGTCTTTATTTAATCGAATTAATCTTTTTATTTAGTTAATTGCTTTTATTGATTGTGATTTTAGTGTTTCTCTGATTGAGATTGTTTTTAGTGAATTAGTTTAGAAAAATTGGAAAACCAAGGAAAACATTTAACCCTTTAGGTGGGTCATTGTTTGGTTGAGACTCTCGGAGATTTTGATTAACTATGATTTAATTGTTAGTCTTCAATTTTGTTTGATTGTTATTGTTTTTTTGTGATTAACTTGTGCAATTGTGTTGAGTTAATTTTCTGGTGGTTTTATGATTCTAAAGGTGAGTTAATTGTTCTACTAATTGTTTGAGTTGCATAATTTGTGTTTTAATCTCTGTAACTGTAAGCCTATACAATAATGTAATTGGCTTTTTTATGTTGATTGCTTCACATTAATAATTATCTTCACTCAAATGGTTAATTAATTGTGTGTTATGGTAATTAACCTATTGTCCAAATTGTTGTGTTTATCTGCAATGATGGACAAATGAATTGCTCCAATGAAGCAAAGTGTTTCCTTGTATCTTAATTAAGATGTTGACATATGAAATTGGTGAAAATTTTTCTATAAATTTTATTTATCTTTTTTTCTTAATTATTACAGGTAATCAATGATAATTGTTGGCTTGGAAGCAATAACTCTGCTATTTTCCCTGCTCAAAGGAAGGACAAGGTTATTCATTGATCAGTATTGTAATTTTCTCTCCATTATAATTCCCAAAAAGGTAAAGAAAATTATCTTAAACATCTCTTGATTCCTATTCTCTTTTTCCAATCGTTAAAGAATATTTGTTAACTATTCTATTAGATAATTGGTACTTTCATAATTATTGTTTTAAACGTTTCCAATATGAAGGTAAACCCCATGGATTCTCATTTGTTTCATCATTTTCCATTTGGCTGATGTTCCATTGTCTCCAATAAAACCCATTGAAACTCACCAGTTACTCATTTGATTTAATCAATCTAATCATACGAGTCATAATTAACGCCTTGCTAACATAATATTAAAACATCATTAAGATGTGAAAAATATGAGAGAAAAAACTGTATATAAATTGTCACTCAAATGATAATTTCATTACATTGACTACTTTTGGCTTGTGGATAACGTTTCGGCTTAGTTTATGTATGTGATTCAGACCTTTGTTATTAACCATGATCAAGTTAATCTCCACTATTTTCCTGATTTCTTTAGGTAAGTTTCCAATCAAATTAACTAACAGAATTTTAATTTCTCGTCAATTGTGTCCATAGGTTTCGTGACAATCTCTGCAGATCCTGATTGTACCAAAGCTGAAGAAATGCTTGAATCTTGTGGTATGCATTTGGCTCTATTGGAAGATTCTGAGATTCCAATTCCAACTAATGATGCTGAAATGATTGATCATTGTGGGTATGATACTAATCAACTACTTTGATATTGTTTCGATTTCTAATTATTTTACTTTCCCTCGATAGAAAAATGTTTTCCAATCTTGATTGTATTCGCGATTTTAACAAAAAGTGTCTCAAACCTTTTCCCAAAACACTATTCGGGATGTTCGGCCATGATTTGAAAAAGATATTCAAACACCGATGTGAACAACCGGAACATCGAGCAGGTAAGACAATTAGAAGCATTTTCATCTGATTAATCACATGCTGTTGACCATGATACATGAACAGAGGGTAAAAAACTATCATGAAAGACTTTCCAATCACTAAATTGTATTACATGTTTGAATAAGTTTCCAAGGTTATATTAGCCAATTAATCAATAGTGATTTTGTTTCTCTAGTATGCATATTACTCTAGTTGGATTATTTTTCTTCTTTACATCACAATTAGGTTCATGAATCTTTCTGATGACGATCAATTATTATTATGTATTATGATCTAAGGCAAAGAAACTTATATACAAAAGCTCAATTAACTGATCGATTTTAATAACTTTTTTCTTTTTATTTTTTTCTCTTTTCTCTTTATTCCAATCAATCATTACTTTACCTGTTAATGTACCAGAATTTTTGAAACATGTTGAATGTCTTAGACATAGAGACAAACTTGGTCCAATAATTAGCTGCAAGACCAATTTTATCGGTCAACTTGAATGGATCACTGGTAATGTGGCCAAACCTGAACAAACGGTAGCGTCTTGTTGTGCCTTCCATCAGGCTCATCAATGTTTCAGTGAAAAAATCGAAGAGGTTTGTCATCCAATCACCGGATCGGGGACAAAGGAATATATTGACGAAGTTATCGAATCGACGGTAATTACCAATCAAATTCGCTATGAAACAATTTAAATAGAAATCTAATCTCCCCCTCTCTCTCTCTCTCTCTCTCTCTCTCTCTCTCTCTCTCTCTCTCTCTCTCTCTCTCTCTCTCTCTCTGTTTCTTTAGGCCACCGAGGCGATTGATTATGCTTGTGGAAAGTATAAAACTCTTGACCATTGTCACGAGTTCTTGGACAAATCAATCTGGGATAAACTGTTCGAAATAGGAAAAGATGCCGCTGCCGCTGGTGTCACTATTCACCATCGAACTACAATAACCGCTATGGTAGAACTTTTCAATCAATTCGAAGGAGCAAGAAAAAGACGATCATTATTGATCTAAATTATCTTGAAGAATCAAAAATTCTTTCTATGATTCAAATATCAGATGAAAGATCAATCGGACCAAAACAATCCAACGGATAAAAGCAAAGTCAATTGATTGTCCAAACAATCAAGAGAAAAAGATTTAAAATCAAACCATCATTAACTTGATTCCCTCCAAATCCTATCATTAACAATTAACTCAAATAAACCTCTTCTCTTTTGATACACTAACAATACTACTAAATCTTAATTATTTCCGTGATAATTTTCAATCGCATATTTAAATATAATATTTTTCGTCACAATGTAACAACTAATTACACTAACAATGATAGTAGTTATAAAAAGTCTTCTCTGGCCCCCTTTTTTCCTCTTTCTTTTCTCTTTCTTTTTAAACGAGAATTTCTACCACTTTTACCTCTTTCTTTTTTCCCTTTCTTTTTTCTCTTTCTTTTTCTCTTTCTTTTTTCTCTTTTCTATTTAGTTAAAGGTCACAAACCCATGTCAAAAGTTATAAATTCATTATATATATTTATCCCATCATTTCCTTTTCTATTATATAAAGGATTGGATGTTTGAATCATTAACATATAATGTATTCTGTTTATTTAAAACACCCTTTTACCATGGTGGTCAGTGGACCAACTGGTTGTGGTAAAACATTTTGGGTACAACAACTTATCAAAAACGCTTTATTTGCATCTCATCCATCACCACAACATATTTATTACTTATATGGAGAATATCAACCCTCATTCGCTAGTATAATTGGGGTAACGTTCATTAAAGGCTTACAAGATAACCTTTTAGAAAACCTCAACCCCGATAATAATCCAATTTGGGTGATAATAGACGATTTAATGGACGAATCATCGAAAAGTCAATTAATCAGTCAACTTTTCACCAAAGGATCTCATCATCAAAACATATCAGTTATTCTTCTTGTCCAAAACTTTTTCAATAAAGGTAAAGAGATGAGAACAATAACCTTGAACGCTCATTATATAGTCATGTTTAAGAACCCACGTGATAAAACAGTTATTCAACATCTAGCCCGTCAGATGTTTCCCAACAAAGTTAAATCATTTGTTCAAGTGTTTGAAAAAGTGACAGAAAAGCCCTACTCATACTTATTTATTGACTGTAAACCTGATACAATTGAACAGTTGAGATTGTTATCAAATATTTGGTCCTCACCTATTGATGTTTACCTTATATAAAGTCATCAACCTTAACAACATTACAATAAATCATCAAGATGGAAGTCTATCTTTCAAACTATTCGAAAATATTGAATAAAATTGAATATAAAATTCATCTTGTTGGTAAAATCAAAGCAGGAGAGAAATGGAACTTCCAAGTCGTGATAGAAACTTATTCGACTGAAACTCCTCAATCACCTCACAATTCAAAAGTTTCACAAAAAATCCCATTCAAAGTGTTTAATAAAGTCCGAACGTTTCTTCTAGATCATTATCAAGAAAAGATTGGAGACGACATCGAACATCAATTTCGTAGAAATGGTATATTATCATTCTCACACAAAAATATCAATTATATTTGGACGGCTGATTTACAGTCCGTTGTCATGAGCAGAGACATTGATGATAAATTCATGAAAGCCTTACGAAAGTGTAACCACCCTTTCAGAGGTGTTCATAAAGAGAATGTTACTATATGGAATGATAAAATTACTGACCGTAAAGATTTGGGGACTACAAATATACCTGTTGAGAAATTTACAACCTCTAATGGTGATGAATTTTCAATATTTGTCAAAACAGCCACTTCAACAGAAGAAGATAGGTGGTATATAAAAATTGAAATACGATTGATAACAAAAAGCCAAAATCATCCTGGTGGAAGTATTAAAGTTCACCCGATCGACTTTTTAGCCTTGAGAGACTACTTCATTCAATATAAAAAAGAACCCAGTTCTTTAGCTCCATTTTCCACACCAACTGGAAAAGCAGCCATTATTGTTGTCGATGAAAAACAAAAACTGATTGTGGATTTTGATGGTCAAATCTTGACTTTTGATGAAGAAACAATAAATCTAATAACTAAAGGTGAATATTTATACAAGTTGGACCACCTTTTCTCAGAATTTAACCACGAATTAACTCCTCAACCAATCTATAGATGGTGGTTCAATAATGGAGTATTTATCACTGACAATATTATACATCAAAGTTCATTAATATAAAGGAAATCAACTTCCATAAATTCAATCAATATGACAATTGAAGGTGTCATCAGGTGTTTACCTGAACTTTCAAGGATAGCAAACGCTAAATCATTAAACGAACAACGATCTTTAATTTTAAACTCACCAACTTGTATAATTTACGCAATCAGTGAAATTTGTCGAAACATTTTAAACGGTACAATACACCTTTCAGAAACTGAAAAGGCCATTCTCACAAAGTACAAGAGCTCTCTTAGAGATTTAGCCCAAAAACAAGTAAATCTCGATAAAAGAAAAAAGAAAATAAATCAAATCGGAGGTGCACTTCCGGCTTTATTAATACCCGCTATAACATTACTTGGAACTATTATTGCCAACAAAATATGAACGCTTACACGAAAATGATACTTATTCCAGAAGATGAGTACAACAAGCTCAAGTCATCAACAAGAGATAAAATATCATACATTTTGGACAGACCTTTACCAGCTCAAATGATTGAAAATCAAGTCAATCGTCACTTAGATAGACAACAATCTATGACACCACTTATTACACAACCAATCACACAAATAACACCCAACGACTCAATTGATGAATACAAGGACTTTGACTCAGCAGATTTTTCATGGGATCCAGCTGTGATAGGTGTAACTCCGAAACGTCCACCAATTCTCCAACAACTGAAAGACAAATACACCCCAAGAGGAAGGGTTATCAACTCAAGTCAAAAACCAATTCCAGGGTCAAATATTAATACTGTAATGCAGTATCTAGAAAGTGATGATGTTGGAGCGGGCCCTTCTGGGTATAAAACTATCGCTCGCGCCTTACAAAATATTGGTGAAGAAGCTGTTGTTGTTAATCCAAAAGGTAGAGAAGCAATGACTCCAAGTGAGGCGCTGAAAGAACTTTTACATAAAGCTGAAGAAAGACAAAAAACTAGATTCCAAAGTGGAAAAGGATGGAGCTCAATAAAGAAATTTTAGATTCAATCTATTATAATCCTAGCCAAGCCGCTAGTTTTAGTTCTCCTAGACAATTGTACCTTGAAGCAAAAAAATTAAACAATAAAATTACTCAAAAACAAGTGAATGATTGGCTTAAATCATCTGAAACATATCAATTATTTAAACAAACTAGAAGAAACTTTCCGAGATTGAAAACACTAACAATTGAAATCGATGAACAGTGGCAAGCTGACCTTCTCGATGTATCTTGGTTCGCTAAATTCAACGACCAAGTTCGTTATCTTTTGGTTGTTATTGATATATTTAGCCGATACGCCTGGGTTAAACCGTTAAAAGATAAAAGTGGTCAGTCCGTTACAATGACGATGAGAAAGATTCTTAGAGCGGGAAGAGTTCCTAAAAAGCTTCAAACTGATCAAGGAAAAGAGTTTAAAAATTCTTTATTCAAAAATCTAATGACTGAGTTCAAAATAAACTTTTTCACAACCACAGATGACGCAGTTAAATGTGCAGTTGTTGAAAGGTTAAACAGAACTTTACGTAGTAGAATGAATCGATTCATGTATTTTAAAGGTAATTTTAGGTATTTAGATAATCTACAAGAAATTGTTGATGGATATAATAAAAGTTATCATCGTATCATCAAATCATCACCAAATGATGTGAAAGAAGATAATCAAGCCTCAATTATTCTAAACCAACGAGAAAAACATGAGAAAAATGTAAAAGACAAATTAATCAATAAGGAATTTGTTAGAATAGCGAAAAAGAAGAAAATTTTTGAGAAAGGTACCACTTCTAATTGGACAAATGAAATTTTCAGGATAGTGAGTCGTAAAAAAACTCCCACGACGTATATATACAAGCTTCAAGATATTGAAGGTAATGATATAACATCTATATTTTACCCCGATGAACTAAGTTCAGTAGATTATATAAAGAAACCTGAGACTGATATTAAAATAATCAAAAAAAGAGGACGCCCTCCAAATGTCAAACGTAAACCAGGTAGACCACGTAAAAATGAGCAACAACAACAAATTAAAAGAAAGCCTGGTCGTCCACCAAAGCTCAGACCAACCGAGTCAACGCGAGGAAAAGTTGGTCGTCCCCCCAAAACAAGAACAACAGACGAAGTCAAAAGGAAACCTGGACGCCCAAGAAAAAGAGGTGTTTCATCCAGAAAATAAGTTTCAATTGGTACTACTTTCTTCTGAAGACTCGGATGGAGACGCTAGTTTCTTTACAAACAATTTAAATAGACCAATCAAACTTGATGGTGATTGGACAGTTGAGTTGAGTGATATCATCATACCATGTGTTGATGATGATGATGATTATGAAAATGAGCGAATAATTTTAGCTACTACTGACTGTACAAACGCTGAGAATAATGGTGACGTCATAGCCATTTTCAATAACTATTCTACATGGATTCCTACTCCCATTCCAATTAGACAAAGGGTCAATACTCAATTTCTGGATCATGTATCATTGAGAATACAATACATTGATGGAAGAGCCATTAAAATACCAAAGAATGAGATGGCCGCAGTCTTAACATTTATCAAGTTGGAAAAAAAAGTAAAAAAACCAACTGGAGGTTCAAAAGTAAATCAACGTTCCGTCAAATAATAAGCTGTCTATTGACACTAACAATGAGCCTTCCTCAATTAAAAACCATCTTTCTTAATCTTTGAAACAATATAAAGACTTTATCAATAAATAAATTTATACAAAAAATGGATTCCTTTAATGACTCAATTCAAATTGACCTAGTATCAAACGCTAGTTTAAATACTTATCCTTCCAATACTTTATCTTCATTTACTAATGATTTACATAAGCCAATCAGACTTGAAGGTGAGTGGGAAGTAGCTCTTATCGAGATTTTTCATCCAACGTCAATTGAAAATGACCAAAATAAAATAGTCCACATATCAATAACACGTGATATTGGTGGTTTAGTTAGAACGAAAAAGATTCCTTTCGAATATAAGATTAATGAAAAAATAGAAGATATTATCAGTAGATTAAATAAAAAGCTAAAAGACATGAATATAAGTTACTTGGCTGATCCAACAGATTCTTTCAATGTTTCATCCAAAACTTCTCCAAAATTTAAACCAATCAAGATTGAAAAAGAAAAGATAAGAAATAGATATACTATATCACCAGGCTCCCTAGAAGGTTCTGGAATGTTTGATGAAGAGGAAATTGAGTTTTTACCAATATTTGATGATCCACAGTTTCTTAGATGTTTGGGATTTGATCATGTTAAATACGCAACTGAAGCTTTAAAGTTTATCCCAATCACTTCAGATTATGCACCAACTGATCCTTCACTTATCAATCTCCTTTTTGTGTATACTGATATTGTTAGAGAACATCATGTCGGCGACTCAATGTCAAATTGTTTACGAGCTATTCCTCTACGAGCTGGAGATGACGCAATGATATCTAGTCACGTTTTTCCTAATCCATATTATTTTCCAATCCGATATGGAGACATCAAAAACATTTCAATACTTTTGACTGACGAGACGGGAACCCCAATGAAATTTGTTAGGGGAAGAACTTATGTTACATTACATTTTCGAAGACGATTATATAAAGCGTCATTCAACTAAAAATGAAGAATTTAAATCATGAATCGTAAAAAATATTGTCCGGGTGAATGTAACTTTAAAAGTTACTATGCAACTCAAGCGGGTGGTGGGATAACGGATATAAATGTATTTAGAGGCTCACCATATCAAAGAGGATATGGTATTGGCTCTCTATTTGCTCGATTTGGGATACCCGTTTTAAAGTTCTTAGGAAAACATTTGTTGAGTACGGGTGTAGCTGTTGGTTCAGATATTCTAGCTAAAAGAAACGCAAAAGAAGCGTTTAAAGATAGGGCTAAACAAGGTGCTAAAACCGCTGCTAAAGAAGCTTTAGAGAAAATTTCTCAAAAAATTGATCAATCTGGGAAAGGTCTATATAAAGTAAAGAAAAAGAAAAAGAGAACAAGAAAAGATATTTTCACATAATGGACTATCTTCATTTCTCGTCTGTTCCCGCTACAAAAAGTGAGCTTGAACTCTTTCATATTCCTCCCACCCAGACTGCTATTGAATCATATTATGAGGTTGAATATAGACCAAGTTCAACATTGGATAATGCAAAAAATATTGACATTACTATTCCAGCCTCTGATGATTTTACAGACTTGGCAGAAACAATGGTTTACATTCGATTAAGTTTGAAAACATCTACTGACACTGAAATTGATGTATCAAAGGTCAACATTTGTGATGGTTTTGCCACCACACTTTTTGAACAAATTGATTTTTATCTAGGTTCTATAAACATTGGTCAATCAAACAATCTATATCCTTACCAAGCTTGTATTGAAGATTTACTCTTTGGATTCCCATCAAAAATCGATGTTGGGGCAGGTTGGGATACTGCTGATAATAGAAAAGAACGTATAAAAAAGTCCTTTGATTTCTACTTTAGATTACATATTCCAATGTGTACTCAGGATAATCTTTTACTCAATGGTGTCCCCATCCTCGTCAAAATGAATAGAGCTAATCAACAATTTGGTCTTCTGAAAACTACACCTGGAGTTGGAGAATCAGCTATTAATTATAAATTAACTATTCAAGAGTTGGCTATTGTTATTCGACGAGTCAAATTATTTAGTAATGTTAGTGTTGGACTTCAGGAAGCTCTTGAAAAGGCTTCGGCCAAATACTTTGTTACTCGAAATGATATGAAGAGTTTCATTATTCCAAAGTCCAATTCATCAATTAGTTTTGAAAGTGTTTACAATGGGATATTACCTAGACGAATGATTATTGGTTTCGTTAAAGATGATAATATCAATGGAAACAGTTCTGACGGTCCCTTTAAATTTGGAAATCAAGGAATTAAAACAATATCATGTGCTGTCAATGGGAACTTAATTCCTACTAATAACTACAATCCTGATTATGATAGTAACTTGTATATGAAAGAGTTTATTGGACTCTATAGATTTATCAATCAACACGAGGGAGTTCCAATGTGTACAATAACATATAAAGACTTTAAAGATACATTTTGTCTTTACGCTTTTGATCTCTCTCCGGATGTTTCACTTGGTGGTGAAACTGGAACACTTAGTCTATTGAAAAGAGGGAATATAAAGATTGAAGTAAAATTTAAAGAAGCTACCCCTTCACCAATTCATATGATTGTTTTTGCTCAATTTGATAATTTGATAGAAATTGATAAATACAGAAACGTATCTATTGATTGGTAATGGCTTTAACAAATTGGGATATTCACAAATATATGAAGAAGAATATTTACTTTGGAGGTGTTTTTCCTATCGATCATTTACCACTAACATTGATAGCTAAACCAAGATCATTTATTGTAAATCTTGATGAAAGCTGGAAGCCTGGTAGTCACTGGGTTGTAATATATTTCCCTGTCAATGGACCAGCCTATTATTTTGATTCTTATGGTCGTTACCCACCAGCCTCAATTATCACTTTTATGGAGAGGAATTCCAAATTTGGTTGGAAATATAATATAAAGAAACTACAAGGTGATCTTTCAGTTAGATGTGGTTACTATTGTATCGTATTTCTCAAATTCACGCCTAACTATCAATCATTTTTTGAAAAGTTTTATGAATGTAATAATGATGACAAATTGTTCAAGTATTTGTGAAATAATTTGTGTTTTATTAATAATTTTAATAACATATTTTCTTCTTATTTTAAAATATATTTTTGTAAAGAGTTCTGAGAACATTACATTATTTTAATAAAAGTTTTTTAAATTTAAATCAAAGTCTCCATATTTATTTTATAATTTCCATACGCGTATGTTTCAATTGGGTTAATAGCCCACCGTTTATCATCCAAAGGTGATAAGCTAACCTTCTCAGTCGACACAGCATAGATTTGATGCTCCTTACTTTGAAGACGATGCATTGTATGACGATAAGTAGTGTAATCATATAAACATGAAAAGAAATGGTTATATTTGATCTGTTGTTTCAACACTACTCGTTGAACCCCCTTGGCAGTCTTTTTTTCCCCTTCGTCGCTTTTAATCAAGTACATCTTAGGTTTAATGGCTATTACTTCGTGTATTGGTTTTCCATTCATCTCATCCTTGAGGTAACCAAGCATCTTTTTATGACAATCTGACTGAAGAGGATGATTTTTCGGGTAATCACAAAAGTCCATAATATCCTTAAAGTTGATTAAATCGTGAGTGAAGTTGTTTGTTTGAATATGGTAGATGAATGAATCGGTATCAGTGTAGATTAGTTTTATCTTGTTTCCATAGTAAGATTTGAATGTATCATAATGAAGTTGATACATTTTGAGCTTTGCGTACTCAAGAACGGTGAAGCCAAAATGGATTGGTTTATCCAATACAACAGAATTATTTCGTAGCTTACAAATGGCTTTATTTTCATCAAGAATCATGAATTGGTCAAATAATGGGTTTTTTGTTAGTTTTTGTATTTTTTTCCTTGACATTGGTATCTCAACTTTTGAATGTTTCCTCTTGTCTTCTATACTCTTACCATATAAAGAGTTTACCATCAATTTATATAAATCTTTTTCGAATGAGTTCTTGGCTTGTTGACGTTTATTTGTACACATCATAATATAAGGCTCCAACCAAGCTGTTTCAATAAATTCAATAGCTCGATGAACCTTGGTTAGAATTAATCCTTTTTCCAGATAGTATTTCAAGTTTTTGTAGTATATAATATATTTTTTCTTATCCATCAAGTTTGGTATGAGTTTCTCTGTGGCCACTCTTTTACGACCAATTTCACCCATTAGTTGTAAAATATGAGTTTGATGAGGACTCAACTTATCTTCGTGGATGGTCAACTTCTCAACAGCTAATGGATAATCATCATGCCAATCGTGTAGATGAGTTGGGTATTCAAGATCAACCTCTAATATATATCCTTTATCTTCATCACCATTTTTAATCTTGATGATCATCTCATCGAAATCTTCGACCCATTTAAAGTTGTATGTTGGTAGTTTACGAGCCAACGCCCACCCATAAAGATTATTCACATCGAGGTATGTGATGTAAGAATGAGGTTCCTCTTGTCGATAACCAGGGACCAATGGATTATTAGCCTTAACATGATGAGTCATTGCACAGGAAATACCACCACGTATACCATTTTCAATCATTGTGATCATATCAATATCACTAAGTAATTCCAATCCAGCGTTAGTCATCCGTAAGGCTGAATCCCATGATAAACTCGGAATTGAAATGTAATGAGCTGGATCTAATTGAAATTCTTTTAAACAACTATCTCTAAAGCTTTCAAAGATAGCGGCGAGAAGGATAACGTCTACTTTGAGATAAATATCTTGAAATTCACCAAGATTTTTACAGCTGAATTCATTCCAAATTGATTGTAATCGTAGATAGATTTCGTCACTTATTGTTGAATTTGTTAATGTTGAATGAAACTTATCAATTGGTGGTAATTCAGTATCGTCAAACTTGGACCAATCATCAATGTACTCATATGGTAATGCTCCTTTTTTCATTAGATTATTTATCTTATCACTTGGGAACATTTGTGATAAGAATCTCACTTTTGTTTGTTCGTCAAGATTAGAAGCTAATGAATCGAGACTTGAAGCTAAAAACGCATATGAATCGATGAAAATGAAGCTTCTGGTATAGATGGCTGAATATTTTTCCATTGTATTGGGTATAACTGAAACTTTTGAAACATTGTTTCTATTCATAGCTTGAACTAAAATGTGGCCATCAAAGTTTTTAAGATTGTGAAAAACGACTGGTATTTTACCATCCCAATGGATTTCGAGGTTACACCAAGAATGAGCAGCTCCTCTCAATTGTCCGGTTAGATGGTTATGATCTCTTACTTTTTTCTGATTATGTTCAAACCGTTGTTTACATATCCAACAATATGGTTCATTTTGGATTTGAATATCTTGTTCAATAGTTGTAGTCAATGGCTTAATATTGTTTGAAAAGATTTGTTGAACTAGAAATGGTAAACGATTTAACTCATCAAAAAATATTGCCGCTGTATTGGTTCCTCGATAAAATTTTGAGTAAATGATTTCTCCCATCCAATTTACACAGACGAATCCGAAGCTAGATGGTATGTGCTTTTGATATTCAAAAGTATTGGAGATAATGTCGTTGTCTATTGTTTTGGCTAATGTTTCAAAATCAGCGTAAACAATAAACGGATACTTTTCCAATGCCTTGAACTTAATAAATCCTATTTTTGTATTGGGTTGTGGAAGGAGAACAAGTTGTTTGGATTGACACGTTTGTTGATGTGATAGAAACTTATCAATGTTGGAAAAACCTTGAAGACACTTGTGACATCGCTTCAATGATTTTCCGGCCTTTGTATTGATTAAACGGTCAAAGCTTTTGATGTAGTAGTAATGTTCTTCATGAAGAAATAAGTTGACCACTTTCGAGAATTGGAATTTCGATAGTTGAAGTGGTATAATAAACTTTTCATCATAGTCCAATGAATAAATATTGATTGAAATTTTGTGTACTTTTTCGAATTTTGGAATCTCAGAAATTTTCACAACACCTTTGAAATCATAGTACTTGTCAAGATACTTTTTATATTTACTGACTTTTTGTGCGTTTTTCACTTGTGGGTATAACCCCATCAACACACTGTAGATGAAACAATTTCTTTCACAGTTTGGTGAGATTATGGCTTTTTTGTTATGAATCCAATCTGGTAATTTTTGTTTATAACAACCACCAGAATCAGGACGATATTTGGCAACACGTATTTCAATTGTACAGATTTCATCTATGGCCCATCCACTCCCTTTATTTGTAAATGAATCGATTGTTGCACTTATTTCAACTTGACACTCATTTAAAACATCCATTGAATTCCATGGAGTTGTTATAGTTTTCATAGATGAACAAATATAAGACGTTGTTGAATTTCCATCATTTGGTTTCACAAAATGAATGAATACACAGATTTGAAATTTGAAACATTTTAGTTTCTCATTAATATAGAAAAAAAGGTTTTCAATTATGTTACGATGATCATTGAATAATTCATCCAGGTCATCGTATGTTAGATTATCTCGTTTATAGATCACCAAAAATTGTTTGAAAGCACTAATCACCAAAACAAAGGGATCAAAGTCAGCTAGACCGAAAATTTCTTTAGACTGACATTGGACTATATGATCATCGAAGTTTGATTTAATGAGGAATGTTCGTTTACACTCATCACATTTGTATTTAGTAGAACAATTATAACAATGTTTTCTCTTGGATAGTCTATTACACTTGTTACAAGAATACATTTTAATCAATCTGTTTCAGTTTTTACTCCTTTTATACTAGTGGTAAACTCTTGAGAAACTCGTTGAAAAAGGGAGCTATCTCTTCAACTGCTTTGAAACCAGTTAGGTTAACTTTCCTAGAACGGAAGAGAGTTGCAACATGTTTCCGTTTCCGGTATATAATACCAGGAAATAGTTCAGGCTCCCATGAAAAGTTCTCGTTATTATACACACCCTTGAAGTCAATTTCCGGTAGTATTGAAGCTGTAGCTGTGATGTTTACAATTCTTGATGAAATAATATTGATATCCGGTAAGTTCCGATGTATTATCTGTTCCGCTTCAAGAAGTGACTTTACTCCTGTTATATTGATTTTTGTTGAATGATATATTAGAAGACATGATTTATCATCTCTTAGTACTATTCCGGAAAATTTACATGGGTCATATTCACCATAATCACTTGGATTCAACTTTTTATCAAGAATACATGAGATCACAACATTAACCACTTCCGGTTCAGTCGATAATGTTTTATAATCCATATTGAACATTATACTTAATTTGAATATTAATATAATTATTTAAATTTCTTATATAGAAAGTAATTATTTGAAAACCTCTGACACGTAGTCGTGACCTTTAACTAAATAGAAAAGAGAAAAAAGAAAGAGAAAAAGAAAGAGAAAAAAGAAAGGGAAAAAAGAAAGAGGTAAAAGTGGTAGAAATTCTCGTTTAAAAAGAAAGAGAAAAGAAAGAGGAAAAAAGGGGGCCAGAGAAGACTTTTTATAACTACTATGATAATAATAACAATTTTAATCATAATAGAAAATGACAAAAGTAATAATATTAACAAATCACGAAGAAAAAGGATTGACCTGATTAGCCTTATCATCTTGATGATGATCATTATTGATAAAGATGATAGAGAGCATATTCTTCTAATGGTTTTCTATTTTGATTAAATACTAACTCTATTTAATTCTGATTCTCTATTTGATTGTTATGACTTGGATAACAATCAACAAGATTTTACCAATCGATTGAAAATTTATCGGTCTTAATATTCAACTTAGATTGTATATTAACATTGAAATTATCAATCTGATTGTTACTATTTCCTTTCCTTTTCCCCAATTCTCACTTTTGATTGTTACACTAATAATTTTTTCTCGTCCTTGATCACAATTCTCACTTGATAGTTGTAAATAAATTGTCAACAATCAACTAACACAATCATCATCATCTCCTCCTCTTTTTGTCATCTTGCTCCTTATTTTTTTTTCTACTCCCACAACCTCCACCTCCTCTCTTTCAGGTGAAATTTTTACCTGGACAACACTAAATGGATTGACCGATGTAGAAACTTGTTAATTGTTACACTTCATTATGACCTGATTTTAAATTATTATCAAATTGTTCATCAGTTAAGGTTAATCCTAATGTTTATCCAATGTTGATTTGTTTTCTTTTCTAAAGTGTAATCATTTGTGTTGTTAATTGCGAAAAATTTACTCTCTCAGACTATTGATTGTTTGATCACCATGATTAAGGTGAAAATATGGTTAACAATATTGTTTCAAATGTTTATCATTCTATTGTTATCTCAAGGTAAGTTTATATATTTTTTTCCTTTGATTTAAAGTTAATTGCTGATGATTTCTTTTTCTTTTTCCTTTAATTGTCTCAGAATTAGTTGGAATATCTTGTTATAAGTGTCAAAGTCGCAATGGTATGGATCCATCATGTGAATCGGCTTCTTCGGGTGCTGGTTATCAGGAAAACTGTAGATTCCAACCCATGGGACGACAGTCACAATTTTCCGGTGAATATTGTATCAAAGTGATTGGAAAACTGAGTAAGAATTTTTAATTGTTCCGAAAAAATTGTGTTTACAATCATTATAATAACATATACACTCACACGATTGCATGTCAATTGATTTATAATTGATGAGGTATTAGTTTTAAGTTTATTGATTGTAGATAAAATCATTAGCTGGAAAAATTGGTCTTTGTATTTAATTACGATTAATTAACCTAAACCATTAACTTTCTTCGTGTTTTTTTATTCTCATATCGATCGTAATATTGTAGTTTAATTATCATATTTTCCTCTCTTATTTTTCCTTGTAGTTCCTTCACGAGAGACGATTGTAATTCGTGATTGCGATGAGAGACCTTTAAATCGTACCCAAATATCTTATTTTAATTACAGAGGAATCGGAATCAATGGAACTCAATACTCATGTAAGACAGATTATTGTAATCATTCAATCAACAATCAACCAAATTATCAGTCAATTATCATCCCGATCACATGGACACTAATTTTAGTAAATTATTTCCAATCTAAACGTTGAAATATTCAATTGCTACAAATTTACCGTTTAATCACTAAATCTAATCGCTACTATTAATAAATTATTAACTCACTGTTTAATTTAACCATTTGTGTTGTTATGTATTCTCATACCAAACAGTTAATTGTTTCAATTTTTGATTTTCCAATCATCATAACTGTTATTTACTCACCTTAATTGTAGTCTATTCTACCTCACCTAATTGAATAAATTAACTAATCTCTCTGTAAATAAATTGTTCTCACCTTATAATATCTGTTTAATGAATTAAATTGAAGGAAAAAAATAACAATCAACACAAATTAAATTGTTTTCATCATAGAGAAATCAAAATGAAAGAACAGATTAAATAACAATTACAATTAAATCAGATTATCGATTAATAAATGTTAAGTGTTATTAACAGAATTAAATCAATTTTCGTTTGCGAAACAAAAGAAAATCAATGCAATTAAATGGAACAATTAGTTAATTGCCTTCCAATTGGAAAACACTTTCGGTAAGAAATGAAAGTATTAACCACTTTTCCAATTAATGATTAACAATCGATTCAATTGATTAATCAATTTTCTCTCAATGGGTAAACTACTGGGCTATTCCGCTATTTTTACCGATGTTTTTTGCAATTTTCTCACCAACTAAGAGTCAAAGAGACACGAGACTTGAGTGATATGAGTTTGAGCGATACTCAATTGTCATATCAAAAGATCAAGGTCATTCAGGTCATCGGTAAAATAACACATTTCAAGGTCATCATTGTTGAAAGAAAGCGTTTCAAGGTCATCTGAAGATGATATAGCTATTCTTCACATTTTTAACCCTGAAAAATGAGTTTTACTCGCCTTAATTAGCAACTGGTCTTTCAAGATTAAAGCTACAATGTTTTGGTTTTCACTCATTCATTAAAGGTGAACAGATTAGTCAAAGATTAGTGGTATTTTTGTGAATCTTAATAAAAATGCAAAATGAATCCAACCGAATGGAAACCGGTAAGTTATTTAATTATATTCTCTATGTAAATTATCGTCCTCGAGATATCTCTGAACATTCTTTTTTGTTAAATTGCCTTCAGATGACCTTGAAATGTGTTATTTTACCGATGACCTGAATGGCCTTGATCTTTTGATATGACAATTGAGTATCGCTCAAACTCATATCACTCAAGTCTCGTGTCTCTTTGACTCTTAGTTGCTGAGAAAATTGCAAAAAACATCGGTAAAATAGCGGAATAGCCCTGTATTATTTTCCAGGTCGAATGACGTTAAAAACGAATCAGAGAATTGAGAAAATGAATATAAAATAATTCGAATTGGTGATTTTAAATAACAGAAAAATCGAGAAAAGAATAGAAAATATTTTTTATTCTTTGTTCTATTCTCTCTTGTCCCTCCTGTTATATTATCCAATACACCAAATACACCGCAGTGGTAAATGTTAATAATCCCGAAAATCACCCCAAGTAAAATATGCATGATTTTATGGTAAAAAAGATTGACAAGTTTCCGAGTGTAATACAAATCTCTGTATATTATGAATGCATATTTATCTTGGAGTTTTTTTCTTGTCTATTATTTATGTTGCTAACATTTATCTTCATCTCTCTTTGATATTTTTTTACCCCACCAAGTAAACCAGAGGATACACACAATTACAGTATATTGGAGTGGTACAAAGAGTAACCTGGGTCAACAAGTCTGTAAGGCAAAGGGAGTGGAAAGTTATCTTTACCACTTGATCCTCAAATAATATGAACACTCAAGAGACTCATCAACATAAGTGACTTTCATCTTCATCCTCATCCTCATCTTCATGTATTATATTTATTGGTCTATAGGACACAAAATTGTAACATTCTGTCAAGTAGAATGTAGCATCCGCATCATCATGTTTACATCTTCCTCTTTGATAGATCAAAAAAGGTCCCGTTATGTATCTCACCTTTCTCTCTCTCTCTCTCCCTCTTCTGTTTATCATCTTGTATCCCCACTCTGTCAGTAATTTACATTTAATCAATTGTCCATCGATGGATTAATTTGATTAGTAAGAGATGCAGATATTGAGAGAGAATAAGATGATAATTAACTTTGACCCGTTCGACAATCAAACCCTTTTTCGAATGTCAATGTTTTCACTGTTCGATGTTGATTGTTATCCAAATTACTTGTCACAAAGTTCGCGTAGAAGAACAAAAAAATCTTATCAAGATGATATAAACAACAAGAAAAAGTATATCAGAAGAAAATAATTCTATTAGGATAATTTGTTCGATTTGTTTATTTCATCTGCTGAATAGTAATTGATTTAGTCAATCGAGATTCTCAAAGAAAAAACAAACAAACGCTCATAAGCCCAAACGAAAGTAAATTGGAGAAAAAGAAAAATTAATTGACAGATTAAATCGGATTGTGAATCAAACTCACTCTTTGATTAACATTAATTGTGATCAACATTTCTGATCATCAAGTCTTATCCATTGGATTGTTAATCACTTATAAGAAGGGAATCAACATAACAGTAAATCCAATGTGGATGATATTATTATTCTTTATTTACGATAAAATGTTATCATTTTTCAAACATAAGATTAAGAGAGAGAGAGAGAGAGAGATGAGGATGATCACTGATGATGATGAAAAGGGACTTAAAGCAAAGCCTCCACTTGGTCCGATAATCCCTTGGACCAAGTGAACTCCCAAAAAAATATAAACAATTTTGTGTTTATTTGTTATCCTGGAACAATTTAATAATCATGATGAACCATTTAAGATGATTATTATTATCATCATTCTGATTGTTATTGAGTGTTTGTCTTGTGGCTAGAAAAGGCGTTCAAATATGATTGAGAGGATGAAGATACAAAATTAACTTGATTGCTGTAAGTGAATCTATTTTCATCCTCATCACCATTTACCATAAAAAATGATGATGATGCTCCTCATCTTCACCTATTATCATGTTTAGCATCCTCATCTTTTTCATCGCTCTCTCTCTCTCTCTCTCTCTCTCTCTCTCTCTCTCTCTTGCCCTTCTGTCCTCCTCATCTTGATATTAATGGTGGTCAGAGAGGATAATCTGTTCAAACTTTTTATCATCAATATATTTCACTTTGAATTAATCTGTTAATATTGATTACATTTCATCATCATTTTATTAATCCGATCCAATGAATATTATTTATTTCAATCATAATCATCATCATCATCATCTTTATCCTCTTCTCAGTATTTTAACATTTGTAATCGGATAAAAAGTCTGAATCAATTTTAATAAATTGTATCATTAATTTGGTATTAAAATATCAATCAACTGATTAAATCTAATTATCTAATAAATAGATTTTCTCATTATAATCAAGTGACAAAATAATCACTAATCACTTTTGTACATCAATTATCTTTAACCATAAAACTATTCAGTTAATCAATGATTTAATTATGTTCTTTGGTGTTAAATGAAATCACCATCATCACTATTTATGAACATTATTGTTTCCATTCATGATAACATGTAATTTTATTTCACAATTTAACAAGAGAGGGAAAAAAATGATTATGATGATATAAAAAAAGAGGATAAACTGATTTAAATCTAATAACAATTTACATTTGTGGTGTTTAAATTGTTAAATCAATAAAAATGATTTAACGGCGATGGTTTTTTTTTACTTTCTACTGATATTGATCATATAACATTTTCCTCAGTGTTTATCTGGGAAGTTCATCTTTTCGTAATATAATAAATTGTTAGCTGGTGGAAGAAGAGGAATCACAATTAATCGATCAAAACATTAATCAGAGAGAGAGAGAGAGAGAGAGAGAGAGAGAGAGAGAGAGATCATGATAATCAGGAAGAGGATGTGGAAATGATGTCGATGATTTAACCAGGTAGGGTGACAATAGAGTGGAAATTGAGATGAGCTTTAAATGTGATTAAATTGTTATGGTAAGAAAACTGTAAATGGACATGGAGATGATTATTATTGAAAGAGAGCAGGTTTTGACTTTACAACACGCGCCGATATTTTAACACGTATGTTGCATACAACACACACGCGCGCGTTCATCGGTGACACAATTAACCTAATTAAAAGAGAATCAAAGTGAACAAGAAAAAGCAGAAAAAAAAACTCTCAATGTAGGAATACAAGTAAAAAATCATAATCACAGTCTTAATTGTGGGAATCATAATGATCACTGGAGGTGGTGAAAGTCGGAGTGGGGTGGAAACTTTTTGCTCGAGTTTATAATTGTAAAGAGGAGGTGATGGTGATTTACTTGATTATCATTACATGGGATTTGGTTGCTTGTTGATAATTGATTGGAGCTTATGTTTATTTAATGGGAAAAACATTATCGATTATAATTGATTGTTGGCAATTTGGTTACTTGATTTTGTTGATTCTCTTTTTTTTCTTGATGATGAATAACCACCATGACTTTTCGTAAAAGTGGTTGTTTTTTTCTTGTTAAATTGTGATAGGAAAATGATTCTTAGTGATTCTATTGATTGTGGATTTTAAATTATGAGGGAATCAGACTGATTGTTAATTTATTTGTTTACCTTTTAATAGAGATGTTGATTAACAATTTAATCTGTGACGTTAGTTATAAGATTAACTTATTAATCTCTTTCTCTTTTTTTTCTTTCATGTTGATTATCAATTCTAATTGTGGGTTTTTGGAGTTGGTGTTTTGGGAATTGTGGATTAATTATTTATCATTCCTTTGTGAACAATTAATCGGTCTCACTGGAACTAATTTATCGGTTACTGATCGGTCAATTAGTCCAGTGATTGGAACCAATGGTGAATCAGATTGAGAGATTCCGTTATTAGGATTGTTGATTAGATTGTTGTTAAGATCAGTTGTTGAATTTGTACCACTTAATGTTGGTGTTGTTGGAATTGATTCACAAAGAGGCGGTGATGATGAACGACGATGATTTTGATTAATTAGACTTATTGATGATGAAGATTGTTGTTCACCGTTAAATTGATTAGTTAACGATGGTATTGAAGCTGCAGCGGCACAAGCAGCGGCCATTCCAGCGGGCAAAGGGATTCCCGATTGGTTCATGTAGGAAATTATCCTTCGAAGCTCCTCCAAAGCATTTGCCTTCCATTGAGAGGATTAATTTATTAGAATAACGATTAACAATATATTCTTTCAAAAATTCTACTAAATGATAAATACCTGCATTAGAATATAATTTTTGGCCAACAAGAGAGTCGCTATTTTGGACAGTTTTCTAACGGAAGGGGAATGAGCATATGGAATAACAGATCGAAGTTCATCAAGAGCATCGTTCAGATCGTGCATTCGTCGCCTTTCTCGAGCATTTATACTCAATCGAACCTAAGAAAATACATATGATCAATAATAGGAAGGGATTTAAGGGAAATTAGAAAGTTTGGAAGGCGGGAAATAAGAGTAAGGGAGAGAGAGAGAGAAAAAAAAAGAACAGGTAAACAAATAGTTTACTGTTAATCTAATCTACCTTCATTGATCCTCCTGATTCCAAAAGCATAGAATTAGCATTAGCAGCAAAAGAATTGCTTACTGTCTTTGCTTGTCTCATCTTCTTGGTGACAACAGGTAGATTATTACCACATCCGTTTTCGTGTTTAATTGTGGCCGTTGTACCTTCGTAGTTGTTTTCACAATCGATTACAGGTGAAGGAGGTGAACATCTTTTACCATTGAGAAAGGGATGTTGAGGATTATGGTGATGGTGATATGATGAGGAAGAAGATGATTTAACACTAATCTCACCATTAGGGATTCCAATTGATAAATTATTTGGAGATCCATTGGTTGTTGATTGATTATTTGATGAGCTATTATTGTGAATTATATGGTGGCCACTTAAACCACTATTAGCATTATTGGTATTGTGTAATTTTTGATAATTAGTTAACGATAATAAAGGTCCACTTGATGTATTTACTTGAGGTGAATTTGGTGAACAATTGAAATCAATTAATTTACGTTCGGAGTTTGATTCATCGCCAGAATTAACTGGTTCAATTAACGAATCACCGTCAGTTGTTGATGGAGGTGATGGACATGATATTGGTTCGTTATTGGAATTAGGATTACCCGCTGAGGGAGGTGAAGATGAGGATGAAGATGAATTAACTATGTTATTTAGAATTAATTGTGTTGAATGATGATGCGAATTAATTATATTTAAATGGTGATGATGATGATGAGAGAGATGATGAAGTCCAGATGATGAACCATGGGAATGGTGCAAAGGATGATGATGATGGTGATGGTGACTTGGAATCATGATTGGAGGTGATGGGATCTCACTTGAAGAAGGTGAAATTAAATGATGATTAAGGTGATGATGGTGATGATTATGATGTCCACTTTGAACAAGACCTTCCATTAGAAGATTATTCAATGAAGTAGCCTTAATGATGGATGCTGGTGATGATGATGATGACGATGGCGGTGGCAGTGATGCAAGAGAAGATGCTGATTGTAATGATGGAGATGTTGAAATTGGTGACGAAGTTGAATCTTGTTGTTGCTTCATCTTCGAGACCATGAGTTAATAATGAAATAATTAGTATTCATCATCTTTAATTTACCAAATGATATATATTTTTTTATTCCTTATTTTGATTAGCCAATGTAATTGTTGATTGTTAATCACTGTTGTTGTGATTGTTTATATGCCAATAAACGGTTGCCACTTGTTTCACAAAAACTTTCAAATAATTGACACTTTAACTTTATATTGTTACTATTTTGATTGTTGTTCACGATGATGATACAATTGTGGTGATACAATTATAACAATCAAATAATTCGGATTGATTGTTGTCTCTCTCTCTCTCTCTCTTTCTGTATATGATCACTATTGATGGCGATGATGATGTTAGGACAGATGGTCTCATCGGACTATCACAATTGCTCCGCATCACTTTTTTCCTCATCCTTTTATCTATACTTTTCATCATTCCTCCTCCATCTCCTCCCACTTTGATACTTTTTCTCTTTCTTTCATCATCATCATCATCATCATCTTCTCTCTCTCTCTCTTTCTATCTCTTTGACAATTTCTGACACTCTCCAAGTTCAATTTCATCCTCCTTTCACCATCTAGACGAAAATATATATTATATCATCTTGGAATTCTCAATGAAATCAATTAATGCTTGTTAACTAATCTTATTTTCATCTTCATCATTTGTCTATTGTTTTTTTGTGTTATCATTATCATCTAGAAGCAATTAAATAACAGACTATATGGAATGACGATCAAGGAGGAAAAAGTTCATGGAGGTGGAGAGGAAGAAAGTTCATCCATGGTGGGAGTTGATCGCCATTTTTTTCTACCATGACAATTATGGTTAAAGGCGTAACCTTCATGGTTTCTTGATTGTTATGAGCATCTCAAAGCAAATCATCTAATGATAATATTAACTGTGAACAAAACAATATCATTTTTCATCGTCATCATCATCATCATCTTCATGAAGAAAAGACATTTTTCTGAGTCAATTGAAAAATCGAGAAAAAATTTTTCATTTCTTGTTTCTTTTTTTTTATCCTTTGGTAGATTGTTACAGTTTAAGCTCAACTAATTTTGTCAGAATTTTGATTCGCAAGTTTAGAAAACAGAATAATTTAATTCTGAGACTTTGCTGGAAATTGTGATGATCAAGAAGCATTCACACTGGAAATTATTTGTCATGTTTGCAACTTTATGAGAGGAGGAGGAAAAACTTTCTCCATGGGAGTTGCTCAATGCTGAGACTCACCAAGAATTGGAATCATCTGAACCAATCAGAATATAGCAACTGATGATACACATATAATCTTAATCCACATAATCGTCAAGTCAATCAATCAATTTTCACAAGTAATTGATTGACAGACATTCAGCTGATATGATTCATAGTAATAATCAACGCTTCAAAGTGATTTCAAGATTGTCGTACTGATATGATCATCATGATCATCATGAAAGAGAATACAAAAAAAAGAGAATCTAAAGATTATCCAGATATGGAGTGAAAAGAGATTATCTTAATGGTGATATTACAAATTCTGAGAAAATACAAGTGATAAAGATAAAGATGAAAATGATAACAAGGATGAGGAAAGTAAAAGATGATGATAAAGTGTAAAAATTGTCCATTCAAGTGTAAAAGTAAATCAAGATGATAATCTGATGGTGATGAAGATAAAGATGATAACTACTGTACTTTCAGGGAAAAACAATTACATCCATGATCAAACTTATCGTGATTCTCATCCGTTAATCATGTAAATCAAGTTTAAATGTAATTCCAAGCAAAACCAATTTCAATTCAATCCAATCAACATAATAATATTTATCTTTATCTTGTTAACATTGTTAAATATTAATGATACCATCAAGTTGTTAATCAGAAATTAGTTTCAGTTTCCCTTTGATTATCATCATAATCATAATCATAATCATAACCATGATGATGATTATCAATGAATCACAATTATCATCATGATTACATTGTGTTCCCATGAAAGACAGAGATATGGGACAAAATTGTAACCTTGATTATGGACCAACAACATTATTTGATTGTTTCACTTTCTCTCTTACGATTAATAGTGACAATTAAATTAACAAGCGTTCATTAAAATTTATGAATAACTGGATTGAATAAATTTCATGGTTTAATCCGCAATAATAACATTTGATTGTCAGAAAAAAAAACAAATCTTGTTATGGTTTATTTTTCATTTCCATTTGATTGTTGAATGAAATTCATTGATAACCAAATGATTAACATTCATATATCAATATGATTATCAATTGAGTTGAATCAATGAAAGTTAATTGAGATACGATAATGATGATTAGAGGATGAGTATTAATTGTTGAAGTGATTTAATAGTATTGTTATAATAACAGATGTAAGATATTGATGTTAATATGTTGGAAGAGATTAAATTTCTTGAAAATTGATTATTCGTAATCAACATTGAATAAAGTTAATTGTTATGGATAATATTGTTTACAATCAGTTTGGAGAGGGATAAGAAGATGATTAACTTGTTATGGTTGATTGAAAGGATATAAAAACAACAATTAATTTAGGAAATTTAAAACCAAGTTTATTGGCCGTTAAACTGAATTAAGAGTCTCCCCCTCGATCTTCATGTAATCATAATGGTAACATCATGTTGATTTATCATCTCCGCTTGTCTTTGTCCCACTGGATTCACGGGAGGTAATCAACAAAAACCACCCTCACTCTCTCCTCGTCATCCTCATCTTCTTCCTCTTCCTCTTGACAAAGATGCACTTTACTATCGTCTATGGGGTGTTTCCTTCCACTTCCAAGGGGTAAAGGTAAAGGTGAAGGTGGAAAAACAACAGCAGTGGTCCATTTTAGTGGTTAACAGGCCCCATGGAGGGAAAATCTTTTGTCACTCACTCATCATCATCTTCTTCTTCCCAATTTTGGTTGTAGTTGTAAACCACAATTTAGACAACAATTTAACAAGTACATGAAAATGAAAGTATCGACATATGGCCTTGTACATATTACAAATTAATATGTATATCGACAACAATGAATCGCTATTAACGATATTATTATCATCAAATTCATATTATAAACTTGTCGATGATGATCAAGATCAACTTGTTAATATAAAGGGTCTCTTGAGATGTCTTCCTATTCATCATCATCATTGGCTTGAGTTTTTAGTTGATTCCATTGGATTGATAATCATCATCAAAGTATCAACTTGAATCTAATTATTTTACCATAGTCAATGTTTATTGTATAGTAAACAATCAAGTTGATTGTTCAATCTTAATTGTTTTGCTTTTTACCTCTTCAACTTGATCAACTTTATTATGATGGTGACTTCTAATATGCTTCACAATTCCGGTTGGTGTTAAGTAAAATGTTTCCTGGCACAATTTACATTCATACTTTTTTGCCATCGGATCCTCAGGTAACTTAAATGATGATGATGATGATGATGGTTCATTTGATGATAAATTATCACAAGCAGCATCATTTTGCCCTGAGGCTGTGGTTGGTTTGGTTATAGATGAAAGGAAACATTTCTCCCGATGACGAATCTCCTCTAATTTAGATGTAATCATTTCCATATCACAATTTGAACATTTCCATGGTTTCTTAATGAACTTATCTTTGGAAACATCAACATCCGATAAACTGAAAGAAGGTGAAAAAAAAAGATTCATAAATATAACAGAGAAGAGATTTTAGTTGATTAAAATCAAATTAACATCTCAATCAAATTTCCAGATCCCTTAGGGTGAAAGTGGAGTGGAAACATTATCAAAATAAAAGGTTATAACCATTGATTGTCAAGTAAATACAATTAGATAAACTCAAGAAAATAGATAAACATTTAAAAGTCAATTTACAATTTAAATGGATTTAGGATTTATCCTTATATGTATTTACACATAAAGGATTAGATTATTATTTCATATCGATTATTTTTCCTCTTGTTGATGTAAAAAAAAAAGTATTACAATGAGATTAACGGGTTAGAGATTATCATCATCATCATAATCTTATCACCGATGTAATTGTAAAATCAATGTAAATATAATCATAAATTGTTCATCAATCTTGGACAAAATCAACAACAACAATGAATCAAAACGATGATCATCATGTAATCATCATGATTGATGATGTTGTTTATTTATTGTTATTTATTGATTGTGATTAAACTTACCAATTGTATGTTAAATAGTGATTAACTTTGATACCTCCTTTAACTGGATCTGTTGAGTATTTATCAACTATGGGTGTTGATATAATCTCATCTAAAGGATTAAGGTTAATATTTTTAATCTCTTTCAATGGATTGATTTTATCAGCTGATTGTTTCTCATCCAATGTTTTAATTTGATTGTGATTTTCATTACCATCATCATCTATAAGTTGATTAGAATCACAGCCAATGTATAATTTATCAATATCAGCTTGTAAAAGTCTCTTAATTGTAAACGGAATCTCAATTGTTAGAAAATAATCAATAAGAGTATTTAATTCATCTTTCATTTTTATCACCTCAGGACTTAACTCTTTACCACCACCAGAGTGATGATGATGATCCTCATCATCAACATTATCTTCATCAGTCCCATCTCGATCCAATGATTCTGTACATATACAAGGTGATTAAGATATAATCATCATCATCATCATCACCAAACAATCAACATTTAAAAAAATATTCAACATTATTAATGATAAAGTGAATGAGCAAAAAAAATCTTTGTAATTTTGATATTGAATAAGATTGAAAATGTTGATAGTTTAAGTTTAATGATGAAAAAAAGTGTAAAAAAAAAGTGATGAGGATGAAGATGAGGATGAGGATGAGGATGGTGGTTAATGGTGATAATCAACTTACCCTGGAAAACTTTTGTCAAAAGATTTAACCATAAATCACGAACTTGAATAGCAGTTGATATAAATTTTTTCGGTAAATTGTGATTATCATCTAAACGTATTTCAATCCATTTGTCGAGTACAAGCCTAATAAGATGATGATATTAATAAGGATGAAGATTGAAAGATGATAAATAGAGGAAAAGGAAATGAGAATAGGAAATATTATTAACAAATAATTTGCTCGACAAAAAGTCAATGAAAGTTAAAGTAATCAAATCAATCATTTACAAAGAAAAAGGTATCAATACAATTGTCCGGGTAAATTAATTACCTTGTAAAATTGTAATTAGTGTCAATCGAAGTGGCAAATAATAACATTGAATGAACTGCGGGCACTTTGAGACAATTAACTAAATAAGGTTTAGTTGTTTCAAGTAGTAAAAGATAAGCCAATAGGTAATGTTGATTACTTTGGATTCCTTTTTCCTTAATTGTTGCTCTTTTATCATTTAATTGTAACAAATCAGGATCCAAAGCGTAGACACTATTAGGATGAAGGACCACAAATGGTTTTGCCTGTAAAGGTAATTAAATATAGAAGAGAAAGAAATTGGTAAACAATTAACTTTGAATTACAATCAAATCGGAGTTTTTTTTTCTTGAAAAAAAAAGTTTGATGGTTAATAACAATGAATTGTACAAATTGTAATCGGTTATCATGTTAATCATTGTTAGATATTAATGTGCTTCTAGAAAGATGATCAATTGATGATTATAATGATTCTTAGAGATCATTTTTAGTTATGGTTATGTAAATTAACTAGAAACTGTCATGTTAACTACTGTATTATCATTGATGATGATGATGATCAATGATGAAGAGGAAACAAGTTTATCATATTTTTTTTATATAACCAAACAGCATCTTCATCATAAAGATACACATAAGTGGTAAATTCATCCATAGGATGCTCAATGTAAATGTCCATTGGGGTCATCTTAGTGATATTAATAATAACAGGGATGGGAATTGCTTTCTTTTTGTGTGTTGATATTTTGTTTCCGTGTCAAAATGATGATAATGATGAGGAGGAAGATGAGATATGATAAAGAGAGAGAGAGAGATGATAATATGATGATTCCAATGCATCTCAATGCTCTTAAATTTTGGATGATAAAAAAAATGTATTTTCTTCCTCTTCACTGAGTTCAAAATGTCCCCTTGACCAAGAGTCAACTTTGTTCAATCAACTGACCCTTAATGTCCATACACAGATACATAAATACGCACACACATTTATTAATATGTAACAATGGACAAGAAAATGATTCCAATCAAATTTAAAGTTTTTTTCTCACTTAAATTGTGATTGTGATCATTGGAAATCGTTTAAGTTTTTTTCTTCCTCAAATCATTAAATTTCAACGTGAAAATTGAGTCTCGGGAAAGTTAATTAACTTGGTTATTTGATCTGAAGATTTTTTTTTGTCGCAAATTCATTTGTTTGTTATCAATATAAATGCTTATTGAAAATTGTGTTGATCTTTTTTCTTGAGTTACAATTTAGTAGCTTCGATTGACTTTTTTCAGATCATCATCATGATTCTCATTGAACATCACCCTGTATACGATGATATTGTATAGGTTAAATTTGCCTTTTCTTTTTGATATTCTTACGATGATAATGTTTATAGGATTGTCTTTTTCTTCAGATTCTTAAGCATTTTCAACTTCCCTTTGGATTACATGGTAAATCATTGAGTTTGATGATTAAGATGATTTGGATAATTAGTGATCAGATAATAATTCGATAATTACCTTTGTATGAAATAATTGATCGGAGTCTTTTTTATACGAGTTATGTTGATCAGGAATAGCTAATTGGGGATACAGTCCACTCGTAATTATCATCTTCATCAGGTTCATATCTTTTCCTTTGAAAATTTCAGATGAATTTTTCAAAAGCTGAAACAAAGATTATGGATTAAGATTAGGATTAGGATTAAGGGTTTACAGTCGAGAATGATATTGATGTGATATTACCTTAATTTGTCGATCATTGTAAGATAATCGGAAGTCGATTTCCTTCAAATCGTAATCGTCAGTTAGTTCATTGTCTTCATCTTCTTCTTCTTCTGCTTCCCAATCAAAGTTTACTTTTAAAATTTTCCGTTTCTTTGGACCTTTCGATTCAATTTGTCTTTTTAAGGTCATTAAATGTCGCAATTCACCGTGTCTTCGAATTCTCTCTGTTGATGTACCTGGCCCAAGTTCATTGCTTCGTCTTTTATCACCCTGACTCCTACGATTTCTAGAGGGAATTATCATTTTCCCTCTGTGAATGAAATAAAGTCCCGATTCTTTGATCACATCTCGAAATTGTTTCCGTAATTTAGTTATCTCATAAAAACGCTGCTCTTCAAATCCTCTTCGTTTACACCATTTTCTCGAGTCCTCTGAACCTGAACTTTTAATGGTTAACCATTTATTGTAAGCTCGTAGTAATAGGAATGGGTCACCTTCAGTTGTGTCCAGTCCTCGTCGAGCTTCAATACAATCAATGTGAGAATAACCTTTAGCGGTTAACGGTGATTGGACTGAAAGACATGCTCCCATTGAGATTATTGGCTCAATAAGATTAAATGTTGACCCTAAAATAAGCATTTTTCCAATCACAATGTCAACCGGAAGTTTAGCTAACATCCGACCCATTGGAGTGATACAGAAATCACCGTGTCCATCTTCATTGTCCGGTTGATTATCATTTGTCATCGGCTTTCTAGTTAAAGCTCCGTTTTCTAGTAAACTTGTCAATGCTTGATCGATTGATTGGTCACTTGGAGATTCGATGAAAGGAAATTTTCGCACATCCGGAAGTCCCATTTCAATCATTCGTAATAACAGCGAGTCAATTGGAACTCGGTTTATCTCTGACGTTGAATATGAGGACATCTCGTCGAAAGAAACTGGACCGTAAAGACGATAACAAACTCCTGGACCTGTTCGTCCAGCTCGACCTTTCCTCTGTTCGGCTGAAGCTTTGCTAATCCAAAACTCTTTAAGTCGAGCCATACGAATAGTTGAATCGTAGGACATTTCCTTGACCTTACCTGAATCAATTACAAATCTGATTCCATCAATGGTCACTGAGGTTTCGGCAATGTTGGTTGATAGAATCACTTTGCGAACTCCCTCCGGGGCCAGGTCAAAGATGCGATCTTGCTCTTCCAAGGAGAGGCTTGAATGAAGTGGTAATATTATCCAACGACGCGACTCACCTGCGTAAGGTTTACAATGGTCTGCGATAGTTTGAATGTCTGTAAGGCCACTTAAAAAGATTAGGACATCACCTCGTTCAGAGGACGGGTACTTATCATCAATCATTTTTAAAAGTCTCAAGTACGGTTCAGGGTTGATACGATTACCCCGTTTATATGAGTCACTGGAAACTGGTTGATAATATAATTGAATTGGATATAAACGACCTGGAACTTGAATAACAGGACAGTTACCAAAATAATTGGAAAAAAGATCAACATTAATGGTTGCTGACATTAGAATTACTTTGAGATCGTTGGGTCGTTGAATCAAAAGACATTTCATTAGACCGAGAAGAAAGTCAATGGTCAAGTGTCGCTCATGAACTTCGTCTAAAATGATCACATTGTAAGTCGATAAAAGAGGATCAGCAGTGACCTGACGAAGCATTAAACCTTCCGTGATGAACAATATTCGTGTATCTTGAGTTCGATGCCGTTCAAATCTTATCTGGTAACCGATCAAAGAACCAAAAGCATCGGCTGTCTCAAAGGTCACTCTCTTACATAAAGAGATACAAGCGATTCGTCGAGGTTGTGTACAGGCGATATTGGTGTAACCCGCTTCGAGGAGATACTGAGGCACTTGAGTTGATTTACCACAACCAGTGTCACCTAATTGTGAGAAACAATTAATGTTGAGGAAAAAAAATCAACCATCAAATTAGTGAGGGAAAAAAGTTTCTAATCAATTTTAATTAGTGAATATGTAGACAAATGAAAATCAGATTATCTTTGATTAGTGTGTCTTGATTGATGAGTGACAATTAACGGAGCGAAATTTTAATTTTTAACTGATGTTCAAAGTAGCAATTAGTTGATATAATATTCACTGTGTATCTTGATTTTTTTGGCTATTTGATTTGTCAGCTTAATTAATTAGATATCATCAACATCATCATTAGGGTTAATTGCATTGGTGTCAAAGGAGCAATTTAAATTGTGAATACAAAAACCAATGTATATGGTTGGTTGATTAAGTTGATTGTGAGGGGAAAAAAATTATGAGCAAAAAAAAGTCTTAAAGCTACATTAGTTGATTATGATTCTTAATTGTTATAAAACATTCATCTCTCAATGATTAAAACTAATGATGAGGATGAAATGTAAATTGATTGTTTAAACCTGATCAGTAAAGGTTAGGGTATTAGTTAAATAGCAATGATACTCTGAGGGATCATAATTAACTATTTGTAACTCAGTTAATGATTAGTTTGATTCCAGTTGATTTGCTATTAAGATATTATATTTTTATAGAGTCAATATAATGTATAATTGTAGTTGTTATTTGTTGATTGTTGATTGTTACTGTTGATTGGATAGGATTTATCATAATTCACTGATCATTGATTTAACCATTTTCTTAACAAGTCGACCTCTAGTGCTATCAAAATTAAGGTAATTTATTAACACCATTAACTGATTGTTGGTTAAACTGTTGAGATTAATATCAGAGGTAATGATTACCATGAAAAAAAAGAGATGAAAAGTTTTCTATTAGAATACAAATTGTATTCTTTTGATTAGAGAATTTTTTTTATCTCTTTCTGTGAATGACAAAAGAAAATTCAGATTTTTCGATAAATTTGGATAATTTAACATCCGATTAATGGGATTAGAGAGAAAAAGAATTTCTTTTTTTTCTATTCTATGAATTATCAGATTGTTAGATTGGATCTTTTTATGAATTTTCTTTTCATATTCTTTGATTGTTAGGCTAATAGAGAGTGTTGATTGATGATGTTGATTAGAATTCAAGTTTATTGAAACTTACCTGCTACCAGAATAACTGAATGGGTCTTGAGAGTGTCGAGAATGTTTTGTTTATATTGGAAGATTGGAAGATTTTCTTTGTCTTGTTGAAGCTTTTCCATTGTTTTGATTCGCTTTTTCTCCAGAAAATTAAGATAAAGTAAAATTATATCTCGAAATTTAGTTACTCTTTCACTCGTCAATGAATTGGTACAATAGTATTCGTCATCTTTAAACAATGAACCTTTACAGGTCATTAAGTAATCAATGTCCATCCAATCGGCTTTAATAGTTGACTTCATTGATTCAATTATTGCTGAATTGTTACCATGGTTTTTACCAGATTCTAATGATTGTAAATATTTTGTTAAGAATATCCAGAAATCATTGTATTCTTTTGTTCCTACTGAGATTTTCTCCTTAGGGCCAAAAAACATACGATTTAAAGCTGACCGGTGATCCTCATAACGAAAAGTAGATCCAATTGATTTACTTCGATGAGAATCTTTTTCGTTTCTTCTAAATGAAGATGAAGATGAAGATTCTCTTGGCATTATGTTAATCAATTATCACACAAATTATCACAATCACAATCAAATTAATCCATAATTAACAACAAGATTGCTGACTTACAATTTAAAATACGAAAAAACAAAATATCCAATTAAACATCACTAAATTAAAGACAATTCAACCGTGTGAAATTTTCTTCTTCAACACAATTAGGAGAATTAATTTTCAATAAATAAAATTAGTCAAAAACGTAAACAGTTAAAAAGCGAGATGATTGACAATTAGTTGATTGTCAATTTGTTGGGAAGATGAAAACAAATTCAATTTAACACATGATGTTTACGTCGTTTCCATGGTTACAGTTACCTTATTGTTGGCGGTTCTTTACAAAAAAAACCCCGAGAATCGTTAATTGTCAGTTAATTTGAACAATTAAATGTTAATAATAAACTTATTATTAGTTGTAGTTTTAATTTTGATCTTTTTTTGGTTGCTAATTTAGCTAATGATTTGACATTTGTGTTTTTGTAAAAATTGGCGACATACAATTTCATGTATTGGTTTTATATATGAAGTCACTTGAATGAAAGTATTAATATTTATGAACAAACAATTAACTAATAACTAAATTTTATCTTTAATTAAGCTCCCAAGCCTTCAATTGAACCTGGTGTATCGTCCTCGGTTTTTGCATAATCTAATATCAATTCTCGTTGTTTAGAAGATAATTTACTTGATTGTTTGTGATTGATTGAGATTCCATTGATACCATCAATTTGAATGATTTTGGGGAAAAAAAGATAAACAAAATCATTAGAAGTGAAAATAAGCAAATGGTTAATTACTACATTATTAAATTTAATAGATAATTAGATACTTACGTTGGTATTTTAATCTTAAAATGTACATAATGATCACCGGTACCATAACTATTGATACGTTTTAATCCTTTACCTGCTAATCTTAATCTAGTATGTGATGAGGTACCTGATGGAACCTTAATTGTTAAATCTTCATAAACACCTTCAATTCTAATTGTACCTCCGAGAACAGCTTGGGAGAGGCTAATTGTTGCCTCGGTGTGAACATCGGCACCTTCTCGTTTAAAGTAATCACTTTTGGCTACTTTAAATGTAATGAATAGCTCTTTGTTTCCAACTTGCATTCTAAGTGTTTGACCATCTTCAACACCCGCCGGAACAGGTATGTCAACGGTGCGACGTTGAAGAGTACTTCCTTTACCTTCACATTTGGTGCACGGATTTTGGATGTATAATCTTGTACCATGGCACATACGACAAGTTGATCTCATTACAAAAGGTCCGGTGCTGATTGTTTCCATTCCAGTTCCATTACAATAGGGACAGCGAACGGGTTTATGTCCTTCAGTACATCGAGATCCTTTTATGTTGTGGTAAAAAGGAGAGAGAGAGAAAAGAGTTGAATTAGGTGTTTAATTGATTTTCGATGTTGAATTTTTCTCTCTTACCTGAACAGGTAGGACAAGTATCTAAAATATTAATTTTCACTTGTTTATCGCAGCCTCTTGCCGCTTCTCTAAATGTAATATTTAATACAACCTCTTGAGCAGCTCCAAAACCGAAATCAGTCTCGGCGAATTCAAAATCTTGATTACCACCGGTTCTTGAGTTGAAATTTTGGTAACCATATTCACCGAAAATTTTTCTAAACAATTCTTCAGGATTCATAGATGAATGGAATCCCTGAAAACCTGATGTTCCACCACCGGTATAGTTATTAGCACCTTTAGAACCAAATGCATCATAATCACGTCTTTTCGTTTCATCGGATAAAACCTCATAAGCCTCAGAGACTTCTTGGAATTTCTTAGCTGATTCTGGATCACCTTTATTAGAATCTGGATGATATTTTTTTGCCAATTGGTAATAGGCTTTCTTTATGTCCTTTTGACTAGAGTTTCTTGCCACTCCAAGTGTCTCATAGTAGTTTTTAGCACTCAAAGAGCTGGAAGTATGGATCAATTTAATTAGACGAAGGTTAATATTTGCTTGACCATATGATTGTGACCGATGAAGATGAATTAATGGATCTAATAAACGAACAGAGCGTTTTAATCCTTCACGAAGCATTTCAACCAGATCTAGAGAAAGTGAACAAACAGCAAAATCAAGTATAAAATATTAAACAAAAAAAAATCAAGATGAATCTCGATCAGCAACAATTAATCAAATTCAAATAGAAAAAAAAATTCTATTCTCTCTTCCTCCTTTTGATAAACACCACAAGTTGATACCAATTTACCAAATGGAAACTTCACTTGTTTAACAAGCCAAGTTAATCTTGAGTTGATCAGGCCATCAAAGACCTCGAGATAATTGACCACAAATTAAATTAACCAACAATTAGAAAAAGAGTTAAATTCTAAGCAAGTTGATCCATCAAACACGCCGTTGACTAAATTCTGCAAAATCTTCAATGATGTAACCCCACACTTATCTTGTTTCGAATACTGTTGGCGCCATCTAGTGGATAATTTTGGTTATTCTTTTTGAGAGAAAAAAAGTTGACCGAAAAAAAGATTAATTAATGTGATTTGAACGAAAAAAGTTGACAGTTAACCTTTCGTGTACAGCGATTTAATTAAATTTTTGTTTATGCTCGATTCTCTCACAATTTTTGTTTTAGTAATTTAATGTTTTAAGGTAAATTATAGATATAATAATTAGAGTGTTGATGTTGATGAAAATTGTTTATAAGTTGAGAAAATGTTTTCGTTTATAATTTGTACCATTAGCTGTGTTGTTATTGTTAGTTAATTGTCTCCAAAAGTTCACGAGATTAATTGTCGAAGGAATTTATTATGATTCATCGAAAGATCAATTGAGAGAGAAAGGAAGAGAGAGAGAGAGAGAGAGAGAGAGAGAGAGAGAGAGAGAGAGAGAGAGAGAGAGAAATGAAGACAAACTTTGAAGGAGTTAATTTTTACTCCTTTGTTATTGACCAACTCTCGACCATTTTTTTTCTTGTTTCTTTCATGTTCACCAATCAAAAAATGACACATGATGAAAATTTTGAATTGATGCAATAAATGGTTATTAATATAATTATTTTTTTCAAGGTGATATTGAGAGATAATGAGCTAAAGAGTAGGGAGAGTGGTTTTGTTGTTGTTGTTTCCATGAGAAGAGAAAGGAAGAGCAAGAATAGAAGACAAGGTGAGAGGGCAAAAGTGAAGGGTAAAGTTGCTTGGATTCATTGTGGCTTTTGATTGTTGTTAATCATCTGCGACTTATTCATAATAATTGTGGATCCATTGATCATCAATATTGACGAATGAACTGAGGAAGTATATAAATTTGGTAATGGATAGATTTTTGTTTTCCATTTTTCTCTTTGATAAGAAGTGAAAAAAAGAAGAGGACAAAAGATGAGGGGATAAAGTTTTTTTTTGATGGAGAAATGATGACTTGATGGTGTTTTGCTTAATTGCCTGATGTTACAATTATTGGAACTTCACCATTGCCCGTTAACATGGCAAGAGTTGCTTGATCAACGGCACAAGTTCCGTCTTCATTAACTGGTAAGTATATTACTTGTTGGTCATCCATTCCTTCAACTTCAGCTATTTGACCACCTTGGTCAGTTACTTCTTGCATACTTTGCTCTAGAGGATCAGTGGTCAGTGTAGAAGAGGTCAATTCACCAGCTGAAGCTGCCTCAGGATTCTCGGAGAAGGTTATGTTAAGGCTTCTCACAACCTCTTCAATGTCCACTCCTTCGGGAACACATATTTGGACATATTGCCCATCGGGTTGTTGAAGCATAATGTACTGATCTCCAGGATTAGCATTTTCTCCTTCAATTAGTGGTATTTCAATCATATTACTGGTAAATCCGACATCTTGTTTACTGTCAGCCAACATGACTGTGTTATTGTTATCATTTAGATTAATATTACTATTTTTATTACTACTTGTGATGAGCTCGTCTTTTTTGAGAGATTTTTTAACCTCGCCAATTTGATTTTCTGCTCCTAAATTTGTTGAATTTATTAATTGACTTGAGGTTGATTTTAATGATGAATATGTCCTCCTGGCTCGCGATTGCATTGAACCAAGTGTAGGTGTAATTGATGCGGCTGAAGCCGAAGATGATCCAGTTGAAGTGACTGGCGTTGGTTTGGAAATTAAACCCAAGTTTGAGGGTTTCTTTGTTTCGGTTGGTTTTAAGTTTAAATGTGAAGATGATGATAAGGATGATGATGTAAGTGATGATGATGTTGGTGTAGTAGATGAAGATTGTTGTAGCAGTTGTTCTACTTTTTTAAACTGTCTTTGTTTCAATTTTTCAGCTTCCTCTTCTTGAACTGATTGAGCCACTTGCTCAGCAATATCCAAAACTAATTTTTGTGGATCCTCCTCCAAATTGTCACTAGTTGTTTCATCTCTAGTGTTAGATGATGGAAGTTGAAATTTGTCACTTTGGGTTATTAAAATGGGAGATGAGAGCATATTATTAACAGTCACTGGATCTAATTGGATCTCAGTTGAATTTGGCTTGGTACCAGTAATGGTGACCACGGGTACGACACATTTATGTTTGGATAGCTCATTGTGTGAGTTAAATGATTGATTACAACTACAGCACATTATTTTAAGAGCAGTAGGAATGCCATTGGAGTTACGATTGGTGGTAAAAGTTGTTACTTTATTTGTGCTGGGTGGTTTGATAGTTCGTCCTTTTAAAGGAGATCGCTGTTTAATGGAGGTTAAACTGGAAGGTGGTGTTGTTATACTGATGAGTGTTGTTCCGGGAGTTGAAGAGCTGGATAATGATCCTGAAGTTGTTTTTTGTTGATTGTGATTGGGGACAGCTTGTAGAATCGCTTTCGCATTAGACTCAGCTTTAGCATGAATTTCCATGTGAGTTTGTAAAACTTGTCTTGAAGAGAAACCTATCCAAATGTAAAAGAAAAAAAAACGAAAATTAGATAATGTTGAGGGGAACATATTACAAGAGATTAAAAACATTACCTTTTCCACAAATATTACATTTAGATTCATTTTCGATTCTGTGCTGTCTTATATGAGTTGTCAAGTTCGAACGTGTTATTTTCCGTTCACATCCATCCCATGGACAATCACGAGACTCACCATGAGTTTCCATATGAGCATTTAGCTGTTCACGTTGGTAAAACTTTCTCATGCACTTGTTACACTCAAAGACAATATTGTGCTCCACCAAATGAGCAAAGAGTCTCTCCTTTGAGCCTTGTTTAACATTACAAATTTCACAAATATCCGATTTCTCGGAATGATGACTTTGAATATGAGTTCTTCGGGATGATGGTAAAGCAAAATGAAGACCACAGTAAACACAGCCATGTTTATGACTTTCTGTCTCTAAATGGTGTATATAAGAATCAGCCAAACCAAACCAAGTGTGACAAGTTTTACACTTGTAGTTACGAGGTTCAGGTTTATTTCCCGATTTGTCCATCAGTGTGTTGATTTTTTTATAATGATCTTCAGAAAGTAGATGCTCTTGAAGTTCATCATCACCAACAAAATAAAGGTTACAAAAATGACAAGCAATAGCACCTAATGGATCTTCAATGACCGATTTTTGTGGATGTTTAGTTTGTTTCATGTGCTCTTCAAGACCTTTCGCCTTTTTAAAAGTTTGTTTGCATGAAGATATTTTACATTCGAAAACTTTTTCCATTTTATGAACATTAGACATGTGAAGATAATAGAGAGGATAAATTTTGATGATACTTTCACATTTAAAACAATAGTGTCCATAATTTTTTTTACATCCAATTTCGTCTAAAATTCGTGTCGGTGGTAATTCAACCAATTTAAGAGATGAAACTTCTTCTCCACTTGATGTAGAAGGCATTAGGTCAGTTTTACCATTTGGATGGCTAACCATGAGGAAAGTATCATGGATCACATTACGAACTGACCATTTAGTGTGAACATGGTTAAGATGAAGATCACACATCTCAGCTGATTCGAAAACTTTGTCACAAAGGAAACATTTAGTTGAAACTTTAACTTTGGGCTCAATTTTGACATTGGTTTCTTCAATTTCTTTCGGTGTTGATCCAGTTGTTAAAACTGGACACCGATATGAATGACCCAATAGTTCATCTGCTTTACCACAACGTTGAAGACAGGCAGTACAAGAAAATTCATTGGCTCCCGTTTGAACACAATGAGTAATCATAATGTGCTTATTCATCCTTTCGATACCATAAATGAGACCACTACAATAGGTACATTGAAGATTTTGAATTCTGTTGTTACTGATCATATGTTTCGCTCGGAAATGGGTTTTTAGGCGAGATGCATCTTGGGTGGTGAAAACACAACATTTGCATAAATAAGTATGCAATTTGTGTTCAGATTTCATATGGTTTAGATGAGTAACAAAGTCATTCGATTGGGTTTCACATTGTGAACAGTAGAGTAACTTGTGCATTCCCAGTATCTCTTCTTGTTCGATGAGTTTTATTTCTTTCGTGTGAAAATCAAGATAATGATTTTTCATATCATCCATGGTCACTAGTTTCACTTCTTCTCCACAGTATTGACATGGTGCATTTAGTATAACATTTGAGCCATCTTCATCCTCAATTTGAACGATAATTGACTTAGGAAGGCAAACAAAAACTATGTCTTCAGAAAATTTGGCTGTAAAATGGTCAATGGTTAACTCATGGTAAACAGAATAATGAATTGATAAATCTTTCTCCTCTTTGAAAACAAACTTGTTTCCATGACAAAGAAGACAAGGATAATTGGTCATAACAGGAGACATAACTTGACGGAAAAGGTAAATCTTTTTCTCCTCACCGGTTGCCAGACTATTGATAAGAGGTAAATCGGAGTTGATGAACAAAATTTTATCTGGCAACTTGGATAAATTGGGATCATTGTCTTCTGCTGTGCATTCACTCAACTCCGGTAATTCATCAATAAATTTAGCTGCTGAACCGTAATTACGTTTAGGTGGTTGTTTAAAAGAGGTACTGGTTGCTGTCAGAGTAACTGATTTAGGTGTTGTAATGAATGTAACTTTTGCTTTACCCGCTGTACTGGGTGAAGTTATTTTGGTGATTTTTGAACCCTCAGTTGGATTAGAAACTCTGGGTTGGAATACAAGTTTCGGTGCTGGTGTTGATTCTCCAGGGGCACGAACACGAGCAATTGGTTTTGAACTTATACCAGAGGCTTTCGGGATTTTAGAACTCACATCGCTCTTTTCCAATTTGACCATGGATGCTAAACGATTTGCAGGTCTTTTACGACGAGGCATAAATGCAGGTGTAAAATCTTCGTCGGCTTCATCAACAAGAGCTCCATCGTCCTCATAATCTTCATCTAGCTCCAAGTCTGAACCACGGCGAGAATTTGATTTGGTGGGTCTTTTAGAAGCTCCATAGACATTTGGAGATGCGTCAACCTTATAAGTAGTACCATCAGGAAGCATGATAACCATTTTATTACTATCTTCATCTTTTTTAACGTCAACAATGTAAGATTTTACCTCTCGCTTGTTTGGTGAAAGTTCAAACTTTCGTCTTTTAACACTACCAGCTAAATCGATATCTTCATCACTGTCAAGAGTAATATATCTACTTGAACTGGTTGCTGTTGATGGGAAGGATGAATGTCCACTAGGTCGTCCTCTTGGTCTTCGTGTTGGCTCAGCAAGCTCAGGTGAATATCGTGCAGTAGTTTTGATTCGATCTCTTCTTCTTAATCTTATCTCACTGCCAGATTTACCATTTTCGTCATCGTTTTTATCATCATCATTTTTGGTACTTTCATCAACATCCTTTGAACCATCATCTTCGAGTTCTTCTTCTTCTCCACTTGTTTCATCTTCTGATTTTTTGACTGCTTTAGGTGGACGTCCACGTCCTCGTTTAACAGTTGGAGTCTCTGGTTGATTGGAATCACCAACTGATGGTCTAGGAGTATAACGAGGGAAAGATCTTCTACCACGAAGTGGTGGCCTTCCTGGTGTACCTCTTGGTTTGACAGCACTTGAACTACCAAGATTATTAGCACCACTACTTATTCTTCCCACAGCTACTGGTGTACCACCTCCTCTGGATCCATTTCTCAGTTTCCTTGTTAATGGCATTTTTGTTTATTGAATCAATTTTAGTGTATCATAAACTCAACTTGAATTGGGTGTCTAAAAGTAGAAAGAATAAAGAGAACAAAAGAAAAGAAAAGATAGTTAGTGAAAAGAGAAATAATGAATTTACAACATAGGGAAAAGTAAACACCAACAGAATTGTCTTTGTGAATAACAGCTTTTGGAGCTCTTCTGGTAGAGGAGGTAACACGTCTAGTATGATGATTTCTAATCTTTTCAATCCCTTGATTTATATTTTCAATTACATCAATCTCATCAGGAACTGAAACATATCTCACTCGGGTACCCTTAATAAACATATAATCAAGGTTATATTGATGATAATCACCTTTAACCAGGTTAACCGGCTTTCTTACAGAAACATCACTTAATTCAACATTCATATAAGCATCAACCTGATCAACTGTACCCAATAATTGGTAATCATTTTTAAGCTCAATCCAAGTTTTCTGTCCGATAAGAGTTTGTAGGAAACAAATTAATGTTTTCACAGAGAGAGCACGATCCTTTGCTGTTGTTAATAATACTGTTGATGATGTTGAACTTGTCATTGAACAATTAAAATATTAGATAGAGAGAGTCATAAGGGAGACGTGGAAATGAGCAAAACCCAAAGAGAAAAGGCAAACAAAAACCTAAGCCTCTAAATGCTCATCTATTAGATGAACACAAGATAGAAAAGGTAAGAGGAAAAATCACAATAATGAAAAAGAAAACTAATGTAAAGGTAATAGATTCACAGACAATCAAATTGAATAAAAGAAAAAAATCAAAAGACGATTCAAAAAAAAAAGAAAACCAGAGTATAACTACTGAAGAAGGGGATGAAAAAAAATCAACACAAATCAACTGAAAATAAAGAGAAAGAGACAGTGTAAGAGAGAGAGAAAAAAGAAAGAAAAACTACACAGAGAGAAAGAGAGCGAAAGAGTGAGTAAAATAATGAAGACAAAGCAGTAGAAAAAAAGAGAGGGAGTTATAGAAAGAGAAAATACAGAAAAAAGAAAGAGACGAAAGAGATTCGAGGTAATTGTTTTGTTTATAATATCGGATAGAAAAAAGAAACAATTTTTATCGGAGAAAAAAGCATTTATATCTTACCCAACATAGAGTAAAGAGTAAATTGTGCTCTGACAGTGTCACTCCTTTTTCTTTAATCCTTCAATCACCGTGTTTATCGAATTACCAATTAAATGGACAAACAATTAATTACAATAAAGAAAAACAATTTTTTTCAATAGAAAATAAAAAAACAAAACAAATCAAAATTAGAAGCAAGAAAATGGCTATTTAAGCCTTGGTAGAAGAGAAAATTATAGGACACACCCAAGGCCATAAAGCGTGTTAACAACTGTACGAAAAAAGGGCGGGATTAGAACAGAAGAAAAGAGAAAAGCGGTAACTTTGATTGGATGGAGAATTTTGGAAACACAGAAAAAACAAATGGATACAATTTTCTTTTCCTAGAGGTTAACTTACTAATTAAGTGTAATGGAAAATGAGCAATTTGGATTGTTAATTGATTTTCTTAAAAGTGATCAATTAAAGGTTACAATTTGGTTTTCTTTGGTTGGAAAAATGTTTGTTAATTTTTTTCTCTGATGAGAATTTTTTGGTTCGGATTAGTTTCCACCGGCTGCTCGGTAGATGGCACTGGTTTTTTGTTCTTTTCGAAAAAAATCTCAGCCAAATGGGTGGAGTTTAGAATTTTCGCGGTGAATTTGAATTTGATGGGAATTTTTTTTTTCTTTGATTGTTGAGATTTTTTGTTCTTCTATTCATAAATGCGCAGATTAATTGTTCCTAATTGATCAACTATTAATTTAGTGTAATTAGAGAGAACAGAGAGAGAGATTAAGTACCGTGCGTGTGAATCTGATAGAATATCGATTGTCGGTAATTTGAAGAGAATTAGTTTTAATTGTGATCTACAAGAAGGTTAGTAAATATGATTGGAGAAAAATTTGATTTTTCTGATTAACGAAAATTATTTTTCCAATATTTTTCACTTTTCTTTTAATCATTTTAATTGATTTTTTCTTTTTTCTTTTTTTTTCCTCTAGAAACTAAGTAATTATCTATCTACCTGTCTAATTATCGATAGAAAATAATAAAAACCGAAACCGTTGATTGTGATTTGTTCATAAAAAGAAAACAACAAAAAGGTTTTATCTTTGTTCCGGTTAAGTGTTTGTGTTACCATTTGGATTAACAAGTAACTCTAATATTTTGTGTTCCAATTAATTACTAATTAATCTTCTACCGGTGACCATTTTAATTGGAGAATCTATCAAACCATTCTAACGATAGAAAATAATTCTCCCATCATTAGATAATCATCTCATTAATGGCTAACAAGTGATTCCATTGAAACAAGGGCGGTGCTTGGACAAGAGGTGTCATTATATTTTCGTTGTTCACTTGCTGCACCTTATTTTTTTTCTTCTGTTTATCATTTTGTTTTCTTTTTTTCTGTTTTCTTTTTTCTTCTCCTTCTCCCTTTGATTGTTACCATTTAAATCAATTTTTTTTCCTCTCACCAAATTGAAATTGTTCGCTATCATCTTCCTCAAATGTCTAATATGGTAAGTTGGCAATTTCTCTCTGGGGTTGATTTGTTTCGCCCATCATTTTATTTCTCTCTTTCTTTTTTTCTATTTCCCTTATTTTCTCTCTTATATATTTTCTTTCTTTTCTTTCTCTCTCTCTCTCTCTCTTCTTTCTGCTTTTCAAATGGAATATCATTGTCAATGGTGTTTTCTTACTTCTTTTTTCATCAATCATTCGTTTTGTTATCATATCTCATTCTTATTGTGTCTTCTATTTCCTGTCTAATCGTCTCTTTTCTTTTCTTTTTTTCTCATATTCTTCTGGCCCGGGAAACGTTAATCTCTCTTTGGTCACAACTATGGATTCCATTTACTTGGGAACTTGACTTGGTATCGCTGCTTTTTCACCCTTTACATCAACATCATTTTCCTATTTATTCACCATTGAATCTGTTCAATCTAATCCATTCAATTATCTGGTTCATTTGTGTTTTGGTCTTTAAATTGTTCCTTCTCAAATTCACAAATCATGTTCAAACCTCAGAGTGATCAACTTGACCATGCACTTGACCTTATGCGTCGCCTTCCACCTCAACAAATTGAGAAAAATCTTTGTGATCTAATTGATCTCGTAAGTTTATTTAAGCCTCAATATTTACTTTCAATTTGCTCTTCTCTTTTTTTCAAACTGCCTCTAGTGAAAGATCAGTTAATTACTTTAACGTCATTTACTTTTTAATTTTATTAATTTACTGTTCTTCTTTTTTAGGTTCCGAGCTTATGTGAGGATTTGTTGTCATCAGTCGATCAACCTCTCAAAATTGCTCGAGACAAGATCTCTGGAAAGGATTATCTTATTTGTGATTACAATCGTGATGGTGATTCTTACAGGTTGGTGTTAAATTACAATTATAACCTGTTACAAAGATTATCTTACCTTATTTAACAGTCGATCCAAATCCATCAATCTAAAAAAGACTTCTAATTGAAATAGTCGGCCCTTTAAATGTTATTATAGTTACATTTTTTACCATCTATGGTAAATTTATGTTGCTAATTGAAATCTAATTAATGATCAACAACACCAGTAACAATTGCAATGTCTCTATTATTTTTTGAGAGAAAAAAACAGTTCACTCTTAATCTTAATCACTTGATTCTTTCGTCACCTTTGTTTTTACTATAATTTATCTTCTTTTTCATTATTTATATCAACAGATCTCCTTGGAGTAATAGTTATGAGCCTGAATTGGAAGATGGAACCGTGCCTTCAGAGAGGTTAAGACAAATAGAAATCGATGCTAATTCAGCTTTTGCTCAATACCGAGAAATGTATTATGAAGGTGGCATATCCTCCGTGTACCTTTGGGATTTAGACCCTGGTTTCCAAGGGTTTGCGGGTGTAATTTTGATTAAAAAGAGTGGCAATGGATCCAATAAAATTAAAGGTTGTTGGGATTCAATACATGTTTTTGAAGTCCAGGTACAAATCAAACAATCAACTGCTAAATTGTCCTTATCAACAATCATTTTAATTATGTGACTTTCCTTTTATCTTTGTTTTTTAAATTGTGCGAAATTAGGAAAAATCTGGAGGTAGAAATGCCCATTATAAGTTAACATCAACTGTAATGTTGTGGCTACAAACCACCAAACAAGGATCAGGAACAATGAATCTTGGTGGAAGCTTAACTCGCCAGTCAACAAAGGATTTTACCGTTAATGATGCAAATCCACACATAGCCAATATTGGAGGAATGGTTGAGGTAAATGAAAGATTAAACTTGTAACAATTGAACCTTTACTGTATCGCCAATAGCTAATCAATATTTTCCATTTTCACTGTTTACATCTCTTTAGGATATGGAAAATAAGATTCGGAATACTCTCAATGAGATCTACTTTGGTAAAACCAATAGTATCGTTAATGGCCTTAGATCAGTCAATTCTTTATCCGATCAAAAGCAACAAGATGCTCTTAGAATCGATTTGGCTCAAGCATTACAGAAACGTCAGGCCAAAAACGATTCCTCCGTTTGATGTAACAAAACATTAATGTGCTTGTTTTGTTATCAATTTTTTTCCAACAAAAACATCAACTTCTTCAAAAATTTATTGTAATAATTTTTACTTCTAATTGATGAGCATCAAAACGAAACAATGAAAAAAAAAGTGAGCAAAATCCAGAAGGAATCATAGAAAGAAACAAAAATGGGAGCAAATCGACTAATTTAAATCATATCGATACAATTAAATTTCCCAATGTTTCATTTTTGATGAAAAAGACAAAGTAAAAAAAAGGAAAGAATCAAAAATTAACCAAACAATCAACTTATATAAATACACATACATTCATATGCATATTCAGAGATACGAAACAAAACAAAAAATAGTGTTAAAACATAATATCAACACTTTGAAGCAAACAATTGATTAATTGCTTAATATTAATAAATATGTTATTACACATTAAACAGTGAACAAGATAAATTCACAGGAAAAAGTGTTACTCAACAATGAGAAACACCAAATGATTAAGATGAACAATCATTTATGGATGATAAATGATGAATTAATGGTGATTAATTTTATTCGATAGTAATGATTTTGTACTACAATTAAACTCCAATGATTGTTAAATGGACCTTTGCAGTCGCCAAGAAAAAAAAGGTCAAAAAGTTGATTAATTCTCATGCTTTGTTGGTAATTGTGGTAAAAAATATTCTCACAACTGATTAAGTTGATTCAACTTGTTTTCGTAAGTAATAGAAGATGAAACCAAGAATAGAACATAATCCAGATCAGAAATAGAAGATTTATCGAGGGAATAATCCATATCTCTTACATCATTCAGTCTTTTTCATTCTGATCATTTTTCCCTTCTCTCTCTCTCTCTCTCATCCTCATCTTCTTTGGGTTTTCCTTGCATCGGCTATTTCTTTTTCCTCTCTCATTTTGAAGCCGATGATGAAAAAATCAAAATGAGTAAATGATTAAATTCAGAGAGAAAGAGAGATAAAAATTAAATGTAGATCAGGATGTAAATCAATTTATATTATTTTTCCAAATATGGTTTTCTCGTTTTGTTTCAATACGATGATGATGATGATGATGATGATGTTTGACTATTTCAATGTTACTTCCCCTTCACAGTTGAAAATTGTTTTCTTTCAACAATTTACTCCACTCGTTCAACATCATTTAGAATCATGATTATTAGAATCGCGACCCTGTTGAATAACCACGATTACTTGGAATATTGGAGTTAATATTATTTCTCATCCCGTAGGAAGAGTAACCTGAGGCTCCCATTGGTCCAGATAATTCTGTACCCATGAGCGGATGCCTACGAGGTTGTTGTTGTTGCTGTTGCTGTTGTTGTTGTTGTTGATTTACTGATCCGGTTGAGGGTAATAATGAAGGTTGTTGGTAGGATGAAACGGGTTGTGTTGAATTGGGAAAATGAATGGGCATAGAGGATGAGGGTTGGGAAACAGTATTTGAAGATGAGGTACTCAGATAAGATGGTGTATTATATGAGTTACTTGTTGAATATGAGCTTGTTGAAATCCCACCGGTTAAATTACCGGTACCTGAGGCAGAAACACCTGAGATAACATTACTACCTGAGCCACTTGAAATGGCTCCAATTTGAAGTAATGAGTTAAGAGCTGCTTTAACCTGAGGATTTTCTAACAATTTATTTGGATCAGTAGAGTGTAAAGTTGACCCAATAGTGGTTGAAGATGTTGCTGTTGAAGAATAGCCCGAAACCCCGGTGGCAGATTGATAATCTGATCCCGATGATGTGGGGTTAACACGTCGCGTTGTTGAAGGTGCAGAAGAGGTTAACCGATCTCGTTCACGTTTGAAATAATCAATGATGGAGTCAATCTGGGGAAGGCTTAAAAATTGTATACCTCCTTCACTAAGAATAATTCGTAAAAGAGAAGCAATATCATCAGGGAGCCGTTTATCAGAAGTAGCTCCCGAACTGGTAGTTTTTGTTGGTGGAATATTAGTTTGATTTTTGTTTAAATTGGAGCCATTGGATGAGGAATTGGAAGTGGCCACTACTGCCGCTGCTGCTGGAAACAATGGTATCGAACCAGTAACACTACTGTAATTGGGAACTTCAGATTGTTTTGGCACCTCAAAGGGTTCACGATAGTTTTCACCCATCGGCGGAGCTGCTGGTTGTCCGGTGTAAGCGGCGAAATCTCGTGAAATCAATGGTAAAGCTTCTTCAATGGGAATATTACGATGCTCTGAAAATTTTTAACAAAAAAGAATAAAAATTATGCATGAGAATGAGAATAGAAAAAAACTTTGAATATTTGAATTACCCTCTTGATTGTGAAGAACGTGTAATGTGCAGGATCTTTTTTCTTCATTGGCGGGTGTAACTACGATCGCATAAAGAGTTCGTCTACGAGGTGAATAATATTATTGGTTAATCGGATATATTAGTTGGTTTATATTTTCTTTGTTAATTACCTTTCAAAAAGATCGCTCAGAGTCATTGAAATGTGTTGCGGAGAATGAAGAAAAAGTAAATCAATAAACTTGACTGGAGTTTCCTCTTTCAATCTTTTCTCGATCATTTCAGCGTAGCGCCTAAATAAAGAGGGAAAATGTTTCATTTTTTATTTGTTTCAATATTAATTCAAAAGTAAGAACTGATCTACTAACCATTGCTCTCTATTGACGACAATAATCTCGATATCATTTCCTGGTCCTTCTGGTAAAGGTGGTGGAGGTGGAACTTCTAATCCTAAGGATGAAATGGAGTAAAAGTGAAATTGGATTAATAAAATTGATATTGGAAACGATTCCAAATGAATAGAAATGATTTTCTTTGTGAAAATTGGTCAATACTGTTTCAGGGATTTTTAATTACCTGGTCCAGGTAGGTCAAATGGAGGAGGTGGTCCATCAAAACGTGATTGTGGTGGTCCATCGAATCGTGACTTTGGAGGTCCATCAAATCTACCATGAGGTGGTCCGTCAAATCGACCTGGCATCATAGGGCCGTCAAATCTTGATGGAGGTCCATCGAAACGACCATGTGGTGGTCCATCAAATCTTGAGGGACTGTCAAATCTATATAAATGCAATGGATAAAGAGATTAGATAAAGTATGAAATTGGAAGAATTTAAAATGAACAAAGCGAACCTTGATTGTCGTGGTCCATCAAATCGTCCTCTTGTGGGAGATCGAGAGCCACTACCAAATCTAGAGGGTCTACCGTATGGTCCTCGACCTGGTGGACTTCGGCTTCTGCCTCGACTCCTTCCGACTGATTTTCCCATAATCTAAATAAAGAAACAAGAAAAAAAAATAAACAACATTCATATGGTTAGTTTAAAGAGATTTTCATATTTAACAACTTGATTAAATAAACAGACTCACCAGTAGGTCTGATAAATTAAAAAATTGATTTAGAAAAACAGAAAATATTAAAAAATTTATACAAAATGAAAAAAATACTCAAAAGGATTGATCTTAAATCAGCTGAATGGTCATTTGTAAAACCAAATGATTATTGATGGAAATGAGGCTCTGTATAAGAATGAAAATTGATAACAAACAATTTAAATAATTATAAAATCGACTCATTAGTCAAACAGATGAACAAACAAACAGAACAAAATATCAAAATCAATCATAGAATTAGAAAAGAGTAGCAATTATCACATCATCATCGAATCATTAACATGTTACACAATTAAAAAGCGAAAGCAAAATAGATTCAAATAAAATCCATTCTCTTTTCTTCATTTCTCTCACTCTCTCTCTCTCTCTTTTTCTTTCTCTCGGTTTCTCTCGGTTTCTTTCAATCTCTCGTCTAATTGAAAACAACAAGAGAAACAAGAAGCCTCAAAGAAAATGTCATCACCAACACACACGATAAACTAAATTAACTTTAAATCGCAATTTAAATTAACACAATGAAAGAGAAGACAAAACATTGATCTTACCTGAAGTGTAAAAATTGGCGAAACCAAAAATAAGAAGGTTAAGAAATGAAGACCAATAGGTTCAGATGAATTTCCAATAAGGTTTAGAATACAATCAATTCCAAGAGAAACGAATTAGTCTACAGCTAATCTAATTAGACTAAAATAAATGGAAACAATTCTAATTACAGTAACATAATTAATAATGAAACCAAATTGTGAATGTAAACAAACCGAAAAGCGATTGAGAAAAAATTAGAGAAGAAAAAACTTCTCTGAGAATAGACTTTTTTTCACCGATCAAATGCTCGATCAATAGCCAATAGAATTGGAGAAAAATTGAAAATCGTCTCAATCAGTTGATTGTAATTCCTCCCTCGGGGTTAATTTTGTTTTGTTTTATCATCGAAATTCTTGTAATTGTTTTACAATTCACATAGTTAACCGAGTGAATTTAGAAACTGTTAATGAACATCAATTGTTTAATCTACTGTTTGTTTCTGTATTTGTGACTTTAAACTTGTAACCTTTTTGTTTTAATTTTCATCTTGACTGTTTGTTTTGATTTTGGTTTTCTCTTTTTTTTAATTCTAATTATGTTAAAAATGATGTTGCCCAATTTAATTAAGAAAGAGATTAGAAAAAATGTCTTCTCTTTACCGTTTTCTTGGAGTTTACAAGAAAAATTGTTCAGAGGGTTAAAAGATGATGTTACATGTTCATCTGAAAACAAAATGGCAACAATTAAAAATGATCAAGGAATTGAATCAAATCCTTTCTATGGGAAATATTCCGAGCAAATTAAGAAAGCTGTTGATAAAGAAGGAATCAGAATAGCTGAGAAAATAGGTAACTATTAATATTTTTAAATTTCTTTAAGAATGTAATCAAAATTAATATACAATGTAATCGCTTTTTTAATCTTATTTGTTTTTTATAGAAGAGAATTTGAAAGAGATTAAATCTTTAAACACTATACCGGAATCACAGAGAATCAAGACCAAGGTGAAGAAGACTGAAGACTCGAAAGAATCTGGACCTAAGATCGGTGGATTCCCTGGAAATCGAACCTTAAAAGATTTGGTTAATATCGAGATGTTATTAAAGTTAGACTCTGATGGGATTAGTCAAGTTTGGAGTGAATATCATAAAGTTAAATCTCAATGTATCTTTGCTGTAATTCCTGGTGAAAAATACAAGATAATCTATGAACAGGGTCGCAAATATCCGACCTTCATCTTTCCCGTTCCCAAAACGGAAACAATCAATTGTGGAGACTCACAAACGGACTCAAGTGGCTATCAAATCTTCTTGGGACAATTTAATTACCATCAGATTCACTTTACATCACTGATTTCTTACCATGCACACCAAGAAAACGCTCCAGTTGCAATGACTTTAAGACATTATCCCGAAATCAGCGAGGAAAAAGGAATCGTTCTGATGGAAGGTTATTATGATGATAAGATTCTAAATTCGATAGAAGCTCAATGTTTAGCTAACCAGGTTCAAATTTTTTACGGCGCTAACGATTTAACCAAAAATCTTCTTCTCCATAAATTCAACAAAGATCCTTCAACATTTGATTACAACGAAGTCATCGATCAATTTGAAAAGGGATTATTATGACAGCAGAAGACAATTTAATCGTGATTATCATTTCGCATGAAATTGAATTGTACAAACAAAAACTCTCAATTACAATTTAATCAATTGACTTGATTTTCTTGTAAATGAAATCAAAATGTTATAACAATAGATATAAAATGATCCATTGTTTGTTAATTATTAGAATTTAAAATCCGTAAAATGAAAATGAAAAGATTAATTATGTCGAGATACAAAGTAATCGCAGCTAGAACATAATCTTCGGGTGAAAATTGATGCTTTCGGTTACCACCGACGATCATTTGAGTGTCGATAATCAAATAGAGTGAAAATATTAATGCTCCACCACAAGCATAGAGAAGATGGAAAATTTTGTTCCGTATGAAAACCGCCAGAATACCAAATACCAGTAAAATAATCAAAAAGATGAATAAGATTCCATTGCAAACCGTGAAGTCGATCTTAGTTTGAAAGGCAAATAAGGTCAATGAGACAACAACGATCGTCGTGACAATTATGGCGTAAATCAGGACTTCGCTTGAGGAAGACACGGTAATGAATGCGACCGAAATTGATTCGGATAAAGTGAATATACCGAGACAAATTATATTACAGGGAAAGCTCCGAGCGGCCCCACAACAGGCCAAGGTGATCAAGGAAGCCAAGGAAACAATGACCGCGACAATACCTAAGCCCGGTTCGGCAGCTAAATATCCAAGTTCCGGTGATAAATTGAAGGCCAAAACGAATCCCAAAGTGACCATTAATTGTATACACACAATTCCATAAACTTTACGAATAAATTTCAGTCGAATTAGTTTATCGCTGAATACGTTGAATTGAGCTTCCGGTTGAATACCAGCTTCCATTTGATTCTCGGAATCCATTTTCACTAAGAACAATTAACTGATTAAGGAGAGAAATAAAGTTATTCAAATCAATGAATCAACTAGACCAATGATTAACTTTACAATTGTGTTGATGATTAAAGGATAAGTTTAGTCTTCTTTATAATCTCTTAGCTGTCTAACTGTAACAATCAAAATCCAATCAAGGGTTTAATCAATTCTCTCGTTCTTATTTGAAAGAGGATTATTATAACATTAAGAATCACAATCCTTAGTTCACATGAAAATGCTGCATTACAATTGAATAAGTTTTCTTTTTGATTTCTTTGTTATAATTATTGATTTAATTTAGAATAGAAATCAACTAATTTCGTTATGTATAATGGTTTTGCGAAAAGTGATTGATTGTTTGCATCTTCTATTTCCACACAAACGTAATCTCCCGGTATTGGTTTTCTTTTAGTATCACCAGTTAATCCACTGATTGGAATCTCTTGATTGTTAAAAATTGTTCGTAAATTATTATCTGTCCTTCCAACCAAATCATCGACTGATCTTGAACTGTTCCCTTCGACAAGAACTAATTGTTGGGAACCTTTTTTCGATTGATTTAATTTAAGAGAAATTCTTCTAAACAGATCGTTTACTTCATCTACTCGGCGGGTTTTCACATCGTAAGGTACGTTGTCTTTAAGGTGATAATGAGCATGAGTTTTCTAGTTGAGTAAATTTGAAAGAGAATAAAAAAATCGGATTAGAACAAATTTACAAAATCAACTCAACAATTAACTCTTACCTCTCTTAAACTGTATGCAAACACGTAAATGAATTGATAAGCAACTTTTTCAATCAGATCCAATGTCTCCTGATGAGCCTCCTCAGTTTCATCACAAAAACCACAGATAAAATCACTGGTTAAAGCAACGTCAGGAATTAATTGTTTAATTTTACCAACCAAATCTAAGGTAATCAAATCAAGAGAAACAATTAGTTATTTCAATTAGTAATAGCTTAATGAGATACTTACCTAGATACGTTTGTTTGGTGTATCCTCGTCTCATTTTATCAAGAATTAAGTTATCACCACTTTGAGCTGGAAGATGAATTGTATTACAAATGTTTGGATACTTTTTGATTACATTAATCACTTGTTCAGGAAAATCTTTGGGATGAGGTGAAGTGAATCGTATCCTCATTTCAGGGTCAATAGCGGCCACTTTGTCCAAAAGAAAGTCGAATGTTAATCCCCCTTGAGGTGGTTTATAAATTGTCTTGAAACCGGGAGCAGTTATGTAAGAATTTGACTCGAAAATTTCTGATTCTCCACTTTTATCACGATAACTGTTAACATTTTGTCCTAAAAGAGTGACCTCTTTAATTCCGGCTTTTGATAAAAGTCGAATCTCATCTAAAATTGATTCTATGGGTCGACTTCGCTCTTTTCCTCGGGTAAATGGTACAATACAATAGCTGCACATATTATTACATCCTCTCATTATGGATACAAAGGCTTGTTGAGCTTCACCATATCTAAATTGTTGCCAATTGTTTACTTGGATCTTTTCATTTTCACCAACCATTATCACCGGCATCACATCTCCATAGGTTTCATCAAATGAAAGTATCACATTAACAGCATTCTTCCTTGTGATGTTGTTAATTGCTAACAATTTAGGTAAATCTCTATAATTATCTGGACCTTTGAATAGAAGACAAAATTTAGATAATTATGATTAAAATGATATTGTACTTGTATCGAAAGTTTGTTTTCATTGAGTTTGGGCAATAATTTACCTGCAACAATATCTACACATGAATTTTTCTCTATTAATTTAGTTTTCAATCGTTCGGCCATACAACCAATTACTCCGATTTGTTTGATTAATGAGGGACTTTTCAATCTTCTCAGTTCATTCAATCGAGACCAAATTTTACGTTCAGCACCATCACGAATAGCACAGGTCATTAGGAAAACAATCTCAGCGTTTTCAATATTATCAATTATTTGGTAATTGTGTTCACTTAATATCTTCGAGGCCACTTGAGTATCATTGGTATTCATTTGGCATCCATAGGTTTCTATGTAAACCTTTTTACCGCCTCCGTCTAAATATTTATCATCTAAATAGGGAACGGGTTCATTTCTTTTGGCAATGAAAGGTTCATCAGGATTAATATTAATCTCCTTTTTAACCAAATCTGGATCATAGAAAAATCTATCAAAATTAGGGCCACTTTTAACTCTTTCTTTAAACTGTGACAATTTATCATCAACAGTTAATTGACTCGATGAAACTGAACTAGACTTTTCAATCCCTGAGGAGATAGAAATTGAACCAGAAGAGAAAGATGAAACTCCAATCCTTTTAACCAAAGAAATACGATTAAGGTGAAAAAAAGATCGACATAATGAATAAATTGTCATCTCAATACAATTGGAAAACAAAGATTACAATTAGAATAAGTCAATCAAAGAGATAGAAAAAAAAATTCATTCCATCAACAAAGGAAAGTGAGAAATCACCAAAACAACCAAAAGAAATTCCTTAAAATTATACAAGTAATTAAAGAAAACTAAGTTACAATTAACATTTCAAACGATTCTCCACTTGTTAAACTATGGGATGACCAATAAAAATTAACAATTAAAACGTAATTAGAACAATTAAACAAACGAAAAACATTAACAACAAAAATTGGAAAAAAAAATTAGAAAATTAATTTGAACACATGATTGTTTCGTCTCCATGGTAACAGCAATTTCTATTGACAAAATTGTTTCTGTTTCGCCAGAAAGGGAATTAATAAATTGATAACTAGTGTTAATTATCTGATGAAAATAGAAGTGTCTTATAGTTAATTCATATTCTATTCTTTTAATCATATGTTGATCTAACGTTCTCTTCTTAATTGCTTGAGAAAATCTATTCTAACTAAGACAATTTTCTGTCAAAAGGTGAGTCATTCTCTTTATTTTCTAACATAAATATTTCTCTCCTATTTGTTTACCTTTTGTTTTCTACATTTAAATCTAATTTTAAGTGATTGATTTTTAATTACTTTCTACTATTAATTGTTTCTCATTAATTGGAGACTATGTTACTATTATAACAGTTTTTGGTTCCAAATTGTCCATGAAAAATTGAGAGCGAGAGAGAAACAGAAACAGAGATAAATGAGAGGAGAGTCTTGATCTTCTTTGTTTACATTTTTTTCTCTTGTCATTGTATTGTGTTGATTGTCTTTTCTTTATTGTTTTAAATCAATTTTTTTTCTCTTCTTGATTTAGTTAATCGAGTTTATCAAATTGTAATCTTGGGCCTTTTAATTGTTCTTCAGGAAAAAAAACTGACCTTCATTCACTGTCAATACCAATTAGTAAGTAAGATTTTTAATTGTCTTTTTTGTCTTCTCTTGATTAGCTGAACCTTCAAATTCTATTTTTTCTCTAATTAATTTGATTTGATTTTCTTATAACATTGACTGTTATAGACTCCAAGTTAATCTAATCATCTATTAATATTCAGCGATTAATCAAGTGGTTAGTCATTTACCATGTAACCATATTAGTCTTTATTGTTGCACCAATTTGGAGCAAACTCTCATCTTTTTTTTTTGTTCCATTCTAATCATATGTTTAATTTTTTCTTTCTATTCTATAGTTAATTACCTGATTGTATTTCCAAGATGCCTGGAACAAATTATAACAAGTTAAAGACCAATTTGAGGCTTGCGATCACGAGGCTGAAAATGTTGGAGAAAAAGAAAACTGAAAACGCTCAGAAAGCTCGAAGAGAAATAGCTGCTTTCATTGCTTCCAATAAAAACGATCGTGCCAAGATTAGAGTTGAGGCCATTATCCGAGAGGATTATCTAGTTGAAGCCTTGGAAATTGTTGAAATGTATTGTGATCTACTTTTAACCCGATTTGGCCTAATTGAGCAAATGAAAACTCTGGATGAGGGTTTAGCTGAAGCGATCTCTTCAATCATTTGGGTCGCCCCTCGAATCGCTGATATTCAAGAGCTTAAGGTAATCGTTGACCTTTTAACCCAAAAATATGGTAAACAATATGTTATGGCAGTTCGAGAAGGAGCAATTAAAACTGTTGGCGAAAATTTGAAGAAAAAAATGTCCATTGAAGAATTACCCAAAATAATGATTGAAAGATACATGATTGGTAACTTACAAATGATTAGTAATTACTCGTTACAATCAATCTAATGTTTATCTAATTTACTATCTAGAAATTGCTAAAGCTCAAAATGTTGATTATACTCCTGATCCTGGGGTAATGAAACAAGATGAAATCTATTTGGCCGAAGAAGCCATTGCCAATAAACGTCCTGGTTTCCTAATTGATTTGGATCCCGGTCTTGGTCCACCCCCTCTTCCTATGGTCAATCCAAATGTGCCTTACGCTGGTCAACCAATAGGTCAGTAATAATGAAAAGTAAAAAAATATTAATAAATAACAATTCAATTTTGTATTTCTCTTTACCTTTCAATAGGTTTCCAATATGGTTATGCTGTACCACCACCAGGTCATCCAGGTCACCCCGGTATGCCACCTATGCCACCGCCAGGACAGCATCCATCTTATGGTAATGAAAAAGGAGCCATCGGTGGAGGTGGGCCTGGTGTTGCCCCTTATTTTAACCCTAATGCCTATGAGCCAACTGACAAATCACCTTCCGCTCCAGCCAATTTCCCGGAAACTCATCCTCACCATCCCAATTATGATCCACCCAATTACCACAGTATGTTTCCAGACAATCAAAACCCAAACACTAGTGGTGGTGGTGGTGGTGCTCAACCAACACCGAAACCACCGGCAACTAATCAACCTCCACCTCCGGCTCCACGTAAATCAAAAATGCCAAACAATTTGGATGATTTTGAATTACCTGATTTACCAAACGTTCCCGATTCATTACCCGACCTTGACAAAGATGACAAAGGTGATCCACCTAATGATGATAACATTGATTTTGATGATTTAGCTGCAAGATTTGAAGCACTTAAAAAGAAAAAGTAAATTTTAATCAATTAATATTTTACAATCAATTGATTATTTATTTATATTGATAACAAAATCTCACACAAAATACAAAACATCCCAATAATTGATCATTAAATTGTAACTAAAAATACAATAACAACAACATCAAATAATCACCAACAAGTTAATCAAATTAAAGCTTGAAATTATTGTACAACAATTATTATATACTTTTCCTACCTGCAAATTGTATTCTGATGATTATTTTTGATTATTAAAATTCATTTATATTCAAAGTGAAAGTCGATCAGCAATTTCAATCATCACCAATTAAACTGATAACCTTAAATTGAAGTTTTAGTGGTCTAGTAGACAGTTTTTTCAATCTAATTGCTTAAGTAAATCACTTAATTTAACATCACAATTCAATAGAGTCTGAATTACACTCGTTAAGAAGTTGGAGTTTTTTTTGTCAATCAAATGAAAGAATTGACCTTATAACGATTTAATTTGTACGAACTTCAATTTATTGATTGTTTAGTGCATTTTTTTCTTAATTGTTGACAAAATAGAGACGCTAATGGTTAATTGACTGAATGGAAGATGGTAAAAAATAAGCATCAAAAAAGACCAACGAAAATTTTAGTTAACCTTGTCACCTTTAATTATTGATGACTGATTGTACTAATAAACTTGATGTACAAATTAAGGTAAGATGTTAATTGTAGGAGGTTTGGTGGAAACTAAACCTTTGAATTAATTACGGAAGGTGGGAATTGATTGGGAGATTGATTTCAATTGATGAATTATGTTGATCGGTATATAAGTGAATCGACAATCAATTAAGATCAATCAGTTGTTAATCAATCATCGGTAATCAAACATTCATTAATCCATCATGAGATCTTTACTATTTTCCTTAATTGTTTTCAGTATTATCTTAATGGTAATCGCTCATCATCATCATCGGTGCAAGGAACACAGGAGACATAAGTGCTGTAAGAAAGAGGTTCATCATCACCATGAACACGAAGGTAAGTGAGGGTAAAAGGTTCAAAATCGAAGTGAGGATTTTAATCATCTCTCAATGTGTCTTTTCTGTGTCTTTTTGTATTGTGCTCGTTATTTTTTTCAGGTAAAAAAGTTCACCATAAACATAATCACGGTCATGGTCATAAGCATGGTCATCATCATCAGAATCATCATCATCACCATCACACAGGAGGTGGACATGGACATGGACATCATCATGACGATGATCACGATGACCATCATGAACATAAGGCAGCTGATAGCCCGAAGCAAGATGATAGTAAGAAAACAACGGCAACCATAACAGGAACTCCCGACGGAAAAGGTCAAGTGGCAATCGTACTTCATGGTGCCCAAGCGGGGAAATTGTTACAATCTGTGTTAGACCAACAGAAAAAAGTTCCTAAAGAAACAAAAGAGCCAAAAGAACGTAAGTTCACATCAGCTCGTTCATCAGTTGCACCTCGAGAAAACGGTTACGCTGAACTCGCTCGATCAGGTCAAATGGGACAGTACGGTGGAATGGGCGGAGGAATGGCCAGTCCAATGTTCGGCGGTCGAATGGGAATGGGAATGGGAATGCCCATGGGTGGTGCGATGGGAGGAATGGGAATGCCGATGGGGGGAATGGGCGGAATGGGTGGAATGGCCCCAATGTACTAATCAATCGTCCCTCGAATTCATAATCACTAATTTATCAAAAAATCCTCAACCAAATTTACTGAGTAAATTCAATCCTTGTAAATTATAATAATCTTCGTACACTTCACCCAATATTTATTACTCCATCAATCAAATCATCGTAATTAGTATCTAAATAAAAAAGAAATTCAAATTGAATCAATTTTCTCATCATTTGATTAACAACAAAAACAACAACAATAATCAAGATGAGGAATAAAAATATTGATTAACAAAAAGTAATATCACTTTACCAGAAATAGTTTCCAATTAAATTGTCATTCATTTTTCTCTCTTGGTTAACTTTCCATAACCACACACAGCAATCAAGAAAATGACAATATACCAGAAAATAGTAATTAAATGGTTAGATGGACACAAAAGTAACACCAACAATTAACCAACAATCAAGTAAAATCTATTGTCCATTTGAAAAAAAAGTTAATATCGAAGAAGCAAAAAAAAAGTAAATCAACTCATTGAAATACTCACCACAATACCAATTATATTAAGCGAAACATAATCAAATTTACCGGTTAACCACAATTAATTATAATCATATAACTAATTTCACAATTAGATGAATGTTAAATTAACTATTAATAAATTAACCAAAAAAAAAAGGTGAGATTGGTTAATATTATTAAAAACCATTTCCACATTGAAAGTATTGACTTTTAACACCAACGTACAAATAAATTTAATTGTGATCTATTGATTGTTAACCATTATTACAATCGCCGCCACCGCTAATTCAATTTAAATTAGGTTATCAAATAATACAAAACACCTTTACCAATTATCATAACAATTAAGTTGTTTAAAGAATCAGCAATTACACAATTTAATCAACAACAACAGAAAAAGGGTAAGTTGATTGTCCTTTTTTGGATTAACAAATTTAGTTAATTGTTACTCTTTGATTGATCTCATTTCCAACTAAATAGACACACCGGTAGTTTAATTGTTATTCAGTATGGAAATTTAAATTAACACCATCACTAAATTGTCACATCTTCTTTTTCCTTAATTGTTGGTTAATAATTTCAATTGATAACAAAAGAAAAAGAGAAACAATTAATTTCTATCCCCTTAATTGTTACGATAGAATCTCAATTTTAACTCATTTACTTTTCGTCTCTTTCAGAGATCAGTTGATTTTTCCTTCTCTCTCTCTCTCTCTCTAAACCAACAATTTAATTTAATTTAATCTAATTTTGTGTCTTAATTACAATCAAGATTCCCTTAATTCTGTGACCAACCCAATGTAAGTAATTAATTGATCTTAAACTTAACCAATTGTCACTTGAAATGAGAAACAACCAAACAAAAGTTTTAAGATCCAATGTTAGCCCAAATTGAGCTTTGACAATTAGTTAATCACCATAATCTAATACCATTGTCTTAAGGGAAGGGTAATCTTAATAATCTGACCTTTGTGACCTTAAAGTGACACACCTTATGAGCTTTGTCATCGCCATTTTGGTTTACACCTTTGTCTCTGTTCAATGTTGAATTAAGTTTCTTTCATCATCATCATCATATTAACTTTCTAACAATTAAACTAATTGTTATATAATTTAGTAATTCAGTTTCACCCAATTTTAACCTGTTACCTTTATTGATTTGACCTAAAATTTGGTCAACAATCAGTTGGTCATTTTCATAATAATTCATCTTGAAATTTCAATTTCTTTTCTCAACTTTCTATTATCAACTTTCTCATTACATCTTTCACTCTCTCAATTTGAATTAGAACAGGTAAGTTGTTACCTTTTCCAAGGTACAAGAAGAAGAAAAAAAATTGGTATATTTATATCAATGAATAATGGTAATAATCAAAAACGTGATGGACTATCAATCAAGGATGACCTGATCATCAACAATAAGAGGGAGAGAGAAGTAAAAAAAAACCATCAACACACTGACCCTTACCTGTTGTTATCATTTCTCTATCATTCAGTCAACCATTCACCTTCATCATTAGCATCATTTGATTAGCCAGTGACCAAACCACAACCAACAAAAAAAAAGTAACTTGACCATCAAAAACTGTTCATCTCTTTGCTGAAGTAAAGTGAAAGATTGATACAGAAAAATAAACTGACCATCAATTCATTTTTTTTCTCAATCTTCAACTGAATATAATATATTATTATTATTATATTTTCTACTTGACCATTTGATTACTCAACTATTATCATTTTCATTTTCACTGCAACAACAACAACAACAACAACAACAGCATCTCCATCATGATGGTGAGAGTGGTGATTATCATTGGATAGCGTTTTTTTCTTGCTGATCGGTTCATCGATAATCAATAAATTGGTAATTATTTATACCTTTTGTTCATGATGGTTATCAATTTTTTCACCTTTAACTGATTATTTCATATTCTTTTTCTCATCTTGAAACCAGTTCTTTTCCAAATTACCATCAACATCTCAAACCAAATCAACAAATTGTTCATTCAAAAAGTTTTCTCATTCATTTTTATTCAAACTCTTTTCTCTTAACAATTTTCATCTTCAATCTAATTACAAGTAATTCCTCATTTATTTCCGATTAAACTGTTTCCTCTTTCATCAGTATCAATTTCCCATCAAAAGTGATTAAATTTTAATTCGATTCCTCTTCAAATTGTGCTTTTAATAATCTCTCCTTCTCTCTACAGTTGATTAATAATCGAAAAATAATCATCTCATCTCATTAGAACCTCACCTCATACCAACATCATTCAAATTCTCATCATTTCAATTAACTTGCAATCGGTTAACTGAAATAAGAGAAAACAAAAAAGTTAATCAACAATATCGATAAACTTTTGATAACATTAACCAGTGAAACTTTGATCATCATCAGCAATCAGTAATCATCATGAGTGTCAACATGATGATGAGATGAAAAAAAAATCAAACGGATCACATCATTGAAGTTTCCATTACAATCAAGAAATAATCAATTGTTATTTCATTGTCCAGTCTATTGAATCGTAAACATTACAAAGTTTTTTTTTTCTTTTCTCCATCTTCTTGATTCTGTGAGTCTGTTGAATTTTTTTTCTCTCTCATCTCTTATTTGTGATTCTATTCTTGATTCATCATCGTCATCATCTGATTTTTACCTTTTGTTGCTACAAGAAATTGATACTGATCATTTGAGTATCGGTGAAATAGGAAGAGTTTCAAAATGAGAAATAGAACTCAGTAGATAAGTTCTATCTTTTTCTTTTTCTTTTTTTTTCTTTTTCTATTCTTCATAAAGTTCTGGCATTGACCTTTACAACATTCAGTTCTTGGCATCTTCTCAATATATCAATTCGTTTATCATCATTATCATCATTTCCTCTTCTATTACCGCATCACTTTAACTGTTATTTTTCCGTCTATTTCCTCATCTTCAACCGTTGATTAACTAATGACCAGTAATCAAATATCTTCATCAGTGTTCAAATCAATTTTGTGATACTTTAATTATTATCGACAATATTTATTCATATTCATCATTATCATGTAATTTTGTGATTAATTCAAATCATTCATACAATTTACAAATGGATTAACCAGATTAACCACAATCAACCAAAACTTCAAAACTAATCAACACAAAAAACTATGATCAGATCAAAAAGACATCAGAATATGAATCCAGGTAACTAATTAATTTTTCTAATTTAATTTTCTCAATAACATAACAATCAATAAATTGATCTCTTAATTTCTAAATCCCTAATCAAATGATTTATTGATTATCATTTATATTAGATTCTAATAATAATATTTCCTAATATATTTTGATTTATCCTAATCACTTGATACGGATTATGAATTTAACTTTTTCTTTACCAACAATTAATAATGATAATATATAAAATGATGGACTGATAATCATTTAATTATAAACATGATTCGAGTTGGTGATTAACTGAAATTTTGTTTACATCGTTTCCATTATTTTGAATGTAAAAAGTGTATCCAAAAGTAACAACAATTAAGCTTTACAATTAAAAACCAAACCCATTGAATGTCATTAGGCTGGAAATCATTTATTCATTTAATTTATGGGTTTGTTGTTAGTTAACATCAAATTCAGTTCCTAAACAGTCATTACAATTTAGATTATAATCAAACCTTAATCACTTGGTTAGTTAATAATTGCCCTTATTTTTGGGTATAAATTGAATATTTTACCATGAAAAACAAATTCCTAACCATTGTTCATGATTTGTATTCCAACATAAATAATAATCTTCAATTGTTTACATGATATTATTTATTTTTTGTTCCACCATTTTGATTGTATTTAATTTTCTAATGTTGTTATTATTTGATTACCTGTTCAGTTCTTTACAGGTCATGTTTTCTTCGGCTTCCCTATGCGTCCATTTTGGCCACGCTCATCGCCATTTGTGGACTGGTCATCGCTATGGTCTCATTAGGACAATCGACCATGATAACAGATCGATTGTTGAATGAACTTCTCCACAGGAAACATATATGGTATTGGAATCTTTATTTTTTTTTCTTCAATCAAAATTGTTCAATGAATGTTATGGTCTAATGATCTTTCCAATATTCTGATCGATGAAATTGATTCTCAGCTTGAAATTGAAGCTTTAATTAAATTTGATTCTCTCTCTCTCTCTCATTAGGTATCAGGAAGCTCAATGGATTTACTCATCATTTTCAATTCTCATTTCAATCACTATTCTTATTAATTTACTGATCGGTTGTATGACCACTGGTCGTCGGATAACTCGATATGGTTCGGTCAGTTCTTGTGGATTCTGTGGAAAGTTAACAACAATTCTGTTGAAAATGATCTTCGGACTCAATTATGTTCTATTCTTGACCATTTTTATCTTAACTTTACTTGGGTCAGTTGCTTTGTTTTCCTGTTATATTATGTCTCGTTTATGTAACGATGGGTTAGCTTATTCATCTGATTCAATTTCATCATCACCAATCACATCATTCTCATCATCAACTCCACCAACTACCAATAATATTGCTGAAGTTGAAACAGCTGATACAACACAATCATTGAATCTTAAAATGCTTGGACCTTTATTAGCAGTTCGAGCCAACGAAACGTCATTATTACTTTTTAAAGGACATCGATTGAAAAAATTATGTATCGATTATATTTCCTCACTCTATCTTTACCTGATTCTTACCTTTACCGGTTTCCTGTTACTTACCTGGGGATTTATCAATTTTTTAATCAATCTAAGTGTTAATATGGCTCGAATAACAACCCGACGTAAATGTGCTGAATTAATTTATATCAATAGTCCAGAGATGGCAAATTTTGTCAAGAATATCAACAAAGGAAGATTTTAATCAGTCAATCAATTTGATTAAAATCGGATTAGGATCACGATTTCCAATGATAATTATGATTCCATGACACTAATCATGAGAATTGAACTGATTGTTTTATTTAAAAGAAAATCTATTTTTCTAATATATCATATTGATCTTAATTTTTTGTTTCGATAACAATTAAAGGTTTTACAATTAATTTTATTCCAAGAGAAAGATTCAATCTTATTATTTAATTATAAATGAATTATTATTGATGGAGAATAAAATTTTTGTACAATTAACAGGATTGAAGATTTGAACGATTCAATGTGATGAGAGATTAAGAGATAATCTGGATTAAGATTAGGGATTCTCTTTTTTTGTTAACCTCTTCCAAAACCAAGAATAAAATCAAGGCCAATCTCAACTAATGCATGGAAAATGGCCTCACCCAATCGTCCGAGAAAAAGGTCAAATGAATGTATGAAAGCCCTCGAAGGGTCAACTCTCATTTCAGTGAAAAATGATCTTATCTTACCGAAAAAACCTCTCTCACGATGACCACTTTGACCGAGTGTTGGAATCCAATATAAATCGGGTGACAGTGATCCAGATAAAGGTAATTGGGTGCTAATTGGTGAGGGGTGAAGGGTCATCGGTAGACTTGATGTCAATAACTGTGAATGAAGATGAGGAACATGTTGACCAATTCTTGCGAAACCAGGATTTACTGATGATGTTAGATTAGCTGGTGGATATTTAATTGAATTGTAAGGTAACAATTTACCTGAGACACTATTGATTAACACGATAAGAGTAATTAGATTAATCCATGATGATACTAATGGTGAATTCATGATGAAACAAATTTAACTTTAATCCCAAGCTAATTATCACTAATATTTGACATTCGATGATGATTTAGATTGAACACTTATTCGAAGTGATTTAATCACAATCAACTGATGAAGATTCACTTTTAAAGTGAAAATCGGGAGAAAGAGAGAAATAAATTAAAATAGAAAAGGATTAACACCTTTTAATCACCTTAATTGTTAATCTGATTCTCTATTAGCATCAACCATCCATGGTTAATGTTAACTTTTATCCTCTTGTTCAATATCAACCTCATTAAGCTGATATTCAGTTAAGAGATGATGTTGATGATGATGATGATGATGATTAAGATGATCTGACATTATTGTTACACTTGAAGATGAATAAACAATTAACTGTAATCAAGCAAATTTAGTTAAGGTGAGAAAAAGTGAAAAGATGATTTTGATTGCAAACAATTAGTAGACATTGGAGTCTACTGTTTATCATTAATAGGCCATAAACTGAATTAAAACATCAATTATGGTGATGATGGTGATGATTAAATTGCTGTTTGAATGGAAACAATTTGTTAATTGTAATCACAAAGAGAAACATTCAAATTCATGTAACCAGTAAATCTGATGTTTGTTTGTCTCTTGTACTTTTAACGATTTAGTTAATTGTTAAGAAAGAAAAAGTAATCAATTTTTAAATTGGACGATAATTAATAAATTGTTAACCTTTCTATTTCCATCTAATTTTAATCACTCATCACAATTAAGGTCGATTGTAATAATAATAATTAACTGAGACTAACGATTGATTCAAACTTTCACTTTATCTCCTGATAATCAACTGGTTATTGACCAATTTTAAAGGTGAAAAAAAAAGGTTAAGCAATTAACTAATCTTGTTTCATAAATATCATAACAATTAAGTTTATCTAATTAAATTAAACTTTGATTACGATTAAGAGTAACAAGTGAAATTGGCAAATTAATTAAACATTAAATTAGAATTAAAAGGAGAAAAATTTCCTAATTACGATTTGATTGTTTAAGGAGAAAAAAATTGAATCAATTAATTGAACAAGTCGAGAAGAAAAAATATCAATCGGTTTAATTGTTACAATTAATCAACGAATTGTAAATCAGTTAAACTTTTTCATTTTCCCTCTCGAATGTCACGTGACTTGAATGTTTACATTTTCTGTTTATGTTTTTCCTCAACGTGGTAAAATCATTTTTCTGGTCATTTAATTGTTTTAATTTAGTTTTCATTTTTTTTCTTTAATGGTTTTGATTTAATTGTGACATTTTCTAATTAACGTAACAATGGAGAATGGTCATTCGAAAAAGTCATTAACTGTTACCATTGAATATAAACCGAATGAGAATCCTGTTTATATAACTGATTGGTCTTCAAATGGTATACCAATTAAGGAAAATAAATTAGAGATTTCAATTGATCCTGAAGCCGGTGGTACATATAGATTAGATTGTCGTGATCAATTAACTGATATCAAATATGTGGGTCAACAATTTATTCCTAAATATGAGAAATACATGGTTCTTGTGGTGGAAGGTAAGAGAATTTTTTTTTCTTCTTTTTTTTTATATTTTGTTCAATTCTATTCTCTTTAACCAATATTTTTCTATTCTATTATTTTTTTCTTCTTATTCTTTGTTAATTTTTTATTTTAGATGATAAGGCAACTCTTAAACCGTGTAACTATTTTCGTATGAAACCAAAATTAGAATTACCCGATCGAACTTCTGGAAAAATAGCATCACTCTCATATTCTGAACAAATGGATGAAATAAACGAGAAATTTGGTTCAAAAAAATCGATCCGCCGTATCGATGAAAGGAAAAAGAATGCCATAGCTTATGGTACTGAAGAATATCAAGATATGAAAGAAAAAGCTAAAGAATTGACTCCACATTCGAGTTCAACCAATGTTACCGATGGAACGGATAAAAAAAGCGATAGTACCAATTACGAAGATCCTTTTCTTATGCCTCCTCGAAATGGTTCCGCTACCAGTGTGGATAAAGTTTATAATCTAAATGATATTATGCCCCAAAGTTTAATCGAAAGTATGAAACTTTTCTACGATTTTAACGATATAAAGCCGTTCATTGAATCTCCATTGGTTCAACATTTTGCCACAAAAGCAAAGGAAGACACGGAAAAGGGCAGTTGCCTCTTCTTGGATTCGTTAATCAAATTTAAGCGACTCAAACCAACCGAAATTGGTAAAGTTGAAAACAATGGTATCGATGGTGTTAAATGTAACAATCTTGTCTCAACGATTGTCCAAAATTATTCAATCTCAACAATACGACTTGGTAAACCGAGACGAACCCTTGACGAAAAGTGTAAAGACAAGATTATCCTTCATAGTATCATTTTAAGTGTAATGTTAAACAATTATCGACCTCTACTAATTAGTGCATTGGCTCAAGCATTTCAAACGTCAGTAATTAAGATTAAAAAGTTTGGTAACATTGTTGGTTGTCATGTAGAAATGAATTCAACCAAAACTGAGCGACTTTTAGTTCTTAGGATTCCCTTATATTCAATGGAAAATGAACTTAAATTTAAACGACGAAAAGTCCGATAAACAATAATAACAATTAATTCTGTAATTTATATAATCAAAGTGTAAACAAATTTCCATCTCCAAAGTAAAACTATTAATTATAATCGAAAGGGGCAAGTTCGATTGTCCATTTTTCGATTCTTTGATTTTTCAGATTAAAAAAAAGGGGAAAAAACAATTTCATATTTAAAGAGAAAGACAATTAATTAATTTAACTTGTTTAATTTGGAATATAATATGTTACAGATTCAGAATTGAGAATTGTAATATAAAAAATCATGATTATATGAGATGGATTCCATGGAGGAAACGGAGAAGGAGGGATAATTGAGAGAGAGAGAGAGAGTAAAAAATTGGTTATTTAAACTGATCAACAGAATTTAATTTGGAATCAGCTGAGGATTACCAGCCTCCCCAGCCCCATGAGTCCCATGAATCGTGTTCGCATCCACAATGATCTTTGATGATGATATTTTCACCTTTTCCTTTCTTGCCTGAGGATAAGATTGTTGATCCACATTTACCTTGGAGGACAATATTGTCACCTTTTCCACCGGCTTCAACGTTAATTGAAACACTTAAGAGGACGATAAGGATAACACAAATTAATTTACTGTTCATTTTGATTGTTGATGATGGATAATCACAAGGAGACAATTTGAAACTGAAAAAAGAGAAACAATCGAATAAAAGAAAATTAAATTATTATATTTTTCGATAATAAAAACACTTTGGAAATGTTTCATTCGTTTTCTAAACTTACCTGTTGGTTGTTGTTGTTGTTAGTTGATGTTGATTGGAACTGATGATTGACAGAGGATTTGGATTCTCTTATATATCATTTTCCCTCCCAATCAACGGGCTTAATTGTGAAAACAATTGTAACTAATCAACAGGTTCAACCTTTTTCACTGCGTGTTAACCCCTTTCCCTTTCGTCTTCATTATAATCCAACTGATGATATAATTACGTGATTATTAGATGATAATTTAATTTTCTAAAGAGAGGGAGAAAGAAAAACGAAATCAACAACAATTAAGGAGACAAAATTTGTTACATTAATGAAAGAAATAAATATATAAGCAAAACAAAAGATATCGAGGTTAAGTCAAACAAAAAGAATCGGAAATCAATATATTAACATGAAGACAGAGAGAGAGAGAGAAATATTGTTCATAATCAGGTAATTACTTATTGATGACAGTAATAGATTTTAATTTATTAGTTTGAGTAATTTACTGTTAATTTTTTTAACGGGAAAAATCAGGAAGCAAGGAAGATATAGAGTTCAAAGTGACTCACTTAATTGGATGTAAATTGAATTTACACCCAATCAATGTGATAAAGGTTATAGATTAAGTTTAACTACCTGTTGACAATCAAGAGAAAAGTCTCCCAACAATTAGTCCTGGTTGAAGGCTCCAAATCAATGGTTAATTTAGTTGAACGTAATAATTTATGATCCATTTTTAATAACAAAGAGATTCCAATCAGAGGATTAAACCGATGACACTCACAGGAGAAGATCAATATTAGGAGATTAAGGTAATTACGTAGATGTTTTTTAAGAGAAAAAAGAATTTACTTTTACATTCTTTCCTTTGAAAACCGCTGGTAATTAATTGTAATTAATTTTAGTGCAATTAATTACAATTAAAACGATGATATTGTAAAGAGAAACAAAAAGAAAACATTAATTGAAGCGAATTTAAAATTCTATTGGCTATTGATCGAGCATTTGATCGGTGAAAAAAAGTCTATTCTCAGAGAAGTTTTTTCTTCTCTAATTTTTTCTCAATCGCTTTTCGGTTTGTTTACATTCACAATTTGGTTTCATTATTAATTATGTTACTGTAATTAGAATTGTTTCCATCTATTTTAGTCTAATTAGATTAGCTGTAGACTAATTCGTTTCTCTTGGAATTGATTGTATTCTAAACCTTATTGGAAATTCATCTGAACCTATTGGTCTTCATTTCTTAACCTTCTTATTTTTGGTTTCGCCAATTTTTACACTTCAGGTAAGATCAATGTTTTGTCTTCTCTTTCATTGTGTTAATTTAAATTGCGATTTAAAGTTAATTTAGTTTATCGTGTGTGTTGGTGATGACATTTTCTTTGAGGCTTTTTGTTTCTCTTGTTGTTTTCAATTAGACGAGAGATTGAAAGAAACCGAGAGAAACCGAGAGAAAGAAAAAGAGAGAGAGAGAGTGAGAGAAATGAAGAAAAGAGAATGGATTTTATTTGAATCTATTTTGCTTTCGCTTTTTAATTGTGTAACATGTTAATGATTCGATGATGATGTGATAATTGCTACTCTTTTCTAATTCTATGATTGATTTTGATATTTTGTTCTGTTTGTTTGTTCATCTGTTTGACTAATGAGTCGATTTTATAATTATTTAAATTGTTTGTTATCAATTTTCATTCTTATACAGAGCCTCATTTCCATCAATAATCATTTGGTTTTACAAATGACCATTCAGCTGATTTAAGATCAATCCTTTTGAGTATTGTTTTCATTTTGTATAAATTTTTTAATATTTTCTGTTTTTCTAAATCAATTTTTCTAATTTATCAGACCTACTGGTGAGTCTGTTTATTTAATCAAGTTGTTAAATATGAAAATCTCTTTAAACTAATCATATGAATGTTGTTTATTTTTTTTGTTTCTTTATTTAGATTATGGGAAAATCAGTCGGAAGGAGTCGAGGCAGAAGCCGAAGTCCATCTAGTCGAGGACCTGATGGTAAATCTTCTCGAGCCGGAAGTGGTTCAAGATCACGATCAAGAGGCCGATCTGATGGACGTGCATCAAGGTTTGTACTAAAAGGATTATAGACAATTTAATCAGTTGCAATTCAAATTGTTTACAGTATCACATGGCCATTTTTATGAAATCAATTGGCAGGAACTTGTAATGATAATAATTTGGATGTCAACTTTTTTTTTTAATTTGTTTTCAACTTCGGTGTAAAATTTATCATTCTAATCCATGTTTCATTTCCTCTCTCTTTCTCTCTCCAACTCTCTGGTTGTGTCTCTATTTACACAGAAGACATAGATCTAAAAGTAGAAGTCGAGATCGTAGTAAAGCCCATGGAAGATCTTGGAGATCGCCACCTCGATGGGCAGAAAGGTGGAGTAATGGTCGACGTGATAGATATGGTGAAAGCTCTCGTTCCAGAAGTCCAAGAAGGTATGGTGATGATTTACCTCCCGAAGAAAGAGATCAACGGACCATTTTTGTCATGCAACTTGCTGCTCGTGCTCGATCTCGTGATTTAGAGGAATTTTTTTCCGCCGTAGGTAAAGTAAGAGAAGTTAGATTAATCATGGATAACAAGACTAGAAGACACAAGGGTATTGCTTATATTGAATTTTACGATATAAGTTCAGTTCCCTTGGCGTTAGCCTTAAATGGACACAAACTTTGTGATCATCCCATCATCATACAGCCAACTCATGCGGAGAAAAATCGAGCCGCTGCTTCAACCACATCAGTACAAAGAGGTGTCTCTGGTCCAATGAGACTTTATGTGGGCTCACTTCATTTTAACATAACCGAAGAAATGTTAAAAGGTATTTTCGAACCTTTTGGTAGAATTGATAAAATTGAATTGATGAAAGATCCGGAAACAGGTCGTTCCAAAGGTTATGGGTTTATTACATTTCATGATGGTGAAGATGCAAAGAAAGCACTTGAACAATTAAACGGCTTTGAGCTTGCTGGTAGACCAATGAAGGTTAATTATGTTACCGAACGATCGGATAATATGGTTCAAGGTCCATCGATATTGGACAGTGATGAACTTGATCGAACCGGTATTGATCTAGGAACCATTGGAAGGTTACAATTAATGGCTAAATTAGCCGAAGGAACCGGAATTGAATTACCTAAGGCAGCGGTTTCGGTCCTGCAAATTGGACAAGCTGCAAACGCCTCCAGTAATACCACTGTTGCCCCTGTAATAAATTATAACGATTAATGTATTAATCAGTGAACCAAGAAAAACACACAAATTACAAAATTATTTTGACTAGAAAACCATCAAACAGATAAAAAAACAACAACAACAACAACAACAAAAAGAGACAAAAAGAAATAAGAAAATCGCAAAAAATAAATTCGACATAAACAAAACTCCAACATCTTTGTTTTCTTCTCAAGATGATTAGATTTTATACGCTAAAAAGCCAAAGCAGTTTCTCTTTGGTAATTAAACAACAATTTACTCAAAACACCAACAATCAAACAATCAAGTTGATTGCTAATCACAACGATATTGGAGATTGGCAGTTACAAAATTTGATTTCTTTTCTTTTAATCATCATCATCATCTCTCTCTCTCTCTCTCTCTCTCTTGTTTTTGTATGAAAAGAAATCAATCCATTGTTAATGTTATATATATTATTGGATTCAATGGATTAATTATATTAATTAACAAGCAATTAACACGTTGAATTGATTAAATCGCCTTTTCACTCGAGATGCCGTTTAAAGAGAGTTAACTTTTTTTTCTTGGGTTTTTTTGATTATTTTGTCAACAATTGAATATTCAAACAAATGAAAAGTATTAATTCATAAAATTCATATTCACAATGATTAATTGGGATACAACAAAGTTTAATTCAATTATGATACAATTAAGTTGACACTTGATCACAATCAATGTAAATTAATTCCCTTAATCACTGCAAAAATAAAACCAAAGGCTTTCCTTCAATCAAGTCCAATTGTTTTCGTATTGAAAATTTTGTTGACAAAACAAAAAGTTTAACAACAATCAATTTAATCAACTAAATTGGTGTCTTTTCTTTTTTAATTGTCTACAATTATCTTAATTGTATTGTTTTCAATTTCGATGATATGTAATTGTATATATAATTAGGAAAGAGAAATCAAATGATTTATTATCCTCTCTCTCTCTCTTTCTAAAGTTAATTTAATTGTTACAATTTCGTTTTGTTTTCTGTTTGACTGAATGAGTGACTTAAAAATTAGTTAATTGTTATCTAATCACCATCAGTCCAATATAATTATATATAAAAATAGTCAATTAATATTCTTGGCTTGATTTTAATCGTGAATATTGATCAGTGGAAAATGAATTTGATTAATTATCTTACGAAGAGAAAACAAATTAAAACTAATTGATCAGAATTAGATGTTAATAATTTGATTTGATAAAAAGAATTTGAAAATTAAATCAATGTTCATTTCTCACGTTGATTGTTACGCGTGATTATAATCAAATTGTGAAATCTAATCAATAACTTATTATAAACATTGATCAGAATTGTCAAATTAGAACCAATGATTTAAGATGATTAACTGAAAGATGATTAACCGCCAGGAGAAAATCAATAAATTCAATTTCCATGATAACAATGATAATAATCAACTAACCATAAATGATAATGTTAACAATTAAATGTTAACGATCAGTTGAAACAATCAACAAACGATAACAATAATAATCGCAATCAAATTGAACCTGAACTAAATCAATATCAAGTTGATATTAACAATTTAAAGGTAAAATAAAAGTAAACAAACCAAATTAAAGTAATCAATTTAAATCATTGATCTTTTCATCGTTAATCACTCAAAATTAACTTGATTGACCTTATTAATTTCGTTGACATTATTTGGTTATGTGACAATCAAATCAAAATAATCAATAAAAGTGTGTATTTATATCAATAGGTAAGATGAAGTTGATTAAATGATTAAAACTGTAATTAGATATGATGATTAACTGGAATAGTTGATTTGAAGGAATTAATTTGATTGAATACAAAAAAAAAGTTAATTCAATGTGAACCTCATTGCCTATCAAATACACACACATATTCAAATCAATTTAATCAACACGATCAACATAATATAACCTTGTTGACAATCAGTAAATTGTGATCATGCCCAAAGTTAATTGTGATTAACTAACTAAAAGGGGGGGAGAGTTAACTTCTTTGTTGCCATTAAATTGTTGATACACTTACAGTTTTATATTAGTTTGATATTATTACCTCAACGTAATCATTGTATTGATTAAATTGTTGATTAAATCAATTGATTGTCCATCGTTTTAGATTTCAACTAATCAAAATTACTAAATAGTAAATGGTGATATTAGTTAAACAATTAAGTTTATCGTAACTTAGTTGTTACACTTTAATTGCTACAAGAATATAAGAAATAAGATTATCGGTGATTTGGAACCATTTTTTTTTCGTTGTTGTTTCAATTGTTAAATTGTTGGTGTTAATTGTTAATTCTGATGATATCCAGTTACTGTAATGATAAAGATACTTCCAATCATTCATCATCATCTTCCTCATCAAAATTATATTCAAGATTATCGGTTATCCAACAGAGGAAAAGATTATTACTTGGAGATGATCAAAAGAAATCATCAACAATTAATGGAAACAATTGGTTATCACAATTACAAATTAAACATCGAAGCCTTGCCAATAAATTGGAGAATCAGAAAAGACAGTTAACAACAATTCACAATCAATTGGTTTATTTTGATCTTTCCAATTCTAATTGGATTGAACAAATACCCTCATTAAAGGTAAGTCATTGATTAACTTTAATCACATCATCATCGAAACAATTTAAATTGCTTGGCTAATTAGAGTTAATTAGTTTTCCACCCCAAACAGAATAACAAAAATAGCAAGTAAATTGTATCAAAATGATAATAATTTGAGTCTTTTATATATGAGAAAGATGCAAATTATGATTAGTTAATTAGTGTTTTCTAATTAATCACACGGAAGAAAAAGGTTAAATTAATAGAATAGGAAAGAAACACATTTTAAGTAAACTAATCAAAGTGGAATTGATTAATTGTGACAAAAATTGACAAATTCAGTTGATTGATTAATCAGGGTAAAAATGAACGAGTTAAATTGTTGTCAAGTGATTAAGGAGAAAGGAAAAAGTTGAATACCATTGACAACAATTATAATTATAAAGAAATTGTCTATTAAATTGTGAACAACAATACAAATTGTTCAACGATCCAAGGTAATTAAATTGGTCAAACGTTTTAATCCATTGTTATTGGTGAAAATCAATACTTGATTAGAGTCAATCAATTTAATCACGTTGTTAATAATCTAATCGATTAGAGTCACGTTCTGTTAAATCACCAACACACTCACATTTCAATTAAGAGTAACAACAAAATAAAGTAAATCTATTCACACGAATCTTTGTTTTCCAATTAGATAAAAACACCAACACAATAAACACACGTTTCCAATTAAATTGATAAAATATTAGAATAACAATTAACTATTTTTTAATAGAAAAATTTTAAACTTAATTAATAGGAGAGAAGAGTTTAAAATCACCAAGAAAATCATCTTAATTCCATATACATATAAACCTCAACTCTTTCAGCTAATAAATCAGATCGATGGAGTGAACAATTGTTGATGGAAAAACTTTTCAATGATGAGACACTAAAGTTTGAGTGAATGTCGATGATGGCAGAGATTAAGAGGGAATCTCATTAATTGCCCTTGGGTCATTCTTAATTAGACGAATAAAGATTTTAAACTAAAGTATATTCATGTAAGGTTTTGAATGATTCATACTCATATCACTTGAAGTGTCACTGAGCAAATCAACAATTTTGAGTCAAATATGAGTGATAAAGTTTTGTTCGGGTCATTTTTTGATACTAGAGTCATTGGGGCCATTCATCAATGAATTCGAGGTCAGAACTGAATATCTAATTTCCTCAAGCTTGAGGGTATTTAGATGAACACTTCCAGAGATTCTAACTATTTGATAGGTAAAAGAGTTTTCTGTTTTCTAAGCTTTACTTGGTTGATTGTTGGTTAATTCATAAAGATTGAGATTCATGAAATAAGAAGATGATAAAAGAAAGAGTTTTTGTCTGTTCCAATTTACTATCAATTCGTAGATGAATAAAATCACGAACGTTGCATTTGATTTGTAATTTTGATTGAGACAAATCATGAGATTGATTCTCGGTTAATAATCTTTTACGATATACACAGAATACTTTGGAATTGCAGAACTTCATGGAAAAAGTTTAAAGGTTATTGGGATTAAGAAATCAACTGAAAATTAGTGAATAAGCTGATTTGATGTTTTCTTTTTTCGAAAAAAATTCTTTCGATTTTTTCAGTAAACATAAATCTTAGAGACTTTAATTGTATCGAGTTTGAAATTAGCTAAACTGTCGTATCGAAAGGTCAAAGCCATTTCAGAGAGTTATGAATTAGCGTGTCAAAAGGTCAGTTGAAGATAACTTCATGGAAGGTGCGTATTGGAAAAAAAAGTTTGTAAAGTTTTGAAGTTTATTATGATCGTTGCAACGATTCAACTGAATGAAAGATTTTACGAACTTTTTAAAAGCAAAACTGAATTACCTTTCGATTGTCAGTAAATATTATCGACCTGAGACTTTAGACTTGACCTGAAAAAATTTATTTCTCCATTGGGTTATCTTCAAGTGACCTTCAAGAAACACGAGCTCACCCTTGACCACCACCAATAAAGACAATTAATAGAAGATCGTAATGACTTATGATTCTTATTACTAACAATTAATACAAAGATTCCTAATTAAGCCTCTTTCTATATGCATGTGAATAAATTGTTCTGATTAGGAAACTGCTTTTAATCAATGGGAGGAATTACTAACTTTACGCCGAGAATGTGATGAATTGAAAATCCGTTATTCTAATTTGGATAAACATCATCATGGTCCAATGTCTTCATCATCTTCTTCTTCCTCGTCTTATTCAAGTTCTCTATCCTCATCTTCATCTTTCTCCTCATCTTCCCCTATCTCTTCTGGTGTCCAGCCACCTCCACCACCACCACCTCCACCGCCTCCTCCACCGTTACCACCGCCTCCACCATCAGCAGCAACAACAACAACAACTACAACTTCAACTACAACGATAGCAACATCATCAAACTCTCTCCGTACAATTGGTGACAATTTGACCAACAGTTCATCATTAAATATAACCAACAATGGGTTAGGAGATTTATGGTCAACAACGGAAACATTATCAACCGTTATCGATAAATGTTCAACGGAAAATGTTGACCTTTGTGTCGATGTTGATGGTGGACAATGTTTTCCATCAACCGAATCGAAGGTGATTAAAAAGGAAACTCATGAAATTGATTCACATTCTCCATCGTTACTCCTTCCCTTAGATAAATTGTCTTCATCTTCTCAAGTAGTTACACCATCACTAATTACCACAAACAGTGGCTCCTTTACCTCCCTTGATCCAGGTTACTCAACTCACCTCACTGAGCTGAACAGATCAACTTCAATTACCTCATCAAGATCTGGTTATTACAGTAATCATGATAATCTCAAGTCAATCATGGAACCAGATGAAAGTATCAAAGAGACAACAACTCATGGTAACAACTTGACCTTATGGAAATCTAATGAAGGTAATTCACTGAGCACATCATTTGGCTCAACATCAACAGACAATTATGTTAAATTATCAACAGGAGATCTTGAATCAGCAAGAGAAATGCCGGTCAATTCCGGTATTTTAGAGGTTCCACCGAATCATAATAGTAACACTAATTCAATGGCTCATGAGGCAATTTCAACTGCCAATGAATTAGCTAATTACCTACAATCATCGGTAAAACCTCATGAACAACCTTTACACTATTCTTATCACCAGGAAGCTCATCCTCCTCCTCCACCATCAGCCCATCTTCTCAATCAACACCAATATCGTCGTCGTCATCATTGGTCACCATCATCAATGGATTCTACTTCGATTGGATCGTCAATGTCCATTTCACTTTTATCAACAGTTCCAGGTTATTATCATCATTCGAATGCGAGAACATCTTCCTCTTCGTCATCCTCTTCTTCATCTTCGTACTTTGTTCCGGTCAAGGGAACATCATTTGGTAGAAATGGTTACTCTCTAAATGGTTGGGTAGGTTCAGATTCATCGGAATCGCAAACTTCAAGTGAAAATTGTTATGAAATTATGAATGAAGGTTTCGATCAATGTTCAGTTCCAACCTCAGCTTCACCATCTTCAATTGCTGGACATTGTTCACTGACCAATCATCATGGATCATCAGAGATAGAGATCAATAGAGACAATATTGGATCAACCGAAGGAGGTGAAATTCTGGTTAACGGTACCAATGGAACTGAATCTTTTTGCGAAAATTTCCCACCATCAGCTACACCTTATTCTTGTTCCTATCTCTCACTAGCCCCTGGATCATCAAATGTTATCCCGAAAAGTTCATCTTACCTGAACCATACCAATGGCCGATCGTCTTCCTCTTCGTCATCCTCAATGTCCAATTGTTCAGCTAATTCTAGTCTTACTTTTCTTGGTCGTGATTTCGTTTCAAACACATCTCATCAAGGATCAAATTAATCCAAATCAAAGTCCAACTAATACAATCAAATTAGTTAACTAGTCTACGAATTAATCGCTAATTTCTAATCATCTTAATCTTGTTAAATTTTTCTTATTCTAATTGTGTTAACTTTTCCGTTTCAAGGTTTGACTGTTGATCAGTAAACCAAATTAATATCTTTAAAAAAAACATTATTAATCAACCTAATCCACAACAATCGATTCACTTTTACATTATGTGAAGTGACCAATTAATTAAATGTAATATCTTGTGAACAATTAAGTTTCTAATCAGCCCTTGTCAAACTGACGTCTTAATTAATCCTATTGCCAATGACCGCATTGAAAATTATATTAAAAAGTGCGCAACGTAATCATTAATTGCTACTGGACAATCAATTGATTAAGTTGGACAATTGTTCCTAATGATCTGTGATTAAGTACAATCAATAGTAATTAAAATTGGAGTAAAAAATAAATCGCTTTAATAACAAGAAATAAATACAAATGTTTACAAAAGCGAAAAGATTGAATCATTTTCCTTGACGGAGGAAACGGAAAACGGACTGAGGTAAAGAAGCGGGAAAATTTTTCTCGGTGGGAAAAGAGTAAGAGAAAAATGTCTCTTTCCAAATTAACCAAAAATTCTGTCAACAATTGATCTAATTGTTGACCTTCGAGTGGGTTGAAAATGACCTCTAAAAGTATTGGTAAACCAAGGAAGTCGAGAGATTGACCCTTGTTTAGTTAAATCGGGATAAAGGTCATTGGAATAAAAAACTGGTGATGATAAACTGTTTCCATGTTGATCGGAATGAATTTTGTCACCAAGAATTTGTGGCCTTTGATGGTGATAAACTTTGGGTGGGAAATTGTCTCGTCCAGTCGAGGAATGGTCATCATTTCGAGGGAAAAGTTCTAACAATCTGTTGATTGGCCGAAGAGCGAATGAGTTACCAAGTAATGGATGAGATGAGATTCGAGACGAGGAAGAAGAAGAAGAAAACAAAGAGGGAAACAATTTCGAAGGTGAAAATGATGAAGAAAAAGATGAGGTAAGGGATGAAGGAGAAGATGATGGTGATGATGAAGGAGAGCCAAAGTTTACACTTGCCCCTCGAACTTTTCCAAAATTATTGAGAAAAGTGGCTGATCGGACTGGGTGATAATCGCCAGGAGGATTAGATGGTTTTAGATTAAGTGTTGACTCTCCGGGAGAAGAGGGAACAGAGTTTAGTTTACCCGCCAGAGAATCTGAAGTTAGTGAATTGAAAGAGCCTTCAACTGATTGATCGTTAATTGTTGGCGAAAAAGGTGAAGATGAAGATGGTGGTGGTGGTGGTGGAGAAGATAAGTTATTCACAGAATTGATCTTCTTAATTACAATTGGAGATGAAGATACAGGGGATGAAGGGACACAATCGATGACACTGAATAGGAAACCAGCGATTCCAATGGCACAGATAAGTAATTTTGTAATTTCCATGGTGGAGAAAAGTTGATTAGTTAATTTTTCTGACGGTTTAATGGATTTACAGGTAACGAGAGATTAACATTGGTTAACTGAGATGAATTTGTTCAATGTAATTCATTTTATATCTCACTCATCGATTCTACTCCCTTTCTCTCACTCTCTCAATGCTCACTCGCGACCCCTAAGCCCGAGGCTAAGGCGAGCAAGAGATTAAATTTGTCCAAAATTGATCCAGTTGATCAGGAATTTATTTTCTTAATTCACTTCACCTTCTCTCTCTCTCTCTCTTCTCTTCTCTTCTTCTTTTAGTTAATCAACAAGTTTGTAATTAAATTTAGTTGTTAGTGTTTCTTGTGGCCCCAAATACCGGAAGAAATGAAAGAAAACTTTGACTTTTCTTTTTCCTTGATTTCGGTAACATTAACAATCTAGTTTCTCAATTGCTTCTTATTACCTGGTCATTGGTACAGTTATTTTCTTCTTACTCTGATTTACATTGATTGTTTATTATTCTAAATATTTCAAATCATCTTTAATCTTCATGTTACCTTTATTATCTTCTAGGTAGAACTTGAATTAACGGTGATTGACTCTGATTGTGATTAGTTAATTTCTTTAAACTGGTCTTTGCCTCTCTCTCTCTCTCTCTTTCTTTCTTTCTTTCTTTCTTTCTTTCTTTCTTTCTTTCTTTCTTTCTTTCTTTCTTGCCCTGGTTACTTTCTTATTATGATTATCGATTATCCTAATTGTCAACAATTGGTGGATCATTACCTCCGGGATTAAAGGTCAATTCTGATTGTGATTAACTTTTCAAATTATTAATCTGAGATAAATATATTTAATTCCAAGTTTGATATTCAAAAAGTAACTCATTTAATCGTAAACATGATTGATTGAATAAATTAAATGTTCTGAATGAAATTAGTTCTTATCAATAGTTATCACTAATTGTGATTGTAAGAAAATGATATTAATTTAATGGGAAAAATTACAATCAATGGCTGTTGATTAATATTATTGGCAAATTGAACGATTTATGGATAATTAGTTGATTAGTAGACAATTTTGATTATTCTGATTCCAAGCTTGGAGATAATTGTAATCCAATGTTATTGATTCTTGATCAGAGTTTATTGTAATTGATGATGACGACGAGATAGATTGTTGATCCATCGGTTGATTAACAATATACTCTGAATGTTTTAATTGTTGATTAGACCAATTCTGTATTAGAAAAGGAAAAAGTTTTAAACAATTAATTTGAAACATGGGACATGTTAATTAAGACCAATTACTTACCACAAATGTTGCCAGATAATTTGAATTAAATTGATCACAATCAAGATGATTATCTTGATTATCTTGTAACAATTGAGCCAAATAATTAATGTATCTTAATGCTGATCGAAGTGTATCCAATTTAGATAACTTTGTATCGATTGGTATCCAAGGTAATGAGCTTTTTAATCGTGAAAAGGCCTGAACAATTTAACATAACGAAACATAGACAGACAATTAAAAGAAACGAAATCATCTTGAGGAAAAAATCAAACAATCAAAATCATTTGGAACAATTTAGATTCAAATTGCTGTTGATTGTTTGAGAAACGATAATCTTGATGATCTTGACCATGAATCTATTAAATTGTTACCTCAAAAAATGGTAACAATTAAATGCTCTGTTAAACATACTACTAATTTTTAGTAAAATAGTTTTCCAAATTCAAGCAATTAACTAATAACAACAATCTATTAAAAGATTAATCAACAATTAACTTACCTTATTAAGGATACTCATCCGAGCTCTTTCCCTGGCATTAGCCGTTTTCCTGCCTTGGATTGACCTTTTAGATGAAATTAATTGACGTTTGACCAACAATTTACAATTAACTGTCGATGGTGATGATGTTGATGACGGTGAAGATGTAATCAAAATTGGATGATCACAATTAGAATTAAAAAGACAGTATGAAGATTGATTAGATTCTAACATGGTTGAAATTGTTAACACGGCAAATTGTCCAACGATGGATTAACTAGTCGACTCAAAATAGATCAATTAATTGTCAAACTTTTCTCGTAATTTAAATTGTTTGTCTCTCTCTCTCTCTCTTACTCTCTCAATTGAATATATTCACATTCTCACTCATATTCCCTGAATAACAGATCACTAATTTAACTAATTGAATAATAAAAGATTAAGATGATTAGACGATTTTAATTACATTCGGATAAACAGCGACAATTTAAATGGTCAAACAAAGAGGATAATTAGTTGATTGTTTATTTAAATTGATTCGCGTGCCTTTTTTCAACTCTAAATACAGAGACTGACCAATTGTCGGTTATTATCATTGATTGGTCATCATCTTCATCTTTTTTGTTTACATTTTAGACTCACTTTAACTGGACCACCTTCAATGGCCAAATAACTGACCATAAACTGGACCATAGAGATGACCAGACACAAGAACGACAATTAGTGACCTGTGGGGTCTTCACACTTATCAGAAAGATATTTCAATTTCTCTAAGTCTTTTTACTCTCTGATGACCATTGTCCAGCTAAAGAAAAATCCAAGAATAATAATCTCATGAAAAGAAAACAATTTTTAATTACAACAGAAAATTATCCTATTAAAATGTACTTTAAATGAGTAACATTTAATTTTCATCTTCATCTATTTTTGTATTTCATCTAATTGCTGGTTATCCATTAATTAACTTAAAATCTAGGTAACTGGGTAAGAGAATTAACAATTTAAATGATTGTGTAAATTGTGAGAGTCGTTGGTCATCTCAATCTCTCTTATTCGTGTCAACCTTGACCGATACTTTTTAGAAAAGAAGAAGAAATTTAAATTATCATTCTAATGATAATCTTCCCTTTTTCCTTATTATAATCATCTTCTTTTAGCCAACAATCAATCGCTCTAATTGTTGTTGTTGAACTGCTCTAATTGTACAGCGACTTATCATTTCCGTTATTTACTCTAAACCCATTACCATTATCACCGTTAGACTTAATCAACATGATGTCCCTTGTTTAATTCACTATAATTTAGGACAAAAACAACAATCGAATCACAATTAAACTTGTAATTATAACAAGAAAACACTGATCATGATAATCTTATGGTAACGGTAAAATTTTCATATACAAATGATCATGAGAAACTTTTCCCTGCGATTTTGTTAATTGTTATCATGAAAATAACAATTGGTAACCACAATTCTGTTAAATGCTCACCGGTGAAAATGATAATCTTAATCATGAGTTTGCTATTATTTTCTTGAAGCTTTGGTTCAGTTGAGTGGACAGTCGGTTTTAGTAGAGGGTCAGTTGGTTGGAATCATAAATCCATGAAGAGACCCTGTAATCATTAAGGTTACCAAAGGGATAGTTGTTATCACCAAGTGATGATGGTCAACAAGATGAAGAGTAAATTATTTTAATCGATGTTGATTATCATGTTAAAATGTGTCATTTAAATTGCTACCTGAGTTTTAGTATTCATTATGATTTCTCTCTCTCTCTCTCTCTCTCTCTCTCTCTCTCTCTCTCTCTCTCTCTCAATTAGACTGACCATCGATGCATTGGTCGGTTGGAGTTAACCTTTGACCATTGGAGGGAAACATTTCTTGTTTTTTTGGCTGTTGGTGATTATGATGATGTTGATGATTGTGAAGATGATTAAGAAGATGAGCTTAACCTTGATCTTCGAAATCAGTGGTGTATGACCCTTTATAAAAAGAGTGACCAGCCCCATTAAACGGGATTTCGTTTCTAAGTTTCACTCAGATCGTTTCAATTTTTTTCTTCTCCAAAATTCTAACGATAAAAAGTCAAGTGAATTCTAAAAGTGAATTGTAATCGACATTTTCTCTCTCTCTCTGTGTTATCCACTTTGTGTCCAGTGAAATATTGATTGTTATCAATTGGAAAATTGAAAAAGTTCAATAGTTAATTAGATCCAATTGAAAATCAAACCATGAGATCGAAATACATTTACCGTTCATTGATAATCTCTTTAGCTTGTGCTCTTTTAATGCCCGAGGCTTCAGCTGGTTTATTCAATCGTTTACTCTACATGATGATGAGAAATCGTCGTCGGCATTATGTCCCATTTCCGGTTTCGTAAGTTCATTTTTAACAATTAATCATGAAGAACCAATTGATCAACAAACACTAGTTTCCATTGATAATCTAAATTAATCGTATTTCCTTGATTCTGCTCACTTGGAATTACTAATTGCTAATTACTTTTTCATCAATTGTCTCTATCCTTTGAATACAATTACAATTAAATATTCACCTGATTGTAATAATCCTTGTTAATACCATGAGATTATATAAGTTGCCAATTGAAAGGGATTAAAATCAAATGTATCTTAATCCATTGTGATTACTTATCTGAGGTTAGAATTATCTTGATAAATTGTCAGATTATCCAACTGATTTAGTTGATCTAATAAATTGTGATCGAATCAAATGAAATCAAGCATTTAAGCTTAAATTATCTTTAAATTGTTACGTATGCAATTTACTCTGATGTTTTATTTTCATGAGAACAGATTAATTGTCTTTCATCATACAACTAATTTGATGATGATGTAAATTGTGACGTTGATTGCGTCATCATAATTTGTGAGTGTGTGTGATGATTGTTTTGTAACTATTTAGATAGAAATTAATTAATTTCCTTTTCTCTTATCACAATTAGATTATCACCATTCTCAAACTTTGGATCATCAACATCCCCACTCACTGGACTTTATCCTCTTTCCCTTTCAAGTCTAAGTAATTCAATCGCACCTTCAGCGGCCGTTTCAGCCGCCGCGGCGATACCTTACTCTCAATATCTGTCCAGCTTAGCGAGTTACAGTGGATTAACTCCCGTCTCACCCCTTGGACCCTGGGGCGGAATTAATCCTTACTACAATTACCTTAATCTGGCCGATTATCCCGATTATCGTAGCTACCCAACGATATCCAATTATCTTCCACTTCCAACCTACACTCCGCCAATTTACACTTCACCATCATTTCCAGGTAAACAAATTAAGATCCATTCCAATTAATCAATATATTAATATAATCGACTAATTGTCATCATCATCATCATTTTAATTTCTCTTCAACAGCTCTCAATGTGAGCGATATCAAAGATGATAAAAAGATATCAACTCGAGCCGCTGCTGCGGCCGCTTCGAGTTCAAGTTCCCCCACCGGGTTGGCTTATAATATCCAGGGACAAGATCGCAAAGAATTGTTGACCAAATTAAAATATTTCGCAAATCACCGGCCAACGGGGGCCAATTACCGATCACCAATTCTATTCCCAGAACCCGATGATTTAATTGACTCTTTCAGATGAACATAATCAATTTCTTTTCAACATCTTGAATGTTTACTTATTTATCTTTATTGTAACAATTAACCTTTTCAATTGAATTGTCATAATAGACAATCAACATCAGATTCTACTAAATCATCATCTTCTTAATCAACTTGATTAGATTCTAATTATCGATTAGCTGAATTGCTTATTATTTAACTCATTTTGTTTTGTTTCCAACATTGGATTAGGTTTTTCATATTCTTCTCATTAATATAATTGTTTGTATTATTTTCACACCAGAAACTTAATTCAAGTTCAAAAAATTAAAATTAATTAATTTACACCAGAATGAAATTCAACCATTGAATTGCATTTGTTAATTGTTAACACTTTGTTTTCATAGATTACACATATAATTATGAATTATAAGAGGGGGGAATTTGTGATTTGGAGGTTTTGTTTGTGGATAATAATAATTGAGATAAATTGTAGTAATAAAAATCCAGAATTAAATAAATAAAGATTAACCAAGTTCTGGGAATAAATCGTCAAAAAAAATGGTTTCCATTGGTAAATCAGAGGAAAAGAAATTATCATCATCATAATCATCGGGTTGCAGTAATGATTGATTACTGAGAGAACTGATTGTTGAGGTTGAAATTGATGAAATTGAATTTGTAGTTGTTGGTATTTCAGTTTGTTTGGTGTTTACATTGGTGTTAATTGTGAGAGAGTTAATGTCATTTGGAATAATTGACGATATTTCTACCGATTGACTTTTATTCCTATGATACATATGATCAAAGGTAATCAGGTCCCTGATAGAAGCCATAGTTTTTTTGTCTCCTTCAGTTTCTTCCGTTTTGGGAAATAATCTGGAAAATGTTCCACTGGATTGAGATCCATCTTCGATACCAGAATCATTGGATAAGAGGTTGTTGTTTTGGTAAAATTGATTGGAGGAAGATGATAACCAAGAAATGATATCTTCACCATCACAATTAATGAAATAATTGATAGTTTTGTCCAGATCATCAAGATCTTGTTTACCTCTTGGTTCTTCTGCTGAGATCCATTAATTAGCTCTGCTGGCTCAAAAGAGGTATCCAATGATCTTTCAGATTGACTACTATCAATATCAGAAATTGATTTTGATGATTTTTGATTATTATTATTATTCATGATCATTTTCTCCAAATTATCAAGTTTTTCTTTTAAAAATTTATTCTCCATTTCCAAGGATAAAATGCGCTGTTGATTTGACTCACTTTGATCCAACATTTTCTTAAGATCTCCATTTTCTTGCATCAGCCGTTTATTGACCGCACCCAAAGAAGCCAATTCAATCTCCAATGTAGACATAACTCTTTTCTTTTTATCCCTTGACGTTTGAGCTGATAGACGATTTTTAATTTTTCTCCTCATCATTTTTTCCTCCTCCGTAAGGTGATCAAGTTTCTCTCGTTTCCTTTTCCGTTTACCATTGCATTCATCACCAGTAATCAATGACGAGTCAACAAACATAATGGTTGAATAAATTTCTTTTTTTTTTCTATACAATTACAAATGACCAAAACCAAAGAGAACAAAAACCAAAAAAAGAAAACAAAACCCCAATTAATTAATTACAAACCAAAAAAGGTTTTAACTTATTGGTTAAGAGGTGATTGGAACAACAAAATAAATCATAAATTAATGATTTAATTAAACACTTCACTTAAAAAATAATTGAAAACATAACATAATAATCAAAATGATTAAAGACTCAGATTAAATTTCATTTTCACTTATCAACCAAAACTCCAACTCAAGGGGTCGCTTCAATCTCGAACCAGGGACCATCTCCACATTTCCATCGAAAACTTGACAATTGAATTTACACTCATTTAAGTTGATTATTGTTCTTGCCCTTTTGACCGATTAGAGGAGCTTAATTGCACTTTTCTGGGCCATCACATTTTTGGTTACAACATTTTTGATTGGGAGGTTTACAATTTTTCCGATGGACAATCAAGTCGGCATTGAGCCCATGTCGCCGTGGATCAGAGTCCCGACCACTCGGCTAGCAACTCAGCTAAGAAAATCTTTTTTCCACTTACGCCATCTAACGACATAAGAATCAGACTAGAACAAAATATCAGACGATTAACTTGATTACTGTTGTTTTCCTGTTTGATTGTTTGTTGGAAAAAAATGAGTAAATTAGCAATTTCCAATAAGTTAAGTATATTAAATCAAATTGATTCTGGTGTTTGTGGTAAACAATTGGCCTCAGAATATTGTGTTAGTCCGTCAACAATTTCCAAGATAAAGAGAAATGGTTCAAAATATCGATCTCTTAATGACAACTACAAGAAACACTTTCGTTTACCTAACGAAAGCACATCATCAATGGACAAACAAATAAGTGACTTTGTTTCTATGGCAAATATTAAAGGATTTCCAATAAATCACCGAATAATTAAAGCCAAAGCAAAGTCAATTGCAAGGAAAGAAGGTATCGAGTTTAAAGCGAGTAACACTTGGTTTGCAAAGATGAAAAAAAGAGTTGACTTGACTTACTACAAAGCAAGAGGTAAAGCTATTAATAAATCAGCTGATTCCGAACAAATTAACAATTGGTTTGAAAAAGAATTACCTGAAATCATCAACGCTCACCCTGAATATACAATATACAATGCCCATGAAATTGATCTTCAATTCAAATCGGTTGATCAAAAATCTTATCATGTTAAAGGTGCAAATAAAAATGGTGTTAAAGTGGCAGTTAGAGATCGAGTTACGATTCTATTATGTGTTGGAATCAATGGTGAAAAAAAAGATCCACTTGTTATCGGTAAAAGTGCCAAACCTCATTCACTGGCTACAATACTTTATGATACAAAAAGATTCAATATCGATTATAAATCAAGTAGAAACGCTTCTATTACAACCGATTTGTTTGATCAATGGTTAAGTGACTGGAATTCAGAGTTAATCTCACAGAACAAAAAAGTTTTACTCTTCATTGACAATTGTAAAGCTCATCATGTTCCCGATCAAACTAAATATTGTAATTTAAAGATAATATTTTTACCTGTCAACACAAAGAGTAACTGTCAACCTTTAGATGCTGGGATAATCAATTCATTCAAACAACACTATTTTGGTCATCTTAATTGCTTTCTAGCAAAACTAATTCCTACAGAGGAAAAAGTTGATGATTTAACTAAAGCAATTACACTGAAAGAAGCACTTGAATGGATCCAACAAGCTTGGGAGAAGGTCAAACAATTAACAATAATCAATTGTTTCTCTAAATGTCATTTTTTTCCAAGTAATTAATAAAATCACAATTACCTGGCGATAGTGTTGATTCATTTAAATGAATATAACAAAACTTTCCTTCAACTGAGTGTATAAGAAATTCAATTAATTTAATTGTTTAGATTTTTTTAAAATCTTTTTGGATACAATTAGATTAATAAAATCGATTTGTTTTTTGTAATTAAAAATTTTCCATTTGAAATGAGATTGAATTTCCAAAGTAAAAGTTATCATATCAAATTGTTTAATTTTGTGTTTAATTTAATTGTAAATGAATTTTGAGACAATTTGAATGGTTTAATTGTTTATTTAATTGTTTATCAACATAAAAACACGGAAATTGATCAATCACAGACATTATTTATTATGAATATATTGTTGAATGGTTTTACAATTAGTATTAGTTAGGGAAGAACGAGTAATTTTATAATTAATTTTAATTCTTTTCAGATAAATTGTTGCAATTGAGATTTTTTTTTTCTTCTTCCATTGAAAGGTTAAAATTTAATTCTTTCAAGGAAAAGAAAACAATTAAGGAACCAAAGGTGATCCATTTTTTTTCACATCCATCTCCTCTTCAGATGTTAATTCATTGGTGTAATTAACGTATTTAACTGCGACATCTTGTAAAATAGACTAAGGAAAATATGAGAATTAGTTAATTGTCACCAAATAGTCAATTAAATTAATTACCTGATTCTCAGCAATCGCTGGAGGGGATCTCAAAAGTAGCATAAATGGAGCAAAAATAAAACAAATTGTGGCAGTAATTGTGACCAATCCCTCGAAACCAAACAATCGAAGCATAGTTCCACTAAGAAAAGGACCTTTAAACAAGATTAACAATTAGTAAGTAACAATTAGATGGACAATTAAACAATCTCTTACCAAATATAAATCCAACACAAAAAGCAACATCACCAATCGCATAGACATTACCATAAATTGATTTGTGTCTAATGTCAACCAAATATCCCAACATTGGCATCATAGATGAATCAACCATTCCTAATATAGTTTAATTCAACTCAAATTTAGTAATTAACGATGAAAACAACTAATCAAGTAAACATATTACCAATTGCAAAGCCAATAACACCATTTGGTATAATCAATTGGTCCAAACTTTTAGCCATCGGTATCTAATCAATAAAGAAATTATAATTTTCGTATGATAATAAAAGTGATGAAAATTTTGATCGGTAAGCAAATTAACACTTACACTAATCAGAGCAAATCCAATGGCGATAATCCCGAGCATCGATGCGAGCCATCGGCCCATTTTGTGTCCCAGTGGACCGAAAACATTGGTTCCTATCAAGTATGATATGGATGCTGGTAGAAAAGCAGCTCCTTGCTCCCAATTCTTAGCATCCATAGTGTCCATCATCCAAAGGGGAAGAGCAGGTTCGAGAATACCGATTCCAACATTGGCAAAAGTGATCGCACCAGCGGCAACCAGAATATAAGGATCTTTAATTAGGGTTAACAATGAGGCTCCTTCTTGTGGATCGGGTGAAACTTTGGGCTGAAGGACGAAAAGTTGAAGAACTGTTCAAAAACAAGTTCGATAAAAGAAAAGGGTAAAACATTACAACTTGTGTTTTCTATCATTAATAAGTTGATCAGTTTTCCATTGAATTTGGTAATCAACTTTCTCCTTCTACTTCACTGATTCATCTTTAATTAAATGTATCAATCAAAATGATTTCTAAATGCAAGTGACTTCCAACTAATTGACTTTGATCGATTGTAAATCTCAATTTCACTCTAATGTCAATCGAAAGGTTTCAACGTTTAAGTTACATTATTATGATGGAAATTGAATATAAAATAATGATCATCATCATTATCATTCTCTTAGAGGTACAATTAAATTAAGAAAAGAAAATCATGTTCATGGAACTTTAAGAAAATGAGAGTCATTATAATCACTCACTTTCTCTCTCATTATCTCTTTTCTTTTCCATGATAATATGAAAATTCGAACATGAAAATCTTGTTCTATCTCTTTAGAATTGAACCTTAAGTTGGAAATTCTCTTTGCTTCCTTAACTTTCCATCACCATGTAAATATAAAAATCGATTGATTCAGATGAAAAGATAAAAGAGTAAAAGAAGAGAACATTTTCTCATTTTCTATCAAACTTAATATTGAGCGATTATTGAATAATCAACATGATGAACAAAAGATTAATCAACAGGTAGAAAGAATCACTGGATCACTTTAATTGTGATTATCTATGAGAAAAAAAGACAACGTCAAGAAAAAAGTTCTCACCTTTCATTCATCTTAATCCGATTAGAACGTTAATTCACTTTCATTGTTTAACAAATTATCTCATTTGATCAGTTAAATCAATGAACAAAACAATCAATTTGATTATGATTAATTAGCTACTTACTCCCATCTAATAAAGCCAAACCGGCTAAGATCAGGAAAGGTGATGCTCGACCAACAAATTCATACATTATACCACCAAAAGGAGGGCCAATTAAAACGCCTAAGGCTAAACCGCCCAAGGCAATGGCCATTGCGTTACCTCGTTCACGATCATCGGGATAACGTTCAGCCAGCATTCCCATACCAGCCACTGAAGTACAAGCTGAGCCGACACCCTGAAGAGATCGAGCTATGAATAATGTTGAATACGATTTACCAACTGAAAAAACTGTAAAAAAGACAATCAGAAAGTAACAAATCAATCAATCACTTAATCAACAACAATCAACTATTTTTATCATTAGACTGGACCATCAAGCCGATAATTAATATTAACTGTCGTTCCCCAAAAAAAGATTACAAAAGCAATTAAATTAATTGTCGACGACAAAGAAAAAAAAACAAATCTAAATCCAGCTTATCGAATACTTAATTGATTTAATAATCAATATTAATCATATTCCATGTATTTACAATTTGAACCATTGGTTTTGATCTTTTAGATTAAATTGAGATAATTAATGAATGATTAATTTTCTTTTGTTACCTAACAATTAATAGATTAACAAATCTACAGTAGTAATTATTAATTTCCTATGGATTCAATTATTAATGGAATCAAAATGAAAACATTTCAATGTGATGGTTGAAAATCTCGTTGTGTTAACAATGTAAATAATTGAACTTACTTAATGTTGATAGAAACATGATCACGAATCCAGCAAACATTGGAATTGAATAACCAATTCTGAATATTGAATAATAATAATAATAATAAAAATCAACCCACAGAATTAAAAGTTATCATGAATAAATATGAATATTGTAAAGTAATAACATGGAAATAAGTTGATAATAGAATTGAAAATTGTCCATCATCTTTAATCTTAGAGTATAATCTCAATATGAATAAGAATCATCTTCTATTAACAATGTTGATAATATGAGAATAAAGATGCTGATGAAGATAAGACGAAGGAGACGAGAAGATGCTCATCATCATCATCATCATCATCATCATTATCTCTATTATTGCAAAGGTAGAAGAAGAAAAAAAAGAGAACATAAATAATGATAATCGAAAATGAAATCAGTTCTAATCAAGGTAAATCTATTTTTTGGTTCGACGTAACTTTATGTTAATCATCATGGATAAAGATGATTCTTTATTATTATCTTATACTTTCATCTTCCTTGTCATCATCCTTATCCTTTAGCACTTTACTGGCTATAATAATAATAATAATATTTTCCACTCCCAGTTAGTTACCCTTCTCATAATAATAATAATGATAATATAATATATCAATCATTATATCAGATTAACGGTAACTCTGAATGATAGTTGTTGGCATTAAGATGCTTATTCATGTGATAAACTTAACTTATAATTTGATTTATATTATTAACCATTAATTGATGATTTTACCAAGAAAATAATGATAATCATTATAATAGAAACAGTCTAACAATTATACAATTATGATTATCAGCCAATTCCCAAGTTAACATTGGGTAAATAGGGTTTAACCAAGGGTGAAAATTGATCTAATTTTTGATAACATTTTCGCTGGTAAAAGTGATGAGGATTTTTATTACCTATTGGTCATTGGTCCGATGAAAGGATTTGTAATTGCTTGGATAACTGGCTTAGAAGCAAATAGAACTCCAACTTCGGTTGATTCATCAACCAATTCTTTGTGTTTTAATTGTTTGGCCTCTTTTTCTGGAGTAATTGATTCCATTGATGGTATTTCATAAGATGATGAGGATGATGTACTTGAAGAGGTTGTTGTTTGTTCATTTAATGGGCAAGTACATTCAGAACCACCATGTGAATGTTGATCGTTTCTGTTATTATTATTGTTATTACCTTTTAATTGGTTAGGTATAAGTATTGGTACTTCTCGAGGTGAATTAGTTGTGGTCGTTGTTGTTGTTAATAGTAATCGAGAGGCATTTGATTTAATTTGATTCTCATTGTGATGAATCTCATAAAGAAATGCTGGGATAATTGGCACTGTGATATCACAATTAAGAGGGAACAATTTGAACGCAATTAATAGTTTACATGAGATTGTAACAGGAAAAAAAAACAAAATGAAACAATTAACAAGTGATGGAAAATTTTCATTCAATTTGTTTTGTTTCTGTTGATTTCTAATCATTAACAATCAATTGATTTACTTACCAACACAAGTTAATAACATATTGTCCAGTAAAAGGGCAACAGCAACAATTAACACAAGTAATTTCCTTGATCCTCTCCATGATTTAACTAATGTAACTAATTTACCAATGAAATTATACTCAACATAATCTCCGGTCATGATGATTAACTAACACAAAAAAAAACACTGATCAATTGTCAATTGATCAAACAAAGAAAAAGCTTGATAAATATATCAGAAAATCATCAATAGTAAGATTTTAATTGAAATTAAAATGGAAAAAGTTTCAAGTTAATTGAAAGGAGAAAAAAAATTGATGACAATTTGTAAATCAAATTGTAACTTTGATGATTAACATTGAAGGTTAAATCGAGAGTGGGATCACTTTCAACAGGTTAAACTGTTGTCTATTCAATTGATTAATAAATAACATTGAGACTGCGTTTCGAGCAATCGATTTTGATTATATAGACTATGGACAATGTACAAACTCGTAATGATTGGTTAATGTTCAAACAATTAATCAACAATTTTACATTTCACCTTTCTCGCATTCAATTGTACTTGACTCGTTGTCAACAATTAAGATGCTGTTAAAAGGTAAAAATCTATTAATAGATTTAAAATATATTCCATAGCAAATAAGTAATCAATAAGTTAAATTGTGAGTGATTAGTTTAATTGATTAGATGAGCAATCATTATGTTTATATATCATATTATTATTATATATAAATTGATAGTTGATTGTTGAACAATGGGAATGATAAGAATTTTTAACCTATTCGAAGTTCAAGTTCTAATGGTGATCATCATCATGGATCATGATTGAATTATGAGAATAGATAATGAATGTTGAATTGGGAAAGAAAAGAAAACTTTCAAGAGAAGTTTTTTTTTGCTCGAATTCCTTACAAGCAACATAACTTAGCTTTCGAAAGTCTTTTTATTCGTGATGATGCCAATCACCATCATCATCATCATCTCTTGCTCTTCTTTCATAGCCAGGGATCGATTTAATGGAGAAGAGCGAGTGAGTGAGTGAGTGAGAGAGGGAGAGAGTGAGAGAAGAAAAGAAATGATCGAGGATGATGAGAAAAGAGGAAGGAAGATATTGGGATGATGAGGTAACCTGTTAGAATAGGAAGTCGGGAGAGAGAGAGAGAAGATGTAAAAAAGGAGTAATGGAGATGATGAGGATGATAAAAGGTTAGATGATGAGGTAAGAAGTGAGAATATGGATAATTGGTTTCCTTGGTTTCTCCATCTTCTTAATCATCAGAACTTTGAATAAAATGAGATGAAATGTCAACATCTTTTCTCGAAACTCACTAGCGAAAAATTCCTATCATGTCTTTCATATCTTCTCATCACTATTATCATCATCTTATTAATTCTCATCTTCCGTCTTCTTCTTCATCTTCTTTATCCTCATCCTTTTCTCTCTCTCTCTCTCTCTCTCTCTCTCTCTCTCTTCTCTCTCTTTTATTTCTTCTCTTTTTCAGTATTTTCATTCTATTCTTTGATTCCTAATCTTTTTCTTTCTTTTCTTCATCATTACTCAACTAGTCTTCATCTTCTTCGTCTTTGATAATAAATCGCAATTTAACGGATCAACAGTTGACCAAATTACAATAATAACCAATCAACTAAAATCTATTACCAATTTGATTCTGATCAACAATAGTAATTGAAATGCCATTTTTTTAGTTGATTCTGTTGAGATAAATTGATCAAAAATCTCATCACGGTGACAAGTTCAGACTTTGTTTCTTTGATTGATTAAAATTAGACCTCGAAAGTGATTAGATCTCTTAATAAAAATGATAGATTTTAACCGGAAAAAAAGTTCATTCGAATTGAGATTAATCATCAATTGTCAATGTTACGATTTTCATGATAGAATTGATGATCGCGACAAATAAAGTTATTAATTCATTTCGTATTCATCAACATGTTAATCTGATTTCCTCTGGAACCTGGTGACATCTTGAGAGTGAAAAAAACGAATGGTAATCAAGTTAATTTATTTCTTTTCCTTTTGTTTTGATTAAGATTCTCATCAATTGTAAACATTAATATTGCAAATTGTGTAAAAATAATCTTTTGATCAACTTTTAACCACAATTTAAATAAGACGATTTATCGTTAACAGTTGAAATGTAATCGTTATAAAAATCCAATGTTTTCGATTCTGGATAATTGGAACCATTTTTTTTCTTGGCAACGTATTGTTCATAAATTGATTGTGTTGCTAAATTAGATTGAGAAATGTTGAGGTTAAATTGATGATTAGAAAGTGGATTAAAAGTTAAATCAAATCTAGATGGAATGTTTAATACAGGTTGAATTTTTCCATCAAGTTGATTCAAGTTTCCTGTTGATTGTTTTCTATCGGTGGATTTTTTAATCAATCCAAATTCACCGGAAGATTGACCATCAGCAACATATTTAGTGTACAATTTAAGGTCCACTGGTTTGGGTGATTCGTATAAAACACCGTAATCATGTTCGATGGTGTCAAAGTTATTGTAGATAAATGAATCTGATTTTGAGCTAACAGAGGAAACGGAAGGAGCTGAATATTTGTAACCAAAGAGACTCATGTCTTCATCACTGGAATAATCATCATCACCCTCTTCATCTGGAGAATCGGATGAGGAAGTTGAAACATGTCCAGAAACTGATGGATTAGGTGGTAGGACATTCGAGGTTGGCAGAGATGCTTTTCGTTTGTTTGGCCTTTGTCGAACGAAAAATGGACTGTGCTCCTTAATAACAGTACAATTTGGCATAAAGTGTCGCTCAGTGTGACTTATCTCGAAGAGGAAATAATTTGCTAGGACAGTTAAATCTTGAGGTCGATACTGTTCTGAGAAACCATCGGTCATCATGTCGATATCTTCAATTGATGGATCGTAGAAAATATTCTTAGGACAACCTTTGAAAATTTCTAATGACGATCGAGGTAAACTTTGGGCTACTTTTTCATCCCACCATCGGGTAATTGGAATCAGTGAGGGATTGAATAAATTTTTTACCAAAATTTCACCATTATGAAGATAATAGTCTGTTGATAGATCCCAAATGTAGGGTGATTCGGGTTTAGGTCGAAAAACACCGAGAAACAGATTAATGGCATCTTGTTTATCGGCATCGGAAAAGGTGTTACTGTAATAACGGGAAAGAGTTTGCATAATGTCTCGAGAATGTGATGAAAGTGGGGCTATTTTACGATAAGTTTTAATTCTATGGACTAATTGTGAGCCACCATATTGAAGAGCAAGGGTATCACCATGATCTTCATAAATCTCTTCCAACATTCTGATTGTATCGGTGTCAAATTCAAGGGTTGGCGTTGGAAGGACACCAAGAACGTAGAGTTGATAAGCGAGAGCACATTTACCAAGAGCAAATTGTGCTGTATTGGTGCGATCCAAACAATCAACACAATTTACACGAACTATTCCTGTTTGAACGACTTGACCAGTTGGAGTGGTCACACCGCCAAGTTTATTGAGAAAACTTGGATTGGGTAAATTTTTGGACTGTTTACTTTGAAAGATTCCCGTTAATTTGAGCATTCGATAGCCAATGTCGGATAATTTTTCCATTACCGAAGCGTCTTTTGATTTGTTGATTCGAGCCATGTCCAGGCCAATATAGATGATTGAATGTTTCGAGGGAATAAATTGATTTAAATACTGAAGCGCTTCTTTAATCTCTCGAGATAAAACACTTTCGTGTGGCTTTTTTTCTCGTTTCTTGACTAGATTAAGAACAACAATTGGTGAACCATAGCGAGAAAGAAGTTCATTAAAATGTCGTCCAGCGGTTTGAAAATAAGGATCAACAAAGTCCAATTGAATCGCCGGTTTAGGAACGACTTTAAAACTATCCTGCGACCAATGTGACGGAATTGAACCGCGAATTTGAACAAACGATGTATATTTGACAACGTTAAGTGAAGAAAGGGAAGCATCAAAAGCGATCTGTTCCGTTTCTACTTCGTTGGCCACATCACCGGCTAAATTGGCTCCTCTCTTAAGGAATCGGGTGCCAGCATATTTTTTTGATCGACGGGCAATAAGAGTTAAATAAATTGGCCGACCAAAGACACAAATGTCCGTTTGACTGACAAAACCATGGATTATGTACAAAAGCCAATCGGGATGAAGATCGACACGAGAAAGAAGATATTCATTCCAGACAAATTTCCAATTGGGTTGAGTTCGAATGGCTTCAATGTTCAATGATGGTCCTTGTTCCTCTTCCAATTTACCTTCCCAAAGAGTTTGATCAGGTCGCTTACGAAATTGATGGTTACAATTATAAGGCATCCAATTGTATTGAAGAGTATGAGTTAAATCGTAACTGTAACTGAAGTAAAAATTACTGGAAAGATCAACATTTTGAAACATTTTCAAGTACTTTGATTCATCGGGATTATTTTTCTCTGTGTCATTTGGTAAATAGATCATACTTGTGTCCAGTATTTTGTAAACATTATGATGTCCAATTTGAGCGATTTTCCGTCTCTTTGTTATTAGAATCATATAATAACCTTCAAGAAATCGGATGAAACCAAAAATCCCATAAGCGGAGATACGATTTGGTGTTTGTGGTGTTTTCTTTTTATTTCCATTGGTAATTCGAGCCAATAATTCAGTTATTTCTTTCTTATTGTATTTAACACCATCATCAGTAAGAACAAGATCCTTAGGTTCGGTTCGATCAATTTTAATCACTCGAAATGTAGTCCCAGCGCTATTAGAACCGACAATGAAGTATCTCTGTATAAATAGAATGGACAAATTATTAGAATCAAAGAATGAGAATTCAATTACAAGAAACTTGATATTAGACACTTACCGCTTTCGTCTCATAAAGTACAATCTTTTGAACTCCACTAATTATCAAATTGTCCACAGTCAAAGTCATTGTAAGAATTACCAATCAAATTAGATTTTGACAATTGTTCATTTGGAGAAATGATTTGGTCTTGATGGTGACAAAAAAAAGGTTCCTAAAGAAGAAGAAGAAGAGAAATGAAAACAATATTTCACAATCATCAATTGATTATTAGTCAACAATTAGAAGATAATTTATCAAACATAAATTAATCATTTAAATCAATCAATCAATGTTAATGCAAATTGTGATCATCATAACAGCTGATAGGCTGACAACAAACACCCATTGAAGATATTGGGTAACCTGAAATCGATGAGGAAATAAATTGTTTTAAATTATTTAGCAATTTAATGTAAATACTAAACAATTAGAATCATTCAAATGGAGACAATTAACCGAAAAATAAATCACAATCACAATCACAATAAGAGAAACATTTAGATGATATTTGAAGAGAGTGAAGATAAAAAGCAAAAAGGTAAACAAAAAAAGAAAAGAAATGAGACAATTTGATCAAATTGGAAATTAACTCACCTAAATGGAGCAATCGAACTTAGTCATGAATAACTATAAGAATTAAAGAGATAATAATAAATTAATTAATTGTAAATCATTTAGAATTTAAATAATTAAGAGAACAACAAGTTCCAAATGTGAGTTTCTTTTGGCTCTTTGGAAAGAGAGAAAAACAAGTTAACCAAGAAAATGATTTTCTCTTTTTTTCATTTCTATTTTTGATTCTGTTGATCACTAATCATGTTAAAGTTAATCTAATTGATAGACAACTCATTTGTTGATTGTCTATTCACACTACTACAACAATTAGAAACAAAGGAGAAGAAATTAATTAGGATCAACAATCAATTCTCTTGATTGAAAAGAAGCGCTTCTCACGTGACATTTGTTTTTGTGTCAACAAACAGAAAGGAAAGAAAAAGAAAGAGAAAAAAAAACTCTCTCTTTCTCTTTTTGGATCGTTTTGTCATCTCTTCAAAATCAATTGGTCAGTTCGGGTAAGATGATTGTAGCGTCTAAATTGGGGTCCAGTGAAAGTACACAAGCGATTGAATTTACAAGTGAAGAAGAGGAATCAATTGTTAAACCAATCAAAGCAATTTGAGAATCAATCTTTAGGTCAGAGGTTACCGATGGATTGCTTTAAATCTGGAACTGGATCACTGGATGTCACTCGACTTGTCCAGTCGTAATTCAAACGTGAGCCTCTTGGTGTTTGTGGTATCATCACACCCTGAAATTATTCTCATATGTAACACCTTTAACAGCACTTAAACTTGCAGAGTTAACGGTCAAAGCTGATTTGCCACCCGGAGTCTTCAATGTGGTACTCAGGATCAGGGTCGATTGTTGGTTCAGCGATGGTTAATCATCCAGGTATTAGGAAATTGGGATTCATTGGATCGACGCCTATTGGTAAGGAGATTATGAGAGTTTGTGCCATCTCGAATTTGAAGAAAGTTTTCCTCGAACTTGGAACTTATTTTCTCCGATGCTGATTTGGACAAAGCGGTTAGAATCGCCATGAGCTCAGTATTTTTCAAACAAATAATATTCACCGAAGTGACCGATGAAATGTTCATCGCTCAAGAGGAATCATTTGGTCATTTCCAGATTCGATGACGGTGATCTCTCGAGCTAATGCAACCGAATACGGTTTAGCCTCAGGCGTATTGACCAAAGATTTGGACAAAGCTCTTTGTTAATAAGAAAATCGTAGCCGGTACTTGTTTTGACAATTTCTACAATAAGACCGATGTTTCCGCTCCGTTTGGTGGATTCAAACAATCAAGATTCGGTAAAGATCTTGGCCAATAGGCTTTGAACGAATATCACAAGACCAAAACAATTACAATCGAATACACATAAAACGAAAAACTTGATTCATTCTTTTTTTTCATTTCTATTATCTTCTTTCAAATTGATCTGATTCTTTCTGTTTGGATAATTAATCTAAACATTAATCATGAATAAATGAAAATCACCATTATTAAAACAACTTTTCCTTGGTTAACCAAATTTGATTACAATTAGTGATATTTTTTGTCAGCTATTTACTATCAGAAAGAAACACTTACCTGATTGAACCTGTTTACCATTTGAAAAGGATTAACCAAAACAATTAACCATCACCATTTTCCTTGTTTATCAGGAAATCTTAATACACAATTATCTTTACCTTTTGTTGATCACTAATCATGTTAAAGTTAATCTAATTGATAGACAGCTCATTTGTTGATAGTGTTAACATTACCAATTGTCATAAAACAAAATCACCTTTACAACTATAGAAACACAATTAAACCTATGGAGTGATTAACATTGATGAAAGTCCAACAATCAAATTGAACAAAACGGTGAGTATCCAATTTCTTTATCCAATTTAATTAACTGTCCATTAACCAAAATAGTACCATAATTATCTTGAATCAGTTACATTAATTAATCTAAAATGAGAGAGAGAGAGAGAAACAGAAAGAAAATATTTATAACAATTAATTCATCATCTTAATGAGATCGGTTTACATTTCAATCTCTTTGTTTACATTTTTTTTTCTCTTCTTCTTTTCTTATTTGCTTTTGATTGTATAACTCACTTGAAAAGATGATCAACTGATTGTCGTCTATTCACATTGTTACAACAATTAGAAACTAAAGGAGAAGAAATTAATTAGGATCAACAATCAATTCTATTGATTGAAAAGAAGCGCTTCTCACGTGACATTTGTTTTTGTGCCAACAAACAGAAGGGAAAGAAAAAGAAAGAGAAAAAAAATTCTCTCTTTCTCTTTTTGAGACTTTTTGGTTTGTTGACTTTTCATTTTCTAATTTGTAACTGTTTTAAATTAATTACTTTCTATTATTTAATACTAAATTCTAAATTAATAATGTGAATTGTAACTCTGTTAATCTCAATGTTTACCATTTTAACTCTTTGGTCTTACCAACAGTTTCCAATGGCTTTTGGTTGAAAATCTTCAGTTCAACTTTACCTCATTCTCATGATAACAATTGACCAAAACAAAGAAAAGAAGAAGATTAAATTAAGCAAAAGTTTCCAATCAATCAACTAATCAATAACTGGCCCTTTGGAGATCATCTAATCATATATATATTTTATCTTCTTATTTCTAATCATTCGGCAAAATTAATATTTGGATCGTTTTGTGTGTTTCTATTTTGTCATCTCTTCAAAATCAATTGTTTTTATTTTTATTTTCACTCTCTCTCTCTCTCTCTTTTCTCATGTTTACATCACCATATTCATTTTCATTGAATCGATTATCATGGTAACTACACCACAAAATCAAATGGAAGATGGAAAACCATTGAAATTATTAAGCTTCATCCTTTTAGCCTTACCTCTTATTGTGATACAAGCTTATCAACAGCGAGAACAATTTAATGGTGATAATTTATCGACAACCCAATCAGATAATGTTTCATTTACTCGGACACTTTCACACCAAGAATCTACCACTCATGGTTTATCTATTTTTCTATCTCGACCTGGAAAATATGATAGGAAATATGCAACATTTTCCGAATCACTAAGACTTGAAATGCTTCAAAAAACTCGAGAAATGTTTCAATTTGGTTATGATAGTTACATGAAATATGCATTCCCACAAGATGAGCTTAATCCGATCCTTTGTACTGGCAGAGGTCCCGATATATTAAATCCGTGAGTTTAACTGATTAATCCAAGTGAAATCAATTCCAATGGATTCACATTCAATTGAACCTTTTCCTCCTAAACCAATGGTAACAATGATCAACAATTCGATATCATTAATCTATTGGTTGATTGCTGGTTACAAATTTCCACAGTGAAAATGTTAATTGTTTCTCCTTTCTTATTGATTTTCCAATTAATTTTGTTTATTATGCTAATTTTTTTTTTGGTTTCTTCTTTCATCAGGTCTAATATAAACATTAATGATGTTCTTGGTAATTATTCCTTAACTCTAGTCGATACTTTGGATACTTTGGCGATCATGGGAAATGTTTCAGAATTTAAGAAAGCCGTTCAATTGGTTATCGATCAGGTTTCCTTTGATAAAGATGTTATTGTTCAAGTTTTCGAGGCCAATATACGACTTTTAGGTGGTCTACTTTCCGCTCATTTACTTATCATGGATCCAGATAAACCTTTTGGATCAATTAAACCTTTCGGCTATAATGGTCAGCTAATAGATCTTGCTCATGATTTGGCCACTCGTTTACTTCCCGCTTTTGGTAATAGTTCAACTGGTTTACCTTATCCAAGGGTCAATTTACGACACGGAGTTCCAACCAGTCAAGACTGTGATTGGTGTGCAACCTCAACTTGTACCGCTGGTGCGGGTTCTTTGCTTCTTGAATTTGGTATTTTAAGTCGTCTTTTGGGTGATCCAGTTTTTGAGAGTGTCGCTCGTCGAGCAGCTCGAACTCTTTGGTACCTAAGGTCAGAAAATACTGGTCTACTTGGTAATGTGATTGACGTTGAAACGGGTGAATGGGTCGGTAAGATGAGCGGAGTTGGAGCTGGTCTTGATTCATTCTATGAATATCTACTAAAGGTAATGATGTTCGATAACCTTTTCAATTCTTACAATTAACTTTATCCATTTTCTTTTTCATTATTCTTTATAGTCTTATATTGTTTTCGGTAATCAAGAAGATCTCAGAATGTTCAATGAAAGCTATCGATTGATTAAACGTTACCTAAGACGAGGACGTGATGAATGTAACGAAGGAGTTGGTAATCATCCAGTCTATGTAAATGTTAATATGATTGATGGACGAACGTCAACCCTTTGGATTGACTCATTACAAGCTGCCTTTGCCGGAATTCAGGTTCTAAATGGTGACATTGAAGAGGCCATTTGTACCCACGCTCTTTATTACGCAATCTGGAAAAGATTTGGTGCCTTACCAGAAAGATTTAATTGGCAACACTCAAGTCCGGATTTATATTTTTATCCACTTCGACCAGAACTTATTGAATCAACTTATTTATTGTATCAGGCCACTAAAAATCCGTTCTACCTACACGTTGGAAAAGACATTCTAACAAGTCTTGAAAATCATACGAAAGCAGAGTGAGTTGTTTTATCGAGTTGATCTCAACCCAAATTTGACCTAAATTTTAACCTTTATTCAGGAGAAAGAAAGATTAACCAATCAATCGATACTCCAATTAATTATTAATTTCATGAAAATAAGTCATTAACCTTTGAATTATCTTACGTCTATTAACCAAGACAATTAGATAATATCAATAAATTGAATCAATTGAAAAATTTGAAATCAGGAAGTATGATAACAATTATAATGGTTGATTCTCATCTGATTGGTAAAATCGATTGGGACTCAATAATAATCGACTAATAAATAGTCCACAAGCTAAACTATTTCTCTAATTTGATATTCAATTAACTGATTGCTTTTCTTTTCTTTCAATTAGATGTGGATATGCGACGATCCATAATGTTCAAGATAAAAGTCTCGAAGATCGAATGGAAAGTTTTTTCCTCAGCGAAACCTGTAAATATCTTTATCTTGTAAGTTGATTGGAAATGAGGTTACCTGTATCTTTTAATTACTCTTGATAATTAATTAAAATTTTGTCTCAATTTTGAATTGCAGCTCTTTGACACTGACAATCCTTTAAATAGAGATGCTGCTAAATTCATCTTCAGTACCGAAGGTCATATTTTTCCAGTTACATGGAGATATCGCAGAAAAGCCTGGGAAGATGTGGACAAATTTGTAAACGATTCATCTTCATCATCCGCATCATCTAATATGCAAGATGAATATAACAATAATCTACCATTGGATACTAATCATTCAACTAAATCATGCCTTAAAATTAATCAAGAGAGACATTACATGTTGCCAATTAAGAATAATTATCTTCATCAAGTAATTCATGCCTTACGTTCAGAGGTTTAATTTAAATTGTTGAAAAAAAAATAGTTGATAAGAAATCAGATCATAACAATTGTGAATCTATTTTTTTATGATTTATGATTTACTTTCAATGTATTTTAATAATGTGATACATAATGTGTAATGTTTCAAACTAAGATTTGTATTATTATTTAATTGAGAAACAAATAATGATATTAACAACAAGTTAGATGATCAACATGATCACTCAACGTTGATCCATATATTTATCTGTTTCGTTGACTGATTCGTATGCGATCCTAATCAAGTTATTAGAAATATGTGCAAATTGTTTTCTATTAAAACAATAGAGCAGGAAAAATCGAAAATCAAAAATTTAATTCTTTGATTCAATCGATAATATTTTGTTCAACTCTTCATGTTTCTCATTTTTTTTCTCGAACTTCGTTAATCCAGTTAACAGATCAAAATATGTTCGCAGCCATTGGCTACTAGCCGATCAGTTGATTCTAATCAATTAAAATTTACGAATTCAAGGCAATGTAACTATGAATTGTAAGAGACAATAGATTGCATAAACTAATCAAGATTCTTTGGTTTACGATTGAATCTCCATGTTTAACATGGTAAAAAAGTTGCAACTTTAATTGTGATGAAACTTTCTTGAAATGCTGTTTGCTTGAAATTCATTATACTGAATAAGATATAATCAGCTGAACTGTTATATGAGTGATGGTGATGAGGATAAACGAATATTGTTAATCTGATCGTACAAAATAATCGTTTAATAAAAAATTAAACTAATTACATGCATAAGTGATTTGATGATAGAAAAATATTTATAAATAGATGATTACTAATATAAATATCAATTCTATACAGACAATTTATCAATTGATGAACTTAAAGAGATGAGGATAAGCACAAATTGATGAAAGATTCCTAATTAATTGTTAAGTAACAGCGTTAATGAAATAATAGGCATGATATTTGTTCAAGCGATAAACAATTAACTCTGGTTTACAATTTTTCGTTATTCAATCGACTTAATGTTTCAGCTTCTTTTGGATCAAAAGTTGAAGTGATCAGCATTTCAGCCAAAATTGTATGAGGATTCACATCATTGACGCGAGTACCTTGTGGACTAAATTGGGGAATAAAATTACAAGTTATATGGTTGATTACACTTGTATCGCTTTCGATACACTGTAAACCCGAAATGGTCGTTGGTTGTGCTTTTGTCTATTCGAGACTGGACACAATAGGTTCTTCTTCAGTGTTTTCATAAGAAATCGTGATTCGTGTGTGATTTTATCATGTTTATCGTCAACTGAATCTCTAGATTATCAGGCAGAGACTGATTAAGAAGAAAGGAATTATATAAATTGTTTGGATCCTTAATTTTGATGATTGATTACATAACATCCAACGACAAACTTTTACACAACCCGATTTGAAGTAACGATCTGGTAATTGTAAACTAAAATCGTGCCTCAAGTTGATCCGTTCAAGGTTACATGATGAATGAATCGTCTCTGAACAACCTCGAATCACAATTGATGTCCCATCATCTAAATATACCATAACAATTAACCAATAATTTAGTTTAAACTTATTTAACCAAAAATTGAACAACCAGACAAACCTAAAAATCCCCAAATTTTGGTACAATAAGAGCCATCACAAAGGTCGAACCCTTCGATTGAACCATTTCGAGGAGGATTCACACAAATGGGCGAGGGTTGGACAGTTGTACTTATACACGAATAACAGGGTAGCCCATTCACTAGATAATTAACCATTTTTCAAGAGCAATTAGTTGACTAATTACAGTTCGAAATGATGAAAAAACTTACCTGAAGATATGAAATCTAATGATAACAGAAAAACTATTTGTCGAAATGTGAATTTCTGGTAACAACTCATGTTCATTTAATTTTCCTCGAAATAGTTGGAACAATTTAAATTCAATCTATTCAGCAATTATCACTTGATATCATTGAAGAACTGAATCAAATTGTTGACCCATCGAATGTGCATAGAACCATTCGAATCTGATTCGATTAGGTTGATAATTGTCACGTAATAAGAGTCCCAGTTAACCAGAAAAATTGGTCAATACTAATCAGATAAATTGATCCATTAATCTAATGACACATTTAATTTGTAATCAATAGATTATTTTTATCCAAAGTAATCTCATAATCTCGTAGCAACAATTATCATCATATTACTGATTTAATGTTTAAAAAATTGTGATGATAATTAAAGATTAATGAAAAGATACAATCAACAATTAAACAATGATAATTTCCAATACAAATCTATCCTTGAAACTGAGCAGCAAAAATAAACATTGTTAGACAATAACTTATCAAAATAACAATTAAATGTTTAAAATTAAGAAAAAGTTAATTGTTTGGAAAAATATCTCTTGTTGTCTAATTGTTTTCTAATGAAAAAACTACGTTGGGATCATCAGACAGCAAAAGTAATTACAATTAAAAGAAAAGGGAAAGGGAAAAACTTTTAGATTTTGTAATCAGAAAGTTAATCATTTAATTGTTGCAAGTTAAAGATGAGTAATTAATTTTGATGATTACTTGATGATCAGTGGAAATAAACATGATCAAAGCTCATGCAATTAATTGATGGTTACTATTGATTGACCAGTGAATTGGACATTAGATGAAATTGGAAACATATAAACAACAGAGAAACAGAATATTGGATAAACAAGTTAATGGAAATGATTGATGTTCTTGTTTTCTTTGAAATTAGTTAATTTTAATTCATCAATCAAAAAGAAAATGTTCACAATTAGAAATTTAACTTTCGTTTTCTTTATTATGTAAATTATTCGTTATCATGATTAGTTGATTTTCTATGTTAGGGAGAGTTGTTATTCTCAATTGTTTTCTTCTTATTTAATTATCTTCATCATCATCTTGAAACTCGTTTTCTCAGAGGCGAATATTTAATCATGAGGCACATGATATAAAGAGAATAGAATGAAGAAAACTCAGAATTGAATAAACACTCAGATTGATCAGATTTTCTTATTAATAACAATTGTTCGTTTTCTTGATAAGTTTTGCTTTTCGTATTTTAATTGTTGTTCATTTTGTTGAATTAATCAGACCAAAATGAAGAGTCTCATCATCTTTACAGTTCTTACATTGACTTCGTTACTCTTACTTGCCGACGCTGACCCAGTTTCTCGTGTTCGTAGACAACTATTTCCTTTGTTTGCCGCTTCGACAAGTTCATCTTCGAGCAGTACTACTGGTACAAACAGCGCTGGTGCTGGTGCTGGTTCTAGTGCTGGTTCTGGTTCATTTGGTATGCCCTGGTTTGGATCACTTCCTTCACCTTCTAACTTTCAACTACCGAAAAACATTTTTCCCAATCCCGATGAAGTGAGACAACGAGCTCAAGATTATATCTCAGGTAAGATTCTTAGTGAAAGACTTTTAATTGATCTCATTTTCATAATCTAACCATTGGAGAGATTTAAATTATTGTATTTTTTATTTATTAGGTGTAGGCAAACAAATCCAAAATCAAGCTCTCCAGAGCATCGACAGATTGAAATCAGTGGTTAATTGCACACTAACTGAGAACAGATCGGAAACCGTTGATATAAATGGACAGGCAGTTAATCAAACATTCAGAAGTTGTATTTCCAATGGACCAGGATCTGTGGTAAATAATACAAATCCTATCGACTCTTTTGCTTTCATTTGATAATATTAACATTCTTCCAATTTAATAATAATTAACGAACAAAATCAAAAAACTATCGATGATTCTAATCACTTTTACTTTCAATTATTTACAGGCAACATCAGTATCTTCATCTTCTGTACCAGTAAATGATAAAATATAAATGTATTCAAGACCTAAACTGATAATGTATTGATATTTTCGTGGAACTGAGCACATAATGAATATGAATAAAATCACAATTTTTTAAAAGCTTCATGACTTGGCTAATGTTTATTTCTAATATCAGGAAATTGAAAAGAAGGAAATTTCTTAGAATCCTTGATTCAAGAAGTTACATGTTAAAAGTAAAAAAGTTTCAGAATTGCGCTTCCATTGCCTATGGAGCTGGAATCGTTAGTTAAAAAGTAAGAATACAAAATAGAATTCATCAAAAATCTTGTCAATACAAATTATTAAAAGAAAGTATTGCTGGTGAAAGAAAAATCAACAAATAGTTCTAATAAAATTTTTTCGATTCTCTAAATTTAAACTGAGGTGGAAAATAATAAATGAGAAGTGTCTAAATAAAACGAGTGCTAATAAGTGACAATTAAATGAAGTAAAGAATATTTTTAAAGTTTTCGTTAACGTTGATTGCTCTGTTAATCTCAGCGTTCATTTCTTCGTCGGTCCATTGTCGCCGCTTACAAATTTCTCTGTAATGAAATTTTCCTCTCGCTGCAGCATGATGAGCATAACGAGCTGGGGCAGGATCGGCGATTGACTTAGTTGCTCGAGCGAACAGGTAACAAAGATAATAAGTGGCCATTTGCAGATCGTCGGCCTGTGCAGAGCTCGAATTCCAAAGTACAGTGTATTTTCCTGGACGAGCAGTTCCAAGAAATGAATTTTGACTACACAAATAAAAGTCAAACCATTTGAAGTGACAAACATTAGTGTCGATAACTGATCCTGGTAACATATTTCCATTTCCAGTACCATCTCTTGAATCAACTGGGAAGAAACGAGCGTTGTGTCTCTTTTGAACGATAATGTAGGTCAATTTCGGAGGATCAGAATACTCTTCAAGACGTTTGTGAAGAGGTAGAATTTCACTTCCCATAACATGGGCGAATTGCCCTTCAGAAACACCGTCGCGATAGATGATAATATGTTCCGGGTAAAAACCTCGAGAAGATTTGAACTTGTCGATGATTGGTCCGATCATACTGTGAACTTGGACTAGTTCATCTCTTTCGTGATTAGCGAAAATTTCAGTTCGATATTTACTGAACTCTTTATCAATCGAACCTACAACGGCAGCGATCGAACGAGCATTTTCACCAGGAGATGGATGATTGACATCAATTCCGACGACCATTGTCTTATCATTCAAAATTGAACATCGAGTCGTTTCGCTCAGCTTCAAATTGGCTCCACCGATTTTAACGTTAATTTTGAGCAATAAGTTGGATAAATAAGCAGTTTTGAAGAGTTTGGTTGTACCAGTTTCCATATATTCACGATGGTCATAGTGTTTATCTAAAACTACTTGAGTTGGAACACCGAGACATTTATCGCCAAGATATTTGACTCTTCCATAATGTTCAACATTATCCTCCATTATAACAATAATCAACTGAAGTTTTCTGGTTACACAAAATTTGAAGAATCCAGTTATTTCATTGGCCTTATAAACTTTGAAAGGATTGACTGGAGAAGCGATTTCCATACCAACCATTGATCCATTTTTCTGTAGAAGCTTAATGAAGTTTTCAGCAATTTGAGAGTCGATTCTCCGTGACATACCTGGATATCCGATCAGTGCCCATCTTTTCAATTCCACAGTTGACAATAATCGTCTAGAAGAATTATCGACTTTTTTCATATTCCAATTTCCAAGACGAGGTTCAGATTCTTTATCATTAGCATATGTTAATCTCGGAGCAGGAATAACACGACTTTCGACGATAACTTGAGTTGGATTCAATTGAATATCAAATTGATTATCTCTCAATTGGTTCGAAACATCATTAGCCCTTTCTCTAAGTTCACAAAGTCTTTCCATTGGTCTCTGGGCTGTTGTGTGTTTACTCACAATACTGATTAGTTCATCACGAAGTTTCCGTTGGTTACGTTGATTAGGTAAAAGGGAACACAATTCAACAGGTATGTAATTATTTGAACCATAAACAATACATGGAAGGAACGGGTATTCCAGATGGATATTATAATGTTCACGGAAATAATCGGCCACATAGACCGTTGAATTTCCCTGTTGGAAGGTGAGACAACTACAGGGTTCAACAGTGAACGATTGGATTGTATGCTTACAACGGTACTTACGATATTCTGTCTCAACTCGAAGGAAAGTTAACTCTTCGAGAGCATGATGTGAACTTGGGGTTAGATTAATGTCTTTTGGAGACTCAACTCCTAAGACTTCACACATTGACCTTATCAAAGGACCTTCTTTGTAAAGAACCGCAGTGGCTCGGTCGATATTCAGCATTGGACCTTCTTGACATAAGCGAGTGGATTGATGATAACCAAAGGCGAGCTCGAATCTTTTAGAAATATCTTCTCGTCTGTGCATGTTAGATGCTAAGAAGAAAATTTTGGAGCCATAAATAATATCATTTTGGAAAGAATAAGTTTTACAAATAATGTCGATCACTTGTAAAATAGCTCGATCATGGGTAATCTGAGCCTCCTTAGAGTCTTCATTGAGACTTAAGCAAACTCGCACTGTTGGTTTAATTCTAATCAGATACCTCTGGCTGTAATCTGGATCATTCTCACGAGGTTCATTGATTGTGAGAGTGAAGATTCTTCCTTCTTTTGAAATATCAGGAAGAGGTTTACTTGTAATGAGGATTCTATCATTGTCGTAAGCATAACTTACTCCAACAAAAATCTCTTTACCCGTAGTATTAATAAACTGTGCGAGAAAAGTTTGATTGAGTTTCTTGGCGATTCGCTTGAATTTTCTGCCGACCTCTTGCTCGAATTCATCAGCCGATGATTGATCTGGTTTGAGAAAAGTGACAAGATATTGATACACCGGTTTTCCACCCAAACTCAATTTAAAGAAGTTGGAGTAGAGCTTTACTTTTTTACCCTTCGTTCCGTTAGGAAATTGTGGTCTTAGACAAAGAGCGGGTGGTGGGTTCTTCAAACTGAGACCAAGTTTCTCAAGTTCGGCGAGAGAATCTTCAGCACATTTGTTCTTAGCTCGTCGAGACTGAGACTTTTTCGCGAATTCAGCTTCTTCCGCATCAAATGCCTTGGCAGCGAGATCATCGAATTCGGCTTCTTTTGATTGTGAGGGCTTTTTATTCTCAATTTTTCTCGCTTGTGTATCCGCTCCAGGCCCAACATTCAGTCGATCGAAATGTTCAGGTAAATCACCACTTACTAATTCCTGTTCACTGCCATGAGCTGAACCTGATGCTTGATTATACTCTCTCTTCCCTTTACTCTTCCTAATTTTCTTGGTTTTTTTACTTTGACTATTTTTATTGTCGGCAATTGGAGTTTCACTGTCACTTGTCATGTTGGTTGATTTCAACTGAGAAATTAAATGAAAATAACAGAAATTTATATAACAATTAAATGATCACTTGTATCTCTGTCTTGGATGAATGAATAGAAAAACTAAAGATGAACAATAAAATTAACTTATTCTTCAAGAAAAATTGAATAATTAAAAAAAATGAAGTTGATGAAACGATTAGATTGAAGGAAATAAACACTCAAACTAATTCTGTTGATTAGTCGTCATATTAGTATTTAACATCGAGATTAAATTAAAATAAAACCAAAATTAAAATTAAAATTAAAAGAGTCAAGAGATCACTTGTCACAAAAATATTTGACTTGTATTAATGAGTAGCATGAAAACTTAAGACGAATAATAAAATTATAGTTTCACCCTAACACTCAAAATAATTGAAAGTTAGAGTTGAAGTAATATAACTGCTACTGTCACGCGCGCGATACTAAATTTTGCCTCGATTGATTGAAGAATTCAACTGTAGGTGAGGAAGACACTGTACTAAACGATTATGTAATCTTGAACGGATCGACTTGAGGCACGATTTTAGTTTACAATTACCAGATCATTACTTCAAATCGGGTTGTGTAAAAGTTTGTCGTTGGATGTTATGTAATCAATCATCAAAATTAAGGATCCAAACAATTTATATAATTACTTTCTTCTTAATCAGTCTTTGCCTGATAATCTAGAGACTCAGTTGACGATAAACATGATAACGCACATATCGCACGAGTCACGATTTTATAATAAAACACCGAAGAAGGGCCTATTGTGTTCAGTCTCGAATTGGCGAAATCACAACGACCATTTTGGGTTTACAGTGTATCGAAAGCGATACAAGTGTAATCAGAACACAACAAAACTTTCACATTTTCTCTGTTGAATCGCGAAGAAAAAACTCTGACCTAATAGCCTAGAAACTCACACTCAAAATTTAGTACATAGCATTCTCAAGGTCAAAATTACTAGTCGAGGTCATTTCAAGGTCATCACTGCATTTTATTATTTTGGCTTGTTCGAGTTGAATATTCCAATGGTAAAGGTAACTGATGGATTTTAAGACATTTTCAGCGTTTTCAATTTCAGAACAAGCTGAACTATTGAAGTTCAGCTTGTTCTGACTGCTCAGTCCGTTATTATTGTTAAAAGACTTGTTGCCTTTCATTCCAGTTCCGCTCTTTTGTTGGCACCCATTATTAGGGCCGTATCGTCTGCAAAAGCTACTATTGTTTCCTCCTCCTCATTAAGTCTGAGGAGACTATTCATCAAGATGTTCCATCTTGGCCATGCTTTGGAGCCTTTTGGACAGACTCTATCTCTGACCATTATGTAAATGTCAATATCAGCTGTCTTGTATCTTATTGCTCTAGAATGAAATTGTCCAAGTAAGCATAAAGGTTACCCGGACAGTCGAACTCTCTCAATCATTTTTGCTATGGCGGGGCACCATGCATTATAAAAGCCCCCTGTTATATCTAGACATATCATAGACTCTCTGACCTTTTTTATAAGTTCTGAAAAATTTCTGGTTAGGCCACAATCAGCGATCGATTTTTTTTGTTTTTCGATTATAACACATAAACTAAACACAATTTCAGTCCTTATCATCACTGTTAAAACAAGAGAACTAGTACAATTTCCATCAAGTTAATACATTGATTGTAAAAATCAAATGACCGTGAAACATTATCATGCTTTTATATAGAGATGGGCGATT